TTCTTTATTGATAATGAAGGAAAATGAATCTTTTATATAAATGAAAAATAAACAAAAGGAATTGTTTAATATCATTTCTATACAAAAACAAAAAGAAATATCAATATTGATATAATATTAAAGATATAAAAAACTATTTAAAGAAAAAATTAATTATAAGGTTTTATTAAAATATAAATTATAAAATTATAAGGTAATATTGAAAGAAAATAAAATATTTTTATTTGAATTAATCTATTAGATATTGAAATTGAAATTAAGAATGTTTAAGGAATATATCAATGATATATTAAAAAAGGATTAGATTAAAGAATCAATCTTATAGATAATTAATTTTGTATTATATATATTTAAGAAAAATGATATTAAAAGATTATATATAGATTATTATAAATTCAATAATATAATAATTAAAGATCGATATCTATTTTCATTAATTACGGAATTAAGAAATCGATTAGAAAAAACAAGGATTTTCTTTAAGTTTGATTTAAAGAATAGATTTCATCTAATCAAAATAAAAAAAGATAAGGAATAGAAAACAGTATTCAAAATTTGATATGGATTATATAAATATCAAATTATATTATTCGGATTAATTAACATATTAATAATATATATATGATGAATCAATAATATATTAAAGGAATATCTGGATATCTATTGTATATATTATTTGGATAATATTTTTATATTCTTTAAAATAAAGAAATAATATATATTGGATATATATAAAGTATTAAAATATTTAGAAAAAGAAAATCTTCAATATAAATCTAACAAATATAAATTCTATATTATAAAAACAGAATTTTTGGGTTATATAATCTTTTCAGAAGGTTTTAAAATAAATCTTGATAAATTAAAAACAATTCAAAATTAAGAATTATTAAATAATATAAAGGAGATATAATCCTTTTTGGGATTTGCTAATTTCTATCAACGATTTATCAAGGATTATTTCAAAATAGTTATTTTAATATTAGAAATTATCAAGAAGAATCAAAAGGAATTTCAATGGATTTTATAAATACAAAAGGTATTCGAAGATTTTAAAAAGGTTTTTATTAAGGAATCTATTCTTTTAGTTTTCGATTTAGAATTATTAATAATTGTAAAAACAAATGTTTTAGATTATATAATAGAAGTTGTATTGAGTTAATCTGATTCAAATAAGAAATAACAATTAATCGTTTATTATTTATAAAAGTTATTATTAATCGAATTAAATTATAAGATATATAATAAAGAGTTATTAACGATAATAGATATATTTAAAGAGTAAAAAATATATTTAAAAGGATTAAAATATATAATATAGATATATATAGATTATAAGAATTTGATTTATTTTATTATAATAAAGGAATTAAATTAATAGTAAATTAGATAATTGAAGATTTTGATAATTTATAATTTCAGAATTTTATATATTAAAGAAAACAAAAATGTTAAAATAGATATTTTTAATTGAAAATTAAAGTATTTATAAAACAAAATCTATAAAATATATACAATATTAAAGTAAGAAAATGATATATTAATATATAACAAATTACAATTGATTGTTATTTTCAAATTATTAGATAATATGATTAAATTATAATTATTATTTTATTATAAGAATGATATTATTGTATAACGAATCCTAAAAGAATTAGAATTAGGATTTATAATTAAAGAAGAAATAATTTATTTCTATAACAAAATCTATATTTTTATTGGAATAATAAAAGATTTTATCAAAAAATAATACGAATTATTAATATATAGATATTAAAGAATAATCAAAATATTTGTAAAACTATAATAGGAAATATATTTCCTAAGAATAAGAATAATAATTGAAGGAATAATTAGGAAATATGATATCTATATATAAAACAAAATTGCTAAATATATTTTATATAATCAATTTAAAATCCTTAATCTATTTTCAGAATTATAAAAATCTATTATATAAGATTTTGTAATTAAACTATCTTTTTTTAAGGAATTAGTTATAAAAAAGAAATATAATATTATTCTAATAATAATAAACAAACTAATCAAATATATCTATATGATATTATTCTATAAAATATAATTTATTAATAATTTGATATATATATCTTTAAGAAATATAATCAATATATATAATATATCAGAAAAGATAATTTCGAATCGAAACAAATTATTTATTTTGAAATTTTGGATTACATTAATGATATTATTAGATATAAAAAGAAAACTATCGATAATTTTTTATTTATAAATAAATAGATAAACAAAATAATTAAATTAAACAATAAAAATTTATTTATAATATTATATTAATTACAAACAAAATAATTAAATTGAATTACTATCTTTAATTTAATTTATATATAATTTATCAAAAACAAAAACAACAAAAACTATATTAATTTATATTAACTTCAAATTCCATTTAATAATATATCAAACAATACTATTACAAAATAAAAATGTAAACAAAATTATAAAGAATATTAAAAAGATTAAAGATCTACAAAAGCAACTCTCTTTGAATTTACAATTTATAATTTTAAAAATAGTAATATATTATAATATATTATATAATTTAAGATTTATATTTAAAAAAAGAAATAAAATTTATCTTTTTCAAAAAAATATATAAATAAAACAATCTAATAATAAATTAGATTACAAAAAATTAGGATTATTCAAAATCGATAAAGTAATTAAATCAATCAATTATAAATTAAAACTATTATATATTATAAACATCTATTTAGTATTTTATATATCCTTATTCGAATTGATATTATCAAAAACATCCGATATATTTATAACAGAAATCAAATTAATCAATTCAAATGCTATATATAATATCGAAACAATATTAAATTATAAATATATTAAAAGCAAAATCAAATATTTGATTAAATAATTAGATTTCCTATATTCGAAGAATATTTAGGAATTAAAGAAAGATTTTAATTATTTTAAAAAACTAAAAGTATTTTATTAACGATATCCAAAATTGTTTAAATCGAATCATTAAAATCTAAAGAATCGAAAAAAGAAGAATCGAGAAAAAACATTACAAAAGAATCGTTTTTAGAATTAGGAATATTAAATGATAAGATCTTTTTTTTTTTTTCAATAACTTCTTTTTTTAAATCTTCTTTTTTCTCGAATTCTTCTAATTCATTTATTGTTTTCAAACCTCAATAAATCATTTCATTACTACAAACTTGAAGAAATTTGTATTGTTTATATAATTGTACCAAACAAAAAATAATAATTATAATCAAATTAATTATCTTTTCCTTTTTTTTATTCAAATACTTTTATTTCTGAATCAGATTACATATATCTATAATAAAAAGATTTATAAGATTATATTTAACCCTTTCAATATACATATTCATTATATCGAAAAGAATTCTTTTTCGAAATAATATAAATACAAAAGTTATCTTCATAATAAATATATAAAGATATAATATCTTTTTAAAATTCAATTAATTTTGTAAATTTGATTCGTTCCTTATATTTCTTTGATCGTACAAATAATATAATGAAAAAAAGAAAAATCTATTTTACAAAAATCTATAAAAATAATAAACAAAATTATTATAAAAACTTAAAATAAATACTAAACTAAAAAAAAGATAATATTACAAAATAACAATCAATCTATTTATATAAATTTAAATCTTATCAAAAAACAAAACAATTTGTATATAAATTTATATAATAAATACTTTATATAATAAATACTTTATATAATCTCCCCACCCTTAATAGATTCAGATATATAATCTGATCATAATTATATAATGAATTATAGAATCTAAAGGATCTAGAGAATCGTATTCTAGATCTATTAGATCCTTATAATCCAATCGATACGAAGGTTTATATAGTTAGAAAAGGATTCCTTTTGTAAAACTTTATACTCAAGATTAATCATTTAGTATAATCTACTATTAGTTACAAATTGCAATTATTGATATTACTTTAAAGCTCCTGCTTGACGCCTAGTTATAAATCATTCGAGGATCCAGGCCACTTCCACGTGATCTAGATCGCATCCCTCGTAACAAAGTAAAGGTTTCTAAAGGAAAGCTTTTGGGATAAATATTCCAAAAAAAGAAAAACCTTAGAATTGATCATATAATGAAGAGCTTTAGAAGTTTGAAAAGCTTTTAGAATTTCAGAAAGCTTTTGAGTTTTACAAAGCTTCTTTTTATTTATTAATATATAATCAAAATAATTTCATAATTTAAAAGCTTCATATTCAATTTAGTTATTAATTAGTTTACCTATATTCTATTTGATCTAATAACGAATTCATTTTCAAATGAATAATCAATGATTAATAACCTTAACCTACAACTATCAATTATACAAATCTTAAACAACAATTGTCTCGATTAGATCGTTATATAAACCTTATATATAATAAGATTTTGATATTAACAAGTTAACAAAAATTTTAATTTTTTTATTATCTTTTAATATCTCTTTTATATACCAAAGGTCTGCACTCCCTGGACTCCTAGTTTTTCGAGAAAATTTAATGAAAATTTAAGTTTTAAAAAGTTTATAATAAATTTAAATATTGAATATATATTAAAGTACAAATAGAATATCAGTTTGTTTTTGATAATTGAACATTTTTAATTTTTAATTTAAAATAATAATTATAATAATTATAATATTATTTATTATTATTATTATTATTATAAATTAAATGAGATGAATTGAATGAATAAAGTTAAATGATTTCAATTGAATTGTGAATTGAGTTGAATGATTTCAATAGAGTTGAAAAAAGTTCCAAGTTAGATTTGTTTGAGGTTATAAGACTTATATCAAGCTTTTTGTTAGATTTATTTACCGGGGTATTTTAGACTAATCAGATTATCAGGATCGCGACTCACTTAAGCGAGTTTCTCATTTTCCATCACCTACCAGGTAAACCTCGCGTATAACAAGGTTATGGTGTCGGCAAGCCGACAATTATAGAAAGGAAATCAATTATTTATAATATACTTATTACACACCCGCTTTATCGGACCACAGCTCGGTGAGAGATTTATATTATTAATACAAAGTTGGAATCATGCTTTTTTGTCCTCTCGCCTACTAGTACTCTTGGAAAGTCTGTACTTTTCGCCCATCACCATCGGCCGCCACCATACCACTCACACGCCGTTCAGCATCTATCTGCCTACACGGCTAAGACAGGTTTCCCTGTGCCATATTCCAAATCGAAAACTGGCATTGAAGTCAACGGTGTCTGCAAGCCCAACTGAGATGGACAAGTAGGTTGATTACTTGTTTTCAAATTCAGTGTGCATTCTTCATCCTTTCCGTATGTACAAGCACTCGTTGCAATGTTCCATAGTCCATAGCTTTGTGCGACCCAGTTTGGCCCCGTATTTATACAGTTTGATATATAGTTCATTGAGTTCGCCGCTGAGAATGGAAGTTTTTTATCCGGAGATGTAATCAAATCCGCGCAAGCTGACATGGGCTGGATGGTATATATAGCAGATATGCCTCCGCCCTCTTTTGGTTTCTTTGTAGCAGATTGTCCGGCGTAGAGATAGTTCCAAGCATCATAAGAGATATCATGTGCACCACCTGATTGGTCGATATGAAGCAAGTTGACGGAGCGGCCAGCATGGGAGACTTGCAAGCATATACTAGCGCCACAATCTGGGAAAGTGGGCCAGTACGCAACGCGGTTAGTGTTGATCATGCAACCAAGAACGCCGATTGAGCTGGAGAATTGTTGATGGGGAGTTATGGAAACCGGGGTTCCCGCTGCTGGGTCTGCTGGCGCAACAATAGTTGGGGCTGAGGGGGTAAGTGCCGATGCAGCGCTAGCAAGAGCGAGAAGAGAGGTGAAATATTTTTGCATTTCAAGGAAACGGTCGAAATGTTGTTTGCTAAAAGATTTTAGAAAGACAACCCTAACTATGGTATATTTGAGAGGTGAAATTGTGTATTCAGAAAAAGTGACTATGGAGAAAAAGGCAGGTAACAAAAGGAGTGAATGGCAACCTTCGAAATAGCAGGAAGTAGACACGAGAATTGCACAGCGTGTATTTCTAATGATAGACGAGAAGAGCAAAAACGAAGGTTTAAGTAGGCAATGGTGTTACACCCGTGTCTTCAATACACTGCACGTGAAAGAGAACGTCTAGAGGGGTATAAATCCATCAACCGGGGAAAAGCAAGCTGTTTCATTTCCTTCAAGTCAGGTCTATTGTCATCATAGGGTTGCCAGGTGCAGGAAATTACGAGAGGTAGAAACAACCTTGTTGTGAAATGGTTCAGAAATTGGTAAGGGGAGAGCGCGCGCGGAGGATTGATCAATAATCCTGAGATCTTTGGTAAAAGGATTGCGTGGAATGTCCTGGCTTAACTTGATATAGTTTTTCCAATTCTGGTGCGCAACACCATTTATCTCGGTAATGTATATACTAACGTACTCAACGTAGCCCAAGCTTCCTAATGCTCCCTCGGATTTTTAATGATCATTGATTTTCTCAGTGAACTTGCGATTGATAGTCAAAGTTACAGGAGGGCGTGAGATAGGTTAAGGATCCCAATAAGATGATGATGGGATTCAAGGTGCGTTACCTTAATTTTGTCAGCCCATTGAGGATGAGGCTTAGCGAAGGATGAAGGGAACAAAAACAGCTGGAGATAGACTATTTATAGTTAACTAACTTCAACTCGATCTCATGTACAATCAAAAGACTTAAATTGGTATCAATGGAGCGTGAGAGAAGTCGTGATACATCTATACACATACAGACATATTTAGATTACTAGTCGAACTTGAAGGTACAAAAGAAAGCACCGCGCTTGTCTTGATGACATAATCACCATGTCAGATTCAACAGCTCGAAGCTTTTACCGCAGAAGTTGCCGGACTTCTTGTCCGCGATAATTGAATCATCCATCAGCTACATACCACAATGTATAGTGATGCTGGAGCAGATGTGTTCAATAGAACGCTTGTGCAAAAATCGGGACGAAGAGTAACAACAAAACATAAAATTGATATGGTAGCTTCTAGGCCCGAACGACCAAGAGCTTTCTGATCTTTCTTCTTGTATTAAATTTATGCAGTTGAGGTATAATTTACAGTCAAGATCATGACTTCGTTTGTCTACAAAAGCATTCTTCTCGGATCCTCTATGTACTCCTTAACCTTAACGAGGAATCCGACGGCCTCTCTTCCATCGAGTAGACGATGGTCATAGGTCAAGGCTAGGTACATCATAGGACGAATGACAATTTGGCCATTAACGACAACGGGCTTATCCTTGATAGCATGTAGACCCAAAACCGCAGTTTGTGGAAGATTGATGATTGGTGTACCCATCAATGAACCAAAAACACCACCGTTGCTAATAGTGAAAGTGCCACCAGCCATGTCTTCAATTGTGAGTTTGTTGTCACGAGCCTGCAAATCAGTAAGCAAGAAGCGAGTCAAACATGCTACAGAAGAAAATTACCTTTTTGCCTAAATCAGCGATAGTCTTTTCGATACCGACAAGGTCCATGGCCTCAGTGTTGCGAACAACAGGAGTAACCAAGCCCTTTTCGGTGGCAACGGCGACGCTGATATCGACATAATCCCTGTAAACGATGGTGTCACCTCCGTTTGGACCCTCAATGGATGCATTCACAGCAGGAATGTCTCGCATAGCAAGCACAGATGCACGAGAAAAGGCACTCATGAACCCAAGCTTGACGCCAGTCTTCTTGAGAACCTCATCCTTGTAGAGCTTTCTAAATTCCATCAAAGATGACATATCAACCTCGTTGAAAGTTGTAAGAGACGCAGCGGTATTTTGCGATTGCTTCAAACGTTCGGCAATACGTAGTCGCATTCGATTCATCTTGACCTAATAACATTGTTAGCCGGACAAATTGTGTACAGGACTGATGATGATCCATACGCGACGCTCCTCCCTGTTGCCCAACGTAGGTGCGGAACTACTGGATGATGATTCTTGCTTCTTGGACTCCGATGGTTTGGGCTTAGGAGTCTCCTTTGGCTCTGCTTTCTTCTCCGGAGGTGGGGAAGAGTTGGATTGCTCTCTGGATTTCGATGGCTCAGGATCCGATGATGTTGATTGGTCTTTCGATGCTGGCTCTTTAGGTTCCGAAGAGGCCTTTTCTTTATCACCACCCGCTGGAGCACCGCCAAGTTCGAGACGGACCAAATCTTGACCAACTGTGACTGTATCTTCTTCGTTCGCCAAGAATTCCTTTATTGTGCCAGCTTCAGGAGCATTGACGGCAACATCAATCTACACATTTCTTATCAGCTATGAATTCTTGAGTATGTTGAAATAAACGGACTTTATCCGTCTCAATTGTAGCGATTTCCTCATCCTGCTCAACATAATCACCGATCTGTTTTGACCATTGCTTCAAAGTCCCCTCAGAGATGGACTCTGCCATCTCTGGTACCTTGACAACCTTGTCAGCATAATTGCGAAATTGTTGGATAACTGGAAGAGGATATCTCAATTGCGGTGCCGCCGAACGTTGAGCCCGCAAAAATCGCGAGGCTGTTAAGACCCTCCTGGTAAGCATCTCGAAAGGGGAGAAAAATTCAAGAGGTTATGTTTTGTGGGAGGAGATGAGGATTTGAGAGGGATCCGAAGAGAGGAAGAACTCGCTGAGAGTTGTAGGAAAAGAAATAAAGAACCTATTCCCAAGCTCAACAAACGCGCATGCGGAAAGAAATAGGTAAAAGATAAGATTTGTTAATTATTACTGTATGATGTCTTTTCCGGGTTCGCGAGTTTTGAAGCGATGTCCCGACATTCGTACCCGCAGACGCCCGCACAATATTCCCACACCTGTCTAATAGTTCGTAACTCCAACAATCAACCTCCACTCCACCTTACTGAATATTCATTCCGCGACCACCAACCACCAACCACCAACCACAGTTTAGACGTTTCCGATCAATAGCGTCAGTCTGACGATAAATTATTTGGGTGGTCGGGAAAATATACTATCGTTTTGGCATTACCCATCCATTTTAAAGCCTCAGCGGAGAAAAGATTAGGTTTGGTCATAATGTCTACCAGGGCTACAGTATCGTGGGTCTCAACCCTCCATCATAGACAGGCCATCCGTACTAAACCTCCCTTTCAGGTCGCTCTATCGACGCTCCCTAAAGCTTTCGTTAGACTGGTGTGTACATCGATATCTCTGGAGAGGCCAAGCATTGTACATCAGATCATTATTCGAGGCTCAAAAGAACGTCCACGACCCAAGGTTACAGAGGGCAAGTTACTTAATTGGTACAACGAGCGGATGCATATACTAATTTGGGTTCGCAGGCATTGTTTAAAGAGACGGAGGATTTACTTGAGAAGTGGAAGCACCCAGATCCATACCGCCCACCCACTGCACCTGGAGGTAAGTCTCCTTTTGGCTGGTCGGATACACATCATATACTTACAATGTTATCTTTCAAGGATCGAAATACGAACGCAACCTTCCAGCACCAATTCTCGACCGTAAGTTAAATTATTTATCGAATGCCAATATGGCCGCGTTAACATTTTATAGCTCCGCCAAAGATGGTCTTGTAAGTTTCTGAGCAACGCAGGGAGATAGGAGATAGATGACTACATGGTGGACTTTTTAGTCTGGAAGAAACTAGAAATTGTACATAGCGCCAGGAAATTGGAAGACATTTTCGGTACACTTTAGATAAGCCTTCAGAATACATGACCGTGACCTCGTCGAGTGACTTTCTATGCAGGCCAACAAGGTTCCCGAGGAAAATAGGCACGATCTGCAAAGTCAGTGAAATCGCGTTTGTTGTGCAAAATTGGGGGGAAAAGAAAACCCCTCCCCAAAAAAACAAAACAAATGAGAGTGACAATTAAGTTGCAAGGTTGGAAGTCGAACGTTGGAACATCAGTCAAGGCGGCGAAGCTCTTCCACATCCTCGGGAAAATTCAAAACAAACAGACGCGTCCCGCGTTTTAAATTTCCACGTTCAAACCCCATATTTCATTGCACGAGTGAAGATTGAAGTGAAGTAATTCGGAAGATGATGAAGAATGATCATTCGGATTTCATTCATAAGATTGATTCAGAAAGCAATCCTAATCCATTGCCATGGATTTTAATGTACAACCGGAACGCGAAAAAGTAACCATAAACCCAAACCCATACGACACCCCATTATCATAAAAGCAGACCATCTCAAGCCGACACCCCAGAAACGAAAATCTATAGCTCTTGACTGGCAGGCTTTCCACCGGCACCCTTGGTAGCAGTCTTCTTTGGAAGAAGGTCTAAAAGAATGTTAGAAAATGTCATTTGGCAAACAGTGTTTCGGAAAACTTACTTTGATGAATGTTTGGCAAAACACCACCTTGTGCAATTGTAACATGTCCCAAAAGCTTGTTCAACTCCTCATCGTTTCTGATGGCGAGTTGGAGATGACGTGGGATGATACGGGTCTTCTTGTTATCGCGAGCAGCGTTACCAGCCAACTCAAGGATTTCAGCCGCGAGATACTCGAGAACTGCGGCAAGGTAGACGGGGGCACCTGGTAAAGACGCGTCAGAAATGGAAAAGCAGAATATTTCGAATGCATGACTCACCAGCACCAACACGCTGAGCGTAGTTACCCTTTCTGAGAAGACGGTGGACACGACCAACTGGGAATGCGAGACCAGCCTTGGAAGAACGGCTGGAGGGATAAAAATTAGCATTGAAAATTCAGGATTGAAAATGCACCGCGGAAATGGATTTATGATAAGAGGGTGAAAAGCCGAATTGAACAAGTCGTAAAGTGTGAGTGAAAGGAGGGAAATGCTACTAACGATTGTGCGTTCTTTGTTGCGCCTGCCTTTCCCCCAGCTGATTTTCCTCCGGTCATGATGAAGATGGTATAAAATTAAAAAGGAAGTTGATGAATTAATTCAATGAAGAATTTTGGAGTAACTTGTGTCGAAAGTTTTGCGTGGATGGAAAATGGATTTGTTGACGATGGGAAGTTGAGAGGGCGCCGGTAATTTATCAACACAGCTTGTGATTTCACTACTGCATAAGTTCTTTACCCTAGAGAACTAAACCATTTTCGGCACTACCCGCTGTCCAATCATATAATTCACTTGTGGTCCCACATCAATTCGGTATCCAATCATATAATTTATTTTTTAGTCCCACCATGAATTTGGTGTACCACTTGGCGCTAGTGTACACGAAGTGATTAGCAAGTCTTCCTTTTACTTAAACCGATCTCTTTCCCTTCAACTCATTCAACTTCGAATAATTTCAAACAACAAAACAAACTGACGTCCATTTGTACACTTACATCAACATCAACTCCCACCTTATATCTTTCAATCTACCAAACCACATTTTATATTCAAAATGCCACCAAAGGGAGTTGCAAGCAAAGCACCAGCTGCCGCTAAGGTACGTTTATTCCTCTAATTGAGCTCAAATAATTGTTTCTAACATTTTGGAACACAGGCACCTGCATCCGCGTCGAAGGCCCCAGCCAAGTCAGACGCTGGCAAGAAAACCACCGCCGGCGAGGGAAAGCCACGCAAGAAGAAGGGACGCAAGGAGACTTACTCTTCATACATCTACAAAGGTACGAACCCACTCGCGCTTTCCGATCGCGTTTTCAACAATAACAATAACGCGTCGCATTTACAAAACAAACAAGCACTAACATTTTCTTTCATCAATAGTTCTCAAACAAGTCCACCCAGATACTGGTATTTCCAACCGAGCTATGTCTATCTTGAACTCTTTCGTCAACGATATCTTCGAGCGCGTCGCTACCGAGGCTTCCAAGCTCGCAGCTTACAACAAGAAGAGCACCATCTCATCAAGAGAGATACAAACCTCGTATGTGCCAATCCAATTTCATCGCCTTTCCTTTCTTCCATTTCTAACATTTCGCAGCGTTCGTCTCATTCTTCCCGGTGAACTCGCAAAGCACGCCGTTTCCGAGGGTACCAAGGCTGTCACCAAGTACTCTTCATCCACGAAATAAGTTGTCTTTTCTTTGGGGTTTTAGGGGAATATCGGATATGCTTAAGCTCTGGATCATCTGACAGATGATGGCTGTTGTTGTCCGAGGACCTTGGGGTTTTCTTTTTAATGCGTTATGGAAGGTCTGATTTTTATGGGGGCAAATGTCTTCACGGTCTGTTTTCGGGGTACGTGGCTGTACAATAAACAAACGTCTTCACATCAGAATAGGGAATTAGAAGACGAAATTCAAACATGAACTTAATTCACCATATCCCCTCGCTCCAATAAAACGCGACAGATATACAGTTTCTACTAGGAGTAGTGATGCGATGGAAATCATTTCATAGGAAGCTGAAATTTGCCACCAGTCGTTCTCTATTAATTCCACAAAAGCTAAACTTAGCCTGCGACGCGCCTTGAACTTCTGAGGCAAAATACACGCCCGGCTATTTTCGGAAATCCCCTTTTGGTAATTGCACAATCTTTATCCCAGACCAGCTTTAGTCGTTTTTACAACATGAGAAACTGGCTGAAGAATGCCCTTATTATCGAGAGCACCAAGAGCGGTGCCAGCACTCCAGCCCATCTTCTCCAGCATCGCTCTTCCTTTGTTCCCGACGCCCAGCTCAGGAGCTGAGGCACCGACTATATCACCGTCACGATAACTCGCTGCACCAAAACCTCCACCGGAGCCGCCACCACCACCACCACCAGCTCGACCACCACGCCTGGATCCGTTACCTGATCTTCTCCCTACATCATTACGAGGAAGAAAACGCCGGGAAAGTTTCGATGCTGCAGCCTCGTAGGCACGCTCTCCATAAGCGATTGTTCTTGAAGTGCGGTACAAGATAGGATAACGCTTGTTGCCCAAGCCGGCTGACTTGGACTTTAATTTGAAGACATTGGCGATCTCGTGAACGAATTTACGATCGGCTTTGTCCATTGCAGGGAGAGAAAGCCTGTCTTATGTTAGCATGTAAAATATGAGAAATGGAAAGGGTACTGACGTAGTATTATCACCCTTCAAGAATTTCTTGATTTCTTCCTTGACATCATCAATACTCATTCCTTCCTTGTACTTTGCTTTCATATCGGGCTTGCCATGTTTGCCCGTCAGTAATCCTTGTGCACGTAGTATTTCACGTTCCTGTTTTCTCTCCTTCTTCTTGGCACGATCATTGTCCCATGCTGATTGCATTGAGGCCTCGAGCTCTGAATCCGAGATGTCATCAAGAATCAATTTGCCTTTGCGACCTTTAGGCTTCTTTTTGAGACTCGGCCGATCAAAGTCCATTACATCAAATCCATCATAAGCATCGGCCAATGGAGCTGCTGGCGGAAATTCATCTTGGCGACGGCGTCTTTCCTTTCTACCTCTTCTGCCTGACAGTATAAAGCCACTGAGATCAATTGCGGGAGCTTCGATTTCTTCATCCTCATCATGAACTTCATCATCGAACAGTAAAATTTCATCTCCACCCATACCAAGCTCCTCCTGCTTAGCTATCAGCCTCGCAATCTGCTCGTCGTTCATTCTGTCGATCCTCCTCTGAACTAGATCCTGCTCGTCATCATCCTCATCACCAATATCACCGGAGTCGTCACTGTCTTCATCTCCATTACTTTCAAATTCGGCGATCAACTTCTCTTCAGCTTCAAATGCTTCGATGAGCGGGAGCGCGTTGGAGTCTTGCAACACATGCAGCGGAACCCATCTGGCTTCGTCTACATCCTGATGTTCCCAGACAATTAAGTACTGCAAACCGCTAACACGACTCCTTTTGGACAAAACAGTCTGGACTTTGCCTCGAGCCTCATCTGACGTACTCAGATCATCAAGGTCCTGTAGCTCCGCACGACTCCATCCATGCCGTTCATTTTGATCAGAATCCTGAGTTTCTTCTGCAGAGGAGTAATCTTGCCAAGCAGCGTCTTCATCACCCCCCAATTCGCGTCTGTTGAAAGTCTGGTTAGCATCATCTATGCTTTGTTGCTGGTCCATGTTTGCGATGTAATCTGCAATCATGGCATCTTCTTCATCACTATGATTTGCCCTTCCAGTTACTTGCTGACCTCGTCTAGCGCGACCTTGATGGCGACCTTTATTTTGACGCTTGGGTAGAATTGCTTCAAAGTTAGGAGAAGGCGAATTGGCCCACTGATATGGCGTCATCCCCAGAAACGTCTCTTTATTCAAAGCCTCTGCTAGCTCGGGTGGAATGGATTCTAAGGATGCCTCTTTTTCATCCAACGTTTCTTCTAGCAGTTTATGTTGCTCAAGAAGTTTGTCTTCCACCATCTTAATCCTAGCATCTATTGGGTCCGCGTATTCTGGGACGTCGTGTCTGATTCTGATATCTCCTTTCCCTGATTGACTACGTCCGTGAAAGAGTATGACTTCTTCGCTCGAGTCCGACCGAGCGGGTGAGATCGAACGTAAACGCGGAGGTGCAAGACCAGTTTTAACGGGCTTGCTGCCATCGGTATCTATCATGAACAACGAAGACGATGCAGCCATAGGCTTTTCCTGATCTGCCATTTGTACATCCTGAGCCAAGATTTCTTCAGATAGTTCTGCAGACTCCAAGGTCATTCCAGCCAATGCTTCCTCAGAATCTTGGATGAGATCGGTTGGTTTGAACTCTCCAGCACTGACAAAGCTCACTTTTGTATCCCTCAACCTTTGATCAGAGTTCCAGAATGAATGATGACGTTCCGTGTTGCGCGCTTCCTCTTGAAGTGTGAAGCCTGTGATATGCCGATCTTGTTAGTCTTAATCGACATGCTGCAGCGGAAGCAACTGCATATAGTTGCACGAGGAATGTGTGAACATTACCAGTATGAGGCCTCTGCGGAACATATGCGCCAGCAAATGGTATAAAAGAGGTTCCAGGATTGGGAGTTCCGCGGCCACCTCTGGGGGGAGTGAAATTGCCCCTTCCACGAGTGCCACCTCGTTTGTTTCGTGGCATAGCTTGTGCTTTACGATGAGATGGAGAAAAGATTCACAGTTTGAGGGAGAGAATTTGATGTACAGATGCATAGGATCAAGCATCAATGTTGGATACTGCCAAATAAGAGAAGACGAAGGAAGATTTGGCATAGAAGTATATTCATTTGGTGGGTCTAGTATAGGTAACCAAATAAATTACTCTTACACTTAGTTAGTTAATAACCTTAATACAGATCAAGCAAAAGCAAGGTACGTGCGGGTATTTTTTTCACCAAGGCCAGGAGTCAGAGTGCTTAGCGTAAAACAGATCCTTATCGATAACAAAGAGGAATTACCAGGGCGGAGGGCGGAGGCGGGTCAAGTACATATCAGCTAATCAGTCATCAAATCATCACTGAATTGATTGACATTAAAAGGTAGAATTAATGAAGAACCGATTAAAGAACATTAATTACATGAGGTGATTGACTATATTATATCCTTAACCATATAGGTGCTCATATTTATATTTATACTTATATCTGTATTTATTTATATTTTTATATGTATTCTTTTTTCTCTCCCTCCGCTTTTCCCGTATATGCACTTCCCAAGCGAATCTGACAATCAGACATACGGTATCAGACATATCAGACAATTAGCTACTAAACTGAGCTAGGTACCTATCACATCCATCCATCAGCTGCCTGCAGGGCAACCCATTCAAACTCCCCAACTCCAGACTTTCAAAAACAACAACTTCTTCTGATATATTTCTCAACTTGTTGGAGTTTACATTTATTGTATCATCCCAGCCATAACTTACCCAATACTCGACAGTCTTATGTGCATTCGACACAACCTATACACGAACCATTGTCGCATCCAGCCATGACGACTGTTGATATAGGCCGTTACAAACGCCTCGTCCAGTATTTCTGGGATCCCGAACCTACAAACAATATCGCATCGAAGTCACCTATTTGGTGTTTAGGTGAAGAATATCTTGTTTCAGACAAGTCATCCACCTCAGCTGTTACAGAATCTCCTCCCCAAGAAGGAGGATATCTAATCGCACAATCTTTATCCACGACAGAAACTACAACTCCACCAGACAGTACCGTCGGCAGCCTTGAATCAAGCTCAGAATACGATAATTGCGATACAGCTAGCACAGATGGAGGATGGCCAACCGCATTTCTTGACGATTTCGAAGCCAAGATATGGCTCACATATCGATCCAACTTTCCAGCCATAGCTAAGTCGCAAGACCCGAAAGCCCTTTCTGCCATGTCGCTATCAGTACGCTTGAGAAGTCAGCTTGTTGATCAAGGAGGCTTTACTTCTGACACGGGGTGGGGTTGTATGATAAGGTCCGGACAGAGCCTGTTGGCGAATGCGTTACTTACTTTGAGGATGGGCAGAGGTTCGCCTCCTTTATGTTATCTTGTTTTATATCCAGGCTAACCATGACGTAGAATGGCGTCGGGGCTCATCTAGTAACGAAGAACGCAAGATTTTATCTTTATTTGCCGACGATCCCAGAGCTCCGTACTCGATTCACAAATTTGTTGAGCATGGTGCAAGCGCTTGTGGGAAGCACCCCGGAGAGTGGTTTGGACCATCTGCTACTGCTCGCTGTATACAGTAAGAACACCATCTTGGAGAAATCTGAATGGTAGCTAATCATTTACAGGGCGTTGACCAACAGCCAAGTTGAGTCGGAGCTACGGGTGTATATCACTGGCGATGGATCGGACGTGTACGAAGATACCTTCATGAGTATTGCAAAGCCAAACAGCACAAAGTTCACGCCGACTCTCATCTTAGTTGGTACAAGGCTGGGCCTTGACAAGATAACTCCTGTCTACTGGGAGGCGCTGAAATCCTCCTTACAGATGCCTCAGTCTGTGGGAATAGCTGGGTAAGCCGCCTTCGTTTATGAATGATTATGTACTAATTTGGTGCAGGGGCCGCCCGTCCTCCTCGCACTACTTCATTGGTGTACAGGAGTCAGATTTTTTTTATCTGGATCCTCACCAAACTCGACCAGCACTGCCATTTAAAGATAATGTAGAGGACTACACTCTTGAGGATATTGACTCATGCCATACACGCCGACTTCGACGACTTCACATAAAGGAGATGGACCCTAGCATGCTTATTGCATTCTTGATACGCGACGAGGACGACTGGAAAGACTGGCGACGGGCCGTCAGGGAGGTTCAAGGTAAGGGAGTTATTCATGTTGCAGATAGGGATCCGGCATTGCATGGTCTTGGCGCGGAGCGGGACGGGGCCATTGATGAGGTTGAGACATTCGACGACGACGATGATGATACCGTATTAAATGGTTAAGGCACCGAGGAATAATCTATCAGGGGCGTTTAGGCGTATCAGGTTTTCAGGGTAGCGGGACTCTATAGAAACCATGCTTAATTCATTCTCATGTCAAAGCACAATCCTGATTGGTGTCAATGTTGTCGATGTTACTATCTATCCATTTTTACTTATCGTACTGTTCAACACTTTCCTACCATCCCATTTCAATCCAACCCTTAAACATATTCCCAGATTGATATCAGCTATCGAGGTTGGGAGTAGTCACGATGTAAAATGATGCATTTTTGAAAGGCGATATCCATGTTTTGCCCAGGCGCGTATCTATGGACATGGACGACATCACAAACATCACTCCTGGGCTCTGAAGTTCGAACATGACCTCTAAACAACACCAAACAAATTAATTCTGAAGAAGCACGACCCGTCTTCAAACTAAATTTTTGTATTAATCTTAAGTCTGGCTTATGAAAGTTGGAATGCTTGGAAATAACCACAATGCAAAACGACTTGAGTTAGTGTATAGTTTTTGATGAGTAGGGTCATTAAATTTTGTGCCCTGAGTAATACCATCCTTCTCTAAAACGCCTCGATGTACGAATAAGGGTATAAAGCTACCATAAACCACACTCAATGCTCCAAAATTCATTTAGCCACTCACACTCTATTTTCTCTTTTTTGAGTTGCCAGCTTTCTGTACAGGTTGGGCATGGCCGAACTCTTTGACGTGGTTGAAGAGCTTGCTTTTTGAGGGGAACGACTCATGACATGAGACATCCGCACATTTAAACTGGAAGTCTATCAGCATCAACCGATGATTGAAAGGAGGCAACTCACGCTTTGCCCCTGCTGCTCGGAAGCCTCTTTTTGAGCAGCTTTTTTGGCACGTTTGGCTTTCGCTTTTCCGAGAGGTTTTTTAGGAGTTGTATTGCTAGAAGCATCTGGTGCTTTATCTCTATTTGACTTTTGATCACGATTTGACTCCTCGGATCTAATAGAGATTTCATCCACTGACATTTCTCCTGCTAACCTTTCCTCAACTGCTGTTCTGGGTGCGTAATCATCATCTAGACTTTCAATATCGGAATCATCGTTGGCTGGATCATTCGGTTTGCTGAAAGCCGATTCATTGTTGTATGACGGAGCTTCCACTTCCTCAACATCTGTTTCATCGTCAACAGTAGACTCACGCTTTGCATTGCCTGAAGTAATTTCAAGCCTTTCGATTTCAAAAGTGCTATTTCCTCGTTCTGGTGGTGTATCTAAATGCAGAGATTTATTTTCTTTGCGCATTTGCTTCTTGATAGCATGTACAGCTTTGATATGCTTTTTACTCTTTGTATGCGCCTCGAATTGGTTCTCGCTTTTGAATGTTTTGTTACAAACAATGCACTCTAATACTTCAACCTCAGACTCTTCGGATGATTCTTCGATGACTTCTTCAGTATCTTCCGGTTTCGCCCATTCTGGAACCACATGATTATTCATCCTGGCCTGATTTGCAGCTCGTTGACGGGCTGCTTGGGCTGAAGCAGCATCACGCAATATTTTCTGTCTCTCTGCCTGCGTTTGTGAATTCGGAGTGAAGCGGGGGTCTCTCTTGCGCACAAACAAGACAAGGTGTCTGACAGCATCATTGAACTCTGCTTTGGCCTCATCCCGGGCTTTTCTATTCTCCTTCTCTATCAATCGACGAGTTGCCCTATCCGGCGCATCGGAGGTCCGATACAGATCTTTCCACGAGAATGACTTTTGTGTGGTAAAGTTCGCCCAGGTTCTGTAAAAGTCTTTGACTACGTCCTCGTAGTTATCCTCGGCTGTCCCAAAATCAGGATAATCGACGATTTCAAGGCCATCCCAAGCGCATGCAGCATTCTCCTCTCTCCCAAGGGACGCAAATGTCTCTCGAAGTATGCCAAAGAATCCGTTTGCAGCATCGGTGAATGGAACGGTGGAATCAAATTTCCCAATCAAGTTTACGATATGTGCCGCGCTTGTCATTCGAATATTTTCTGCAAAATCGTCTTCCGCAGGATCACCACCTCCTAGTATTGATAACCGGTGAGAGTCATACCAGGCCCTTTCTTGGGGATCCGATAAGACTTCGTAGGCAGACTGAACTTCGGCAAACTTTGCGGTGGCGGTTTCGACGTTACCATAATTTCGATCGGGATGAAGTTCCAGCGCCTTCTTTCTGTAGGCCTTCTTGATCCTAAAGCCGGTAAATTAATCTTGTGATAATTTTGTGAAGTTATATTCAAATTCTTACTCATCATCCGAAGCCTGTCGTTCGACGCCCAATAATTCATAGTAACATGTTTTCATGACTATCCCGCCATTACTTTGTGCATCTCTCCCCGGGGAAGATTGTTCTGCACCCATTGGGTTAGATGTAGATATACCAATTTGTTGTGTTGTGGATAATTATCAAATACTGGGAAATGAATTATGAACGTGTCTGGATGTATCTTTGAATGTACATCTGCTAATGGTCACTGGTTCACCTAGGTAGTTACATATGTAAGTGTACTCGAGTACTCTGTATATAAGAAAGGAGACAATATATTTCTTTTTAGTCAACCCCGCGATGGGAATTGCGCCAAAGTGCCGTCTTACATAAGCAACCTGCTATGAATTCTAGAATTGACCGTCCGTTAGTTCAACTTCAACAGTTGGTTGCGAGTAGTTGCGATTTCCACGACTAGTGACTAATTGGTAAGTAGATGAGTACTTACTATGGTATGGGTTAGATGGCACGTGGCTAGAAAGTGCGAGACAGTTGGCCTAACTCCTAGCTCGTACTCATAACTCATTCGAGGAAAATAGCGGTATTCTCTATTATTGAAAAGGATTTCCCTACCTAGTATTATTGGTGTGAAGAGAGCGACCTTGAGGATAACACGAGCAGAGCAGCAAGATCTTACATCCACAATCGTACTTGCCATATTGAGCCTAACACCGCACATACTAGCTGTATCACCTACTACGGAGTACACAACTCAAGAACCTTTCCACGTGCTTTCCCTTCTCATCTGATCCACAAACAGATACCGCTACACAACTTTTAATCACCGGGATAATTGACTTTTTCTTTTGCCTTGCTATAATTGGTCATCCACTAGTAGTAGGTAGGTAAGCAAAACTTTTGAGAGAGTACTGCCAGCTGCCTTGTGTATACGGTACGGAGTAGGAACGAGAACTCGAGATTCGAGAGTGGCCGAAATGGGCAAAGAAGAAAAACATCCATCACAGAGGTTTACGTTAACCTTATCAGATTATTATTGACAAGTCACACTGAATGAGGCTAAGCTTCATATTGGCTCATTTACTTACTACCTAATACCTATTTATTAACACGCCGCGAAAATTGTTGCTCCATAGGTTAACCTTAATTATTAAGAATAACATTCTCATCGTTATAGCTTCCTTTTGCCCTTTTCCAAACAATGCCACTTGAATCTTTCACTCTAATAGCCTTATAGCAGACAAAGCCAAAAAGGTTACAGAAGCAATACATTAATTACCGTTTGTTGAACTGCATCTATTCATCATGAAATTTGCCAAGGAATTCAAAGATGCCCTTGCCAGAGAAGGCTTTCCGCCACGCTGGGTAGATTCTGCCATTCCTTATGGTTTGCTCAAGAAGTCTCTTAAAAAGGTTGGTCGGAAATTCACCATGAGAAGCAAAAGCTAAAGTATCTCTAGATTGCGACTGAGCTAGCAGAGTGCGGCCTTGATCCCGCCGCGCTTGCTAAGTTGAGAGAGATTTCTAGTACTGGGCCCGCTTACTTGTATGACTTCAAGGGTATGACCAACCTTCCACGTCGATGTCGTTTTTGTTAGAGATATTGATTGAAAAAGGGTCAAAGGTCCGGCCCACCCTCATTTTACGGCTGGAACAAGGAGTCACCGTTGATGCCAGGCTGTCGGCCGACACGAGAAGATATCTTGAGGATCTCGTAAATCACCATCAGGATCTTTCCAGTGTGGCACTAATCGATCCTATCAGTGATGGAAGTAGACAAATCATACCTGTGTAAGTGTATCCTTACGACAGTCCCGTTTGACGGCTGCTGATATGACGTGTAGAGAGCCACCGGCAGAAAAAGAGGTAGAGCAACCCCTTGTCCGGGAAGTCGAGGTGCCTCTCACCTTTGATGCAGAATTCTTCGGTCTTCTACAGGGAGATGTCCACAACCTAGATGCTCTCCAAGATGAGGAACAGAAGGCTCTGGTAGCTGAGGTTGGTGGCCTTTCAAAAGAGCTGGTCAAGCTCAGCGAACCTTCAAGGTTCAAAAAGACCGACCAGTATCGATGGAGAGAATTGTTTGATGTTTACTTACAAGCGGGAATCTTCTTTTCAGATCTTGAAAAGGACCACGGCAAGCGTGATAGTGCAGCTGCGTTAAAGCGGTTACAGTGAGTACGCATATTTCCGTAAGTACGCGGCCCACTGACTGGATGCGCTCTTTTCAGGTGGTTTCAAAGCGAAGTAGTCAAGAGAGGCATCGTAGATACATTCAAACTCTCCCCTAGCCGTAAAGCATGTACGTATCTTGAATTCTGGCATTTTCTAAACGAAGATTCCTGACCTCCCTAGTGAATCAGTTCATAAGCATCAACGTTACGCTACTTCGAAATCTCCAGTTTCAGGAGATCAACCAGAAAGCCATTGCTAAGATATTGAAAAGTAAGTTAGTCCTATGCTTGTCAAGTTTCTCCTGGCTGGGGAAACGCTTCTTCTATACCTCAACATCTCCCCAAATTATAACTAATACAAGTAGAATTTGACAAAAGAACAACACTGGGTGCCAGGCAAACATTTCCCAGACTGATCCAATCCGATGTTATTATGACGGAAACAATGGCAAGATCGGTATGCGCCCAGATGACGCAGGACCTTGTTCAGATAGTACCTCAGCTAAGTGATTATACTTGTCCCGTCTGTCTTGCAATAGTATGGCGGCCAATAAGAATGGAATGCAACCACGTGTTGTGTGTTCGATGTACGGTATTTATGCAGCGGCGTGGGACCGGTGCCTGCCCGTTATGCCGGGATGATGTTATTTTAAAGGCCGATCAAGGTAGGTTAAAGATATGTGGGATTGGACAAAGTGGAATACTCCTCAACTGATGCGCATAGATAACATCGACGAAAAACTCTCCAAGTTTCTTCTGAGGAATTTTCCCAAAGAGACGAAGGAAAAACAAATTGAGCATGAAACCATAGATGGCAGGGAGAGGTTTGGTATTTACTATACTCACCCTTCAGAACAAACTCCTCTGCAGAGATATTGCGCCGTCATGTGAAAGAAGCGGTGGGAGAAGTAGTTCCAGCAATTTGTCCCCTTGAGCGGGAGTAGGAATGTTCTAGACAAGAACTCACGGCGTTTTTTCTTCTCCATGATATCCAATGGTGGCGATGGAATGATTACTATCAGCTTTTTCTCGAATAAATGAAATAATACAGAACAATTGTTTTACCACTCTTTCCACATTTTCAGAATCTAACAAATAGCCCGGTCGTACCAACATGAGTTATTGTTACAATACAATCTCAATGTACGAAGAAATGACCAAGAATTTCTCAATTTTCACAATGTAATCCTAGTAGGAGTTGTATACTAGATAGAAAGTAATAGTTGTACACGACTTAAAAAACTGATCGGTATGGTGGTAGCTGGATCACGTTATGTAGCTGTATATATAGCTGTAGCGACTCTCCTGCGATATGGTATAGTGGGCTGTTCTGCTATGGCGGGGTAGTTCTGACAGCGGGTGGAGCTGGTGAGGTTCTCTGATTAGTAAAGTATTACAGAATGTACCAAGTAGGCTAGGCCAGTTAGGTTAACAGCTAGCACGAGTAGTACTGTAGTTCTAATAGCACGAGCAGGTATGATGTACAAATCTTTGGTAGGCGATACCACAATAAAATTCGATATCAATTTAATTACTCGAGTAGCTTAATTATCCATAATACTGCAAATGGACGAAAAGATCGTATTATCTGACTTCTTATTATCATTCGAGCGACATTTTCCCAGTATGGCTGCTTTTCTTCTGAGCAGATAGGCTCTGTGGAATGATATATGTTTAATCTCGTCGCAAGTAGGTAGGGAGAGTAGAGAAAATAAATACTCTAATGATTTGCCATCCGAACCATTTCGCGCCAGTACTACGTAGTCAAATCTTCCAAATCCCGAACTCAAGGACAACCATTCATCATTTGAAGCCACATAATTCAGATCTAAGATTTGAATTCCCAGAACACCACTTCGACCGCTCTGCTATCTCATTACCGCGATGGCTCCCGACCATGTCGATATCGTAAGCCGAGATTTTGGTTTTGACATTCTCCCCGATGAGATTGTGCAACAAATACTTTACTACAGCTCCCCGCACGACACTCTCTCGAATATTCAACTACTTTCAAAGCGATTCAACCGTTTGGGAAATGAGCCATTACTTTGGCGGCACCACTGTCGCGTACACTTCAAGTACTGGGATGCGACACATTCTTTCCTTCAAAAGCTTGCCGGCATTGTGGGAGATGTGGACTGGAAAAGCTTATATATGCATCGGAGGAACGTAGACCTAAAAACGACACAGGCTTTAAATCGTCTTCTCGAAAGTCGGGCCAACCGTATCGTGAACTTTGAAGAAATTGGAGGCTTTGGTTATGATGCAAAAGACACGCTTTTGCGACACTGTCGCTCCCGTGGCAATGACCATCTTGCCAGAAAGTAAGCTATTTGATCCGCAAAATAGTTTCTTCTCTAATATATATATATAGACACTATGCTTGTGCAGTGCTTGACTTTATTCATCGCTCAAAGGCTCTCGCAGTTTGGTCGAAGCTTGCGGCGGGCGAGGAGGTACCTATTGAAGCAGCATTGGGGGCGCATGATATGTTTATCTTACACGACAACGTCGGGGACCTGCAGGAAGTATGGTTTTTCTTTCTATATCACTACTTTAAGTAGGATTTTAGCTAATATATTTGCATAGATCTCTGATATTCTCGACGACCTTGCAACCCGCATACGAGCTGACTACCCCAAATTTGACTATATGTCCACCCGACAACAAGCCCTCGCAGTGGTTAAGTTTCTGCGGGCACGTAACCTTTTAGGACTCAATTCCGAACTCAACTACCGCGATTTACAAAATAACTATATTGGTTTGGCGCTGCAGGAGCCAGAACATCCTTCCCTACCACTGGTTTCTGTTGCAATATTTTGTGCGGTAGCCCGGAGAATCGGGCTTGATGCTAAGGTCTGTGGTATGCCGAGTCACGTATATGCTATGGTTTTCCCAAAGCCTTTCATAGACCTCGATGACAAGCCAGTGAAACAGAAGGATAGTGCCGTGGAACCTATGTATCTAGACCCATACCGTTCAACCTCAGAGATTCCTGTGGAAAATCTTCTGCGAATGTGGACAGCTTGGGGTGTCCGAGGAGTATCGTTTGCCGAATTTGTCGCAGATTCCTCTGCTACAAGCAATATCGTGCTCCGTACGACTAGAAATATAGTTACAACGATTCGAGAGTATCCTTACACACAAAACCGTCCCGCACAAGACCCATCCTTCGTGACTACCAGATTACAAAGTGTACCGTTAGTGGAAATGGATCATGCAATATACTCAGTCACTTGGGCAAGCTTTCTTTTAACCCCGACACCGGCACCCCCTAGTCACGATCAACATCAATTGGTACCCATGCTGATGTCCAAATTCGAAAAATCATTTCCGGAGGACGTTGCTCTTATCGAAAGATACATACTCTCATCATACAATAGCTCCACCACAGAACACTCTGAACTAGCCGAGGAATTAAGGGTGATCCGTGCCGTAGACTCGACCCCAAGGCAAGTGCGGACTCGCAGCAAATCTAATGGGACGGATCGGGTAAAATTTAGGATCGGGCAAGTATTCCGCCACCAAAGATATGGTTACACAGCAGCGATAATTGGTTGGGATGTCGGGTGCCACATGGGCTCCAATTGGATAGCCCAGCATCAAATTGATTTCTACCCAGGAGGTAGGAACCAAAGCTTCTATCACGTACTGTAAGTATCCACAATATGCACTTTGAACAGTGGAAGCGCTTACAAGCATAACAGCGTAGAAGATGCCAGCATACGTTATGTGGCCGAGGACAATATAGATATTGTTGAGCAGCCCGACGTAACATCGTTGATGATTGTGGCAGGGCAATATTTCAAGCGATATGATCAGGAGAATGGTCAGTTCATTGCGAATTTCAGGGACGAGTATCCTGACGACTAGCGTTGGTATGTACATATATTATTACAATTCGATCTTTTGAAACCGGGAATAAGAAGCGTGTTCTAATGCCCACTTTATGTCGACTGAACTTCTTCCATTATCTCTTTTAGGAGGCCTTTATCAGCTAGACTTCTTAACGTGCGATAGACCGTTGGCGTGTGATCTTCCTTCCGTCTTCCTGCCTGCTCATTCTCGTCATTGATCGATGACAGTTCGTCTCTATAAGCGATGCGCAGTGCCTTTTGCTCGGCAACCCACTGCTGATGCAACTTGACAAGGGCGCTCTCATCTGTACTTCCTCGCTCGAGTATGTTGCATGTGCTCAAAGGAAGTACTATGTCTTGAAGTAGCTTGTCTGTAACGCCAAATTCCTCTGAAGGTCCCCTAATTAGTCCCGCAACGTCGGTCTGAGTGAAGCTATTCGAGTCGGGGGTTTGCTGTGGCAGCAAAGCTTCGACAAGCTTGATCGCTTGGATATTTTGGGCCAGTTCTAATGGAATGGTGCGGAGGGGACTTCCACACAAGGATAAAAGATTAAATTGCAATTCATCACCGTACTCGCCAATATGTTGATAGATATTGGCACGGGCAACGGAAATCCAGTCATTATCAAACTGCCCTTTGCATTGTTAGCGTTGTTCGACCAATGGTTATTTCTTTTACATACCTAAGCTGACGGGTTGACGCTGCAAGCCATCAAGTCTCCAGACAACGCCCTTCACTGGAACAAATGCAATAAAATGAAAACCCGACTCATCATCTGACCTGGACTTGATCTTTCCAGATTTCTTTTTCGTTTTCCTCTTTTTCTCCCAAGCGGAAACCTCATTCGAAAGAGCGAGATCCGCGTTTAAAATATCCATTCTTCGGGCAAATGAATTATGGATATTTCTGATGTATTCGTTTTGGCTTAGTTTCTGGCCGCGGTATGCTGGCTTGAGAAATTTGGTATCGTTCTTGAAATTGGTGACACTGTTTCCGAGATCAAGCTCTGGGACATTCATAACAATGTTCAGAAGAGCAATAGTAGCACAGGCGTTGTCTGTAGTCTGAGTCCTGTTAGTCAATTCCTAAGTGAAATCTTGGGATTTTCCTCACTTGATTGGCAAACCAGATGTGGTTCGGACACTTTGGGAGTTCTTCTTCATCCTCCAGGTCATCATCTATGTATTTAAACAGAAATACTAGTCCGTACACTGGTTTCCTTGAGAAGCATCAGTACGGATTTCAAGCATCTGAGGGTAAATCTCATACGGTAGATATTGTAACATTTCATCCTCTAAACCTAGAACCTCCTGGACCTTGACGTCCTTGACACCGTACTCTCGTAAGATGAAGTTGAAAAGTGCCTTGTGAAGAAAGTGTGTTAATTAACGAAGGTCAATATCTGACAAGCAACTTACTGGATCACTTTCCAGCTCACACCACCCTTTCCAGGCCTTGCGTTCGTCATCCGTCAGGGGCTTTAATGCATCATCGATGATCTCAGCCTCCGATCTCTTGATCCTTTGGGCGGAACGTTTGGGACGACCTATCGCGGAGCTCATTGAAATCTGTTCACTTTGTACTCCTTGTGCCCCCGTACCATTCTCACGCAGATCTGTAGAGACTCCGCTTGGAGACTCAGACCTCCTTTGATTCCTCAAGGAGCGTTTCCTTTGCTCAAAATCCGAAACTACAGATTGTAACGAATGATCCTCCGACATCGAAGGCGCATCCATTGTTTGCTTGCTTTAATAGTGAAATCTTGACATGGGAAAGTAGACAAAAATTGAATTATCTAATTTCCAAGCTTCGGGTCAAGCCTTTGGACCACAGAAACATAAGAGGAGGAAGTTCAAAATGGCAAGTAGTGGTGGCCGAAAGTGAGGGTATGGGTATGGGTCAAAGATAATAACAAGTGATTTATAGGTAACCTTAGTTGAGGAGTAAAAGGAGATAGATAAGTGTATGTTGTGTATGTTGTATATGTATGGAGTAGGTAGCAGGTAGCAGGTAGCAGTATGATTAGGAACAACAAGAAAGTCATGGAAATGGAAGCCTTTCTTGGAACTAATTAATGATGATTGATGAATCGTTTGATTTTATAGAAACATCCACTCATCTTTTTATGTCACTGTCACTATACCTTGTTCAGCACAACAGAGCAGACTACAGTGACGAGTAAAGAGTAAAGAGTAAAGAGTAAAGAGTAAAGAGTAAAGAGTAAAAGGATAAAGTATTTGGTATTTGGTATTTGGTATTTGCTCGGTATTCATTCACCAGATTCTATGGAGGTGGTAATAACAATGGTACACCAGTAACACCGAAAGGGGTCCAAGCTTTTTGAATGCTGGCTTTCCAGGTGGAAACAACGAAAATCAAAAATTCATCAAATGAAGAAAAAAACCCCAGAAAAATAAATAAAAAAGAGACGCGTCCTCCAAGGAACTGCGCTGCACCCGCGACTTATTAAATATTATAAATATTAAGGTCAAGACAACACTGGCAAAACTGGTACCTCAAAACTTTGACCTCTTGCTCTGAAGCTTTGAACTTTCAATCTTTGAGCTGAAAAGTACCTTCCTTACCAAGGTATTCATTCATTCACTTAATACACAACCACAACAACCCATACCTTTCTGATCGATTGATCGATTGATCTATTGATTAATTCCTTAATTGATCCATCTCCATTTGATTTTTCTTTTATTTACTATCCTTTTGGCTCAAGTATCTAGGGCCCCATTTGCGAATAGCGAATAGCTTGCCCGCTCATTTATTTTAAACACCACACACACTATCCACGACATTTAACTTCACGCATATTTGGCTGGCCTCGAACCACTTTCGTCAGGATTTAAAGTATGAATTGATTATAGACTCTCTACAAGATGAACGGAACCCCGAGAATGCGTTCTGGCTTTCCGTCTACTCCGGGCAGTGGCCCAGGCCAAAGAAATCCAACAGGGCGAGTGACATCCCCGTTACGGGATCTTCCCACGGCTTCACCTGCTGCCACAGAATCCGATGCGCCATTAATACCCGTCGAACTTATCGATGCTCCTAGTCAGCGCATGTATGTTACAGGATTATATGGCTTGCTGCTGGTATGGCGTTTGTATGATTGGTGGCAGTTGATAGAGGATGAATCTGAGTCCTTTCCATTGTTCATGAAATGGGTAATGCTGGACGCCTTATTTCTATACTGGGTACCGAAACTCCGCATACCATGGCTGGAGTGGTCACAATCGACATCCCATGTAGCTTTTGGGCTACATGCCATCTTTGATTTCGTGTTGATGTTCAGAATTGGAGTAAGTGGTTCCTGAAGCAGCTTTGGGGACAGTACAGCTAATTATGTGAAGCTTCCTCTCCAAGGATGGATTCTACTTCTCACAAAGACCTTTTTTGACAGTGAGCTCTCCATTTCGGAGAACAGTGTGCGACCTGCCGCCATTTTGCACAACTCATCTTTGATTATGGGTCGACAAATTATCAATATATTGCCAGAAGGGTTTGTTCCAACCAAAACTGCATATCTCCACAGCATGCCGTGCTAATACTAATCTTTAACAGATCTGCAACATTGAACCCTGATGGTCTTCCATTCTGTTTAGACAGTAGTCGCCCTACCGTCAAGCTCCCCATGTACTTCAACCAGACGAAACCTGTACACATTGAACTACTGCGCTTTGACTTTGATACAAATGCAAACGAAACGATTGAGTTGAAGAAAAGGGACATGAAGAACTTTCGAAGGATGGAGGATGAGCCCAATGTTTACACTCTCGACTATACTGTGAAGAAACCCGGATTATACAGACTTCACAAGATTGTAGATCAGTCGAAGCTCGAAGTACAGCGAAGAATGTCCGACACACTTGTTGTGAAATGTCCCAAAGCGGTCATCAGGTCCACGAGTTCGGACAAGTGTCTAGGAGACCTTTCTGACCTTTCCATCGAACTTGAGGGAACGGCCCCATTAAAGATTGTGTATGGACGTACTATCAACGACAAAGATCGCAGTTTCCACTTCCAAAGCAACCAACCTGAGAATTTTGTTTCGCCGCTTTCGGGTGCAACTCGGCCTAGCACATTACTTTCTTCGGGGAACCTGGATGTTTCATGGGGGCAGGCAAGAAAAGTCATTATCCCATTAAATGAATCCATGACCCCAAGCGGGTTGTGGTTATACTCAATCAACGAGATTCACGACGCTACCGGAAATGTTGCAAATTTCACGCTTGTTGGTGAAGATGGGGAGCTCATCTATCCTAAAAATTCACACATGGAGCAGAGTCTCATAGTCCATGAGAGGCCTCTTGCAAGGCTCACGGGCTGTGATTCTAGGAGTCCGATAATGGTTGCGAATGGCCAGACAACAGAGCTTCCAGTTGAATATGCATCGCCTGGCCGAACACCAGATGATACCTCTCACACCTTGACGTACAAGTTCTCGCCTCTTGACACCTTGACTCCTGCGGGCGACCATGGTACTGAGGTGATTTTCGAGGAATATTCTGCACGCCATGCCCATCAATCGCCAATTATTCGCGAACCAGGTCTTTATACCCTCGTTGGTGTCAAAAGCAAATTCTGTGAAGGTGAAGTTAGAGAGCCTGCTTCTTGCTTGCTCCTCAATCCACCTGAGCCGCAGCTATCTATAAATGCTGAGAATATCAACGATAAATGTGCTGGCAACTCCATAGGGCTACTCGTTGATCTTGATCTAATTGGTACCCCACCATTCGTCGTAAGATACAACATAATTACAAAGAGCGGTCTTAAGCATGAATCAGTGAAAGTATCTGGCTTACGGCACCAACTAGAGCTTAAACCCCGTGACGCAGGCCATTTCAAATACCAGTTCACCTCTGTGGATGACGCTGTTTACAAGAACCACAAATTGAATAGCAATGATCTAGTTCTGGAACAGGATGTCAAGCCACCAGCTTCAGCTTATCTTAGACGACCGGCCGGTAATATCGACGCTTGTATTGAGGAGCCCGTCGAGATGAATGTCGAGCTTTCTGGCGAGCCACCTTTTACATTAGAATACGAGATTGTCCATGACGGTAGACGTCGAAAGCAAAAGGTCACTGGAATTGAAAGTGACATATACAAGATCAAGACGGATCCTTTAATCACTGGTGGCGAATATTCTCTCGCTCTTGCAAGCGTCCAAGACAAGACGGGCTGCAAGATATTCCTTAATGGTGAGGTCAAATTCATGGTTAGACACCAAAGACCACGAGTCGCTTTTGGTCATCTGGACGGAAAGCACAAGATTATGACTATCGAGGGTACCAATATCCCGCTACCTTTGCGCTTGACTGGCCAGCCTCCTTGGAACATCAAGTATCGAAATGTTGATGATGATTCTGGCAAGATCTTGGAGAAAACAGCCATGTCAACCAATGATGCGGTCAAGGTTGATGCTCGTGGTACATACGAGTTACTTGATGTGTTCGACAACCAGTGCCCTGGAACAGTCGATCCCAAGGCATCCTTGTTTGAGGTTGATTGGCTCCCCAGACCGAAAATAAAGCTTGTGGATAATTCAGCTCTTGTATTGCAAGGGGAGAAATATGTCAAGCATGAAGTATGCGAAGGCGATATTGACGCAGTGGAGATCAACCTTATCGGTGAGTTGAATAATTTGTTTCAGGATCACATCTGGCCCGGCTAACATATCGCAGGTGCTCCCCCTTATCACGTCAAATATCAAATTCGTCATAAACCGGAACATGGCTCGGCATCTATCAGTAACAAAGAGTTCGATGCAGGTCTTGGGCTTTCGACTGTTGCCATGGATACAATTAAGCCTGGCCTTTACGAGTATAAATTTTCCGAGCTTTCTGACAATCTATATGACCATGACCCAAAGAAGTTTTCGCCGCTCATTCTTGAGCAAAAGGTCAACAGGAAACCGGCGGCACATTTCATAAAACCAGGACAGTCCTACAAGTATTGCAAGGAAGAGCTAGCCGGAGATGAAGTCATTCCTATCAAATTAGAAGGCATCCCTCCCTTTTACCTGGAGATTGATATCAAACACCAAAGCAGTACAAGACCCGAAACTGTCAAAATTGCCAATATCGATTCTAACAATTATGATTTCCGGATCCCTCATCGAGTTTTATCTCTAGGCATTCATCAGGTCAGTGTACGAAAAATTCGCGATTCCAGAGGATGCCAGCAGAAAACCGAACATGGTGCTCCTCATGTACAAGTACAAGTTTACGACGTCCCTACCATCTATCCTTTGGACTCGCGTACAGACTACTGCGTAGGAGAACGGATTGGGTATACATTATCGGGTACACCCCCATTCGAGATCTACTATACATTTGAGAACGTGCAAAGGAAAGCAAAATCACCAAATACTAGTTTTAGGCGTATTGCCGAGAAGCCAGGCAATTTCATCATCACCGCTGTCTCGGATAAGGCTAGTGAGTGTAAAGCAAAGACTGAGATTACGAAGGTTATCCATGAAATGCCCAGTGTCAGGATTAGTAAAGGAAAGCAAGTAGAAGTTGATATTCACGAGGGTGGACAAGCCGAACTTCTATTTGAGTTCTGGGGTGTGCCGCCTTTTGAGTTTACATATACAAGAAGTACGAATGCGAAGAAGGGTCAGAAGTCACATGTGCTAGAGACCAGGCATGAGATCTCGTATGAACACAGCAAGACGATACAGTCTTCGCAGGAGGGAACATATGAGGTAGTGGCCATTAAGGATCAATTCTGCTCTTTTTCGACACTGAAAGTGGATGGAAAGAGTGGGAAAAAGTTACTCCAATACTAAAATGGGGGCTTGATGCATAGCGCGGCGTTAGGGTGAATTGTATTCAATGGGGAAATGTCATAGTACTACGAATGGCAATAGACGGATGGATCAGCTTGAAAAGTTGAAGTTTATGTATCCCGACATTTGTCTTACATGCAGTGTTTCGGTGAGCCAGTCAAATACATAGTCGGAGCACCGCCTACGACATATGCGAACCCTAACATGCAAATGTCAGGATCGTTCTCTTTCCAATTCTTTTAAATAATCAACGTCAAACCTAAATTTCTTTCCCTTGTTCCAATCCAAGCCCCAATTTATATCTCCGGCCTCCACTCTTACCGCCCTCAGAGGTCTCAGCCCATCCAAAATCTCTTTCTTCTGCTCCAATGTATAAGTTTGCGGTGGCTCTTGCCACCCAATTGTTAGAACTTGAATATCGGCTCCTGCTAACCATTTCCTCAGTTTCTTGATCCCTTTAGCTACTTCCTTTAGTCTCGCCTCAGCTTCAAAATCCTCGGGTTTCTGTTTCCGTTTCTCACTACCGAGCTGGATGGAAAGCGACAGATTTCGAATAGATGAGGTAAGGGATGATGAGAGAACTAGATCGGAGCGTTGCGTCTTGTGCGCCCAGAGATTGTAGTTGACGGTTAAAGAGATGGTTTGGAGGGGATTACCGTAGAAAATTGGGAGCGCTTCGTGGTATATTTGGCGATTGAGGTGGAGGACCGCGACTTCAAACACGCAGGAAAGGTAGATGTGGGATTGGAGTTGGCGGGGGTGGGGGCCAAGACGAGGGTCATCGGAGGGCGGCGCTAGCAGATGGCGATATATTAATTGACGTATTTCCGGTGGCACGCGTAGGAGTGGGGGAAGGGCTTCGGACAGGTGGGTCTCATTCAAATCACCGTGGGCATCTCCACTACAATCGGTTCTTGGCACCCCATCCAAGAGTGATTGAGTGTACTGTTGAAGAGTGAGGAAGTGATTTCGGAGATCGGATTTGCGGAGTGACCAGACGGCATCTTCTGAGATGGTAAGAACTCGTTCGATCGTCGGTGCCCGCTGTGATACCTTTGCCGCAGCTATGCTTGCCGCGGTGCAGATACATTTATTCTTCGATTCTTCCGAGTGTGATTTGTGTCTATAGGTTCGCTTCTGCGGGATAGCTGGGGATGCCATGTTTTATACCGTGATCTGCGTCGGGATGAAAATATTGTTATTGTCCTACCGAAGCACAAAGATTGGTCGGAAAGACTCGAAAGGTTACAAGGGATGGGGAACATGGCTCGCTTAGTTTTTTGAGATAAGATAAGAAGCATCTGAGACTAGGTAAGAACACCCGGGCCCTATTTATTTAAAGTTTTGCCTCCGCCTTACCATAAGGCTGAATAGATAAATAATATCTATCAATTGATCCACACCACCTGAATATCGAAAACAAGTTATAAATGGTAAATTAACCATGCTACATCAATCCGCCAAAACGGAACATACAACCCTGACTCCCCGTATGATTAACATATCGCCATCACTCCTCACCATTCCCTCCAAGCCACGCGCTCCCATATCTCACACCTTCTTCCCGCCTGCATCTGCTTCGGTCCTCCAAGAATCAAGTGTCCAACCAGATCACACTCTCATTATTTTTGTAAATGGGCTTGGACTTCCTGCCTCTTCTTGGGAATCATGTATTTCAATCCTTCGATCCCGTGTTAAGAACTGTCCATCACTTTTGACATACGACCGTTATGGGCAGGGTTTAACTACAGCTAGGGATCCTTTAGATGATGGAAAGGGTTACGGGCATGATTTCATGGATGCCGCAAATGATCTCCATGAGATTATTCTAGTGATCGCTAGGACGAAGTTTGGTCTTCAATCAGATGAGGTCGGAGATGGAAAACTTAGTGTAATATTTGTGGCTGCTTCAATTGGAGTAAGTGCTCCGACACATACACTCTATACCTTATTGTCAAAGTCTGATGTCTTTTATCCACATTCCCTGTTAAATGACCTCGGAATAACACTCAACTAGGTCCCTATATCCCGCCTCTACATACAAACCCATCCATTCATCTGCGGCGCGGTCCTCGCCCTCGACTCCAACATCCCAAACGTGAATTACAGCGATTTTCTTCCTGACCCATCATCCCCAACCTTTGATCCATCTCTTGTGGTCGCCCCAGACTGTACGCTCGCGCAATACATTGGGGCACGGACAAGATTAATAAATGTATTTGATTTATCTGTTCCGAACGCTGAATCTATGGATCGACGAACTGGACCGACGTTACTACCGTATGCTGATCGGCCGAAACTTATTGGTACGGGTAGAAAGGGCCCGTGGCTGACGGTTGTAGGGCATGATCCGGCCACGTTTGCAGATGTGAGTTTAGAGAGGATGGGGACACCAAGAAGTATGAGTATGAAGTTTACGAATCCGTGCGTTAATTCCTTTTTTCTTTGGAGTTAAGTCTATTGTTCGGGATAGTTGTCTAATTAATAACATGTAGATATTGGGCAAGGTATAATGCAGGATTGGTAAGTGTAACAGATGAAGGACGATGTGAGCGTGTGAAAATTGCGATTGGCTGTGGGCATTTTATCCAAATGGATGATCCAGATTTTGTAGCTGGGGAGATTGAAATTATTCTTGACAAACTGGAACTGGGATGAGTACTGAGATCGGAATCTAATTCATGGGCAAAACTGATAAGCTTGACCCATCGCAGTCCAATCATTTTTGCTCTCAACACTTTAGACGTCAATCTTCTCAATACCACACCAAAATAATGTAAAAATGGTCAACTTTCAAAGTTCAGATTCGTCCTGCGCATCCAAAACCGAAGAACCAGTAGATAAAATAAGAACAAAATTGTACGATACGAAAAGCTGGAACCATGTGCCATCTTTATGCAGTGGGAATATGAAGCTTGACTTTTACACCGTTGGCAGGGGCGTCTGTGAGTTTATAGTCATGCTTTATCACCGGGTCTGTCTCCATGCTCTCAATCATATCGAATCGCTGAAGAAGCCTTACGGTAATATATCCGGCTTCATTCAGCGCAAATTGCTGTCCAATACAAACCCTTGCGCCGCCATTGAACTTTCAACATCAGTAACGAGCTCTGAGCGGCATAAAGAGTCAGATCCAGACTTACAGGTAAAAATTCCCAGCCAAGTTTCTTCCCCTCCCACCTCTCTGGTCGGAATTCATCGGCATCATCACCCCATGTATCCTTTCTTCGATGCATCGCAAAAACGCTGTATTCAACCATTGACCCTTTTGGGATGAAAACTTTCGATTTCCCATCCTTGCCGCCGCCATAAGGCAGGGTTGTATCTTTGTTCGCCTGTCTAACGTTGTGAGGCACCGGTGGATAAAGTCGCAGAGCTTCATTCATGTAATACTGAAGATATCTGCAGCGTTTGAGGTCGGAAAAGGTAATTTCAGAAGGGTTTTCGTACGTTCCGAAGTCTTCGATAATGATATTGCGAAGCTTTTGGTAGTAACTGGGATTTTGAGCAAGGCTGAGAAACAACCATCCTAATAACGAGGCGGTGGTGTCTCTGCCTGCCAAGAGCAAATGAAGACATTGAGAGCGAAGCTCAACAGGGTCATGAGTTTCTTTTGCAAGAGCATCCAGGTAAATGTACCTTTTCTTGGCACCGGATACGTCGTCTTCATCCTGAGACTTGCCTAGCGAGTTTCTGGTGAGAGCGAGTTGGACAAAATGATCCACGTACTCGTTGCATCTGTTGCAAGAATTGGTGAAGTCTTTGCTGGTGGCCAGCCAGTATTTATCAGCGAAACGGCACCGAAGGGATGTCCAGGATAGAGCGTTGTCGAATTCAGCCGCGAAGTCTATTCCGGTGTCGTCGACTTTATCGTGATTCTCTGGTAGTTTGAGAAGCTGACTATTAGCAGACCTAAAATCATGGTCGGCTTATTTATCATTGTGTTATCGAAGATGATTAGGGGTGACCCACAAACCATTCTGAGAAAGAAAGCTGACGGTGCATAGTAAAGGTACTACTTACTGTCCAAGTAGAACTTCCGTCGCAGAATCTATGGTTAGTCTAAAGAAGAGAGCCTGTAGATCTATCTCTGCACTCCATTGATCCTGAAGCCTGGCATCTATAGCTCTCATCAAGTTTTGAACATGCCTCTCCTCCACCTCAAGATCACTAATTTGATCTCTAGTAAACTGTGGCCTCACCATATCCCTCGTTACCTTCCACGCGTGACCGTCCTGTGTAAATATGCCATTCCCAAGCATAGGCCAAAAGGCCCCTGTCCTTATTCGCCCGAGTTGAAAATCGTCGAATTGTGTCGCGAGAATGGCTTTGAGGTTTCTAGGATCGATAGTAAAAAGAGTCGATGAGCTCATGATAGTATATCTGAATGTGGTGCCATAACGTTCGACATTGCTTTGAAGGAAGTTTGGGAAGTATTTCCCTTGCTCGGCATGCAAAGATCTCTTAAAGTAATCGAGACCGAGAGGCCAGCGACTGACTGTTTCTTGCGTTACTGGTTCTTCACAGTGGAAGTCGCGCAATTTCGCGGAATATGTGTGTGATTTGTATAGCCTGCTTGCAATATAATAAAACAAAACGAAGGAAGCTATCCAAACACTGGTAGAAGTCATGTCTCCTAGATATATGAGGAGGTATATCTTGACATGAATTGCAATGTTTATAGAATATACACCTCCAGTAGGTATTCAAGGGACAATAGATGTTAAAATGTGAATGATGGACAAGAAAATAAATGATCGCAGTGCATATCGATCGAAGAGGGAGTAAAGCAAGCCACATTTTATACATTTACAACGAACGACCCCCCTTTCCTGGGTGATACTCCATAGTTCCCTAGGTATAAGTAGTCGGCTTTCACATCCGTCCGACGAGCTCCTAATTGGGTGAAGCGAATATCCCCGGAGAACGAAATGCACCGCTTGCTACCTAGGTATGATATATGAATAGTTCATATATTTCATCAATTTTCGAATTGATATAATAATTTGCATATTATTGATTTCAATCCGATAATACAAACCAAACAATGATAATTCGTTGGATTGATTTGAAAATTCAGAATCGTGTGCCAGTAATAAAGGTTTCTGGTAACAATCTAGACTTTGATATATTTTTTATATCAAAATCGGCAAAGGGACAATTTGCTTTCCAGAGGAAATTTCGGTTTCCCCAATTAGGGAGTAGTCGGCCGGTTGTAAGAGCCGACCACCGGTGTTAGCAAGTGAACAGATAATGAATCCATTTAAGCCCATGCATGCACTCGAGGATAAGTTGAGGATTGCGGTTGGTTGGTTGGTTGATTGTGCTTACCTACCGTCCCTGATCTCAACTCATATTCTGTCTGCACTCAGTTAAGCCGTTTTATGAATTCAGCAATCAAAACTATCTGAAAAATCCAATTGGGTAAGTTGAATGTCATTGGTTATTAAAGTCCCCCCTTCCACATCTGGTCGCGTCACCATTTGTCGCAGATTTCGGTGTCAAATTAAATGCGCCATATTGAGACAAGCCCAAGCTCTCGGGAAATTCCTCGCCTTGCCTTCCTTCCTTTCCCATCCCATCTTGTCATCTTTTCATATCAGATATTTTCTTAACCCCCATAAATTCAGATACAATAAAATCCAAACCAGTCACTTCATTACATCCCTTGTATCCCTACCAGGGATTTACATCCAGCATAGTAGCTTCCCACCAAACACCAAACTTCTGCTAGCCAATGCATGCAGATAGAACATTATAAGAAGAGCCGTCAAAGTCATATACAAAGTAACATAATCGTGAGAATGGAAGTTGTTGATCGTAAACATCAAAAGCGTATCGTAAACGTGAACAAAAATATATCAGGATAGAAGATCCCCGCCTAATTGCATACCAAGTCCAGTGTGCTTAGAAGAAGCAGGACTCTCGCGCCTTGATGGACTTGCATTTGGTGCGTGAAAGTTTTCGAATGTTAAGCGCCTGCGTGCAACAGTCAACGGCGTCTTCGCAGCTCTTGGAGTCCAAGTCGTTTGAGCGGGACTTGGCGTGATATTGACAAAGTCGGCGAAGTCGAATCCTTGTGAAGGTGTGGCAGGTGCACCGAATATTGAGAGACCACCGCTATAGCTTGGGGTGGTCATCATAGATGATGGCAAATCAAGCTTCCTGGACGGTGGGGTAGAGGGTGGCTGCATTCTTGTTCGTGAAGCGGGATTTGCAGGACTACTGAGGTACAGTAAGAGATCTGCTTCTTCTGCTGCTGACCTGCCATTGCCATCTCTAATTCGACGGTGTGGGTTGCCTCTGTTTCGAATCGGAGATGGAGTGCGCGGAGACGAGGGCAGGATATTAAAAGAATGTAGAGGAAGGTGGTTGTCTTCGTCATCGGATGGGGCTGCGAAGTTGGGAGAGGTAAGATCATCTGGCATATGCGAAGATCCCCTGTAGAAAGAGATGTCCGGTCCCGCCGAGGTGGTGAAATGAGGCTTCCGTGGCTTGATAGGTGATGATTGGGTTAATTGGCGGTGATTCTTCCAAGAGCTGTTCGGCTGTCGTATTAATCTACTCGGTGTTGGAGAAGAGCGAACCCTTTTTCGAGATCCCATATTTGAGCTTGGTGGTTGGAAAGTGGTCTGGTACGACCTCTTCCTAGGCCCGGTGCTGCTACCACTCGATACAATTCGATCGGAAAATATGGCTGCGGCTTTCAAAGGGGAACTGAGTAAGGTCCTTCGGTTCGAGTATGGCAAGTCAGATGCAGCACTGGAGGATGAGTCTGATAACATATCTCCGCTTGAGTTTGGCCGTCTTCTTCTTAGCTCTTCTTCCATCCTTGGTTCTATTGTATCTAGTGTGAGGTCCTCCCAACCCCTTTCGGTTTTAAATTGTGCAAGCGCCAGTCGATTCTGCAGTTTCCGAGCCATCTAGATATTTTGACATTAGTATAGTATAGTGTGGACTTGACCCGAATGGCACAAGAGAGTTTACCTTGCTTAACTCAGCTCTTTTCAAAACTGCCCCCGCTACCTCCTCTGGCTGCTTCTTCCATGGGGAAGACATCTTTATAAATACCCAGCTTGCTGCGAAGATCGGTCTGCTTGTGTTGAGATTGTACAAGGAAGTATGACCGAATGCAAGATGTTCTAGATATTTTCCAGGTGAGAGGGGAAGGTTGGCGCCGAAAGTGAAATTGGCCTTAGTTTCTTCCACCTGGGGATTTTTTTTTCTCTCGTACAAGTTTTCTGTTGCGGGTCAAGAGCGATGTGGATAAGGGATTGTGCCGAAATTTTGTGAAAATGTCAAAAAGAGTCGGAGACTATCATATAGCCCTTTTCCCTTTATTCCTCTTTTACCAGAGAGGTGAATTGATTGTATGATGGTTGGTTGAATGATACGGTTTGATGATGAAGAGGTTGGAATTCCGTGGCTCATTCCTGGCCGCTATCTGTCTATCGCTTACAAGGGAAGGGAAGTGGGAAGTGGTCAGTGGTCAGACTGAGCTGCTAAAGGGCTTTCGGCCTAGCGGTTTGACGGGATCTAGTTTTTAGGTCTTCACCTCAGGTGCTCTGGTACTGTAAGGAGCCTAGACGCACGAATTACGGGGTACTAGCTGTAGGGCCAGTCGTATTGAAGGCCACTAAAATGGAATAGGCATGTCGCTGGTTAGCATTGACCAATAATGGTGATGTGATGTTGATGGTGATTGATGATGGTAATAATAAGAGGGTAGTGGTGGGTGGGTGTTGTTTGGGGAAGGTAAAAGAAGGGTTGAGTCGTTCAAATTGTCGTATCGATAACTGATGTACTGGTGTATTAATGTATTAATGTATTGATGTTATTGATGTTATTGATGTACTGATGTACTGATGTACTGATGTACTGATGTACTGATGTATTAATGTATTAATGTATTGACATGCCGATGTACTGATGTAACCTACTTGAGCTTCGGCCAAGAGAGTAGAATGTGCATTGTGCTCTTTTGATTCAACACTTATTCCAAGATTCCGAGTTAGTAAGTTATATAACCTCTGTAAAGAGTTATCAAGGATGTCAATGTATTGTTCAATCTATACTTACTATTAGATGCATATAGTAGCGAGCTAATGCTCTGTGTCGAGTAGACATCGCTATTCAAGCCATGTCTGTGCTTTCATGCCTCTATGCTATCATCCTACAACCCCTCTAAAGTCTGGAATGCATAGCTGGTACCTGGTGCGTAGTCAACACGACAGACATGTTATGTAGGAGTTAACAGACGGCAGCAAGACTAGATACTTGTTGATCTTCATATGGCTGCGGCACTGCAGAGCAGATTTGGTTACCCAGCTGCTGAAACCTTTCTTGTATTGAAGGAAGGTTCTCCAGCGGACTTCAACATTTCTCCATCAATTAACTTGTATGTATGTACGTACTACCGGTACGTCCTCATTCATCATGCCACTATGCCACTCTACATGTCATGTACAAATAACGGGTAATTATGTATTGGCTGCCGTACCAGTTCAAATGCAGTGCAGATGCAGTTCAGATGAATGATGAATGATGAATGATGAATGATGAATGATGCCAAAAAAGGGCGCATCTTCCTTTTCCGGAGATGGATAGGAAAAGGTCTTACAAGGGGTATCCCTAGTAATAAACGCCCAGACACTCGTTCAAATGTTTCTGTTCCTTGGATGGGTATGCATATAGTGGATGGATCGATGGATCAATGGATCAATGGATCAATAGATCAAGGCACTCGTACAATCAATCCTCTCTCCTACCTCCTACCTTCCATATGAACGAACAAGAGAGAGAAAAGAGAGCATCGATAAGTTGAAATATCACAATACCCCAATACCCGAATACCACAATGCCACCTTGAATCATTAAATCTACCTACTCGCGCGCTACTTACTTACATTCACACCTTTCAAGATCGAAAATAAAGGATCCACACATCCTCATTTTGTTTCCCCGTCTAATAAACATCCCTGGAGAACCTCTTTCGCACCATCCAACCCCGTCGTCATCTTATTATTATTAGTCCCGAAATTTAAACATTTCGCTTTTCTAACCTTATCTTCCACCACCTACCTACCTTACCTACCTACTGTTAACTTGAGGGAGGCACCGACTGAGAAAATTATCACCCAAGGTCTGCCATCATCGATCATCATCATTGCCATCATCGCCGTCGCTCCCCAAGAGATTAATTATTTCAATGTGTCTCTCGCTTTGATATGAAACCATCGCAAGCTAATTAATTCTTTTCCTTGTCTTTAGCTACCCCCCTTGCTCTGGCTGTAGTATGGCCCCTTCCTTTCTGAAGGACCTTAAGAGGCGCTCCAAGCCCGTCGCAAAAACAACCGATTCCAGCACTGGAGAATCGAGTGCCAGTAATGCAAGCACTGGCAGTGGCCTTCGAAGCAACACATTCACTTCGAGTAAATCGCAAATCTCCTTGAATTCTTCTTATGGCGCTACAACACCGCCAACAATGCCAAGTTCACAATCCTCATCCACCCTCAACGGCATGGGAGTAACTCGGCCAGCTGTTTCGACGACGGGATCAAACAGACACAGTGTATCTGGAATGTCGGGCTTAGGATCTCCTTCTTCAAAATCGGCTTTGCCTGTCTCACCATATTCACCGCGAATTTTGTCCATCACGGACAATACATGGGTCAGCTATCCCGCAAGCCGCAGAACTGGGCAGAGCTAACACACTTTGACTAGGTATATCAAAAGGTCTTGTCGATATATGGCACAATATCAGATCCCTCAGAAGTACAGATAGACGGGACCCTCACAGCTACTCGTCTAGACGATGGATTTCCTCCGACATACTGGCCTGTTTCCGAGTCGCACTTCAAGGCACTTGTCTACCTTACCCCCGGCCCCAATCGATTAAGATTCGATTTTACATCGCCAAAGCTTGCGAACAGCAACTCTCCTAACCCCATACACTCCTCCTACCTCACTCTCCACATGCTGCCAACTCTTACAAATCCCCCGCTTCAATTGGTTATACTACTCGGGAAAGATTCTCCTGGAACATATGATGCCGTACCCTCGCGCATCGAGAGGGAGGGCAATGGCTTAGATACTGCTATACGAAAGTTCAGAATGGCAGCTTATCTGTACGTGTATCTCTTCCCCATATAAACTTCTACTTCATGGTGGCAAGTAGCCAGGTGCGGTTATTGCTAGAATTAGCAGCCAGCGCATTTTTTTCACTCAGTGTCCATTGGAAACAGGGTTTGTTTCCCCGAGGTTCTGGAAATCGACAAAGTGTCATATCCTCCTAGATCGGCTCCTGCTTCTTCTTCATATCAAAATATCCTTTGGCTGAGAGAATGAACTAACGATTACCAGTTGGCAGGCATTTACTGCCGAACAGATGTTTCGAAATAAGCTTGGTCGGAGGACATTTAGGTTTGAAGAGGAGTGGATTACAGGTACTTCGAACTACAGAGACCGTGAGATGGGGACCATGAGAAGTGAAGCAAAAGTCCATGTTATCCGAAGCTCGAAAACTGTTGCGGAACTTCGACATCTCGATGTTGCCCAGCAGAACGAAAATGGCACCCGCCGCGGGGATTTATTTGCCTTCGCTAGTGAGGATGTCAAAAATTACTTTAAGCCTAAGCCAGGTCAGAAACAGTATGTGACGGTTCTTCTCCTGGACGCTCATTGGGAGAAGCGGCACAATATGATCACCGGTCATGCCGCCCTTGGAGGTGGGGGTGGAGAGCTTCAGCTAGCTATTTTCGGTAGCCAGGCATTACAAAGTTATCCATCTATGCTAGAAGAAGTTGTGCCGGCATTTTCTGATTGTACAGTCACGGACACCAATTTTGTAGCGAATGACTGTAATGAATCTGGCAGCAACTGGGAAGCTGCAAACATTGGGATAGGCGCTCACCTACATGAAGTGGGCCATTTGTTTGGATGCCCTCATCAGGAGAATGGGGTAATGCTTCGGGATTACGTTACGTTGAACCGGTCTTTTACCACTAGGGAACCTTATTCGACACGTACAAAATCGAAGGGCGGGCTGGTTTTACCCAGAGACGAGTGCACATGGCATAGGCTGGACACTCTGCGTTTCAGAAGCCACCCGTCGTTCGCACTCCCTACTGACCCTCCACGAGTTAGCGATGACTCCATCCAAGTATGGCCTGTAGATAATGGAAGTGTGATCGTTACAGCGACATCAGGGGTAGCTTTCCTCGAAATATTTACCGAGGGCGACGATCTTTGTCGTAACTGGCAGGAGTTCGGAGACGGAAATGGCAATGGGCCTATCCAACGACAGATTACTCTGACGGAGCAAGATCTAAGAAATCAACTACCTGAGGACCGCCGGAAATCGAGGCTGAAGCTTTCTGTGAAGTCATTCGGCGGTGGTAGCCAGGAGGTTGGAGATTTCGCCCAGCTAGTCTCCAAAGCCAGCAAGCTGAAGTTAAAGAATGGACAAATGGCTTTCAGAAGCAGTAAATTGGGCGCGTCACAGATGGATGGCACCCAGCCGCAGGAAGTCATATTTGATAGTTCAATTTATCAAACGAAACTGATGATACAAGTGAGGGTGTAAGTGTATTGCTTCGAAACAGCCGAAAGGGTCATACCGGGTCGCTGTTTTCCTCATTTCCAAGATGATTCATCCAAGTACGATTACTGACAAGTCCTTTAGTTGGGCGGGCTTTGCGCTCGACGGTATAGAGTTTATTTACGAGGATGCAACCTCGCAACTCTTTGGCAAGAAGGGTGGATCGGCTGCAGATTTTAGTCTCGGTATATACTAGGCTCATCACATATCACGTCTCAAGTACTAATAGTATCATAGATACACGTCGAGGAGAGTATATTACCGGGTTCTATGTCAGAAGTGGGTTGTGGTTGGACGGTATTGCAATTATGACTAGTCTAGGGAGGAAGTCCCAGGTTTTTGGAAACCCTGTTGGCGGTTCTGGGTTAGTATTTTCCCCACATTGGGATGCATCAAGTGAGGTGTTGCGAACTTCACGACAGCTAGCTTATTCCTTCTGGTTATCCTTGTGCATTCTCACTGATACTCTCCAGGCATACTTTGATACCCCCGAGAGGATACACCATTGCAGGCGTTTCAGGATCATGCGCAGCATGGATTGATGGATTTGGCATTATTCTTACACGGTAAAGGTCTAAAGGCTATTGCTGGAAGATGGTAATAGTACACATTAATATTGTATAATTTGGCTTGGGACGACATGATTCGAATGATTTTTACAAATTACCGTTATCCCACGATATCACTTTCTCATGGCGGCTAGCAACAATACCTTGGTAAATGCACGAGTGCATATGGCGTACGGGGGTGCATATCTACGGAGGTGGTTTAGAATAAATGACAGACTTTAGTCCTGAAGACCTTTTCAACTGAGAATCATTGTTAAATGTGACTGTGAGCTGGACTGAATATCATTGAGGCTTTCTAAAGGCCCTTGATGAAGAAGCCGCTTGTATTACGAAGCACATATATGAGGACCAAAACTAAAGGAGAAGAAAACAAGTGTCTTTTGAGATGAAGATGTTGAAGATGTGAATGATTAGCTGAAATTTTAATCTTTGTTTCATACACCCGGTGAATCTCGCTCGAATGCTTCCCAGGCAATAAAAGTAAGACTTATTAACCTACTAGAACCTACCTAAATACTTGTTGGTATTTATTAAAGTTTGCTCGTGCCCTTGTTCAGCTGTGGCTTGGCGATCCCTCAACGTCATGGGTGCTAAAACCAAGCTCTAAAACAAACCTAGAAAACGACTTCCCAAAAGTCTCAAAATCAGCAACCTCACAATACTATCACTTCCCTCTACACTACAAATACTCGGTGCGAATTAATTCATCTCAAATGTCGAAAAGAAATAGTGGCAGTGCCACAAATGGCGCAACGAAGGATTCAACGGTCGGTGAGTGTCTATGACGGCGAAAATGATTGCCCCTCCCCCTCGTGTGCGAACAGATCGAATTTCTATAATTGTATATGTGTGCTAATGGAGGGAATAGCTGTAGATAAGCAAAAGAGATTGTTGGAGAAGGACACCGGTCATTTCTCTATGATTAAGATGCTGCATCTTGCAGATTTGATCACAGAACTCAACGGTAATTAAATGCCACCCCTCCTACATCCTTTCGCACAAATTTGCTGAGTGCTACTCCTTAGGATTCTGTGGTGTTATGTCTGTGTTTTCCTCGATGCGGTATTGTCTGGGCCCAGCCGACGCGCATGGAAATCTTTGGGCGGCTTTGGCTTTCATGCCATTTGGGCTGTTCTTCGATTTCATGGATGGGAAAGTCGCGAGGTGGAGGAAGAAGAGTAGTTTGATGGGCCAAGAGTTGGACTCATTGGCAGATTTGGTATGTCTTCCTAATTACACTTGTATACATCATTCAATTGGTGATTCTAATAATTTCTACCCTAGGTATCCTTTGGAGTCTCTCCCGCAGCCGCAGCTTTTGCCATTGGTATCCGCACTCCTGTCGACCATTTCTTCCTGACCTTCTTCGTCCTCTGTGGTCTTACGCGCCTCGCTCGCTTCAACATCACCGTAGCCAATGTCCCCAAGGATGCTACTGGAAAGAGTAAATACTTCGAAGGCACACCCATTCCGACATCCCTCTCCATCGCCGCTCTAATGGCATACTGGGTATCCAAGGGTTGGATTCTGGACAATATACCATTGGGAACAGTGGGTACGGGTACCATGTTTGAGTTTCATCCGGTGGTGGGACTTTTTGTTCTTTGGGGTTGCATGATGACTAGTAAAACTATTCATATCCCTAAGCCATGATTATGTATTATGCTGGTGATGGATTATGGTGAGGCATGAAGGAGCGAAAGGAACGGATGAGAATAGTCATACCCGGTTTGGTGGTGGAATGGAGATTAAGTACGTATATGATACCTTGAAGTTCATGAATTGGCGCATTACATATATTAAAATGCGATCCCCTTTTCAAGTTGAGTATAGGACTGATATGCATGTGCATGTGCATGTGAAAAATTTTGTTCAATGCTTCATCAAACAGCGATATGATTTTTATGGTACCTAGTATTTCTTGCCCATACCTAATCCTCCACTTCAAGCGCAGAATAATGAATCCATATCACCGGGGCTCAGAGTGTAGCCTCCTTTAGCTTTTGCTTTGCAATCTGGCTGGCGGACTAGGTAACACATGCACTTCTGTATGTGAAACTAAGGATTTGGATCCTACCGAGATGAGTAATTAGATAAAGGCTGGATTTACAGATAATTCAGCGTGTATGGAAAGCTTTTCGGTCCATTATTCATTGGTGAGTGCTTGATCTTAATTTAGAGTCGATTCTCTTTGGTGAAACATGTGTAATATGTTGCCCGAAGCTTTGGAATTTTTCCAATAGCCCCACCGACTATTGACTAAGAAAGTACAAGTTTTACACAGAAGTTCGCAGCAGCCCAAGCCGTACCTACAAACAGACCCTTAAAAACGCCATATACCCAGATTCGTCTACTTCAGCTCTTTACCCTATGATTTAACGGCCACCTCGGGAAAATCCTCCTCTCGAACCGCCTCTCGCGCCACCTCGAGGAGTGAAACCACCACCACCTCTAGAGAAGCCGCCGCTTCCTCCACCTCTGGAGAAACCTCCACTACCACCTCTTGGTGTGAAACCACCTCTTCCTCCGCGTGGCGCGCCTCTTCCGCCACCTCGTCCACCCCTCATTGGTCCTCCTCTACCTCCTCTGGCACCACCGGCTCTCTTTGGTTTTGGTGCTCCTGGAGGTGGCTTTGGCTTTGGAAGGAATTTTTCCAACGGGAGAAGTTTGTCGCCTCCGATGTAGAATTTGTCGCCAGTCTTGAATGAAGTAGCTTGGATACCTTCGGTGGGCTTGATGGTGAAATAAACTTGGTTGATGGGACCGAGAATTTCGTCAACTTTACCAATTGAAGTCTATCGATTCAATTATTAGCTTATGTTTTTCGCAAATTTTTGGGGATTGCAGATTTTTACCTTGTTCTCTAAATAGATTGGTGCATTGAAGTAAGGAATTTTAGTATTGATAGATTCGCAGACAATTTCTCCTTCACTGGCATGGAGGAAAGATCCCATAGCTATTCCAATATTAGCAATTGGCTCTGACAATGTCAATTAAGACTCTCTACCAAAGACATCTGCTGGAGGGCCGTTGTCTCTTTGCTGGAAACCGCCACGGCCTATTATGAACCGTTAGTAATTGCGCACAATTGATCTCAAATCCGCAAATTCGCATCGACGCACCTCCACCACGACCACCGAATCCTCCTCTACCACCGCTGAAACCAGCATTGGCGCCGGTACCGCGACCGCCTCTTGATCCACCTCGGAAAGACATTGTTTGCTGTTGTCGATTATTCGAGGGTGTTTGGCGTTATCGTTGAGAGGTACAAAAATTTAAAGCTCTCCAAAAAATTATTCCAAGCGAAAACTGGATAGCGTGGAGCAAAAGCCAAGAGCGATTTTTATTGGCTGAACTCACCTTAGTCATCTGCAAAGTGCACGGCTCAAGTGAAGAGCGGGCAAACGTTTCAAACGATGATTTGAGTCATAAATTTATTAAAAAGGACAACCGTCTTGTTGTACTTGACTCCCTCCCCAAGTACGGCAGAAACAGAATCGAATAACAAACTTCCTCCAAACACCATGGAACAGGCAAAGGAGGCAGTCGAGAAGGTGGCAGAGGGTGTTAAAAATATTGCCATTGGAGAGAAGAAACCCAAAGCACCTAAAGCACCAAAGCCCAAGAAGGAAAAGGGAGGGGATAGTGGGGCAGATTCCGGACCTTTGGAACTCAACCCAGCGCCAGAATTTATTGCCCATCGCATAGCAGTTTTCGACAAGTTGAAGGCCAAATACGATGCTGAAATCGCTGCAAAACCAAGAGTGCCTATTACCATTACTCTTGCGGACGGATCCATTAAGGAAGGTGTTGCTTGGGAGACCACTCCCGCGCAAATTGCAGAGGGAATTTCGAAGAGTCTCCTTAAGCGTACGGTTGTTGCCAAATTGAATGGGGATTCGGAACAATTATGGGATTTGGAGAGACCTTTGGAAAGTGATTGCAAACTTGAGTTGCTTCCTTTTGAAAATGATGAGGGCAGACGGGTCTTCTGGCATTCTAGCGCTCATATCTTGGGTGAAGCATCAGAAAGACGATTCGGTTGCAGTTTGTGTATCGGCCCACCCATTGACAATGGTTTCTATTACGAGATGGGTCTACCCAACCAAGGAACAGTTACCGATGCAGACTGGCAGCCACTGGAGAAATTGGTCGGCCAAATTGTAAAGGAGAAGCAGAAGTTCGAGCGATTGGTTCTCTCCAAAGATGATCTTTTGGAGATGTTCAAGGACAACAAGTACAAGCAGCATATCATTAAGGACAAGATCGCGGATGGAACTAATACTACTGTCTACCGCAATGGACCTCTGATCGATTTATGTCGAGGCCCCCACGTACCTAACACCGGCAGAATCGAGACATTTGCTATCATGAAGAATTCAGCATCATACTTCCTAGGAAATAAGGACAACGACTCTCTGCAGAGAATTTATGGTGTATCATTCCCCGATAAGAAGCAAATGGCCGAGCACAAGAAGTTTTTGGAAGAGGCTGCAAAGCGTGATCACAGAAAACTTGGTAAGGATCAAGAACTGTTCTTCTTCCACGAATTATCTCCTGGATCCGCAATGTGGTTGCCACATGGTGCTCGTATCTATAACACTATCCAGTCATTCTTGAGAGAGGAGTACTGGAAACGTGGCTACAACGAAGTCATTACGCCAAATATGTACAACTCTGAACTCTGGAAGACCTCTGGTCATTGGGCATACTACAAGGATGACATGTTCACGTTCCCGGTCGAGAAGGATGTTTTTGCTTTGAAGCCCATGAACTGCCCTGGCCATTGCTTAATGTTTGGACACCGCGAACGTAGTCATAGGGAATTGCCATGGCGAGTTGCAGACTTTGGTGTGCTACATCGTAACGAAGCTTCGGGTGCATTGACTGGTTTAACAAGAGTAAGAAGATTCCAGCAAGACGATGCCCACATTTTCTGTAGGGAAGACCAGATTAAAGATGAAATTACCGGCTTGTTCGATTTCCTCAAGGCTATCTACGGCCTTTTGGGTTTCACCTTCAAGCTGAAGCTTTCTACCCGCCCAGAGAAGTTTTTGGGTAAAATTGAGACTTGGGATATGGCAGAGGATAAACTCCGATCTGCCTTAGACGAATTTGCGTCAAGTGATGGCGGAGTACCATGGGAACTTAATGAAGGTGACGGTGCTTTCTATGGTCCAAAGATTGATATCACTATTTGTGATTGTCTGAAGAGAGAGTGGCAATGCGCTACAATCCAACTTGATTTCCAATTGCCCCAAAACTTTGGACTTGAATACAATACCGGTGATGTGCCAACCAAGAAGGAAGAGGTGGCCGTCAAGGAACCCGTTGTTAAACCCAAGAAGGATTCTGAACCAGAGGATCCAAATGCTCCAAAGGAGAGAGTGTATAAGCCGCTTACTCCTGGATGCGCCAGACCAGTCATGATTCACCGAGCCATGGCAGGTAGTATTGAGCGTTTCACCGCCATCTTGATCGAGCATTTTGCAGGTAAATGGCCTTTCTGGTTGAGTCCTCGACAAATCCTCGTTATTCCAGTCGGTGTTGGCTACTTTGAATATGCTAAGGAAGTGCAATCAATCTTCCACAAACAACAAATGTTCATTGACGTTGACCTGAGTGGTAACACTCTGCAAAAGAAGATCCGCACAGGGCAATTAGCACAATACAACTTTATATTCGGTAAGTAGTCACGTCTTCTTTTAATATTGACAAATTAGTACTAACGCTCTCAAAAGTTGTCGGAGATACGGAAATGAAGGGTCGCGAGGTTAATGTTAGAAATCGTGATGATACATCGACTCAAGATAGAGGAAAGCCCGTTTCATTGCAAGAAGCGATTGAGAAGCTCACGGCACTTCGTGATGAGCGAAGATCGGATAATCCGTTCCCTGGTGAAGCAAAGGCTGCCGAGCCAGCAGTAGCTGTGGCACCTGCTGCGCCTGCTGCTTAAATTGTGAGATCTCTGGTGAAACGGAGTTGAGAAATTTGATGAGATGAATTAACAAATACGAAGATGATGACATAAGAATCTGGAAGTTTGGGAAAGTATCATGACTACTACATAAAAAAGAGTATTTGATGCATTGTGTTTTCTTTGCTACTAGCATCCTATATCTAGCGTCATATGAGAAATGAGATGAGATGAGATGAGATGAGATGAGATGAGATGACTAGAATGAAAAGAATATTACAGCGGCATTGTGTTATTTCAATTTTTGATGACAGGCTCCTCAAATAAGAGGAAATTTATAATTGCAGGTATGATGATGAATGAGAAGAAATCTCGCGATTGATGATAATGGCTTACTTATGGTCGGTTCTCGCTGTACCTAAAAAGGCTGGATTTATCTTCAAATGATCCATTTGAGTTGAATCATCTCACGATATCCTCATAGTTTTTGAGGAACTTTATGCCCACCATATGTGTCCTGGAAAGAGCACCTAACTTGAAAAGGACTATTCCTCTCCATATATGCCTTTAAATAAATAGATTTAGGATTAATAATGAAACCCTTTTGGCTACAATTTTCTTGCCATTCAAATGCGGCTTTCTCAGTACATAAACAGGATCTCAGCTCTATCTTCAGCCTATATATCTATCCTATTCTTTCTGTTTTATCTTCTAGCTTTGGCTTGGCTTTGCTATGCTATACTATACTATATTATGCCGAGCTACAAAGCATGATACTCAAGTAAGAAGAGAGTGTTAAGTGTAGTCGGGAATATGACTGATGGTTAGGAATTGAAACGCTTTTGGGAAGTTGTTATTTGCGTCAAGGAGTCAGGGTACAGAATATGGGTGTATATATATAATATCATTGAAGGACAACAGGGAAGGAGGAAAGTGAGAGAATTGGAGATATGAGACACGGTATGGGATACAAGAGATAGGAAATGAAATAAAACCAATCCCACAAGACTTTCCCTAAGAGTGCTCCTCCCATCCCATCTCCTTAAAGTCATCTTCCTTTTTCTTTCCGTTTCTATTCCTCAAAGCTTAACTGACTTCAATATGTTCCGCATTTAATAACATGTTACAAGCCACCACCCTACTATTCCATATTCCATATTTCATTATATATCTATATATCTATATACCTAAAGATAGTTAGGAATCCCGTTTCGATTTGTATACTGTATATTCACCGTTGAATATACACAAAAAATATGATTCAAGGTAGAGAAAGGGATAATCTTTCCCGTCACCACCCTCCTCCCCATGAAATATCATCCCTACCCAATCAAATTCACAACATTGGCACCACACGCATTCATAAATATAAACTAATATCTTCATATTCAGGATATATCTAATCGACAATCCCTAAGTAGCCAATAGTAAATCCACCAAGGAAATAATTTCATTGCATTGCATTGCATTCCGTCCCAATCTCCTCAAGCAAAAGCAGTATGGAAACTTTACCATCCACCTCCATCCATCCATCCATGCCATACCGTACCGTACCGTACCCTACCATATCAAACCCCTGTTCCCAAGTCTCATCACTATTTCCTCTTTTCCTTTTATCCATCCAATTCCATGCCATCCGTTCCATATCCCATACCAATTGCTATAGGAACGTGCCAATCCGCTTACATACACGCACAGAATACTTTCAAAACCCTCCTTTGTCTCAATTGAGATTCAATCCTGTCCTACCAACATGTAAAAAGAAGAAACACTTTAGCGGGGAAAAAGAAACATTCTATATGGCTTCACTACTCAAAGAACTTTCTGCCTCTTTTCTAGGCCTGGGAAATTCTCCAGGCACATGTAATTGACTGATACTCTGGACGCTCTGATGATTTTGTCCAGCAGCCAACGTCGGGCGTCCAAGATCTTGGGCAAGGGGATCGAGGAGTGTCTCTACTGACCGTGGTTCAGTAGTAGTTGTGGCAGTTGTTGAAGCTGCCGTCTCCCGTGCTTCGTTAAACCAAGGGGCTGCGCTACCATCACCGAGGCTACGTCCGGCAGACATGTTCATATCGGGGGCGGCTATGGCCATGGCTTCCAAGTCTGCTTGTTGTTGTGCCTTGCCTTCGTATGTATTGTCGTCGGGCGCTGCAATCATAGCTGCTTCTTTATCTGCTTGTTCTCGAAGTTGATCCGCGTCAGGTGCGGCTATGCCGGTTGCTTCCATGGCTGCTTGCTCACGATGTTTTTGGAGCTCGTGATCGTTATACGCGGCTGCACCTGCAATGCCTAAAGCGGCGCCGCCTAGGCCGGCGGCAGCGACCGTGGTAGGTAACTCGTGTTGATTATTACGCGTAGCGTTCATATTCTGAATGGGTTCGTAAGTATAAGGATTCACACCATCTTCTTTAGCAGCTTGATTTATCATCTGTGCGTGTGTCGGCGACGCGGGATTAGGGTCCTCTCCATAATTGTGGCTAACACCACTTGCGGGCAGAGCTGCAGCAGTGGTTACTGCATCATCCGCTTCACCTCCAAAATTGGAACTGCCACTAGAAGGCGAGAGAGGAGCCTGTAAGCCACGCGCCGCATTGACTTGTAGATCTGAGGGAAATCTCCCACCTGGTTCAGGACGTTTCTGTTCTTGTTTGAGTCCTTGGGTGCCTACAATGGCTGACGTATGTGCTGAAAATGGTTCTTCGTCCTCCTCGTCCATGACTCCGTCGCTGCTGATGGAACTAGCTCGTTGGGATGTACCACTAACGCTGCGGGCATGCTGACGCACAAACGCATTACGTTCTTGTGGAGACTTTTCCGTCAAAGTCTTGATGTCTTCGTACCAAGCAAGTAGGGTATCACGTGTCTCTGCTCTAAAAACCCAAGAGTGTCCACGGTGTAATGCCCCAGTTTGGCGACCTTTGAGTATGAACTTGTTGGAGGATCCTCCCTCGTTTGAATGAGAGCCAAGTTTTTGCTCAGGTAGATAGAGAGACATGATGGGCGCTTGAAGTTTATCCGCAGAACGGAACTCGTGTAGATGAGTAGGAGAAAGGACGTACCAGCCGGGACTAGAATCAAAATTAGTACATAACTATCGATCATCACTTTTACTTAATCGCTCACGTGTAAGACTACATTGAAATCAGCAGGGTGTCACATGCTTGCAATTGGAAGGAATTACCTTTAGGAACTTGGACTTTCTCTCTAGGAGACCCTCTCTGATGCATCCAGCGAGGTCGTTGTCCTGGCCAGGATATCTTATAATTTCTGGTGTTCTTACAGGGATCTTTGGATCAACGAAATATTCATCATTTTCAACAAATGCAGTCCACTCATGATCCTTTGGCATGGCAATAGGACCCGTGCGTAGTTCATCGACGGCGGCATAAGCAGTATCTGCTTCTCGCTTCAGGATGCCTGCCAAGGCGTTGTAAGATTTTTGAATCTCGCCGACGACAATGGCTTCGAGCTCCCGCCCTGAGGCTTCCAAGTTGAGATATGCCTGGGAATATTAGAGACGGGCGACCATGCGCATATACGGAACATACCTGGTGCAAGTAATTCTCTTCATCGATCTGCTTCTCGACCTGACGGTCCACAGCAAGTCTGAGCAGGTATGGATCATGCTTGCCCGTCATTTGAGAAGGATTAACATCCGCTTGACCCAAACCCTCTTGTAATGCGGTCACAGCTTTTCGTGTGGCTTCCATCTCCTTATCGACCGAATTCTTAAAATCACCCGATAAACCCTTGATCTCCTTGATCTTCTGTTGCAAATCGCTGCGCAAGCCTGTCAAAGCAAGAATGACGTCTTGTTCAATGTCCCTGGACTTATTTGCCTCTGCGATTGCGGACTTGTGATAGTTGCGAAGGATTTGGAGGGCATCATCAATCCCACCCGTCGGTAAAAAGACAGACGGCGCCGTTGTGTTGTTGATAACATTCGAGACCTTCGAGAGACTCTTCGATCTGTGCTCGTACTGACTTTGGATTTCTTTGAAATAGAGAATAAGGTCCTTGAGGACCTTACGCCAAGCTGCAAGTAGAAATGATAAATTAGCATATTGCCGCAGACGTCAATTGTCGGGTAACTACCTTGAAATCTGTTTGCCAAAATATCCGTGGGATTTCCGCTGGTAGGGACGGGAGAATAAAATGCACTGTGAAACTCATCGATATCACCCTGCGGATGAACGACCAAGCTGCGAACACTTCCAGCTCGCGAGCTGCGTTTGCTACTACTTCTCTTTAAAGAAGTCTTCTTTTTGAGGGTTCCGCCTCTTGAAGGAATCAAGGTATCGCCTTGCGACATGACTGAATGTGATCGATGCATATTGCCGTCTACTATTGAACTTCCTCGTTGACTTGCGTCCCACTCCTCGTTGAATCTTCCGTGTGAGTTCTGGCTATTTGCAGGAGGCTCAAGTTCGTTTGTGGCGTAATCCGTCACTGCAGGACCTCCATTCACGAACTGAGACTGAGGACGAGCTCGCGGGGTACTTGCTGCGCCGTATCCTTGATCTGTATGTAATTGCGAAGGAGCAGGTATTGCGGAATTGGTGCTAACGGTCGACATGACAATTAATGAAGTTAGGTTCAAATCCGGGAGGAAAGGAAGTCGATGGTGGGTTGATTGTTGACGTAGCGGCTCAAACTAAACTGGGTTGTGTGCTAAAAAGAGACCAAGACATTAGACACAACAATGGATCGATAATTCAATAAAGAAGCAGGAATTGCGAGATGATCTTGAGAATACTTAGTAGGTAGGTGAGGTAAATAAAATGACTCTCGGGTGTGAGAAAAAATGTTCATGTATGTAGGTAGGTCGGTCGTGTAGGAATTAAATATAGTAGTACAGTGTACAGTGTGTTTTTGTTACCTTCCAAGTTATGTTGGGGGAGGGGTGAAGGGGGGGTGGATGGATGAATGAATGAATGAATGATACTGTGATAATTGATAATTTGCGAGTTAAACTAGAATCGGATGGGGAGGAATGACTAGTATGTAATGTAGGTATGACAAGCAGGAGACTACTTCATGGGGAGGTGGGGATTTACCGATGACTTTTCCTGTACGTACCAGGTATTATGTATTATGTATTATGTTTGTAAGTATGTATGTATGTATTATGTATTATGTATTATGTATGTATATATGTATATATGTATATATGTATGTATGTATGTATGTATGTATGTATGTATGTATGTATGTATGTGTGGATGTCGGTACTATGTGTTTGCTTCACGAGGCAAATCGAATAAAGAGAAATGATAAACTCTATGACGCGTTCCGCACCGAACAATCAATGAATATAAAAATATGGTATAGAAGTATAGTGTAGTTCGTATAGAATGCTATGCTATGGTATCGTGAATATTTTACTTCCAGTGTTTTTTCGTAAAATAAATCCCATGAAAGATATTAGGAGGGGAGGGAGGTACTAGGCTTTGTGGATTATCATAAATCAACATCAGGATCAAGATCAATAGCTTCACAAGAATTAGATACTACTAATAAAGTACTAGGTATCGATAGGTATCTAGTAGACAGATTAAGCATTCAGCAAATCTGAAATTGTCTCTTCTCTACTTGTGGTTATTAATAAAATCAGGAAATTCATTCATCCATCCATCCATACGTCCATCCATCCGTCCATCCATCCATACGTCCATCCATTCATCCATCCGTCCATCTACCCATCCATCTACCCATCCATCTACCCATCCATCTACCCATCCACCAACCCATTCATAGGTACAGTAAAAAGTAAATGTGAAAATTTCATCTTAATTTCATGTTCATGGGTTGATACAATGATTTACATTGTGATAGTAAACCAGATTCCAGGATTCCAGGATTTCCGAGATTCCAAGGATTCGTAATGAGAAGTTTCCCCCATGACGTGGATAATTCACCCCACTTTTATAGAAACGGGGGGGGTTTTGAATGGTGGAGGGGTCGAGTTGAATGAACGAATGAATGAATGAAGAAGGAACAAAAGAAAACAAAAAACCGAAACGGAAAGAGAGAAACCTTAAACTAAACTAGGGAGTCGAAAATCTTGTTTTCGGCCTAAAAAGATAATTTCAATATTGGATTTTGGCGAATGAACTAGAAAATAAGACGAATCAGGTGAACAGTTCCAACTTGAATATGAAGATCATCCTCTGCGCTATCTTATTAGTTGGTACGATGTATTTGGAATAACATAACCCTCTTGATGGATACTGTTGACGATGTGATCATTGAGTATTTCCCAATTGAAGTTGATTGGTTAACCTTACATTGCTGTGTTGATGACTAAGCCTGGATCATCAGGGAGAAATGGGGAATAAGCCAAGATCTCATCATTACTACTCCGTATTTGTGCATCACTAGCTATGTATGTATGTATGTATGTATGTATGTATGTAATGTACATCATCTACTGCACATCTTGGTTAGGTTATCGTTCAAGACGGCCCAGGTTGATGCTTCTCCTTCTCTCCCTTATCTAGCCACGTGCCACATGCATAATTCACATGTGCGTGCTTCTCCTTACGGAGTACATAAAATACTGCCTAGGTAGGTAGGTATATCTATCTATCTATCTTACTAGGTAATTTCACACATGGATCTCAACGATTTTTTTTCAAATTTAAATCTGCATTTCGAGTCCCGAATCCTGGCTTCTCAACGGGCCACTCCCTACTAGCTACTAGTTACTAGCTACTAGCTACTCGATTAGGAAACAGAAAAGATCCACCGTAGAAAAAATCTCCCATCGATCCAGCGACTTTGACTAAATCCACCCACTCACTACTGCTCACTACTCCTCTGTACACGTGCCCCATACCAATTTACGATCAAGGGTGTCTTCTACTTGATGGAGTCTAGCACAATGATCTCCCGTTGGGATCCCCTGACTTATTCTGTTCCCCGCAAAATGACTCGATCATCCAGCTTGTTCCAGCTTCTTCCTTAAGGAGATCGAAGTCACGGGGGGGGAAGCTTAAAGAAGCTTGAGAGAGGTACCATTTAAGACATGTGAGACAAAGTCAAGACAAAGTCTCAATATATCATGTATATCCAGGGACCCGCCGACGAGGTATTAAGACAGGTTCTACCAAATTTTGAAAAGGTTTTTATTTTTATTCTTTCAGTTCTTTTCATAACCTTTTTGGTAATTTTAAGATGTTACATGATTTCGCTAATTATTCTTCTAGGATCAGGATCAGGATCAAAATCAGAATCAGGATCAGCTTGGTTCGGAGAAGGAGAAGGGGAGGGATATGGAATTCTAAAAAGAACCATAATTTAATTGCTCTTCTAGGATCACCATCAACTTGGTCCAAGATGGAAAGGATATCGAATTCTAAAAAGAACCATAATTTGATTCCAATAATTCGGGTCTGTGTCATCCTTACAAGCTAAGGTTACCCACCACTTGACCCACGGAAAGGATTTGAAGTGGTCCAAGTCAATCTCAACGGTTTGACCTCGGAATGTACAACTTCAATTCCATGATTAATATTATTAGTGTCATGGTCGTCCGTTACTGATCAGAGCCTTGGCTGGCGCATCACAACTGTTGCCGTATAATAATTGCAAAACACCTTGCGTATCCCATTTCTGCTTCAATGACCTCGACTCCCCTAGCCTTTCTTCTCCATGGTATCGTCATTCAACAGGATCTGTGCGATTGCAATTTGCATAATCAAACCTACTCTTCCTCGGCATGACCGTCTCTCATGGCTGCGATCGCTTTGTTCTCGAAGCCGAGCATGGTGTCATGGTAATCGGCGCTATGGTACCATGAGAAGCGGTTGCGCCGTACGAGGAAAGAGCGTAGTTAGCATTTCTGTTGTAGCATCTAGGAGGACCTCTCTTACGGCCATAAATGGACATGTTCATTACCAAATGCCGAAGTGGTGGGAGGTAAGTTTGAAGTTCCAGTATGCAACTCGAATCCATAACCAGTAGTACCAGCATCAGGGCAGGTAGCTAACAATTCTGTGAATCTGGACAACTTTCAAGAAATTTTGGCCTCTGAAATCAGGAAAGCTCGCCAACCTGAATCGTTTAAACTCTCCTTTTGCACAGACGAAACCCCAAATGGTCGCTTAAATGTGGGTAGTGAAGGGTTGATGTTGAGAGTATAGTTGAATTGTGATCTGTGAGAGGGTGAAATGCAAGAGGTGCCTCCGTTGGATCTCCGCTAAATTTGAGACTGACATCAAGCGTTCAGGCAAGTGGGTACATATGCATGTTTTTATTGACAGTATTTTGGTACGCGCAGCCTGTCCATCTGCTTGCGGGGAGGAAAGATTCAGGTCGGATGAAAACTTACATGAAACGAGGTGCAACTGCAAGCATTGGCTGGAATTCTGGTGGTGCTGCCATTTCCATCATTATCCCGGCGGTGTTATAGTTCGTGGTGGCCATCAATCGTTCCATGGCGCTGCACACTTCCTCCGCGCGATCCAACGTGATACGAAAAGTTGCCGACCCAATGCGCGCCTCATGGGACCCAATATTGACAATCTATACGTCTTTAAAGTTAGTTCTAGCATCACACTAAAATTTGGCCTGCCCCTTTGATCGCCCAGAGTGGTTCGGGCTCAACCTCTTCCACTTGGATGTACAAGCGTACCATCAGCAGTGATATTTTTTTGCTTTCAAACATTTGATCGCATCCTAAACTAACCATAGCAGCCAGAGTACTGATACCGCCATCAAGACAGAAGGGGATAATTCCGACAGTGTTTCCATTGCCGGTTGCTAAGACGGAAAATGAATAACAGAATCTTGGACCACTGTCCGATGATTTAAGGAACCACCGTCTTGCCTGTACATCGACCGATTTGAACAAGGCGGTAGATAGCTCCGTCATAAAGACAGCCCGTGACGATGATTGATTGAGATTCCGTGTCAACACTGACTGATTTGTGCAATAATCCGATTGTTGACTGGCACAGTTGATTGTGAATTATAGATCATGATTCTCAATACTACTATCTCCATTGCAGAGATATATGATCTTATTCCTTTTCCACTTATCTATGATATAATGGTGCACCTCTCGTCGGTACATACGGTTGCGCCGCAGTAGTTTGAATTCCTAGTAGGCCTTTTTCTACTCATAGCATCACATCTGCCCACCCACGATCACGCCCCTTGCCTTTCACTTTGTCTCATAACTTCACCTTCCACCACGATTACTCTGATTCAAACTGTGTGGAAGCTGCTTTCGGCTTCTGGCTTTGGATTTTTGAAACTACAGCACAATCTAGCTCGGAAATTCGAGACTATCCAATCTCCAGTTTCATCGGCTAAGAGCTCTTGGTTCCTGTCTGTTAGGGTGGGTGAATTTCTTGACGTGACGACTAGCACTGGACAAGATTTCCCTATGGTGCCACGGGACCGCATTTTCGCTTCTCTTCAGCGCTCTTGGGATGTGAATTTGGGAGGCATGCGCTGACGGCCGCTAGAGGAGCTTCGATGTTCTTCCAAATGATAATATTTGTTGCATGATTTATCTTTGTTGTATTAGCAAACTTCCATTGTATCACATTGCCATATTTGTAGGTACTTGCACATCTTATCCAAGAAGCAAACGAGAAGAGGTTCATTTGCAATCTAATAAATCTTATGATACTACTGCTTGCAAATAATACGAGTTATCTTGAAGTAAGGATAAGCACAATTCTGACATTAAGCTGTAATAAAAGAGAAAGGATCTTACTTTTGAAATTTGTAATTATGTTTTTTTCTCCCTTATAATAGTAAAAATGTCGTATTGTCACAGCAGCAACTCACGACTACAACGGCCAAAAAAACTTCATATCAATACTTACTGTTGGTATCACTTTTGGTGATACTGTTCACATAGTACCTTATGGGTTGGATTTTATTCATTCTTACTAATTACACTATGAGAAGAGAATCCTATTATTATCAAAGGGAAACACTAGAGTCCTGTAGTAGTACGGCTTCATATGAGAGGCTAGTCACGTGACGGTACTTACAATTACGAAGTCTCCAACCTCCCGTCCGTTTCTCCTCGTCCTCATTTTTCGCTCTTCGTGGATTTGCAGACTCTCCAACAGCCGCCGCCCTCTAGCCACTAGTAATTATTCTCATTTCGTGTCGGCTAGGGATTGTGGATGGTGAAGGAGTGTCTGAAAGTCAGAGTAAAATTGATACTTACAATTATTATAAAGTGTATGTTCTATTATAGTTCTTACATTTTGGTACAAAAACAACGATATTTACAAAAGCAAAAATTCTAAAGTCAAGTAGGTGAGAGTAACAAACTATATTCCGCCCTCTCCAAAAATGACTGACCATAGACGACATTTTTACTGCAGTTTGCGGGTTCGACTCAAGGAAAAGGAATTATATCTAGCATTCTCCCATGCTTCCATTTCTCAACCAAAGCAATAGACCATTGATGTTCTGATTTGATTTGGACAATTAAGTGACAATGTTATAATTACAGACCAATTTGGACAATCAAATTCAATGTTTGATCTTGAATTTGGGAACTAACATTGTTTGGCAATTTGTGATCCGTATCCTTCATGTCATTTCGGCCACCGCTACTCTAGAGCCATCTGGGCTTCTTATATCAATAATTAATCTGCCGCATAATGATAATGGAGATCATACAGTCCCTCCTCCGACTAGGAACTTCCAGGATTATTCAAAACACCAATTCTCCTGGCTTGAATTTTCCCTTGTTACTATATTTACCATGACCTTCCTTTTTGGGGGAGCAATCTGAACGGACAAGTTGTTGAGATCCTGACCAGGTTCAATCCAGGTCTTCCGAACTGGTATTACGTCGAACCTCATTGCTAGCATTGCCACGAGCGCTGCTAACTCTGCCATAGCGAAACCTCGTCCAGGACATGAATTTACCCCTCCGCTAAAGCCTCGAAAAGCATGTCCGGAAACCTTGCCACAAAAGCGGCCTGCATGAAATGAACCAGCATTTTCTCCCCATGTCTTCTCATCAAAATGTAATGCTTTGTTGGCTATGATCACGATCGAGCCTTTCTTAAGTAAATACTGGTTGTCCCCAACGATCATATCTTCCATGACCATACGTGGTCCTGATCCCGTAGCTCGGAATCTTAAGGCTTCTTGTTGAGCAGAAAAGAGTATTGACACATCTTTCAATTTGCGAAGATTAATCTTGCTTTGTAGGACAATTTGTTTGAGGCAATTATTCGGTGGCTGCCATTGCTCGAGCCTGTTTCCGAACCTCTTCAAGAAGCGCTGGATCCGAGAATATGTGTAAGCGTCCAGAAAGCTGTGGGAACCGTGTTCGTCATTATTGCGATACCATTTACACACTCAAACCTGGCGAGGTCGTCGTGAGTCATCTCGGCTGACAGAGCTCAATGTCTTGCTTGGACGAGCGATGAACCATTTTTTGGCCGCCATCAGCGAAGTAAAGGCTCATCGCCTCTACTACTATGGCTCGACCTTTAATAGGTTTTGAAGCAAGGAAAGCAGGAAGAAGCGTCGTTAGCAAGAGTGTTATGCTATCATTAGCAAAGTCCCTAGAGCAAATTCAGCTGCATCCGACAGAAAATATTTGTTTGAGTGATACATACCAAAACCCAGCTTCTACCTTTGCATCTCGATACGGATTCGCAGGACCATAGATACTCTCTGTTGTGGCGACTGTGATTTCGTGCTGAACCCACGCCCAAAGACCGATACTTGAATTTTCATGCCCTGCCTCGTTTACTAAATTGCCAAGGTGGGCTTGTATAATTTCTGCTGCAAAATGGATCATTCTATCAACTCCACCAAGTGGCGAGAGCGCCTGCTGTGTGGCTTTCAACCCATATATTAGAAGGCTGGGTTCTCGGAGGCTGGCTCTAAATTAGCGACAAGTTTCCTCGATGCGTCTCTACTCAGACCGCCGAGTTCGACTGTGAAATGGGCCTCCAAGTAACAAAAAGAGGCAACCTTGCCCTGGCGCTGGAGAGAATGCATCAACTCTGCAGAGCCCATGATGTGAATTTTCCGGCCAAACATAGAGATCGAAACTATTTGTGCTTCCCATTCTTGGCTATGCATTTAGAGGCGCGCTTATCAGCAATCATGTTCTGTTTTATGAGAAGTTCTGGCCTCTCTAGTTATTCAAGCTTTTCATTTTCTTCTTTAGAAAGATATATACAAATACTTTATCTTGAAAAATTTAATGAAATGAAAATTATCGAAAAAGAAGAAGAATATTATAATATTAATAATAATCCAAAATATAAAATTATAAAGAAAGTATAACAAATAAAAGAAAAACATTTAAATCAAAACATTTAGATTTTATCTTTATTTTAAACGTTATACAAGATATAAGATTTCTTGATTTGATTAAACTAATAGAAAAAGAAATACTAATTTTTCTATATATTCTTTTCAAAAATAAATATATTTATAAATTAAAAGTGTTTATTGATTTAAAAATAAATAGATTTGTTTTTATTAATAATATACTTTTTATTTATTTATTTTCTATATTCAAATTCAAAATTATATTCTTTTCGATTTCAATTGAGATCAAGAATTATAATAATATACAAAATCGAATCATTATATATTACATCTTTCTTAATTTAACAATTAATAATTATAAATAATCATTTATACCTTTTCTTATTACAAAACTAAGCACTTATAATATCATATTAAACAAGCTTTGATTAATCGAAATTTGAACGAAATTAGATTGTTTTTATTGATGTTTTAAATAATTTGTAAAGCAACCTTATATTATCTCTTTGTTACAAGGTAACAGTCAACCTGTCCACATGAGCTTAGGCCTCATCGAAAAGCAAGGCAACTTGTATACAAATTTGTATGGTAATCGCCTCATGTGGTCTCCCCACCCTCAGCAAGCTCGGACATATAGTCTGATCCTAGAGGTCACGTGATGGACCCTACATATACAAGGATACGAATCGTAGGTCCCTACGAATCTATAGGATACGAAGATCTATATAAACCAGAGGGGTTTCCTGTATATAGGAGCTTCGTGCTCAAGATCAATCATTTAGTATACTCTACTATTAGTTACGAATTGCAACCATTGATATTACTTTAAAGCTCCTGCTTGACGCCTAGTTATAAACCATTCGAGGATCCAGGCCACTTCCACGTGATCTAGATCGCATCCCTCGTAACACTCTTATTCCAATTCTATTTTTCTTACCCAATTACTTTTCCGGAAATGAAAGATCGATTGATTCGCTTAATAAGATATTGAACAATAAGATCATTGTCATGATTTATAGTTTAGATTATAGTAGTATTATTAATGTCGGTGATTTATATGCTGATTACAAGGGGGATGTTGTAACGATCTGGTCGAGGCAGCGGCTGCCTGAGGTTTCGTATGGTTGGTAGTTGTAGATTAAGGCTATTAATCACTGGTTATCCACTTGAAAATGAATTCGTTACTAGATCAATTGGAATGTAGGTAAACTAATTGATAACTAAGTTGAGTACGAAGCTCTTAAACTATGAAACTATTCTGACTATATACTAATGAATGGAAAAGAGCTCTGTGAAGCCCAAGAGCTCCAAAAAGCTCCTGGAGCTCTAGGAGCTTGGAGAGCTCCTAGGGCTCCTTATCACGTGATTGATCCTGAGGCCTCTCCTTTCCTGGAACACTTGTTCCAGGAGCTTTCCTCTAGGAACCACGGCCCTAGGATACGATATCCTCTAGGGTGATTGTCCTATTACAGTCAATTAGCTAGGACACTTGTTCTATTCTAATATAGTTGCCTAGGATACTTATCCTAGGAATCCTGGGGTCCTATTCGTAGGTGACTAGGCCCCCTGAAAGCAACGGTTAAATCACACCCCCCCTGTAATCGGCATATGAATCACCGACATCAATAATACTATTATAATCTAAACCGTGAATCGTGACACTATCACTTTTACAATATTATAAACTCTTCAAAAAAAATCAATATAATAATAATTATATTATAAACTATTGAAATATAAAATTGATCAAAAGATTAATTGAAACTTTAATATAGATTTATATTATTTATATTTTATATTTGAATTATTACAATAAAGACTTTAATAAACTTTTTTGATAATAATAATATAAGAGTTCTGGAATCTACTCACCGCACACTAAGCGAAATCACACCAAAATCAACGATTTTTTCAACTTTTTAAACCCTTGTTATCTTTATAAAATAATAAAATAAATAAATGAAAATTGATAAATATATAGATAATTCATTCAAATATAATAAAAATTTAACAAAATATTTTTTATTATTTTTGTTTTAAAGTTATATATATTTAAGATTGAAAAAACAAAAAAGTTTAAAAAAATCGCTTATTTTATATAGGGAAAAGTTCAAAAAAGCGTTACACAAATGAAATTTTAACATTTTTTAAATTTAAATAGATATAACTTTCAAACAAAAATAATTAAAAATAAATTATAAATCTTTTCAATATCCTTTTGTAGTTAATTATAATATTTGAAAATTTCATTTAATTCAATTCAATATTGAAAAATTTATTTGATATTTTATTTTATATAGGAAAATATGAGTTTTGCAGGGATTTTGTCACGAATTTAAATGGTGTGCGGTGAGTAGATTCCAGAATTCTTACTTTGAACAATAATTTGAACGTTAGATAACGATTATTATTTTTTTGTAAAATTATTAGTTTTAATTTTGGTAGTGTTATTATACAAATTTTAGCTCTAGTGTCTTCGAATATAAAGTGTATAATGGGGCCACTCACAATTAACCTCCAACAAAATATTTTGAGGAAGATTGAAAAATCTTATGAAATTTCCGTACCTGATATTGTAAGATATTATCTTCGTTTAAGTATCTTATAGAAAGGTATTTACTAGATATAAGAACTACAATAGAAGACACGCTTTGTTTGTCATTCTAACTCTAGCTTGCACTCCCGTCCTCGTCCACCGCCCACAACTCTTAACCATGGCAAAATGACAATGATTGTTGGTCACGAGAGGTTAATGGTAATCGCAAAGCCCGTGATGTACAAAGTGTGAGAATGGGGCGAAGAAAGGGGGGAGGAGGAATGGGAGAAAAGATGTGGTGGGAGAATTAGAAAACTAGAGGCACCTCTTTGCACATTTGTCTACTCATCTAGTATTTCCACTACCACCTAAAAATACCTGATATTGTCAGAGACTAATCAAATTGGGAGTTCAGTACTATATATTATGGTCGGAGTCTCTAGAGTAAAAACCATCGAAACTTTTCTAAACATAAACGATCGAGCCGCATCTAAGCTTGAACCACTTAAACCATCGAAACTCCTAAGCCATATAATCCCAAACTATCGAACGCCAACCATATATTTAACCCATCAAATGCAAAACATCAAAACCCGAATTTGAAAACAGAATCATGATTAAACAACAACTTTCAGCTCGCATACTTCTTCGATTTGCCCTACGGTATCGTCCCCCTGAAAAATATACTGCACCGCCGTGTTTTGTTGCCCTTCAAGGCGAAAAATATGGCTAATCGTAACCTGCTGCCAATCTTGAAGCCTTGCAATAGCTATATTTGGTGAATGGGCTATCGGAGTTATGATGAGAGGCAGCGTATGAAGATACTTTAAGTTGCCCTTCAAATTACGACCAGAACGACAGGTGTGGATGGCCTGCCTCCAAAAGTCACCAAACTCGATTATGTGTGGTGGAAGCCCCTCTATGAAGGCGTTAGGCAGACTCAATCGGATTATCAACGCTGGTGAAGTTGTTGCTCGGCGTTTTATATAATTACGATAATGCTCAGCGGCCTTGAGATCTGGCGCAAAGTAAAGCATTGTGCCTCCAATGCCTCGGAAGTCGCTCGGAGTCCCACTCACTAGAGAGTCAATTTCAATATTGCCCTCTCTATCCCTTCTTACTCGGTCTGTGGAGATGGCCTTGTACAAGGTTAGGTGACCTGGGACATTGGATGTCCCTGAGGCCGTGTCGGTTACGACACTAGTATTGAGGGTGTCTCTATTCTCCGCTCTCGAGTCGCTATCTCTCATTATCCGCTCCAGACTTAAATATCGTATCTCCATGGTATCTCTGACCCAGTGATGAGCCGACTCTGTCAACCTCACATTCGAAAACTCGGCATCCATAATAGCGTTGATGAGTTCTGAACTAACGCCCCAATCCCGCATGTGTTCTTCCCAGTCGCCTGCACTGTCTTCGAGCTCGTTATAGGGGATGTGGCCGGTAGCATGTTCGAGAAATTCTACTTCAAGTACAACATCGTCCCACACTTCGACTGAATTGATTGTTGTCCATCGTGCCCATATTTCAGCAGCTTTCTGGGAGGTCCAACCGAGCCATTCCAGTGTCTCCTTGCTGTGAAGAAATTCTGGTATCAAGGTATAGACTCTAGCATCTACTGCTGGGTCTTCTGACCCCCCAGATTCGGAGGAGGAGAGCGGCTCGGAGTGTGAGAGGGAGGATGCAATTAGCCTCCTTCTATTTACCGCTGGCTTCACAAGATTCCGTTCCGTGAGGAAGGCATTGTCAACGGCGTTAAAGATGGGTTTAGATGTCATCGTGAGGTTTGGCGTAATTTGAGGTTATGTTGTAGTGGCTTATTGGTTTGGTACTTGGTGAACTGGATGTGGATCACGGTGTGCGGCTTTGGTTGGCATGGTGTAAAGCAAATGAATTGTATTGTATTGGAATGGAATGGGATCAAAGCAGCATATTTATAGAGGGGGAAAGTACATTTTTTGCCATATTCTGCTACATTTTGCCATGTGATTCACACTAATTCACATTTAATTCACTGGGTCGCGGGAAATGAGTCGTGGTGTTCAATCACCGATACTTGGCTATGAATACCTAATCATTATCACGACCACTAACTCTGTCCCTAGAAAGAGTTAAGGTTTTTGATAACTTTGACCAACTCAAACTACAGTAGAGCTAGGTTATACCGGATCGAACATTCGACCAATAAAATCCGGTTTCACCTAGGATCCAACAATGAACACATTTGATCAATCAAGGTAATCGGCTTTTATAATCTCTCGAATCGTGATGTCTTATGTAAATCATTCAGATGTTCATTTTAAAAGATAGGTTCTACTACTCTAAGCGACTCTTATAAGGGGAATAGCTTTATTTAGACGAGTCTTTCAAAGCTTAAATATATTCAACTTTTCCTAATAATATCCAGTAGAGACATCTATAGAGTCAAGAAGCCAGGTATCTTTTAATTTATTAGAAAATATCCGTCGCCAGAGAAGTTTTATTCTTTTTAAAGATAGCTGGTTTTAGATTCTTAAGAGGTGGTTTTAATAGAAGGTATTTTGTATTTTCTATATTTGATTTTTAATATAAATATAAAATATATCAAAATTCACTTTCACTTCAAGATTTTGATAAAATCAAATAGTTCTATCACTTAAGTGAAAGTATTTCAATCATTTAAAAATCACTTTTAAACTATATTACAAAAGGTTATCAAAGGTTTTAAACCTACATCAGGAAAGACTATCAAGAGATGATCAGTTTGCCGACTCTTTAAATACGTCTAGTGACAAATGGAAACTGTAAGAACTTTTTGATTACAAAACTCTATAGCAGGCGTCCAACATACCTAAGATGTAGGCTTACTAGTAGATACTAATAGAAGGTACTGACCCGAGCAATTTCCTTTACCCGACTAGTTCATGAAAAGGTAGATAAGCCAGACAAGGCAAAAAACCTCCTCTGAAGTGGACGGGACCATTCCCTTGGATGGGTGAATACTCATTCATTGTTCATTGGTTTTCGTCACATGGAAGAAGGCGGTAGATGTATGGAAAGGTTGAAGACAAGCTCGAAATGAAGTAATAAATATGTGCTCAAAGCCGGTTAATGCCATTACGCCCAGGATATGTACGACCCTCCATGTACACAGAATTTAAGTGCCCTACTTGGTAGCTCCGAAACTTTCGATAACTACCATGTAATTCCAATGTTTGAATGGGCATGAATACCCTTTTCAACACTCCTCGCTCCGACGCCATTGTATGCATTTATGGAGGAACACAGACGAGACCTTCCCATCCTAATAATATATACCCCCACGATAACTCCAAGTTCGCCTATAATACGCAAGAATTTCCAAATTCCATTACTCAACCTCTGTCGCCTCAGGTGGCATTGTAACCATAGCCTTAAGTTTTGTTCTCCTCCTCGGGGGTGTCTTTGGTGGGACTTTTTTCTGCAAATTACCTGCTCTAACCGGGGGTGGAAGTGGAGGTAACGCATGTTTCTTCCTCTGTAACTCGTCTGAGGTTGCCATCACTGGCGCATCACGATCGTATGCGGTGCTGTCACTTCCCGCTTTGCGACTTGGTGTTTGGACACCGGGTTTTTCTTTCACAGCAGCCACATCGGAAACACTTACCGAGCTTCCAGTTTGCGACGGCGAAAGACTCATACCGAGAATTTTCCGCGCTACTTCGCCTTCGCTGATGTCATCATCTCGGAGCCAGGGAACTTTGGCTACTCGCTCGACGAGTCGTATCGTGGTTTCGTCTGCTGGCTCCCAATGTGTATTCCCTGATCCACCAAGAATGCTTAAAACTTTTACTACTTCATCTTTCTTGTAGTGCGGTGGTTGTTGTAATTGTGTATGTGCAAGTAATGGGTAGAGGACTCGAAGATATGTGTGACGAAGAGAAACAAACTCATTAGGGAGATCGAGAAGGTTACGAATTATAACATCTAAGAGGACGCGGAGATCATTAGTGTAGAAATATTCGTAGGTAGCCTTTGTAGTAAACAATAAGTATAAAAGCTTGAGTATCAGAAGTTGTAGAGAAGTTTCAGTTTCGCGGTTGAGTAGAAGAATGATATTCTCCCCGAAGGTCATATATGATGATCCTTTGTGGCTAAGAATTTTAACAACTCGGTTTGTTAGAGAATGTGAAGGATCTAACGTTGACGTAGAAGCAACCATATATTGTTCATTCAAGACTAGCTAGAGAAGCTGTTAGCAGTTGATGCATAAAATCTTCAGCAGGGACTTACCAAAACCCGAATGACAGGATAATGATAAGGATCATCAACATCATCTGATAGCTCTTCAATTATTTGAAAGAGACATGCGACAAATTCATCATCTACCTGACCCAAGTCCTCGAAACTGATTCTTTGCATCCTTGACATCTCGTACAAAAGCTCCAATAGCAGTCTATGCAACGATGGATCTTCGCTGTCCCTTTTCTTAACCAATTCCAACAACCTTGGGAAACATCCCTCCTTATTCATCATCTCGAAAGTTGCCTCATTCTGACGCCCGTCGAATAGTAGAAAGCTCGCTATCACATGCAGGGTGGCCGGTATGTCCTCCTGCATAAGACTATAGATAATCTGCGTCCTCACGTAGTCCTTATTCGCTGCGAACAGTTCGCTCTGCATTAACTTGTGCAAGCATTTTGCGACGTCGAACTCTGATTGCAGATATTCCTCTTTAAAGTTGGTTGTGAATTGTAGGTAGGATCGCAATGCATTATCAATTAATTGGTGCGAGGCACATTTCGCAGAAACGATGTCATCGATTTCTAAAAGCAATTTTTAACACCAAAGTGACACAAGTCTCAAGGGATCTAGATATACATACCATCCCAGAATTGTTGTTCATTATCTAAAGTGTATGCGACCTCGAATCCATCCATATTGGTTGGTCGAAACCGAAAGGGAGATCGTAGAGAGGAGTATTTATGCTATCGTAAGAGCATCCCGAAGTTCTTATGTGCAAAATATTAATATAGTCGAGGAAATAGAATGGGACGTAGAGTCAAGACAAGTCGTAAATTAAGTCCCAATTTGTCGCGATCAACACAGACAATGAACACTGTTGCACGGTTTGTGGAAAGTTGGTGCTCGAGTACTTTTATGAAGTTTGTAGTGACCCGCAACCAAAGTCAATGCCATGGCAATGCACTCGGGATCCAAAAGGTTAGCGCCCGGTATTCAACAAGGCTGATGACGAAGCCTTGTCATGATTCATCAAAATTAATGGTTTATTTAACATTTCATTTCAGTCACATATATTACGCAAAATTCACTCCTTATTCCTTGGTTGATCCTCCAGGTAATATTCCTTTGAAGACAAAAAAGAGTCCTTGAACGATATTACAAGGCACATATTTCGAGCCATATTGTGTATAATTTACAAATATACTGAATGTTTGAATCATTGTCAACTTGAAAAGCTTAACCAACACCTGAAATCCGACTAACTTCTTAACCGAAATTGAAACCCCCTGGACCAAACTTGAAGTTGAATTGTTGACCTCCACCATGTTGATGTCCACCGCTATGTTGGAAAGGGAATCCACCACCACCGAATGGGTTACCTCCTTGAAACGGATGGCCTCGTTGTTGCTCGTGATCATTCGGATCATCTCCTTGATCGAAGCGAGCCTTTAATTCAGGATCACTCAGTACTTCATATGCTTCGTTAATGGCTGCCATCTTCTTCTCGGCCTCTTCCTTGTTAACTCCTTGCTTGTGAGCCTTGTCGGGATGGTTTAGCTTTACCATTCTTCTGTATGCCGACTTGATTTGAAGCTCATCCGCATCCTTGGATACCCCTAGAACCTTGTAATAGTCTTTTGTTTTGCTTCGCTTTAACTCTACTTGAGCTTTTTGTAAGAGCCCTCCAATCTGCTGTGCATCAGGGTGATGTTCCTTTGCTGTATTGAGGGCGGATATTGCAGCTTCGTAGTTCTCCGCTTCCATGTGTTTCTGGGCTTTGTGAAGAAGTCCATATAGAGAGTTTTCGTTGAGTGAAAGAGCTTCGTCACAGTATGTAGCAGCTTTCTTGGTATTCTTGGTCTGTGTTGTGTTAGTTACAGAGGGATTTGTCGCTAATGCCCTAAACATACCTCGTGATAAGCCTGGCAAACCATTTCCACAACTTGAGTTACAAGGTGATTTGGCGCATGCTCCGGGATTATACCAGACTCTCGGAACTCCTTGAGATCATCCTTAATCTCTTGAACCAACCCAACGTCCTCTCCAGATGGGACGAGAAGTTTCACTCCACTCGAATATTGATGCTTTTCAAAATTCTTCCGAGCCTGGGCCAAGTTTTTGTCGATGGTCTTCTCTCTTCTATACAATTTCTTACAGCTCTTTGAATCTGGGTCTGAATGTAAGCATTTCCTCAACTGATCCATACCCTGTTCCAATTCTCCTAGATTGTAAAAGTTAATCGTAGAAATCCGGAGATGGGGGTCGGTAAGTCCTGGCTGCATTTGTAAAACGTGCTTAAGATCACTCATTCCTTCTTGGACTTCCCCGCGCTCAAAACGACAATGAGCTCTGGTCTTGCGAAGTGATACCACCTTGGACGCAACCATAATTGCAGCTCCAGCCTGTGTCACACATTCTTCCCAGTTCTGGCTCTTCTCTGCATCCATTGCCAAACTAGCTGCACCTTGGGCCTCAATTAAGTTTGCGAGTTCTTCTTCGGCTCCCTGAGATGCGCCCAAGGCGAGGTAATCTTGTTTTGCGCTTTCCCAATCGCCATTCTTTGCCCTGATTTTCGCCCGTTGTGAAAGTGCCGGCTCATGGCCTGGTTTGATTGTCAAAACCTTGTCAAAGTCCTGGGCCGCCTGGGCCATTCGACCGAGGGACAGGTAGGCAGCTCCGCGACGGAAATGACTTAAATAGTTCGATGGATCGCGGGCGATCGCAATATCATAATAAGTTAAAGCATCGTTTGTTTCGCCCTTTGCCAAATGCGCGTTGGCGGATGCCAGCAAAGACGAGATTGGTGTATCCGATGGGATGTCATTCGCAGAAAGAGCAGAAACCAATGAGTTTGAGGATAAGAGAGTTGCTGCAAAAGCAAGGACCGACAACTTTACTTTCACAATCATATTGACCGGATGGGTTAAGGTTAACGTCTACGACGAATCTAAGCAGAGAGGGTTCAAAGCATGGAATAAATAGTCAGAAAAAATAAGAAAGGAAAGTGAGTGATGATGAGTCTTTAAGAAGGAAGAGTCAACAACAATATATGAACAAATTAATTTACACGTGGAAGATGTTTGAGATATCGGCAGTATTATCTGGCCTTTCGTCTGACTTAATTCGGGGGGAAACTCAATTCCTTTGAATGAGAGGCTGTAAAGTAAACTGGAACCGGATGTGGCGCTTGCATTATCTTTGTCTTTAATTCTCTGGAGCCTTGTCTTAATTAGGTTTAATTGGGCAATACCTCCGAACATCCCCTGCTTAGCGGACATCAGCCTCGTCTGCAGAATGAGTACCCTGTTGTCAATGTTTACTCCATACTTTTCATAAAAATAATATATCTTCATCTCAACCCTACCCTACAGATTACCAACCAACCTTTTTGAGAATTTCGATACTCTTCCTCACCTAAATTCACATCTTCTACTTTGTATCTGCGAATTGATCTTCAGTAATAACCATGTCCCATCTCTCGCCGGAAACGATATTCTCTCCCACAGTTGCCCGTCAGCAACTCGCAGCTGCCAAAGATTGGTCATATATTGACAACTGGCTTTCGATCAAATTCGCCAATCAGGGCATCCCATCCTTCGAACGAAATCCTTCTACACTTAAAGCGCTACTCTCTCTCGCCTCACTGAACGAAACTGCAGATGAGGAACAGGAACTCTTAGCTCGATCGCAGGAAAAAGCTCTTACCGCCATACAAACCTCCCTTGAAAACGACCCGAATGCCGAGCTTTTACATAGTCTGGAAGATTCCCTTACTCCAGAAGGTCAAACCTCTCTCGAGACCCTCGCATCCTTATCGACGACCCTCAACCTATCCACGCCCTCCCCCGAACTCATCGGCCGCAAACTCCTCTCCTTGCAAACAACATCCTACACACTTTCTCAAGCCAGCTCCCGCGTAGCTACCCTCCAGCGCTCTCTGACTACCGAAATGACCAACCTAAGTACCCTCATCGCCTCTCTCCAATCACCATCTTATCAAGCTTCCACCGACCTCCCCAAACAAACGGTCGACCTCCAACGCAAAGCAAAAATCCTTAGCAGCAAACTGCCCGAAATCCGCGAGCGCATAGCTGCCCTATCATCTTCATCTAACACATCTATGCCGAAAGTAACTGTTGAGACTATCAAAGCTGAGGAAGAGAAATTCAAAGAGTGGTTAAAGAGAGTCAAGGATTTGGAGACGCAGGTCAAGGCATTCCATGGTTTACCACAAGATGTTGATCTGGCAAGACTAGAACTGGAGAGTTTGAGAATGGAGCTGAGGGACTTTACAAGAGAAAGAGACGGGTTATTTGAGGGATTGGTGGAGAGAGAAAGTCCCAAAAAGAGGGGACGATAGTATGGTAGGTAGTCATCCGAGATTATTTACGATTAGAAGCGAATGCACTACACTCATGAAGCTGTCTCAATGAAGGTCGAGAACAGGTCAATTAAATTTAACGCATCTCGTTATATCATCTCCCGTTCCTTGACCATCGACATACCTAGCTAGACGCATGCCATTTGCTTAAAAAAATACAACCCCAAGAAAAAAAACCATGTAAAGCACATCTTTTGAAAGAATCAACTATATATACAAAACCCTTCGCACCATGTCGCTTGCTTTCCTATCAATCAAATGCCGACCAATCATATAAACCGTAAATAGACCAGTTCATCCATTCAAGAATTCCTTTGTAAATCCCTTTGTGAATCCCTCACACATGCACCAATGCACTAAAAAGAAACGATACAAACAAAAGAGATGGTATCAAATACAGCACTTTTCTCCAACAGCTAGTCTATCACCCGCAAAATCGTGACGCTTGCTTTATAAAAAGGGTTCAAATCATGCAAATATAGAAGTTTACGACGTATAGATAGATTAGCACGGCCTAATCCGATTAATTTGAGATCATCAAGATGATAAGTTATCATGAGATGTAGTTTGTAAAGGCTGCGTGTTGTGAAAATGCCGTTTGCCTAACTAATATGTGCCGCGAATCTTGGCATAAAGTTCCGTGTCCAGAAAGTTGTAGTGTGTGTCCAGTTCACAGAAGGGATGCTGGGTAAGGAGGGTCTCGGCTGTCGGACGTTCGCTGGGAATACTATATAATAGCGTTAGTAACAAGGTAGATTGTTGGGCAAGAGTAGACACATACATAGTCCAGCAGTCCATCATGAAACCTAAAGCCCCAGGGCTGATTGCCTGAGCAACATCATCTGGAATCGGCGGCGCCTCACTCAAACTTCCTAGTTTGTAGATAGCGCCTACAGTTTCCTCCTTGGCCCAAGGTCGTTTCCCACCCAACATTTCTAGGACAACGCAGCCAAGTGACCAAATGTCGACTTTTGCCGAATATCCCTCGCCTTGTGATCGAACGACCTCAGGAGCCATCCAGAACACGGATCCCTGCATGTTATTGGATGCATCATTACCATAGATGTTGTCTGACTTCTTGGAGATACCAAAATCAGAAATTTTGCACGTTCCATCCACATCGAGTAAGATGTTATCGGCTTTGAGATCGCGATGAAGGATACCTTCCCGATGGAGATATGCTAATCCATCTAAAGTTTGGCGAGTTAACGAGCTGACCACGATTTCTTCGAATTTGCCATGCTTTCGAAGACACCCTCCTACACTACCACCGGAGATATATTCCAAAAAAATACTGATGGACATCTCGCCTCTCTCGCAACCGAGATATTGCACAATATTAGCATGATCAAGATGTTGCATAGTATCAATTTCTTGATCTAGCGCAGCTACCATCTCACGCATCTTTTCTTTATCATTTCCAGCAGCTTTAGGATTGACTTCAACCTGCTTGACTGCCAAAAACTCTCCAGTTGTGGCATTCATACCTAGGTAAACACGACCATATGTACCCTTTCCAATAAGTTGACCTTTGAACCACCGAAAGGTAGCTTGTCGTTTAGGTATTGTGTCTTGTGGGATTTGAGGAATGAGTAGGCTACCACGCTGCGGCTTGATTTGCACAATATTAGCACCAAACATCTTGGTACTTTTTCGCCGCTGGATCGTGCTTGAAGTCTTGTCGCCTTTTTCAGGGGCGACCGTAGCTGAGGTATAACGTTTATTTGCTTCGTGCGCTCCTCTTGCCACTTCACGGATTGACTTCATTCGGCCTAAACCACCAGAGCGTCGAATACTGCGATGCGCAACACCCTGCGTTGAGCCCGGTCTTTCAAGTGCCTTTAGGGTCGATTCGTCGGACCCGAGAGTGTCTCCATCACCGTAAATGCTTGTTCCAGGCGTAGAAAGCATAGAAGATCCAGTGATTGATAACGAAGACATGGAAGGCGTTGTAGCTGTAGTTGACTCCACGGTATCTTGTTCTGCGATAGGAGAAACTGGTGCGGAACCACCGACGCCCTCGTCCATTATCGGTTGATCCACATTGAGATTAGGAAAAAAGTCCTCGAGATTCTTAAGGATATTCTCCTCGGGAGGTCTGGGAGCCCAGGTATCGGTACGCGCAAAAGATCGTCTACGGAGTACTTTTGCCTGTTTCTCCTCTTCAGTCTCTTCAACGGTCCGCTCGTTTTCGTCTCTCGGTTGATTGTCAAAATCGGGAAGTTTTGAAAGACTTGATGAGGATGAGCTCTCCTGTTGAGGTGAGCCCCATGATACAGAAAGGCCTTTCTTGGATCTTGCGGTCTTGACAGTCAAACTCGGTCGCTTGGAGATGCCGGAAGTATTATCTCCACTGCCGCTCTCCTTGGCTTTCTGCGTCTTTTGTATTGGTATGCTAAATAAACCAGAGTCGGAGTCGGAGTCGGAGTCGTCTTGCTCTACTTGTTGGGGAGGCTTATCAAAAACAACGCTTGCCTCGGTGAAGTCAAGGTTGGGCCCATAAGATTTCCGATTTCCAGGCACTGTGAGTTCAGATATATGAGCACTGTTTGGACTAATATCACGAGAAGGACCTCTTCGAATTTCTTCCTCCTTCATTCTAGCTATTGCAGCAGTAGTAGGATTTGTCAAAGATATAGAAATGCTTGCCGATAAGCTTTCTTCCTCCCCAGCATAATCAGGGATAATGAATGGTGTATCACCTTTACCCCAGGTAACGCTGCCCGGAGTGCCACTCGATTTAGGGCTACTCCTACCAGATCCAGTGTTCCCGTGATCGACCATCGACATAGCATTTTTGCTATGATTCTCCGACCCGTCGATCGGAGGCGACTTTTTGGCTGGGGCCACAGTGCTTGTTGGATGGCCTAGTGTTGAGAATCCCTTGCCCATAACAAAGAGAGCAGCGCCGATACCTCCTGGAGTTATAGGTGAAGCTGGAACTGGCTTCCGTTTATTGCCAGGTCCTTCCAAAGAGTCACTCCCGGAAAAATATTTGCCTTCGCTATCGACACTGCTACACGGTAGAAGAACTTGCTGGCCAGTTTTCTTGCTCAAAGAATTGGCTTTAATCAAAGTAGCTGACTCTCCCGGGACTGGTGGGGCCTTTCTTTGGGGGAAAAGAATATCCGGCTTCTTGTCTTCGAAAGGCGAGAGGCGCGGTTGGTCAAAATCAACATTACGACCAACAATGCCCACAGGACCATCCGCAGTGGTTGGCGTTCCTTTGCTTGCCTTCTTCTTGGCCAGGTATTCTTTCTGCCTCCGGTCCATTTCAGCTTTGTGTTCTGCTGATGCCATTGCTATAAAAGCTTGTCTATCAGCTTCCGGTATCTCCCTCTCCCCAAGGTGTGACGCCCTATACGCCATTAGACGCTCTTTAAGTTCGTCTGGTGTCTCGGCTACCGCCACAGATTGGTCTTTTTGAGGTGCACTCCCGCCTTTGATAGTGTTCTGCCGTGAAGTAGGCGGGGACGAGCTGGATCGTCTTCTATTTCCATTGAGTTGCGCATAAGCTTCTTCATCGAGAGGCGCCGTTGGTGGCAGACTAGGCGAAATTCCACTCCCTTCGGTAGTAAAGTTCACACCCGGACCGGCGGATTGTGAGGCAGGAAGTGATATTGCGGAACTCGCCGGGCCTCGAACAAAAAATTTAAGGTTGCCAGACTGATCAGCTTTGGTCTTTTTGCAGAGCAGAAGTTTATGATCATCTAGCGCTTCTTCATGCTCCATTTTACCTAGCTCAGTGAGATAAATTTGTGTATATTCTGAGTCATGAATGCCTAAGTTCGAGCAAATAGTAGCCTTGAGATCCTGCGCGTTATCGATTTCCGTGAGATCACACAAACGGAAGTTCCAGCCGTCTGTAGTTGCTAGTACATAGCTTCTTCCTGTAGCTCGTACACCCCGATAACCGGTTTTGTGAGCAAATTTATCATACTCTGACGCCGAGAATGTGGACAAAGGTCGTTCCAGAGAAGTTTCGCTAGAGTTGCTAATCTTCCCATTACCCAAGAAAGGTGCAGCTTTAAAGCCTAGGGATGGGCTGGTGGGCGAATCAAGATTCTGGTCTTCTGGTGATGGAGCAAACCCGTCTTCTTTTCCTCGTCGCTTCCTCCAGTGACTGAGGAAACCTTTCGATTCTTTTGCGGAACTAGGCTGCTCTGAGCTTGCGGAGCGCTCGCCATCCATGGGAGAAGGGCGCGACACATCCACACCATGTCTTCGACTATCCTGGTTTCTTACAAGGTTGACTTCGCCAACGGCTCCTCCCATTCCACCTCTGAGTGCTTGGCTAGCACCCGATGGTACTCCAGATCCGTAGATTGCTTGACTAGAAGAAACAGAATCGGTACTGTTGCTTGATCGATGGCCAAAAACGGCGCTGCGAGGTGAGGCCGATAAATTCTGCCCAACCGGCGTGTGAAGCGTTGCATATGTCCCAGCAGGACTACCGCTCTTTGGGCTTCCATCTAAACGAAGGGGCTGTGGCTTGAAAGTACCTTCGTTGAGTTCATTACTGGCGCTCGGGCTATGCCGCCGGCCTTCGTTATCGATGTTTTTCAAAACACTTCGATGAGCATTTCGGCTGTTATTGAAATCGTTCTCTTCTGCGGTATTAATATTGCTCAAAATAGGCATAGTGGTACTTCTTCCCGAAAACCTTCTCGTTCCTAAAACTTGTCCGGAACTTGTAAACATCTGTTTTCCCGCGCCATTATCATCGCCGTTTGCTGTGTTCGGTGTAGATAAAGAGACTCCATTTCCACGGCTAAAATGGAGCGAGTTATCCATAGTGCCCTCCGTACTGGCACTTGCAATGAGATTGGCTGCAGACGATTGCCGTCGAATTTGCGAAGACTTGCTGCCTTCTATACTTTTCCCCGTCACAATAGCCTTGATCAAACGCCGCATTCTTTTCCCCTCTTCCCGCTCCCTAGCTTGGTCCCAGCCAGTTCCACTACTCGAGCACTCCTTTGCTAGCCGTGGATATACTTGCTGATGCATCATCCCGAAATTACCTCTACCACCATGAACACTGCCTAGTTCAAGAAACACGGAGCCATATATATTCAACGCTTTAAAAGTTTCTTGCCAATCATTGGAAAAGTGATTGTTGGCCAGCCACAACAAAACGCGATTCATGGACCATTGAGAACCGGCGTCGTTTGGTGAAATTGGCGTGTTCGCATTATTACCGGCCGCATGTTGGTGTGAATTGTTTGACGTTGCTGTCAAGCCTCTATTGGTGGCCGATGACAATTGTGGATTCATTAAGGTTGCTGTAGGGGGCCCTGGAGAATCATATTCCGGGAGATGGATATTATTAAACCGGTGGGGTGTCTGCGACGGATATGATCGATCCTTATAATAACTACTATCATCTAGTGGTGTCCCCCTTGAGCTATCCGACACGGCAGAAAAGTCTGCACTATCCTTAAAGCTCTCTTGACTACTCCATCCTAAAGCAGGTATCCCAACGCCAGGTCCAAATGACTCTCCGCGCGGTATATATGTTGCTGACATCTGCTCACTATTTGATTGAGGCTGGCCTATCGATAACACCGCAGGTTGATGGTGTTGACCGGGATTGTAGGCATGGTATTGGCTTGTGCCAGGGGGGTTTGCTGGCGGCCCAGGGTATGATCTATTGTTGTTGACTAGCCAAGTTTGCTGAGATTGCTGCCAGCTCGTTGTGGGTAGAGGTGGTGGGCCGGGTAGATGTGAAGGAGGTAGATGCGGAGGATTGCGAGGCGGCGGTGGTGGTAGATTGTTCACGTTCAGCTGATTCACATGCGGTTGAGATGGAGGGGACATGGGATGCGGAGGTGGAGGTGGAATTGGGACGCCATATTGCCTTTGGTCGCCGCTCGACGGGTATCTGCCTGGTTGATACATTGAAAGATCTGGGCCGGATTGCGCAGAATGTAGAGCGTAAGTGGCAGGCGTATAGACAGAAGGGGGTGCTAGATTGGTCGCTGCAGAATGAGCTCTGGGTCGCGAGGGTGAGCTTGACGCAACAATTGTAGGATATGATGAACCTGATCCGTAGGCCGTAGGGATAAGAAGACTTGCAGAACTACTCACTGCGTACGTTGGAACGTTGTTGAGAAGTATAAGGCTTTCAGGAACTGTAAGCTCCGCTTTCGAGGGTACCTTTCGAGGTGAGGCCTGTACAGCGCGACTTGATTCTAAAAGGCTTGTATTTGATCTTGTAGAGGGGCTTCGAGGGCGCTGGTTCATGGTCGCCTGCGCATGTTTAGATTAGTTCGAGCGAGTCCAAAGAGATTGGAAAGTCGCAACGCTGGCCTTTGTCCGGAATGTATCAATCTCGCAAAGATAACCAACCAAGGTATGACGGGGATAGGCGCCGAGAGTTGTCGCAAATTCGAGGACCGGATTACTACATAAAATATAATATAATCTTTGGGGGGAAAAGGAATCTTAAATGGGAGCAAAAAGGTAGATACTAGAAATCATGTAAATAATAGTTCTATAGATGGCAGATATGGGTAGAAATGGAGAAATGGATGCTATGTAATTTTTTCATGGGATAAAGACCATTTCTAGGATTTGGGTTGTTTGGTAGGAAGTACATAGGGATATTTTCTAAACAACGCTAAAGATTTCGGGCTCCTGGTTTACCTAGAGAAAGGTTAAAGCACCGGACAGTCATTCAATTACCCCCCGCTTGGGTTTTCCCATCAGCCATTTAGGTGCTTCAGCCACAGTTCATTCATGCTAATAAGTTGAACTAAGAACCAATCCACACCTTGCGGTTCCTGTACGGAGTATGTTTCGGAATCCAGGGCAAGACATCATTCTTATTAACTCTACTATGGAGGCTTGGGGTGAAGGAGGTATGGGATTATAGGATGAGGATATCGTATTCCAGTGCTCACCGAACTCTAACCAAAGACGACACGGAGCATGAGCAAGAGATTTCCTTTTGTATATATATAGTATATGTATTTACGGTGATATTCGCTAGCCAAATGCTCTGCAGCAGAGCGTCACCCAACAGATTAAGATTAAATCAAGAGAATATTTTACTATGTAGTATACTGCTGGGTATGTTGTAATCTCGCTCTACCTCCTTCCTACCTCCCTTCCACTATCTACGAAAACGTGTCCGTAGGACCAAAAGAGGCACAGGAGACACAGCTTACATCCGACTGATTAAAGAAGGTGTTTGGTAGCGCAACTACTTTGAGTAACGTGACTCCATCTTTGACCACTAAGATATCACGTTCATTCATTCATTAGGTAGGTATGATACACCAAGAAAAACTTCGACTTTTTATTGTTTGAAGATGTTGTTAATTATTGTTGGCTCATCCAATTTCCTTCCCCGTTCATTCCTCACAGACCAACAGCGGAACTCGGAAACCCTCAAGGTACGAAGCTTAAATCATAGTGCCAAAACCGGAACTACAAACTTCTCCAACTCCATAGTAAGATTACATGCACCCAATATAAGCGCACGAATATCTGCCATCTCGGCCTGTCTTCTCACTTCCCCCTCGAATAAGTTTCTGCCTCGAGATTCGCAATACACACATCATCCCATATGGATCTGTCAGTGTGCTACTGTGTCGCTGTGTCAATATCAGACAATCAATCCAATCCTCTTGCTATAAATCGAAACATTTTGAACTTTCTAATCCTTGCTATCTCCATGAGACCACTTTCCAACAACCTCATTTTTTCAACACATGCACATGCAACACATGCAGTCGTTTGCACGCAACATTCATGTGCGGGTCTCTATAATCAAGATTTGTATTGGGTGGATGAGTGTATGTAAGCCATGGTGGAGTTAAATCATGCCTTGCAGCTCTAAAGAACTCATTACAACGTCATTTTTGGTGGGGTGATTTAATGGGTGATGTTGCTTTCGGTATCGACCGCAGAAACGGCTCTCCATGGAAAAGTTATAAAACCCCAAGAGTTTACTTTCCACTTTCGTTTTTCATTTCTGAACTCTGTCGCTTTCTCACCCATCTAGTGTTTCTTTCCACAAAATACCATTATCTAGAATAATTCAAATATTCAAAGCTCCGCATACCTCACAACTACATACCACCTCCGGCAACCCCGCCATTGTCAATCAACATGGTAGATCTCAGAACCGAATCTCTCAAATCCCCAGTGGATATTGCTGAATATCTTTTTACGAGATTGAAGCAAATCGGAATTGACTCGATTCATGGTTTACCAGGAGATTACAACCTAGTTGCTCTCGACTACATTCCTAAACTTGGATTGAAATGGGTTGGTAACTGCAACGAGTTGAATGCGGGTGAGTTTTTGTTCCCAAGCCAACAGTCCATACCTAACGACCATCTTTTGAAGGATATGCCGCCGATGGCTACGCTCGAGTGAAAGGGATTTCCGCAATCATGACTACATTTGGTGTAGGAGAGCTCTCAGCAATTAATGCTATTGCCGGCGCCTACTCCGAACGGGTCCCGGTCGTCCACATAGTTGGGACTCCTTCAACAATCTCGCAAAAGGATGGCATGCTTCTGCATCATACGCTTGGAAATGGAAATTTCCATGTTTTCGCGGATATGTTTAAGGAGATTTCTTGTGCGATGGCTAAGATTAATGATCCCAACGAAGCGGCTGCTTTGATCGATCACACACTACAGCAATGCTGGATCCATAGTCAGCCGGTTTACATTTCTTTGCCAACAGATATGGTTCAGAAGAAGGTCGAAGGAGAACGATTGAAGACACCTATCGACTTGTCCTTGCCTCCAAATGACCCAGATAAGGAGGATTACGTTGTTGACGTAGTTCTCAAGTACCTTGAGGCTGCTAAGAATCCTATCATCCTAGTTGATGCATGCGCGATCAGACACAGGGTCATGCCGGAGGTGCATGGATTGATAGAGAAGACTGGGTTACCTGTCTTTGTAACACCAATGGGCAAAGGAGCTGTTGATGAGACTTATGAAAACTATGGAGGTGTTTATGCTGGAAGTGGTAGTCAGCCAGATGTTAGAGAGCGAGTTGAGTCCTCAGACCTCATCTTGACAATTGGAGCAATCAAAAGCGACTTCAATACCGCTGGATTCTCCTACAAGACCTCTCAGCTCAACACAATTGACTTCCACAGCACAACCATTGTTGTTCGTTATTCTGAATACCCAGGTGTTCACATGCGAGGAGTTCTCCAGAAGATTATTAACAAAATTGACCTTGAAAAGCTCTCTGCCGTTCCAGGACCCAAGATGGAAAACAAGGTTACTGCAAATGAGGATAGTTCAGACACCATCACACAAGCATGGTTTTGGCCTAGGGCAGGTGAGTTTTTAAAGGAGAATGATATTGTAATCACCGAAACCGGAACAGCCAATTTTGGTATCTGGGAAACGAAATTTCCCAAGGGAGTTACAGCCCTTAGCCAAGTGTTGTGGGGTAGTATTGGATACTCCGTTGGTGCCTGCCAAGGTGCTGCTCTGGCTGCAAGAGATACTGGGAATGACAGAAGAACCGTCTTATTTGTCGGTGATGGAAGTTTCCAGCTCACAGTTCAAGAATTAAGTACAATGATTCGCCTTGGATTGAAACCCATTATGTAAGTCCCTTCACCAGCCTGACTATAACTAACATGGCTGATGATAATCATAGCTTTGTGATCTGTAATGATGGCTATACTATTGAGCGATTCATTCACGGCATGGAAGCAGAATACAATGACATAGCAGCCTGGAAGCAGAAAGATTTAGTACCTGCATTCGGTGCCAAAGAAGGCAAATATCAAGTTCACCAGATTAAGACAAAAGATCAGGTCAACGAGCTCTTTACCAATAAGGAGTTCAATGCTGCGGACTGCCTGCAGTTTGTGGAATTGTATATCCCAAAGGAAGATGCTCCAAGAGCATTGGTGTTGACGGCCGAGGCTAGTGCAAAGAATAACGCCAAGGAGTGATTAATAACTTGGACTCTAACATGATTGGGATTTTGGGGCGTATGGATTAGCTGTCAGGGAAGAATAAAAAAATTATGAATTCATGAAATTTTCCTCTCACTCGCATCCATAAGAATGATGGATCGTCTTGCATTGATTGTCATGATCCTCGATCTGTCACTATCTCAAACCGGCATAAAGGTTGATATACTTGAGTGTAGCCACAATGAACAGACATCATGAACCATATCTTGACCAAAAGTATCATGTCTGCTGGAGTAAGAAATTGAGTTTGGACCCTACTTTTTCAATCAAATCGCCCATTAAATCTCATCACTTAGCCCCATCAGGGCAAGTGGGGTATCCCGATCATCTGACTAAGCAATATTTTCCATTTTGTTTGAACGGCGTGATCTTGAGATTCCCACAAGATCAACAAAACAACAACGAATTAGGATTAGGAACTTCGTCCACTAAATTCGAGAAAGTAGGTGGAATTGAGCTTGAACTCTATTGAAAGGCCAAGCTTGTAAAGAAGATGGCGGATTCAAATAATAAAAGGAAAGAAAGGTCGGAGGGCAGTGGTGGGAAAGATGCGAGAGATGCGCGAGATGGAAATAATAGAGGGGTAAAGAGAGCTAAGGTACGTTTTTTCTCGTTCAGTTTTTTTGGTATTGTGTTGGGTTCTGTGTTTTGAGAAGAGTGGATGTGGAGGAAGTGCTGGTTGGAAGTGCGCTTTTGTTCTTGGGTGAACTCGGAGATGGAAAATGAGACTTGATTAAATTTGATGTCTTTGGATCCGGAATGTTGGCTTTTCAATGCGATCAACCTTCAGCCGTTAGGGGTTTGTTCAGCCAAGGCGGTGATTGGATTTCAATCCTTATGATGGCTCCAATAGGACAGAGAGCATGGTTTCTGGTCAAATCATCAGTGAGATCTTACACTCCATGGAGATGAGCTTGGATTGGCTATTGATTTCTGATGTTGTGTTACTGCATTTTTCGAATAATTCTCGAGCTCGAAATCTATGCCTCAGAATTGTTTCTGCCAGTTTCCCTGGAAGCTTTCTGACATCTTATGCAGGGCGGCTCAAATGGGAAATGGCAAACTCCACATCAACAGACGAAAATGGCCTCTAAAAATGGTGGAAGGATAGAGCCCGGCGACCAAGGGATCTGGGCAACTTGCGTGAAGGGTAAAGAAGGAAAGGCAACGGAAGAACTGAGAAGTCTGCTTGAAGAGGTCAGTTGACACCTTTCAGCCATAATTATTGCCGGTTCATGCTAATTTCCCACAAGTCTGCTGAGAAATACTATGGTATATCCGTGAAGTCAGGTAGCAAGAACAATGACGAAGAAGATGAAGTTGCTACCGAATCAATTGACGACATTGAGAAATCGATTCAAAAAGAAGTTGCAGCGCATAAAGACCCGACAGAAAAACTATTCTCAGCAGTTTACCTAGACATTCAATGCGTGCTGTTCTTCAAAACTCGATCACCAATAGATCCAGCTGATCTAGTTCATAGGATGTGTGAAGATGCAGCATCAGGCGGGGTAAGGAAGTTGAGGTTTGTAAATCGTCTAACTCCAATGTCAATCATTGGAAAAGCCACAGAAAAAGGTATCGAAGAAATCGGACAGACCGTGCTAGGCGCTCATTTTCGACTCGCTGGCGAAGCCGCAGAATCGGAAGAATCTGCTGCATATTCGGTACGTATTCCTCTTTTGCGTATAGTGCTGCCACGACGATGAAGTTCTAGCCTTGGAGTTTAATTAGGATGTTTGAGTTCTGGATCAAGATTTATTGACTCCCTTGCAGTATGCCATTCGACCCACGATACGCAATCACAGCACATTGAAGCGGGATACTGTGATTAAACAGGTCGCTTCTCTGGTGAATGAAAATCATAAAGTAAATCTCACTAAGCCAGACAAAGTGATAATAATCGAAATTTACCAGGTAATGAAATCGGAAACCCACACATGCAATTAATGGGATACTAACTTGTGTTGGCTAGACTATATGTGGTATGAGTGTCGTTGGAGATGACTGGGAAAAGCTTAAGCGCTATAACCTTTACGAGCTCCAGTCGCCTTCAACAAGTTCGAAATCTGGGGGACTAGTAGAAGCCAAACCAAAACCTACGCCCGAAAGCGTAACTACAGACGAGGCTCGGGCACTACCCGACAAATTAAACGGCAGTTAGCTGTTTTGAATCACTAGCATCACCTTGCATCACAAAGCTGCACGGCAATCCCTTTCCAAAAAAATACAACTGCCCCTTGTGACGCCAAATATGAGATATCAAAATCGGTTATTTGAATGCCTGCGCATATTTCACAGCAATGGATCCGCTCGCACACGCGCTTAGATCAGCTTACTTTACTCATATCTCATATCATATAATATCATATTACATTACATTACCCGTTCAATGTTCCTCATGCTCAAATCTCAACAAAACCCACCGTTCCGTACGCAGGGAATAAGGGTATGTATCCAGCCTTTAGGGCCCTTAGAGGCACAAGCTTGACCGCTACATTCACATCAGGATTTCCATGCAAGCATAGATGTTGCCCTAGAAGGTCTGGAAGAATCAAAAACGTGGATGGCGGGGAATATTTACCGGAAAGCTGCTATCTCGATCTTGACGAAAAGTTAATTTTTCCGAATCATGGACATGGTCAAGTGCATATTACAAGTATATGTAGAGCTAAGTACTGATCACAACATTGCATGATTTTAATCGATAAACCCAGCTGAACAACGATACCCGTGGACAGCTAGAAGTTCTCGCACTCGCTTAACGGGTAACCGTAGCTGTTACTCCGTACAGTACTAGAATTCTCTGTGTGATGATATGCAGAACACTTGAAACTATACTTACCTATCCATCCATCCTCTCCTCAGTCCTCACCTCCAATAACACAAACAACACGCATCTGGTATGCACAAAAGATTTTATCTCCCATGGTGTATGCAACCTCGCTACAAAGGCGCCGAATCAAGGTGCCATCTTTTGCACTCGGGCCAAATCTGGAACGCGGCTAACCTGATCGGCTGAAATTTAACGAGGGGTGGGGTGGAACTGGTTGATCCGAGATTTTTTTGGGGAGGGACGGTGAAATGGTTATTGGGAACTTGAAATATGAGATTTTGGTATTGGCCACTGCGAAGATTGGAAATCGCATAGACGAGACAGAAAAACCAGACGAAAAGTTCTTGGATTCCCGAAAAATAAAACAAGGTGGCTTTCTTTCGTTGTTGCACAGGTAACTTGCATGCATCCTGGATATACATACTTTCAGAGTATATCACGATTCACCAGTCGATTCTTTTTTCAAAAAAACCTTAGTTGCGATTCTTTTCGTAGATCATCATATATCCGATTTATCAACGCCACGTGTTTAAGATATTATTCCATCTCATCGGAGCAGATGGGTAGAGGTGGAGTAGCAGCAGAAATAGTCAAACCAGGTTTCAACACGGAAAGATCTGTTTCTAGAGTTGGGAATTTTTTGATATCCACTTCAGCTCCATTGTATGTCGATGATTTCATCATGGGTCTTTTTTGTTGTCAAATTTCCTTCGCCGATCCCCCATTTTGTTTCTGTACGGAGGCTGTACTCTGTACGCCTCTTTAAAAATTGTCGGGATTTGGATCTTATGCGTTGCATGCATGTATGCATGCATGAGTCTATACTCCTGATCGAATCTGGTTGATACTGACTGTACGGTGGTGTAGTGTCATGGAGTACTTGGCTATCGCGTTCACTTGTAGCATTTATGCGGGTGGTAAGTATAGTAAGTTGTATACAGAGTAGATAACATTTGATGAGTGGATGATGGATGGATGTATGATGGACGATGGATGTGAAATGATAGATGTAAGATGACAAACTATTCCCACAGTCAGATACTGTATTTAGCTAGATAGGTAACACTAGGCACACCTTCCCAGAGCGAGACTCGCTTATTTTGGACCAATCGTAGAATTCTAATTGTTCTTTCTTTTCCCCTGTTTACTGTTTACTGTTTACGGTAAGTCAGTACCTAGGTACCCAAAGCAAATGATGTACCCCACCTCACCAATCTAATCAATCTTTAATTCTATTTGTCCATTTCCATTTCCATTTCCATTTCCATTTCCTAGTTAACCTTACAACAAACTTCTCAATACGGAGTACTTATACTAGGTACCTGGCTACACAATACATTTACTGTAAAAAAAGCCGCATATAATTAAAAATACTCCTCTCGTATCTACTCAAGTTAGTTTTATCAGAGCATGGAATGCCGATTATTCACATCCGAACAAATCATAGCTGCACATCCATCTAAGAATACAAACATCTCCCCTCCCAACACCATCAACACCAACACCAACACCAACACCAACATCTGCATCTACATCTGCATCTGCATCTGCATATGCATATGCATCATCGACTTTGTGCATTAAAAAAGTAAAAAGTAAAAAGCCCCATGTCTCGGGGACCTCAAAAATTGCACAACCAACTACACAATCTCGACTCTCGAGTGATTAATTTCATAAATCTCGTGGTTGGGCTGGGCCTCGATAACAAGACATCCATCATCCATCGACCGGGATATGGAAGATCTTATGATCCATTCTAAATCTAGTTCCTTGGGTGAAATTTACCTGTCTTCCCAAATAATTCCGTACGTACCTGAAGTATCCACATCACCTGCAGTCCATCTGGCCAACACGACCCACGGTATACATTCCCCAGCGGCAGCTATCTAACAAAGATCTCTCTTCCTCTCTGATACACGCCTCAAGCGCACTTTACTAGTTTTCTAGTGCTAAACTGCTATTTCATCTCGTCACTGCACTGTACGTGATTATTCTCAAGAATTACCTTTCTGGTGCAAGTACCATTTGCCTAGAAATTCTCTCAATATCATCCATCTCCAATCGGTGTCTAACCTCTTTTTGTTTCGCTTTATTCTTCCTTCGGAAAAGTTACACCTGTTTTTTTCGCTTCGAGAACTACTTTAAATGTACATCCATCTACAGACCAACAGAACACTGTACTAGCTATATATACAATTACAAAATAACTACCCGATACAGCCCATGAGTATCCATCGACCATCCACAACTCCCTACCATCAAAGTCTCGTCGCCGATCAGAGCCAAGGTTTCGGCGCTCATTTCAAATAGCCCTTTCAAAGAACTCTACGTGATTAAGGATAAACGTAATTCGCGCTCTCTTGACCGCAGAAAGATATTCCAGGATTCTGAACGAGGTGGCTGCCTTGCATGCCTCGCAGGCACCCTTCTCCCGTCGAATGTCAACTGAAGGCACCCAATCTCCAAACACCGAGGGTTACTTTCCAACCACACGTCAATACGTCGATGCAAGACAATATTTCTACCTAATCTCTTTGGGTTTCGTGCGTTTCCATCCACCGCTGATCTTTCAAGTACCTAATTTCCAGAGCTGTGGACCCCAAAACGAAATAGTTACCAAGAACTCCTTTATCGCAACTGGACCAATCAGAGCGCACTATAAGCGAATTGACGAGACCAGAGTGACGCCGAAACACTCCTGTGTCCAATTGTCCAAGCCACCCTACATCATATCGTACTTAAATATACGCCTGGCAGGGCTGTTGTCCGACCCAGGAACCGGGAAGATACCATTGCCAGGTCACAGAGACGCGGCATACATCTCATATCCCTATCAATTTGACCACTCATTATCAATCATATTTAGGCTGATCAAATCCACTACTTCTCCCACTCTATCCTTCAACCGTACATACCCACATCTCACCCTGACATTTGGATACCACATTACTCCTATCATGGCTTCGTACAAAACTGCCGTGCCCGGCAAGTCCTTCAAGACGTCCCTTATGTACTCGGTCCCAGTACGACGTCTTAAGGAGATACTTAGCCATGTGGTACCGGATATAAAATTAGGGAGTGTCGAAGAATTACCCTCTACCCAGCTACCCAGACTATACACTCTCAACATGTCGAATGATAACAAACTTCTCCTATCCTTTGCGCCCAGCTTAGCAGTCCGGCTCTTGAGACACGAGACTACGCTTCAATATTCCGAAGCAACACTCGTGCATTTCCTCGAGACGTCGAATCAGAAAGCCAATTCTGCAAATTCTGAGGGTATGGAAGATGTAGAACATGGTATAGCATCCAAAAAGCTAGAAGACGTGGTGCCAAAAATGCTAAAGCATTCATCCAATAATCGAGAGATGGCATATCCATACACAATATTTGAACCGACACCTGGGAAAGCATTGTCTGCCCTCTCGGTATACCTCAGTCTACCGGAACGTCAGCTCATCGATAAACAAGTCGGATCACTGACGAGAAGCTTAGCCTCTCTCACCTCACCCAACGGCAAATTCGGCACAGCAGCTCGAGTTCTCCCAGACCCCTTCAAACAATCACCCCCTTCAGCCCCCTTGGGCGAAGGCTCCACAACCTGGTCAGAAGCTTTCAACACCTTGCTTGAATCAATTTTGCGAGATGGAGAGGACATGGCGGTCTTGCTCCCATACGATGTGGTGCGATCACACTACCAACGCTTATCCTGGCGCATGGACGCCATCAAGCTCCCTAGATTGGTACTACTCGATCTAGGCGAACGAAACATCATGATTGAGAATGGAATTAGAGATGGTACATCACACATCCCTACTGAAAGTCTCAAATTGACAGGACTGCGGAACTGGAGTCAAGGAATCTTTGGAGATCCACTACTCTCAAGCGTATTTGAAAACCCAAGTGAAGGTTTTCTTGAAGGCTGGAAAGCAGGAGATGAGGGAGATGATCTTATCGAGGACATGGACAATGCACAGGTGCGACTGTTGCTCTACCGCTGCTACCGAGCGGTAGTAGGAATAGTGACGGAGTACTACCGACCACAAAGCGACAGCAGTAGACGCGAGTTAGAAAACAGGAGGAATTTAACAGCAGCCTTGTCAGAGCTGGAAAAGGTGGACGTTGCAGTCAATGATATGCTCAAGAGAGCGCGAAGCCTGAGCTCATCCGTACCACCGGAGGTCGAGGGCTCCAAGAGGCGGAAAATTGGTATCGAGGATTTGGTCGAGGAAAATTGAAGCTTACTAGCGTGTTTGATGTAATTAGTGATACCCAGGCAACATTAATCTTATCTTGTAATTCTTTTCAATATTTATTCGGGTCTTTTCCCTCGACTTCTTCCCTCGTCGTCTTCATCGCGAGGTAGCTTCATGCCCATCATGCCGAGAAGATTGGATCCGGGCCCCGCCATCCCTGCTTGACTTTTGAAACTTTCCAATAGATTCTTCGCCAGATTGAAATCGATATCCAATTCCTGGTCACTTTCTTCTTCTCCGCCTTCCTCATCTTCATCTTCGTCCATATCCTCTTGTACTTGTTCTTGTTGCTTATCCTTTTCCCTGCCCGTCTTTCTTCCGGAAAGAGCTGCAATTTTACTTGGGGTAGGATCTAAATTGAGGGCTCCGGCTTCATTCAACTCGGCTTCCATTCTCTTCATCACCTTTCGAATTTCTTCCGCTTCATTATCTGCCCCACCTTCATCGTCGCTATCGACCTCCTCGATCCTGCGAGATATTTCTTGCTGGGCTGGGGATGCCGATTCATGTATGTCGTCCGTTGGCATACCCATCATTTCTCTCATCATCTTTGCGAACTCCACTTCGTCGAAACTGACGTCTTTATCCTCTTCACTATCTTCATCATCGTCATCAATATCCATATCATCCATTTCAGCACCGTCAGGACCAGCATCATCATCGTTAAGGAAAGCTTCAAATCGCTCCACCATTTTCTTCAAATCGGCCTCGGTCTTTGCATCGCCGAATCCCGAAGCTGGTTCCGGTCCGAAACTTCCAGGGATTCCAGCCGGCTCCTTTTTCTTATTCTTTCCGTCTAGTTCTCTCTCAAAATCCTCAAAATTGATGTCGAGCCATTTTTCATCATCCTCTCTCAAATTATCCTTCCACGTCGATATCTCCTCGTCATTAGGAAGGTTAGAATCATCTCCATCAAGATCTTCCAGAAGTATGTTAATCTCTCGAACGGATTGATGATCGCCATTTTTAGGATCTGTGACTAGCATTTCGAAGCCGGAGGTAACCTTCATTCCCATCTCCAGTTTCGTGAAATCTCCCACAAGTGCATCGTTCTTGGGCGGCGTTAAAATATCCTTCCATGCAAATGGTGCAGTAAACTGCTGCGACTTTAGTTGAGCGTAGAGTACTTTGGTATATCGAATTGAGATGGTGACTAAATCCTTCGGTGGGAAGATAAGATTGGGGGAAGCTGTTTGGAGCGGCTTGAGCGCAATTGAATCTCGAAGGTAGAATGCTTCGACTGCCGGGGCTATAGAAGTAGGAAGGAGATGAAGTATATAGGCAAGTTTGCGCGGTATTGTAATACAAGCATGGTGAAGCGATGCTGCGATTTGAGCCGGATAGCTTCTCAAACGATAAAATGCTTCTGCTTCGATAAGGGGTGAGCGTATGAGTATTTCTGGAGTTGAAGATATGGCTCTGTGGGCTTCTTCTAAGGTAAGTGATCGAGATACTGGGGCGGTAGGGGATTTGATTGAGGAATCAGTGACTGCACGCAACGGTATAATGTGAAGGGCATTATTATGAATCCATACCTGCTAGGCGTCAGAATCTAATGACTTGCGTATGTGAACCGGGATACCTACCCTATTATCTGCGATTTCAGGATTCAACCATTTCGGAAGAGCATTGGCAGCTTCAATCAAAAGAAACTCGCCATCAGAGTCCACAACTTTGATCCATAATGTAGGAAATCGACTGCTCAATTCTTTAAGTATATACACAATAAGCCATTCGTCTTCGACAGAATCTCCATAATTTGTTATCCCATTAAGGTGCATCAAGCCTGCTAAGCTGTTAACACACGGGCGCAGAACAAAGTGTCGTAGGCATCATACCCTTCTCAGTCTTTACCTCCAGCTTGAAGCCATCCCGTTGCCATATATAGTCCTTAGTAAGATCTTTCAAAAGAGCCAAAGACTCTTTTCGCACATCCTCCAATCTGCTGAGTAAATCCTTTTGTGACTTTAACTTGGAGTTGATGATATAAAGTGAGTATTCCACACAATCTTCCGGAAGTCGTTTGGGAAATCCATCGAAGCCTTCACCAAAACCTTTAAAATCATCGTCGAGCCCATACATATTCAGAATATGTCTTTGATATCAAGGATTCGATATTTTGGAGGTCAATACTGTATAAGTGTTGGTGGAAGACTTTAGAAGTTCAATAAGGCTGACAATGCAGCATAATCAATTATATGATTGGTGTAAAATGGTCGTGCAAGGGATTTGTTTTGGCAACCGGAAAACCTGGTGGGGCTAACCTCTATTGGAAAGAAGGTAAACAATCGAAATAATCGCGTATCTACTGATATCAGTCCAAAAACTCCAATTCTTCCGACACATCCTCAAAAACCACAATCCCAGTTTATTTTTGTACCAATTGCACTCCGACTAAAAGATATCACCTCTGCTTCGGAGTCAATCACTATGGTAGCTATTTTGGCATCTTATTTGCAGTAAATTATAAGTTTCTCCTACATAATTTGAGCTCAAAAGCTCAGGACAATTTTCATAATGGTTCAAGCTGGAATAGCAGGGCTTGATACACCACGCACAGCCCTTGGAGATGCAACTTATCTAGGTAGTCATGCCCTGGACTTTGATATCTCGCAAGAACAGTCTTTCCAATCTCCTTCGAAGGATAACAACCTAGTTTCGCAGATGCAAAATGGCCGCCGTGGTGTCAATATCCGTACTCCCAGAGGTCGCACCACGCTTGGAGATAGACGAAATTTGCCGGCCGGGCTTGGGGGAGGAGAGTTTACGCCTCTGCTGAAGAATGCAACGATGAATAGCGCCCGGCGGAATAACAAAGAGAATATTCAGGCCACACCAGCATTTCTTCGTGCGGGGGGATTGGACAAAATTCAGGAAGGTTTCAGCCCATTACCTGCGGGGTCAGCATATGGCGACGATTCGACAAGAACCGGTTCCTACATGGCCGGTACGCCGATGCCACACATCGATAGTAGCACAGCTTCCACACCTGCAGCTTTGTTGCCCCGGCGAAATGAGGGACCTGGTGTTTTACAGGACGGAAATCAGTTATCATTACGTGAGCAGGAAAATGTCATTGACAGAATTGAGAAGGAGAACTTTGGACTGAAGCTCAAGATTCATTTCTTGGAGGAAGCCTTGAGAAAGGCAGGGCCAGGATTTAGTGAAGCTGCATTGAAAGAGAACACCGAGCTCAAGGTCGACAAAGTTACCATGCAAAGGGAGCTGCAGAAATTCCGGAAGACGTTGACGGCGGCAGAGAAAGATGTCGAACAATATCGACAACAAATCCTGGATATGCAGGAAAAATTTAAGAGGAGGCATGTCAGTGCTGGACAACAGGAGGAGCTCGATAATTTACGTCAAGTTTTGGAGGAGAAGGAGGATGAACTGAATCGAGTGCGGAGCCATGAAGACAAGTACGCTGACATGGAGAACAAAATGGACGATCTGGAAGCAGAGTTACGTGAAAAGGATCGAGTCATTAATGATCGGGAAGATGATATTGACAACCTGAAGGACGATGTTCAGAAACATGTTGGGACTATATCCAATCTCGAGATAGCTCTGAAGAAATCGCAGCGCCGAGCAATAGAGCTGGAAGAAAAATCACAGGGAAAGTCAAACGAGGAGCTCAGAGAGGCCGAGTCAACGATAGAGGAATTAGAGCGTGATGTAGAACGCCTGAGGATTGAAGCGTCAGAGGCTAAGAAATCTCATCAAGAAACCATTCGAGATAAGGAGCGTGCCGAAGCCAACCTAGAAGAACTTCAGGACGAGCTAGCTAACAAGTCAATTACAACCAAAGGCTTGAGTCGACAAATTGAGGAAAAGGCCAATCGATTGCAAGACGACCTGGAGGATCTTCGAGAACGACACCAAAACCTGGAACAGCAATATGCCGAAAAAACATGCGAGGTAAAAAAAATGCAAGAGAGACTGGAGGACTTGAGACGCGACAGTGAAATGAAGGAGCAGAATCTTCACGGTAAACTTGAGCACGTTGAAAATGATTTGGACCAGACTATTCAGGAGCGAAAAGCTCTAGCCACGAGACTCGAAAGTTTGCAGGGATTACAGAGAGATTTCCAACAGAGAAATGATGAGAAGAACCTCCTCCAGGGTCGACATGACGCTCTGACGGCCGAATCTGCTAGTCTACAGGCAGATTTAGCCCATGCTAAGGCTTTAATTGAGGAACTCGAAGACAAACTGGAACATGAGAAGACTCTTGCGCTCAGTAATGCACGAGACGTGCGAAATCAATACACAAAAGAAATAGATCGCCTTAATAACGAAGTTGAAGACCTCAAAGCAGAAATCCGAGAGAAAGAACGCCTGTATGACGATGATATTGAGAGCTGGGAGACTGAAAAACGCAATCTGGAAACGCAACGTGCCCGTGCGGAAGAACAAGCAGCAGGTCTTCAGAAGACCATCGATCGACTTCAACAGACAGAAGGATCTTTATCTGGAAGAGAGTCAAAACTTCGAGAGGCTATCCGCAGCGAGAAAGAGAGACATGAGAGTCAAGAAGCTCTTCTGACACGCCAAATTAACGAGTTGAACGAGGACGTCCAGACTCGGCGCAAGGCATTGGAAGACTCACGATCCGAATTAGCTAGTGTTCGTGAAGAACTCAGACTCAGCCAACGTGAGCAAAAATCCCTGGCTGAGAAGATCGAAGGTCTAGAAGATGAAGTCGAGATTCTACAAACCAGTCTTGACGAGGAAAGCGAGCAGGCCAACCAAGATGTCAATGCCGCCAGACATGAATCAGAAAGCCTCCGAAGACAGCTACAGACTCTAAAGCAAGGCCTTGCTAAGGCAGAAGCTGCAGCTACTAGTGCAAGAGCAGAACTCGAGGTGTTCCACGGTGACCTCCAGGCCGATCAGGGGTCCAAAGAGAGCCTGAATAAGTTGTTGCGGGATCATGAGGCTCAATTATCAAAGGTCCGGTTAGAGAAACAGAGCTTGCAAGACCAGATCGGCAAAGTAAACATCGAACTACACTCCCTCCGATCATCAAATTCTGAGCTAAAGGCAGAGAAAGATGAGATATCTAGTCAATTGAGGGCTTTGAAGCAACAGGAAGATGAAACTTTCCGTCTAGAAGAGGAGAGAGTGGAGCTTCGAACAGCCAAGATGAAGCTTGATAACGAAGTTCGCCGACTTCGGGAGGATCACAAGGTTGCGGTGGCCGAGCAAAAGGCTATTGAGAAGGAGCTGAACGAAGAGATTGAGAGAGCCAGTAACGAAGAAGCCCGTCTCAATGCTGAAATTCAAGACCTACATCGTATACTCCGCGGCTCATCGGAAAAGCGGGAGTTAGCCACAGCTAAGAAAACCATCAGCAGACTAGAAGAGCGCATCCTAGAATTAGCAAGTCAGCCAGCAACCAGTGATCACCAGAACGAGACTTCCCATGAACTTTCTGAAATCAAACAAGATCTCACAGCACTGCGCCAAAAAGAGAATGAATACATTCAACGCGAAACTGCGAACAAAGATAAAGTTAAGAGTCTCAAACGACAAATTGCTGAACTTGAACGTAAAGTTCACGAGACAGATATGGCTCGTTTTGCCATTGCCTCTTCACCTGCTTCTGCTGGTGGCTCTACTCACAAAGAAGTTGCCCAACTCCGTCATCAGCTTTCAGAAGCACATCAGTCTCTCAAAGATCTTCGTTCCCGAATGAAGGAATCCGACAAAGAAGCAGCACGAAAACTTAGCTCCATGAACATCAATTTCCAACACCAAGAACAAACTTGGGAAGCCGAGAAAGATCAGTTGGAGCGTCAATTGGATGAATTACGTCTTACCAAAGATGAGCTCTCGACCAGAAATGCTTCTTTCGAAGCAGCTATCAATAGACTCAGTGACAAAATTGATCGTCTCCAGAAAGCGCTCATGTCCGAACGTGCAAACAGCGGTGAAGGACACACCATAGCTCTTGAGCGCCGAGACCTCCACGAAATGCTTCAGGAAACTCAAATCCAACGTGAATCCCTGGAGCTCCTCATCAAGGAACGCGAAAATGCCATCCAGACTGTGAGCGCCAAGGAAGTTGAGCTCCGCAGCAGTCTCCGTCGGGTCCGTGAAGAACGTAATCGAGAACGTGCTAAGGCACTCAGCACGAAAGAACAACTGGAGCTTCTTGAGGAGGAGTATGTCAAGTCGAAGGAAGACTACATCAAGGCGAAAAGTGAATGGGATGCCGAAAAGTGCACTCTTAGTCGTGGTGTCAGATTCCCAAATATGTCAATCTCATATACCGAAGACGGAATCCAAGCACTGAAGAAGGAAAAAGAAGAAGGGGAGAAGCGATTTTCGAGAGAAATCGAAAAGAGGGACGACAAGCATGGAAAGGAGTTGAAGGGTTTGTGCATGCAAATTGAATGGATGAAAGCCCGATGTGCTCGAGAAGAGAGCAAGCGAGCCGATTTAGCATACGCGAAGAAATACCTACTGGCGAAAATCAACATGTATGATGCATGGTAAGTTCCCCCTTTTCATCCCGCTTAACATTCCGTCCACTAACACCTCACTAGCAACAAGGCCGATCTTCGTCTCCTACGCCAAACAAGCCTAATTCCCGAACCCGCTCCCGTTCCAAAACCTAAAGCCACTATCCGCACCGTAACCTTCTTAATTATAGCCGGTCTGCGCATGCGCAAAGGTGCCGAAGCCTGGGATAAGAACAAGAACATGCATCAGAAGATTCTCGGAAAATTAGAGGTTATGAGAGCCAACAGGGCAAAGAGACTTCTATATGAAGAAAGTGCAGCAAGAGAAGAGATTCAAGCCCCAGTATCAGCGAGAAAAGAAAACTCGGCGTCCCGCTCTGCATCTCGAACGGGCTCGAGAAATCCATCACGGAATGCATCACCCATCAAGGCAAACCAGGCACAACCGATTATTAACCCGGCCTTTAACGCAGCTAGAAAAAGCAGTCTCAAGAGTGCCGTGAGAGAAATATTAAAGGAGAAGAATGAGGGGATTACGGACCGTGTGAACGGATTTTAGTTATGATTGGAGTATTACACTACATCTTATTGTATTCTAATCCCTGGCGTTTCTTTCCATTGCGTTCTTTAAATTTCATTTCCACCTTTCTCGCCGTTCTCTATCTTTTTTCTTCCTTTTTCTTCTTTTTTCTTCTTTTTTTTTGAGTAATGAAATTTGGCAATGTTACCTAGGTAGTTAAGGATAGCGGGTATTCCCAATAAATGCAAAAATGATCAATCATTTGCCTTTTTGCATTTGTATTGAATTGCATGGGATCGGATCGGATTGGATGGGACTGGATTGGAACAGGTTTAGTTTGGTTAAATTGGCCAGAATGAATGAATATATTCTGGAGTTTAAGTTTAAGCTCAAGTTTAGGCTCGGGTTCGAGTTCGAGTTTGGGGTTTAGTTGGGATTCAGAGGGCCTTTGGGGATATTTTCATAGTCTAGCGCGAGATGCTAGGGAGGGAGGGAGGAAGGCAGGGAGGGAATAAATAGCTAGGTATCTAGTTTGGTTGTTATGCTTAGGGGCGTGCATAAGTAGTAGGCAAATAAGTGTAAATGAATGAATGAATAAATTATTTACCATCTACACACATAGTAATATAGTGATACAGTAGTAATCTGGTGTTGAGCAAGAAAAGATATTTGAGTATAGGGCATCGAAAGGCAAAGCGCAAAAGATCTCTGGGTAGAATAATATTTATCACCTATCCATTCATCCATCTTGATCCATCTTGATCTTTACTATCATTCCTTCATCCATTCATTTTGTCAAGGAAAAGAGATATATCCCAGAATCAGCCGTAGAGCGTTGATCCATAAAATTCCCCCAAAAAATACAAAACCTCAATTCACTAATATTCCTTTCAATGATGCCATTCTTCATAGACCTCAAAACTACATGCCCCTTTCCAATTCCAAACACATGCATGCCGTAAAATATTGCTTTTGCATCATAACCCTTTAAATACATTGAACGGGTGACTATTTACATGACAAAGAGAAGATTTGTGTCTGCTATCATTAGCATCACTAAACGGACTATAAAAGCAAAGGGGGAACCATACTCAACGGATGACTGCAACTAAGTTGCGGCTTCTGGGTATATTTGGTGGCGAGCTCATCTCTAATACTATTCAACAGTTGGACGTAACTCTGCTGTGGGTTCTTCTTCATGGCGGTAATGAACGCCCATGACATGGCACCAGTCGCTTGTGCAGCAATAGTAGCATCGGCCCTGTACCAGAATCGTTAGTCCTTGCTTATGGCCAAAAGCGTTCGAAAGAAGGCGGTTGACAGGCCCAGTTAGGTCAGCTAGGTTACTTAACCCAACGTGACTTGCAGCCCTTGGCCTACATCTTAGCCATGATTGGCTGTTGATATAGACCTTGGGCTTTGTAAATTCAACGTAACTATTTATGTACATGTATGACTAGGACATAGTCCATTATTCAAATGAATAAATTCTAACGCTAGAAATTCCATAAGGTTCCCTTGCAATACACCGTGGCAAGGGCTTCCCCAACTCAGAAAAGCCCTTTATCGATAACAATGGCAAGGTAAGAAATATACTGACGATGTTTGGTCATCTTTACTTCCGGACCACATGACCACATCAGCGGGTGATGTTTTAGTTGCCAAAGTTTTGTTGTAAGCATCGTCTCCAGTTGTCGCTTTCTTGAAAAATCCCATCAAATTACTTGCAACACCGCTCATATCACCTTGACTGTAAGAAGAAATAACACCGAGAAGACCTTGGCCTGCTTCTTTCGCAAGGTTTGGCTCTTTGAGAACTCCTTGGGTGGAGTAAACATATGGTAAGTCGAGCGCAGTTCCAGAATGACATGAGTCGAAGATTGCGGTCAATCGAACACCAGGCTGCAGAGGTTGAACCATGATCCTGTGCATCTCGTCGTCGACAATGTGTCCGACCTGTCTGAAATCGACCGGGTAAATAACTTCATCGTAACCATCTTCTTCGTCGCCATCCAAGTCCTTCGTTTGACCACCATGTCCTATAAACGTAAACACATGTGCGATGGTAAGTCTTAGGTCACTTACCGGAATAATGGAAGAATAACGAATCATTCGGTCGAGCATCCTTCACCAACCAATGCATGGCTCGTAATATATTTTGTTTAGTGGGCTGACTCATTGGGTTTTGCTGATCATCCGTAAGAATAACCATATCATCGCGCTGATATCCGAAGTTTTCATGCAAATATGATGACATGTTCTTAACATCGTTGATACATCCACGCAATTGGCCACGCTGACCGAAATAATTGATACCAATTAGGAGTGCTTTCCGTCTCCCCGTGCAATTAGAGTATTGGAAGGCATAACCTTGAGGCGCACCTTGTCCAAACGAGTGCATTCCCTGTGGCGGTGGTGGTGGAGCATTCTGATTGCCATTTGTGTAGGCGTTTGAATTGACCGAGGGCATTCCTGTGGAGAATAATCAGTATTTCCACTATAACACCGAGACTTTTTCTGCGAACCTGGTCTACCGTATTGTGGGGCGTTAGGAGGCACACCATTATATCCGCCGTATTGTTGAGGAGGGGGCTATTGTTGGTAAATCATTAGTGATAGAAACGGACTTCTGTATAATTGAAATTCTTACTTGAGAATATCCGTAAGGTTGTTGTGGAGGCGGAGGCTGTTGATATCCGTAGCCTCCTTGAGGAGGAGGAGCTCCATATCCTGGCTGAGGTCTATATCAGAGTAAGTGAAAGTCCATGTGCATTGCATCGGGGAGGAAGAAATTCATCCTACGGGTAGTAGGGTTGGGGCGGGTACTGCTGGTGTGGTGGTGGTGGTCCGTAACCTCCACTGTTGTATCCCGGATACCCAGACATATTAATTATAGACGTCGGAGTGACGAGACGTTATGAGCGATTGAGGATTGAGGATTGAGGGTTGAGGGTTGAGGGTTGAAGATTGAAGATTGAAGATTGAAGATTGAAGATTGGAGATTGGAGATTGAAGATTATTGTTGATTATGATTGCTTCCTGTCGGCACAGAAGCCGCGACGAGGGGTAAAAGGCTTGGTAATTCGCAACAACAATGAACCGGACCGGTATGGAACAAGGTTTAAGAGTCGGAGTCGAGATCGAGATTGATTGATTGATTGATCGACTTTGAAGGTGGGTTCGGCAGATGTCTTTATAGCCGGGTGGGAAGGATATTTATTCTTGGATAGATGAAGACGTCGATATTGAATATTCTCAACGTGGGGCAGGTAGGTAGTAGGTAGGTAGGTGAGTATGTAGGTATGTAGGTATGTAGTCGTTAGGTCTTTAGGCCTTAGGTCGTTGGGTAGTTTAGGAACGGACGGGAGGGGAGAATCGGAGGATGCGATGCAAGAGGTTGTGATAGGCGGGTACACTAATGTGTGTTAGTGTTAGTACTATGCTATGTAGTGAGGTCGGGTAATTTGATGGGTAGAGAGAGCAGCCTGGTTACTAATTTAGTTTAGTTTAGTTTAGTTTAGTTTGGCTTAGTTTGGCTTAGTTTGGCTTAGTTTGGTTACTTTAATTGTTTTAGTTGTTTTGTTACTTGTGAGAGGCGAGGCGCGCTGGGCAGTGTTCATTTGTTCTCCGTCAGCGACAAGGGTTGAAACCCTCTATGGCCGTACTGGTGTGTGATTTAAGCAACAACACAGACCAAGATCATCCAAGAGTAGTAAGTACCTACCTACCTAGTAAGGAAGCAGGGCTGAAGATTTTCTTCTTTTCCGATAGATGCAGATTAGACGCAAGATGCAAAAATTTAAAATTTAATTATAGACAGATCTTAATACGTATGTGGAAAGAATGCATGTAGTATCTAATGTATGATGAAGTTTCCATCGGTCGGTACCGGAATGGAAGGGCCAAGATGTATGTATGGACGGAGTACAGTACAGTATGAATCAAGCGGGAGTAAAATGGTAACCTTGGAACTCTTTACCATAGGATTTCTTCCGGTGCAGTAGGTATGCAGTGTTATGAATGTCTTGTATCCGTATCTCCAAGATTGATGGTTCTGGCCTGAGATGCTCTCTGCTCTCCGTGTTTAGATTAGCTTTGCCAGTTCTCAATATTCATTAGCTATAGGCTGGCTTTGATCATCACGATTATTTGTATAGTTTGTATAGCGAATGAAGACACGAAGGTTTCGATTTCACTACGGCTGATATAATGGGCAGTGGTTTCAACGGCTACAGCTAAGGAAGGTCGTTTGTAGATACAATAGAGCGCTGACACTTAGAATAAGCCAAGAACATGAAAAGTAGAAGTAAAAGACCTAGTGACTAGGTAAGTACCTAGTATGAATAAGCAAGGGGCTCACTTAAAATGTTATCGACATCGTACAGTCACACATTTTAACCTTACATCCACCATGATCATTGAGGGTCCCAATACATTGCTTTGGTGCATTTGCATTTGCAGGTTGCAGTACATCATATTCCATGTTGGGGTAGAAAAGTTTAAGCCATTCAATCTATGCACATGCCTCCTCCCATCTCTTGAACCTGTTGGCTGATGTCAACGATTGGCTTGGCTTTGAAACTTTTACACTTGATCAATGATGCTATCATCAAACTCCCAATAACTTCTACGCCTTGAACCATGTAGGATTATGTAAAACCTGCAAGTATTCATTGTTTAGTCAGAAAGGCACCAATCCGTGTTACCTTATTCACTATACTATGTTTTAACGTTGCTTCCACGAAAGCGTCTTCCCACCTACCATATTAGGATATTCTATCCGGTATAAAGCCAGGGGCGCTGTATGTTATTGCAGCTCACTGCATCTACTCGGAGAGGCCGTGTTTCTAAGGTATTCTTTCATAGCTTTAGGGATATTCTACTGACAGCACAGAACTGAAAAGTTTGGGAAGTGACATACTCGTGCGTGTCGAAACCACAACCGACTTGACGTTTTGGGTAGGTTCACTTGGTGTCACGTACCCAATCCATCGACAACTCTCACTTATATGGGGTAAACGTATCATGTCCTGCTGAAAAAAGTATCAATGCAGCTGCAACCCCTCTCGGGCTGTGGTTCATTGAAATGTGCCATCGTCAGATCTAAGCTTAATCTTGCATATCGGTCCGTCGCTTTTCCGTCAATCATGAAAGACCCGGAAGAAGAATTTCTCTTCAGACGGTTCCAACAGCGGTATGATGACGGATGGAGAAGATGGAAATGCCAAATTCTCAACCTTTCAACGAATAACGTGGCTAATGTGGTTTAATGTGGGTAACTTCGGACGGAGCGTCCGAGATAGCAATTTTATGGCTGGCGTGGTCATGCATATATCCATATTTATTGGCCAAGATATCTCGTCTAATGTCAGCCACACTATGTCGGCTTTAACGTGCTGCTGCTTTATGGTATGCAAAACTTTGCCTCGATCCATTTGCACCGAGGTCCACCGAGGTTCAGTGGAAATCTATGGGTAACCCAAAGAGTTTCACGAAAAGCAGCGATGCAGTGGAAAGGATGTCTTAACCTCCTGTAGAACAACAACGTCCATCATACAAAAATGGTATACGCATTGACAGGTACCGACGTACTTTCACTCCACCAAGCAGATCCTCATCACATACAATCTAGAGAAATTCTCAGCTCAGTTGTCCGACTATTTCCTAGACAACCGGAAAAATTGCTTGTAGGCTTTGCCTTCCTCATAGAATCCCATGCCACCTGCGTCTACTCCATACTTCCTTTCTTTCTCAGAATTCAGTACAATTAGGGTTAATAAATCTGCGGGTGCTTTCTCTTTCAGCAAGATTCTGAGATATCAAAGGCCAGACAATCTTGGAAGTCACTAGTGGTTAGCAGATCGTCCCGTGCTAGATCCCTAACTCCTGAAAATGCATCATTTCACGGAAACTAGAGCGAGGGATCAATAGCCTTGCCTGCATTATCTGCAGTCAGAATCTTGTTTCCCACGTTTCAATTTTGACTCCAGATCTGCTATGGAGCATGTAAGCATGCTGGATGTGGCTATGTACCGGCGCGAACTTAATGAGTGCCAGGTATAATCTTGGCGCCAACTCACTTTGTCAGGTCCACTGCTACGTGACATCGAAGTGTGGCTCTTTATCATGGATTTTCGTGTAAGATTGCTCAGCATTTCCAGCCTTACGAGTTAACTCTACCAGCCAACTGAGTTTGGAGCCGCCACTAATGGAGTGTGCAGAAAAGTGGATGTTGCGCAGGACAAGGTTCTTGTACTTAAGTATGAACTTAGCCTCTGCTTTATCAATATATGAAGTGATTCTTTGACTCTAAATTCTGACGCTATTGCATTTGAGTCATGCACCAATCATCCCTGTTTATACTATCATAAATCACCACTCTCGTATCTAGTTTTTCAAAAGCAAGTTCTATCACAAAATACCGGTTCATGTTCTATAGTTCCCAGATACTATCATATTTCAATCTTGTGGAATGAGTTTCGCTGCCGCAGCTCCAACCTTGACAGCGGGTACCAAATTGTTTGGTCAAGCTCAGGTCGCCGAATACTTTTCCAGAGATTATTTCCGATGCTCCTATGTTGCTGTAGAGTTTCACTGGGTGGAGTCAGAAGGACGTACTGAAATTCTACAGGTTAACCGATTTGCCATCCTGCAGTCTGCCTTTTACCCTTCATCTTAATCCCATATCATCGATAGATTTATGATATTATGTGGATCCACGGCACGTAATGATCAAGGGGCTAATGTGTAAGTATTGGCAATGGGAGAACCTTACAATTACATCAACAAGTGTCAGCAATCATGGATGCTGCTTAGAGGAGCGCAAGCTTGAGGCCATCCTTCGATTTCTAGCGTATCACTTCAACTGTTTTCCAACTCCTCGAATGATTTGTTTTCATATGAATCCTTACTCAATGCTAAGTATCACGAATAATTTCGACTTGACCGAGGACGTTTCACGGTATTTGAAATCGTTCACACAAGCATAGAAATTCAGAGCATTGTAACTACGCCTATTAACAACAGACCGGATCAGGAATATCGGAAAAAAGCACTAGTGTAGCTCAATTCATCAGCGCATCAAGGATTTCTCGTCATCACATTCAACAAAAGTATTGGATATCCCAACCAATGCAACACAAACCATGGATGAATAACCAAAATCAAGAATTCAACCGATATATCCGAGAGACAATCGGGTGCTTGAATGCATGGGGACAGATCAAAGTACGAATAAGTGTAAATCCCAACGTCCTTTTCAGACTAAATGTAACAGCACCTCCATTGATCATAGATTTTAACCCCAAATTTATAACCCACGGGAGGTTTTCCCTGGCCAATAACCCACCAATATAACTTTACTTTTGTCTCCAACTCCAAGAAACCTTATTCGGTAACTTCATTCGCTAATCATGTTTTAATTCCGCTTTAATTAACGCGTCATCCATACTCGCATCGGTTCAAATTGATCCAAGAATTGTGACACACTTCACAATCATAACCCAACGATAACCAACAAGTCCATTTGAAATCAATAAGGCTTTAAAGCTTCAATACAATAAATAATAAATAATAAATAATAAATAATAAATAATAAATAATAAATAATAAATAATAAATAATAAATAATAAATAATAAATAATAAATAATAAATAATAAATATGAATTTTATTTATTTATTTAATTATTAATTTATAATCAAGCTTTTTTTATAATTAAAATAATATTAAGAATTTGTTAGAACTTATTAAATTTTTATAGTAATTAATATTAATATCAATATCGATATTTCTATTTATTCACAGTTCCAAATAGAATGTACAAAAACTATCCAAAACCATCTCAAGCCCATTCCTACTCCCACTCCCAATACCAATCCAAATCCATCTACCAAAAGATTCCCGATCCCCATCCACAACTTCAACCACACTACCACCCATTCATTCCAAGCCATCCCCATCAATCTACCCATCTATCCACATCCATTCCCCCTTGTCCTCCTCCCTCCACGTTTCCATTTACCCCCTCCTCCGCCCTCATAATCCAAGCCATGATCCCCCAAACAACCCCCATCGCCTCGACCCTATCTTCCCCCAGAAATAAATCATACCACCTAGTTCTCCAAACCGTCGTTCTCTCAAATCCATCCGACCCATCCTTTTCTCCATCTAGAACTTCCAAGATTCCTTTCCCTACTCTTCCCCGTAGAAAACTAACATGATGATTTAAGGAGCTAACCAAGAAAATCTCATCCCCATTCCCTTGTACACCACCTGGTTTTCCAATCGTCATGTATCTTACTTTTTTATCCCAAGTACTGGCCGGTGGCATCATCTTGCGGTAATTTTCATATAATTGGGATGGACCACTAAGACGTGTCGTGCGGGGTTTCTTTTGTGGAGGACGTCTTTCTGGGGTGATGGATTGTGGAAAGGGCGCAGATGGGAGAGATGGAAGAGAAGGGAAGGAATTTATACCACCAATTTTAGATTTGATTTCCGACATAAAGGACTTGTCTTGTGATGATGTAGGAGCAGGCGAAGAATTAGATTGAGTGGTTTCGATTTCTTTACCAATGGGACCACCCTTTCCACCTCCCCAGCGGGGAGCTGTAGTCCACCATTTTTCCGCACCAAATAATTTCTCCGTTTTACCTTCACGATTACGTTGTTGAGCCGTGAGCAAAATTGTAATGATCTCACGAGCGAGATCAAGATTAGAATCGAGTGGTGTAGTGAAGGATGTGGTGGAGCGGCATGAAAGAGCTGCAAGCGGACCTTCGAGGAAACCTGCTCGAGCAGAGTTACGGTCTGTTGGGGTACGATAAAGCATCGTGACACCCATGGCCGAGAAATTTGATGGAGGAGTCGAAGATTGCGATGGAGGTGAATGGATATGGAGACGGGGCTCGACACGTGGAAAGGAAACGTTACAGCCGAAGTCGTAGGCGATAAGTTTTATAAAAGCAGTGGTGATACCTTGACGGAATTCATGCGGGAGCTGGGAACCAGTGCCAGTACGAACATGAGTTTGTTGATAAATTGGAACTTTATCTTCAGCTTCTTTGGGTTCTTCGGTTTGTTTTTCGGCGTCATTTCCGGTGGTGGTAGGAGATGGAGCAGTCTCTTTTGGAAGAGAAGTATCAACCCAATAACTTGAGAACACTTCCAGATTCTTATAGAATTCATATGCATTGCCTAAACGAGCTGCCGGTGTGCCTTTTGTTTGAGGAAGCCTACGGACAGTGCGAAAAGCAGCCGTGTTATCAATGAAAAGTTCTCTTCGTCGATCAAGATAATTCTTTACTCCAGGCCCTTGGTTGCCATTGCTTAAAAGTCTCCTACTTGCTGTAGTCGCATCTTCGAGATGCTCCTCAGGGATATTCGTCCATTCTTGAACAGGGGGAAGAAACGAAGGATCAGGCAAGAAATCTTGAGGAGATGCATCTGGGATGATGTGAACGCCCAGCTTTTCGAAATGAGATAGTTTTATATCCGCTGGTCGATGAATAGTCTGAAGAAACGTGACTAGAGGTATATCTCCCGGAGGAATATAGTCTGGTGACTGGGGTGTACTTGAAGGAAACGTGAGAGGTGTTGGTGGCGGGATGATTCGAGGCTTACCATCTGGTGTGGTAGGTAGCGGTGCTGTAAAATGGTAAGAATTTTGAGCTGTCTTGAGCATGGATTGATTCCTCTCTGATGTTTTGGGTAGTTTGGATAACGGAATGGACTTCATGAAATGCCTAGACTAGAGGGCTAAACAGGATGGGAGTATGGTGAAACCGAAAGACGAAGATAAAATTGAGAGGGAAAGAGCTTAAAGGGATCTGCATCATTTTCATCAGATGATCACAAATGTGAATACTTATTGAACCAAACTAATGTAGTTGGCATAAAGGTCAAAGACTTCAGATATGCAGTAAACACCATAACCCCGCAGATGAAATATCTGGCTAGTTGACCGTAACCTCTGCCTCTAATGGTATATATAGATCATTAAGGTTGATCGTATTGAAAAATTACTTCCTCATCACGAACGGGAGAATTGCATGATCGAGGTAGCAAATTGATAGATGATTCTTGTGGAAAAGGACTGCTATCCAGAATCCATGGAGCTTTTGGTGCCTTGAACCCAACCAATATGGAAAGCTTAAAGTATGAGGAAGAACCATTCCCAGAAATATAGAAACCAGCAGCGAAAATTATTCAATGCTTACCAAAACTCGCAAAATTACCAAACATGATGATGGTCTTCTATGTCTCTGATAATATAAATCTCTCCGGGTTGTAACTGAGTGTAATCCGAAGCTCTAGTTTCGCTCGCCGTTCAACAATTTAATGCAGACCAGACCCCTCCTCGTGAGATGAGATGAGATTATAAAAATTGTGATTTATCCAGAATATCTCATTGATATATTTAAAGTCGAGTTATTGAACTGAGGTACATCTGGTGTGAAGAGTCTTTGCTGTGAGTGTTGCTGGTCGATTGTTATGGAGAATGTAGTAGGGTAGGGGCAAAAGACAGAATAGAATAGATAGATGGGGTTGTCGCGTGAATAATGCATACACTCCTTGTTGTCGTTCAAATTGTGATTCTCCTCCAATCAACTTCCTGATTAAAGTGGGCAGTGTTGATAATCGCAAACCAATGATATTGATATATCAGCCCGGATAAGTGAAGAACTGTTGGGCTTTTATATGTACAAGGACGAATTAGGAAGAGGTTATCTGTATATACATAATATGGCTATCTATGTGTCTACTGTGTATGTGTATGTATATCAACTACCGAGTATAACTAGAAGAGTAATCTTACTCATCCCACCAAACTATACAATTTCTCGGGGTAGATGCATCTGGTGATCCTGTCTAAGATGGCGCCATGGTGGATGGACCACGAAGAACTCAACCCTTACCTATTAGCTAGGCAGGGCCAGATTACAGGACTTTTACTGAATTACATTACAGCCCTGTCTCAAGCTTCAGTACAACCACCAGCACAACCACACAATCACAAGCTTTTGATAGCTATTTGTCAATAGCCTATCGTACCTTGTAACCGATATGCAGCAGTGATCATAGAGAAAACCCTTTCTACAGTTCTCCATGCCACTGCATATTCAAGCTCTTCCAGGATGTCCTTACAGGATGATTCACGCATTAACTACCTAAATGTGTGAGGGCAGTAGACTTCGGTACCAAAGCCGTGACAAGATATTCCAACTCCGCCATTAACCTTACCTGCCGATCTCATCTATTTGATAGCTGTTCGGACAGGCGTAAAGTTCAATCCCGATCATTCATAATTAGTTCCACATGTTACCCGATAATTTCTCCAAATACATACATAAGGTTAACCGTGTTCTATTGAACCATAGGACAATGTTATTCAGTATCCGCTAGATTCTAGAGTGGCATCATAACGCGGACTAGAAGCTTCCCGTGTGAAGTGGAGAGAAAGTGGCCTCTCCCCTCTCCTTCCCGTACTAGCAGACGTTTGCATCATATATGGCACAAAATGAGTATGACTTTTTAACCATACAGCTTGAAGGTTCGAGGATTCCTACATATTTAGTTTCCTCGACGCTTTACCTGGTACCTTCAATCAATTTGATACTGCCTAGTACCTACCACGTACCTACCACATACTGGCCTTTGTGATATGAATAGTGGGGATAGTATAGGGTCATAGCAGTTACAAGGTTCGAGTTCTGGAAACTCGTTCCACCAAATAAGGATAGGCAAGTATGACAGAAACAAATTTAGCTTTCACGGATGAGGCAAAGGGTAGCGTATACATGTGAAAATGTGAAAATGTGAAAAGATGGAAGAGATCGGTGAAAATCGGTCAAGGTTAAATCTTTCGAAGAAACATCTTGCTGAGGCTCAAACAAGAAAAACGTGGTAGCTAAACGCAAGAGGCTGGCTATTTGAACTTCCGGTTCCCTTTCTGTCAATTCAACCTGTTCCAGCCCTTGAGATGAAGTGAAGCGAAGGGCTTCGATGTTTCTGGCTTGGAGATTCCTAGTCGTTTCCTTCACAATGGTGTACGAAGTAAGTTTGTGGGAATGAGTATATGCAGGTACGGTAAAAGAACAAACTCCTTGGGCTTGGCATAATCAGATAGGGGTGATAGAATATAGTAAGATCTTACATGCAGGCATCTTGCACACATCATCATTCAAACGGGTGCATCAGGAAGATTTTGACCTGCTGGAAAAGAAGCCGGAAAAGGTTATCTAGAACTGGTGAACCAATCTCAGAGTCTTCAAGTCCCATCAAGTTTCAACTCCTTCAACTGTCCAACATCGGGAAAACGGAATACTTGGTTGATTCGTTTCTACCCTATCATCAGAGAAAACACATGAAATATAAAATCAAATAAAAAGAAAGATATATTAAAACTTTGTCGCCAAGTGGGGTGTTTATGTATGCATCTCTTTATAGGAATATTAATTCAAGGACCGCAATGGACCGTGAAATCGTTGGGGCCGCAGCACTGTGCAGTCTGTACTGGACCAGTTTTGGCCACAAACAAAAAGAACTGTAAGGTTATCGCTTACAGAACGTAACCCTTCCATCTTCACCCCTTCACGATCATGACACCACCACAAAAGATGAATCTAGTTTGTCCAAAAGAGCAAGACTGATTCGGGAAGTCCGGACCATTTGACTGCTCAAGGCTCGAGTCCTGCACATGGCAGATAACTTAACCCATTAAACAACCTTACGTCTAGTCCTTGAAGAACACTGCACTACCTTGGTAAGTCTAACTATCCCATATCCACCCCATTGTCACCCCAGACGGGGGCATGAATATCAATAGTATCAATCATTTAAAGGTTTCCTTAAACAGCCAATGAAACTTGATGAATTAGATTGAATGGGAGCCCTTTCAGTCATTTCACTTTTCTTAATTCAAATGATCCCTTCACCTACATCACTAATTCATCTTCTTGTCCCAGTTCGCAGCGGCAAGGCCTTGACCTATTATGCTTGCGGAGTCCTCTTACCGCTTTGAGTGTGAAGATGTTCGATCGATTTGACTAGGAAGCGAGTCCTCCCAGAAGGCCAGAGCGTAAAACAAATCGTGTGTCAGATTTGCAACATTATGCACCCCTCCCCAAGGTAATCAAGGGAAGATGATTAATTAGGCTTTACCTTTTTCCTTTGTGAACAAGGACCTGATACTCATTATCATACTGTGCCCGAAGTTTTCGTGATTCTTTCAATTTGTTCTCATTTTTTTGGCATTTGCATTTCTATTGTTGAAACCGTCGTTAGTCATCGACAATACTCGTACACATAGTACCATTATGAAAATCACTTGAAGGGCCGAGGAGCCAATGTTCAGAAAATCTCCTTGAAGGCTGATTCATTACATTCATTTGTAGCGACCGGTGTCGCGTTTACTATATTACAATATGTCGACGAGTGCGAACCTGCCGGCAGGATTTTCAATCACCTCAATCAATGGAGTAAGATGTACTGCTGTCCCAAAGTCGGCCACGACAGTATCATCAGTAGTTACCTCTGCAATTCCTGTTTCTTCCATTTCTACATCTACCTCTTCTTCATCCACTTCAACACCTATTTCAACATCTATCTCCTCGACTTCAACTTCAACAATACCGGCTACAACAACACCGACTTCAACAACGCCGATACCGACACCGACATCAACATCAACATCGACTTTGGAAAGTGCCATCCCATCTCCGGAGTCCACCTCAACACCGGTTATTGTAGTTCCAGCAGCGCTGAGTGCACCGGTGAGCGCACCAGCGAGTACACCGGCGGCTATTGCTGTGGGGGGACCACTGATACAATCCTCGAGTACGAGTACGAGTGGGGTTGAATCGACAACAAGCCAACTAGTTGAACTACCTCCAGCACCGCCCCCACCTCCTCCACCACCCCCAGTAGCTATTACCTCAAGTGTATCCCAAACTCAAATAACGTTGACAAGTATCAGCACAACAACTTCTGCTACTCCGGCATCTAAAGGCACGACCCCAACTGAGTCATCAAGTACGTCGTTAGTGATTGCTCCAAGTGAACCCAGCACTACAGCCTCTTCTGCACATGATCCCGCTACCCACGATCCTAATGTCGGTCATGCAACTTCTGCAGCGAGTGTCATCGCGTCATCGACACGATCAACACCGACGGCTGAATCATCAGCCGCCGGTGGGATTTCCTCATTTGGTCACCTAATGACCGCACCAGTGATTGGTGGGATTTTGGGCGGGATCGGATTCCTTGCATTGATAGGATTGGTCATATTTTTCTGTAGGAGAAGACGGAAGTCAAAGAAAAATTCATCGCTCAGACCTCTGAACACTGGAACTCGGGACCAATTTTATGATATCGATAAGAGGGCGCAGGGCCAATATTACGATATTTATGATGACTCCGTAGCATCCGCAGGTCGTGGTACTCATTTTAAGGCGCAAATAGGTGGCGCCGCGACAACTTTTGGTGCAGGTTTAGCTGGAATACGTTCCACACTTAGGTTTCATGTCCAACCAGGAAATAAGCCAACTGTGAACCTCGATAGGGGCAACTCACAGTTCTTCGAGCCACCAATTCCCTACCATAGCAGAAACAATTCCTTGGCATCTGTGCATTCATTGCACTACGCTGCAAAAGATCGAGCGGGCGACTTCACAAGCAAGATTAAAGGTGTATTCCGAACAGCCCAGAAAGAAGAAAATGATCCTTTTGCCATGGCACGTGGAATGTCCGAAAAACAGACGAATTTTAGCCGGCCCCAGGAATTCGGGAATTTGATGGACATGGATGATCGCAATCTGTTGATGAAAGCTGAGCGTCGCCGTCTCTCCCTTTCTTCCAACTCTGGTTCTGGACAGATGCTCGGTAGCCTAGGATTAGATTTTGGCATTCCACAAGATCCATTCGCGGACCCTGCTCCAAGGGCGGCGGTCTCGAATTCGAATGTCAATCCCTTTGCGGACCCCAATACATGGGATTCTATACCTCGACCTGATCCTGCTATCCCGAGAACCAACACATATATCAGTGACGTCCGTCGTTCTCGCGGCGAGTCATTGGACAGTACCACTCGAGGTCATAAGAACGCGCCAAGTAGTGTGTACGGACCAGCAGCATATAGAACCCCAAGCATCAGTAACGTATCACGATATCCATCCAGTATGGCACCCAGCACGGAGAGCTTTCGCGACACGCTATACTCTACAGCCTCTAATATAAATAATACAAGGAGAATGGCTGGCCGATCTGATCCTTTTGACCTTGAGCGTCCAGAGCTATGGTTACCGGTATTGGCAAACAGCGTTCCCAAAGCAAATAGTCCCGCGTTACTTGAACGTGGTTCCGATCTGTATCCTGATCCATTATTGATGCCAGAATCTAAACCGGGCCAGGCACCAGTAATACCAATTCAGAGAGTCATGACCAATAGCACGAGAGTACCAAGCCAAGGTACTTACGAGAGCAGGTACAGCAGTAGAACGTCAATGGGTGATTGGGGAGATCCAGGGCCAGATGTAGGCAGTGGACCGAGCAGTTTTGCTGACCAAGGGTTTTATAACATGAATGGAAACATGAGTCAACAGTGGGATGCAAGGAGAAACGTGGATAATGTTAGTCTGATGAGTGCTACTAGTAGTAAGGGAGGGGTCGGGAAAGCTCGATGATGAAAGAGATGAGGATGAATATGACTTTCTTTAATTGGATGGACCTTGGGAGTGTAAGCAAAATATACCATTGGGGGTCCACGTACCATTCGTTTAGTATGGACTGGAACTGGCGTTAATTTGCATCAGAAACTACTGTGAACGATATAGCGGACGTAGGATATGTCAGTCGTGTTTTATGTTTGGGAATGTAAGATAGAAGGACGGGAAAAGGACTTGAGCGTTTGTACAATAGCATATATGTATCTCGATGTGAGGATGGGCCCCTTCTCGGTTCAGGAGGGGGAAAGAAGGGAAAGGCATTCACCAACACCCGCTTATGGATCAGGAAGAGAAGACTACCATTTACGATATTATTTATTTGTAGTTGCCTACCAATATATAGTTGCATGGAGATCTTATGTACATTTTGGACATATTGCTTTATGTAGATAGATCTGCTTCAGCAGTTCTAGCTGGAGTAGTGTATGAAATAGTTTCGATATTATTTATAAGAAATTGATACTTTCATTATCTACTTGCTTTTAAAAATATATAATAGACGATTAATATAGTGAAGACTGATCTGGAGAGACGAGAGGGGAATCCGAGAGTTCTCAATTATTAAGCCTCAGGCACCAATACCCCACTAGCGTCGCCAAAAAATTCACACAGCAGCCCTAACAAGCAACAGCAATCCCAAAACCACAAATTTCTTTCAACTTTCCTCTTCTCTCTTTGGACGACCAGCCAATTTTCTCCCACCTCATCGTCTCTCCACCAACATCCCGCCTCTCTGCTTTTTTCTCCCTCCGCACACAACACATACAATTAATATGGGTGTCCCATTTGATTATGCGCCAGATAGGCCTGAACATATCGATGCTATCCTCAACGGACTGGATCGTTACAATCCCGAAACGACCAACATCTTTCAAGAATACGTGACGCTGCAGTGTGAGGAGAAGACTTACGATTGTTATGCCAACTTAGCGCTTTTGAAACTGTGAGTTGCCATCGTCTTTTATCATGTTTACTTCTTTGCATTTTTTGTTGGAGGGGGGGGAAGAAAGTGAGGGGAGAGAGTAGAAGTTCAATGCTCTCTCTCTCTCTCTATTCATAATCTCGATATCTGTCCCCTTGTGAGAGAAAGAGAAAGAAGAATTATGTCTATATGATGAATGAACGTTTAACGTTCCCTATTACCTGAAACTTTGGAGAATGAATCCCTCCATTTCATGAAGTTTATTATTAGCTCTATCTGAAAGACAAGATACATACCAATTTTCAATCCGTTACCAAAAATTTCAGTTCGAACATATAACTAATGTATCAACGCAAAACCACAGTTATCAATTTAACCCCCACCTCACCAAAGACGAAACCATAACAAACATCCTCGTCAAATCCCTCACCGTTTTCCCCTCCCCAGACTTCAGTCTCGCTCTTCACCTCCTCCCACCCCATATCCTCACACCTATCTCTTCCTCTTCTGCACTCCCCGCCGCAGGCGACGCTCCCCTCTCCGAAGCCGTACAAAAACTCGCCGTCCTCAACACCCTCCTCTCCTCAGCAAACTACAGTCAATTCTGGTCGACTCTCGACTCCGACGATTTATACGCCGATCTCATCGCCGACGTAAGCGGTTTTGAGGAACTGATCCGCATCCGCATTGCCTCGACCATTTCCCAATCCGTGCGCGAGATCCCTAGTTCCGAGTTAGAAAATTGGCTTGGAATGAATGGTGAAGCGTTTGAGAAATTCATCAAAGAGGTGTGTGGATGGACTATAGAAAATGGCAGTGTCATTGTGCCATTAAACAAAGAGAATGAGGCCAAAGGAACCGTGGTTCGGGAAAATGTCAAGATGGAGCAATTCTCGAGGGTAATTAGGAGAGCTTATGAACAACCTGCTTAGGTGCGCGCGGTGCGGTATTATGAGGTATGCTTGTATGCAAAGGGATAATGGGTTGGAGATTGGCGTTATATCACGGTGTCCTTGAGGAACGGGAAAAGATGCATACTCTTTATCTGTTTTGCATCTCGCTCGATGGCGACGATCTCGAGATGAGTGGCTGGCTACTAGACATCACAGAGATAGTAGCAGCGTTGTGAAATTCTGCTTCAGTTATGAGCTGCATGCGAAATCTTTTGCGAGCAGCCGAATGAATGAAAAAAAAGTCAAAGCCCCAATTATGCTTCATTTCTCATGTGGTATTCGCAATAAATGACTATCTATTTGTGACCCATAACACAGTCTCAACTCATCCCCTACTTCTTCCCGCCCAACTCTTCCCACTGCACTCCGGCCCATTCCTCCACATACCCCATCTTCCCACTTTCCACACACGTAGGCACACAATCCCTATCACAAACGCCCACAATTACCGTTCCCCAATCCATTCCATCGAGGCCCTTTTCTTCCCTCTCTAACTCCATAATCGCATGCGGAGTAACCTGTACCTCGAATACTCTCCCTGCTCCACAATTCGCACAGCGAGGGATTTTCCCATTCCCGCTTCCACTACTAACTTTAACCTTCTCATTCCCCTTTCCAGCGTCTGCGAAAATCTTTCCTACAGAATCGATTTTGGAGTAGAGTAATGGAGAACCGCGAAATTCATAGCGAATTACTTGTTCAGGGTTTTGGGAGAGACGATCGGCGAATTTTTGGAAGGTGGTATCGTGTGTTGATTCGAAGACCTCTTTGTCTTCTTTTCCGCCGGATGAAGAGTCCGGGGTGTCGTCGACTATTGTGGCTTGCGGGGGTGGAGGTAGGGGCTCTTTGTCGAGGGTTTCGTAGTCGGCGTCTACGAGGTAGTAGAGGGGGTATGGGGATGGGAGATTGTTTGTGGGCCAGGGTTCGTGGGGTGGAGGGGTTGGAGCTGCAGGGGATTGAGAGTTATTGAGAGAGAGGGCGGATGCGAAGGTTTTTGGGAGGGTATCTTTTGCGGTTTCTGATGATGTGGGTTCGGGGGATGGAGAGGGGTTTTGAGGGGGTTTGGCAGCAAGTTCAGAAGTCGGCAGACCGGCTGCTGCGAAGGGATTCGAAAATGTATTTCCTCCCGTTCCTGTAGAGAAAGGATTTGAGCCCGTCGCGAATGGATTTCCCGATGTCGATGGTTTGGCCCCAAATAGACTCTCTCCTAGATTAACTGTTGGTTTTGTAGGTTCTGGCTTTGATTTCTCTTTTTCGGGTTCTTTTGCTTTGGGCTTGCTTGCAGATTCGGCAATTCGTGTACCGCGCAGTGCGCGAATGCTTCCTTCCTTCCTCCGACATGTTTTGCGACGGCACGTAAGGATATAGAGACGACGTTCGTGGCCTGGAAAGTGAGAGGGAGAATCGGCATTGAGTTGGAGGATGAGAACCATGAGGTCATTGCAGACTTTGCATTTTGCGAGGGATGCAGATGGAGGAGTGGTAGGGTCGATCCAGGTCTTGAAGGTGAGTGTTAGTTGTATTTGAGATTCTTATTGTGAGGAGAGTGTTCTTTCGGGGATTGCGAAGAGAATCGCAGAGAATACTTACAGGCTCACCTCCTAAATAACTGATTGTGTCGTCTTGAGGTTCTTTCCCAGCATATCCAAGAAGAACATTTGTTTCTGTGTAATCTTCTTCTTCACCTCCGGATGAATCACTATCATATGGAGCCATTGTAGCAAAATTGCCAAGGAGTACAATAGGAATATACTAAGTAGAAAGTCTCCGAAGTAGATGTGAGAATGTAAATGGATTTAGTGCTGGTTGGTTGATTTGTATATAAATATCTTCCGTCGGAAATGTTGCCCCGCGATAACTTTTTTAACCCCCACTGAACTTTTTTTTAAGCGAGTGAGTGGGTGTAAGGCTGAAGATCTGGATCACTAGTAAATGCTCGGGCCACATATCAGCTCCCGGTGAACTCTCGATAACTACATATTTTCACTATCCCCTTTCCAATTATTTCCCACTTGTGAGTTCTCTTACATTTCCATATTTTATTCTTACTCTTTTTTTAAGCTCAATAATCTCAGCTACTTGCATGAGAGTTAAAGCTTGCCTGAGCTACAATCTCATCGATATCATTGAGAAATTTTGGAATGGTTACTCAGATTTCCGGAGCGCTCAAGATGTCTCCTTCCATCGCGATGTGTGCACCAGAAAAAATTGACAGATTGGATGTTCAACTACCTTGTGAATAATAGTCAAAGACATTGTATTCTCTTACAATAGAATATTATTCAATACATGGGTATTATCTATGATTTCGTGTCTTTTACATTGCACTGCCTAATAATATATAAAGCGTCTTCTCTCAATGAACTTCTATCCTCGAGACCATGTCACCTCCCAAACGAGCAATCTCTGCCAAAATTGCAGATTTATTGATTTCGAAATTTTTGGCCTCTTCCTCCTCCCCACCTCTTTCTTCCAACGGCTTGGCCGCATATGCCAAGTTTACCTTAAACGCTCTTGGAACTGCCGTCTGTGGATTCCATAGCCCTCCAATGCGTGTCATATCTGTTGCACCACGGAAGAAAACGATGCTTCCATTGTATAGATTCTTTAGTTCTTCGCTGAACATTTGAAGGGGTCGGTAGTCGACTTTGTCAATGCTCAATTCGGACTGCACTTCAAGGTTCTTGAAGCGATGTGAATCCTTTGTCTTCGAGGTACCAGTAGCCTTAGGGTTTAAATGAATGACAAAATTGTAGTCATTAGTGGACGTAGCAAATAGTGATCTGGTATCCAAATCTAAGCTTTGGTCCTTGACGGCTTTACAAGCTGATCGCGCAAGAGCCGTCATTCGTGCGGCTACCATTTTTGAGGGCCCATTGTCAGTGAAAGCGGTTCCAGTTGTGTCATGATTTGATGCTGCAAATAAAACCGTGCGGTTCATGCCTGGATCAATTTTCCGCCATGCCTCAAGCCTCGTGTTTATGGTGGAAACATCTTTGTCTGTCATCGTACCGTTAAAGTCTACGATAAGAGGGGTTGATCGCCAATCCCACTTCGAAATAAAAAGTAAGGTGCGCAAAAATCCAGACATAGCACTCGATGGTGCCTTCCACGGATAAGGTTGTAAAAAGACTCGAACTGTCAAAAGCTCGATGAGCTCGTCGCTGATATGGCTAGAAAGCATGTGGCGATCGAACCACTTTTTAACAAGACGAATTGTTGGTGATAGGAGAGGGAATCGAGTACAATGAGTTGATATTGACTGCGTGTGTAATGGAAGTTGAATATTGAAGCTTTTATAGATAGAAAGTGCCGAAACTGCATCTTCTCGTGATCGATTTTCACTGAATTTATCCTTGACCTGACGCTCGAGAAGTGTTTGTTCTCGTTCATTGTGAATTCGAAGACGAAATGTGGCGCCTGATGGATAGAATACATCCAAAAAAGCACAGTTTTGGAGTGGTTGATCCTCATTCTCTATGCCGAGTCTTGTTGTTATGCTGTCATTGGACTCAGCCAAGAGCTCGCCAATCTTAAGGAGGAAGGCGATTTTAGTTCTTTGAATGGCAACAACATCATCTGGCCATCTACCAGATCCCTCGAATTGAATCAGCACATCTGCGGGGGTATGGAGAGACTGTCTTGGTGCAAATAATGGAAGTCCAATCGACGAAGATCGCAGTTGAGGATCCACTGCAGAAAGTTGTCTTAGTTGTAACGGTAAACTCTCCATATCCCTAATATCTTTTTCGAAAGAATCGTACGCCTGTCTGAGGACCTCGAAGGCTTTAGCGCTACTCCCGTACGAAGGCAGTATTTTCTCAAAACCTTCACCAATGAAGCTTAATCTTCTGCTCAGCTCAGCTCCAAAGTGTCGCTTCGTAAGATAAGTGACGATTTCCTCGAAAATAGAATAGGTTGAGCCTGGTGACCATACTAAACTCTCAAGGATACTTCCATCTTTGAAACGTCGTAGCTCGGCCTTTTCACCCCAGAACTTCTGGAATTTGGCTGCCTTTTTCTTATCTTCCGCTGGCGGACCGTGGTCAACTAAACGACTGATATTCGCCGGGTCAAAGAGAACAGCAAGATTCAATGTTTGGTTTTGATTTGTCGAAGCCCCCGAGTTTTTTATTGGCCAAGGGCTTGTCTCGATACCTTTGATATCCAACAGTTTGATCCTATCGGTCAAGCCCTCCTTTAAGATAGCAAACACACGATTCGCGAAGGTAGTAGCATGAATCTTATGATCACAACTAAACAAGCCATCCTTTTCGCCAGGTATAGGAATGTTTATGACGCAGTCGTACTTCTGCAGAATCTGATCAGCCTTTGTGATGAACGTCGCTTCGAATTGGTCAAAAGTGGAGTCATTGAGCATCGTTAATGAAGTTTTCGCTTCATCACGGAGTAATTCGTAAGAAAATGGAGTCATTCTGTATAGAATGTTGACACCTCGTGGGCCATCATAGAAGATTGGCACATCAGATTTTGCAGCCTGGAAATCTGATGCCTCGTAAAGCATTGGCTTCTTGACTAGATCAGTATTCGATAGATACTGTACCACAGCCTTAAACATTTGGTAGCTGCTATATCCAGGAGATAATAAACTATGTCCTCTTGGACCACCTCCTTTCAACAGCAGAGCTGTCAGAGCTGCCCACTCAAAATGTCCGATCCCTCCCTGAGATATAGCACTGCCAAAACCCCTCTGTCGAAGCCAAATTCTGCCAAGCAGACACGCATCTTTGAAGCCTTCTGATGTCTTGGATGCATTATGTAGCAGCTGGAGATACGATTCAAAGTTACAATCCGCGCTCAACGATGAATTGTAGAATGGTGAGGGTTCAGCGGCAGCAGCATCATTACCTGCTGCCTCCTTAGGGCGAATGGAGTTCTTCGTAGGGCGTAACTTAGCTTCGGCAAAGAAACCTCGAGGGGCAGCAGGTATGATATGAACCTCAAATCGAGAACTTGAATCGACTTTTTGGTTGGCTTTCCATCGAGCTACTAAAATCGGGTGTAGGCTGTTTCCGTTCAATAATTCATATTCCAAAGACAAATCCGGGATTGTAGTATGAAGTCCTGCTGCTATTGTTGCCAAATAGTACGCTCTCTTATAAAAATACCTATAGTTAAGGTAGTCCTTCTCTTGGAAAACGGACTTGGGCATGTTCACAATCATGTCGACACACAATGGTCTTTCGGACTTAACCATAGTCCCCAATGCATAACTCCCGACAACGTTGATTCCAGATGGTTTCGAATACATAAGTTTGTAGGCTGCATTATTACCGGGTTTAGGATCAGGAAAGGGGATGGTAATTTTGTGAGTTTTGGAGAACAACTTGATGGCGTCAGGTATCTATAGATCAGAAATCAGCGACTGGCATAGATAGACCAAAGGTTCAAGGCAGAGCTCACAGGGAGGGGTTCCCGATCTTCAATGCCCTCAATTACATTCTTAAGCTGGTGTAATGCAGATTTTATTCCGGCAGCGCGCTTCTCGTAGTTTGGTCGCACTTCATTCAACAGCTCGTCTATTTGAAGTTTAAACATACTTGACTTATAAAGACCGCCCGCATATAACGCGCTACCCTGATCATCATGTCGTCGTTTTGTCGGTGGATGTTTCGGTTTCGATTGAATCGCATCTCCATTCTCTTCACCTGCGGAAGCATCCTCAGTTTCACTGTTGTCTATCTGTGGTTTTTGAGATTGCGGCGCCCCATCGTCACTTGTATGTTCCAACTTGCGTCGTTTTGTTGTGAGAGGAGCCATTCTGGTAATTATCGTTGTTGAGCGAATCTTATCAGCCTTCTCTCCAAAAATTATATTTTTCAGAAAAAGTTGTGAAATGTCTTAGCCTTTCATACGCTATATTTAAGCTTAAATTTTAGACTTCCCTGATCCTGGACGCCGATAGCGGATAAGACATTTTGGATTGCACAATTATTACAAATGGGGAATCTTAAAAAGTAAGTTTACAAAACGGGCTTCCTATACTTATATTGATATATTTCACCATATCCAAATTTTCTCTAGAATAAAACTCAAAATGTCCGTCATTGAACTTGGAGAGTCCGTACCTGCCTTGACACCACATGTAAGTGTCTCGAATTTGATTGCAGCTGGGTAAAAGAGCAAAAAACTCTTTGTTGTGACTCAGTTGATATAATTTATTTATCTAATCCTTTCTTAGGCCACGAGCGTTTCATTGCCAACATGGAGAGACAACGTTGGCTACGAAGAGGGTGACCCAAGGGTTGTGGGCAAAATGACCACTGGATATCCTCGGTCAGTTTATTTTAAGCTCCACAACTCTCTTTAATTACTTTGGCCTGACTGACCTCCGTCTCGTGACTCAGATTCTTCATTCACAAACTTATTGTTGCATTCGCCGATGACATTGTCAAAGCATTTGGCAGTCAAAATGAACAGGCAATGCTCTTTCCGTCGGCCAAGACTGCTAGGAGTTGTGTAGCGTTTATGCTTTCGAGAGACAAGTCCATATCTCCAAATCAACTCACCGTCGTCGATTTGGTCCTTGAGCGTAATCAAGCATCATCGGAAGTCCCCACTAAGATTTCCCCTTCGATATCTGCTGTTTTGTTTGCCAAAGAGTTTTTCCCGGTCGCGAAGCAATACTGGCAGCATTCTGGAGATGGTGTCTCAAGCAGAAGGGCTGAATTTTGCCACACTCTATTCCAAGAAGGATTACTAGTGAAGAAGACAGACCCAAAGAGTCCTCAGAATGATGACAAGTTGTGCAAAGGTCCTAGACGATACCAGAAAGGTTCTATAGACAAGACATCAAGAAGTCAAAACGGCATGAAGGCAGGCGAGAGCCATAACTCCCCTATCTCGTCGATAAACTCCGAGGCCAAGGAAAGTTCACAGTTTCTGGAGGAACGCTTTGGCCGAAATCTGGATGTTTCTTTTGTGGAAAATGCAAGATCTGCAATTCGCCGTCGGATTACAGGCTCCTTGGTTGGGGAAGTCGATTTGTCCGAGACCCCGAGCACATACATGACCTCCAATATGCGTGGAGTCGCTGAGCTTTCAGAGGACGATGTTTACCTTTATCCTTGCGGCATGAACTCAATTTTCAATGCCCACCAGATGTTGTTAAAAACCAGGGGCTCTATAAAGAGCATATCTTTCGGCTTTCCGTACGTCGATACTCTTAAAACTCTGGAAAAGTTTGGTCCTGGTTGCACCTTTTACGGCAACGGTTCCTCCGAAGATTTAGATGATTTGGAAAAAAGATTGATAGCAGGAGAAAGATACCTCGCACTATTTTGTGAATTTCCAGGGAACCCCATGCTCAATTGTCCGGATCTAAAACGAATTCGGGCACTGGCCGACAAATACGACTTCGCTGTGGTGGTTGATGAGACTATTGGAAATTTTATTAATGTTCATGTTCTACCATACTCGGACATAGTCGTAAGCAGTCTTACGAAAATATTCTCAGGAGAATGCAACGTCATGGGCGGAAGTGCCATCTTCAATACTAGTGGAAGATATTATCACTCCTTGAAAGCCGTAGCTAGAACAGAGTACGAAGATAACTACTGGGCCGAAGACGTTATGTTCATGGAACGGAATAGCCGGCACTTTGTATCTCGAATTGAAAAGATCAACGACAATGCCGAGGTCATCTGCGATATCCTTCGATCCCATCCCTTGGTAAAGTCGGTTTACTACCCTAAATACAACGCGTCTAGAACTTTCTACGATGATTGTCGTACACCGAATGGAGGTTATGGAGGGCTTCTTTCATTCACATTTAAGGAAAAGCCTCAAGCAGTTGCATTTTATGATAAGATCGAAACTGCAAAAGGTCCAAGTCTGGGAACTAACTTCACATTGACTTCACCCTATGTAATCTTAGCCCATTACCTGGAACTGGATTGGGCGGCGCAATTTGGAGTACCTGCGGAACTCATTCGTATTAGTGTCGGCCTTGAAGATGCCAATGATTTGAAAGAGACATTTGCAATGGCATTGAAAGCTGCGGCAGATTCAATGTCTTGATCATATGTAGCATCATTGAAGCTTAGCCTGCGATGCATTTTAGAATGCGTTCGTTTTCAAAAAGTTTTCATGAGCCCATTCGTCGACGAAAGTTACATAGATAGAACAGCCTGGAAATAGAATCCCTGAGTTGATGCGATGGATGAAAAAACATTTCATAGCAACGATTAGTACATCCGTGATTATTGAAAAACAATAATTTTTGTAAAAAGGGAATTAGTTAAGTACCGTGAAGAAAGCCAGTACCCTTAACCTTATTACTCCATAAACTAAATTGGAGAACTAACAACCTGGAAGCCTTTGTTTGTCTGGGTATGTTAGAACAACTTCAAAGCATTAATAAGTACCTCGTAGACAACCATAATTTGGACGAGAAAATAAACAGAACTTGTATTCTGTACATAATTGATATCAATGTTCTGTTATCATTCAACAAGTACCTAGTTCCTAGATATACCAGTTGGGAAGCTTGAGCTTACTAGGCAATTCACTACGGCGATTGTGGCTGATCAGGTGCCCTCGCGCGTCTGCCCTTCGCAATCTTCGTCGCGTCACCACCATCAAACGACCAAATCAATTTGTTCGTGATTTGATCCCGATTTTTAGTCATTGTAATAGGACAGCAATATGGCTCCCTTAAAACGTGTAAGACACGAAGACGGGGATGTTATTGCAACTGAGAGCACAAGCTCAGACCTACGTCGTGATAGTGTCAGTTATCTACTTTCGCATACTTACCACTAGCCTTTCGCGCTTTTGACCATTGGCAGATGTCGTTTACCTTCAACCATGCCTCCCAAATATTCTTTTACGAAATAGATGCTAATGCATTATTGTAGCAACGAAAACGCGCCAAAATCTCGAATGGCCAACCCTCCTCGAGATCTTTACAACGTCCCGAAGACAGCTCTTCTTCCTCTTTTGAAGATAGCAGCGATGATGGTAACAACAACGATGGTGCGAACGAGGATGACGATGATGAAGAAATGGCTCACCCTCCTGGAACTCAGTATGAAATACTTCGCGATGCTGGATTCAAACATTTGGAGCACGCCGATGATGATGATCGTATTGCTACGCAGCAATTCCTTGCCAAAAATCAAATGATTGGCGACAACCACGCTGCCGATAATTCCATCATAGAAGAAATCCAATGCATGAACTTCATGAACCATGAGAACCTCAAAGTTGTGTTAGGTCCACTCATCAATTTCGTTGTTGGGGAAAACGGAGCAGGGAAGAGTGCAGTTTTGACCGGCATCACACTATGTTTGGGAGGAAAGCCTAGTGCTACGAATCGTGGAAGTAGTATGAAAAGCTTGATTAAAACAGGAACTGATCGAGGGATACTTGTTGTCAAATTAAAAAATCAGGGCCCGGACGCCTATCAGCCGGAAATATACGGAAAGTCGATCACTGTCGAGCGACATTTCTCAAGGACAGGTGGTAGCAGCTATAAAGTGAAGAACGCAGCTGGTACCGTTGTTTCTACCAAAAAGGGTGATATGGACGATATCGTGGAGTATTTCCAGCTTCAAGTCGATAACCCAATGAATATTCTTACTCAGGACGAAGCAAAAAGTTTCATCACAAACTCCACACCATCACAGAAGTTCGACTTTTTTAGGAAAGGCACACAACTGGAACAACTCGACAATGATTATAAGCTTGTTTCCGAAAGCTGTGATCAGATCGAAGCTATCCTTGAAGACAGCATCGATGACCTTAAAGGGTTGGAGAAACAGGATGAGGATGCGGAGGCGAAGAAGATGATTTATGATCAGCATCAGGATATGAGAGTGGAGAGAAGACTTCTCAGGAATCAATTGACATGGTGCCAGGTTGACGAGCAAGAGAGTGAGCTGGAGCAGCGCAAAAGGACAGTCCTGGACACACAGCAAAAAATTGAGGAAAAGGAAAAAATTGTGGAGGAGAAAGACCGAGCTTATCAGGCACTGCATTCTTCAGTAGAACGAGCTCTTGAAAAGGCGAAAATTCTTGGAGATGAGCTTGTTCCAATGAAAGAAGAAGAGCAAGAAGCAAAGTCAAGGGCTGAGGAGGCAGATTCGGAGATTAAAAGGCTTCACCAGGAACACAAGGATAGTCAAGCAGAGCTCAAACAAGCAAAGGCAAAAGCCCATAGCATACAAGGCGAAATTGATGCCGAGCAGCAGCGCATAGAGTATGCCAATGGCGGTTCTCTCAACCGAAAATTCGCAGAAATTGAGTCAGCCAAGACCGAAACTGTGCAAGCTAGAGCAGAAATAGAGAGAAGCAATGGAGAGCTGCAAAGATTGACAGAGCAGAGCCAGCTTTCTAGGAGTGCACTTGAAAAAGAGCAAAATCCTTGGGCTGCGAAGAAAAAAGAAGTAGAGAACTGTAGAGACAGACTAAGAGAAATGCAAAACGAACGCCCAGATCCGATGCGTGGCTTTGATCGCAAAGTGCCAGAGCTGCTCCGGAAGATACAGCAAGATCGAGGGTTTATTCATAAGCCTGTGGGTCCTATTGGTCTCCATGTGAAACTTCGCGATCCCAAGTGGTCTGATATTCTCGAGGTGACTTTTGGTAATGCTTTGAACGGTTTTGTAGTTACCAGCAAATCGGATCAGGTCAGATTACAGAAGATGGTATCTGCAATGAGTATACCCCGCACTCAAATCTACATTACGAATCCCCAACCCATTGATACCACAAACAACGAACCTGATCAACACTTCATGACCATCTTGAGAATGTTGGATATCGACAATGAGATGGTGAGAAACACATTGATCATAAACCAAGCGATTGAGCAAGTATTATTGGTCGACGATCTAAAGGAAGCAGGGCGGATTATGGAACCTAGGTCCAAGCCAGCGCATGTTAGACATTGCTACGCTCCCAATCCACAAAGAAGAGGCTGGGGTATTCGATTGTACTTAAATGGCCCAAACTATCAAAATAGTGCACAGGAGTTCGTCAGACCCTACGGGTTTCCGCCCCGCATGAATACTGATGGTGAACGACGTATCGTCTTACAGCAGGAAACTTTGAGGCAATTTCAGGAGGAAGAGTCGAGGCTTGCAAACAATTGCCGCAAATTACAGCATCGTGCTCAAGAGGCAGAGAGGACAATCCGACAGCACAAGGTTGCCCAAGGCAAATTGAAGATTCGTGTACAGAAGGCCGAAGAACGTGTCGAGTCACTGGAAAATGAACTTAGCAACCTTAACATAGAGGATGGGTTTTTGGACTCGCTCAAGAGACAATTAGAGGAAGCCAAAGGTCACGTAGCACATTATGAAAACGCTTATGGCGCTACTGCCCTTGCGAGGGCGGAGTACAACACAAAGGCTCTTGAACAAAAGAACGCCTACAAAGCCGCTAAAAAACGTGTTGAGAATCATGAGAAGCTGATTGCCGATGCAAATCAAAAGGTCAAAGCGAAAGAACAGGCGCGTACTCTAGGCCTCGGTGAAAAGAATACCGCTATTGCGCAAGTTGACGTATACAAGGATATGAAGAGAGAAGCAGAGACTAAGCTCGCGGAAACAGAAACTCGTGTGGAAGAATACATTGAATCGGCATCACAAATATGTGCCAGGATTCAAGTACCACCAAACGAAACTAGAGCTAGCCTTGAGGCGAAGTACAAGAGCATCACGGATCAATTACAGCAGTATAGTAGGAGACTTGGTGTCACAGAGCAAGAAATTATAGATAACTATGTAAAGGCCAAAGAGATGTTGAAAAGTTTCAAGTCACGCCGCAAACACATGGAAGAAACGCTACGGCTACTCAAGTATAGTTTCTCAATGCGTATGAAGCAATTTCGCAATTTCCAAAGAAGCATTTCAGCCAGATCCCGTATCAATTTCAATTATTTGTTGAGCGAAAGAGCTTTCAGGGGAAGACTTGTGATTGATCACAAGGCTAGATTATTGGATGTCCATGTCGAACCAGATGAGACAAGTAATAACAAGAAAGGTCGACAAACCAAAACTCTTTCTGGGGGAGAAAAATCATTTTCATCTATCTGCCTACTTCTTTCCCTTTGGGAGGCCATGGGTGCCCCTCTTCGTTGTTTGGACGAATTCGACGTTTTCATGGATGATGTCAATCGGGATGTGAGCACCAAGATGATCGTAAGTTCTCACACACTCTCGTCACGATTCGATATATACTAACGAGTTGGTAGATAAGCGCTGCTCGACGCGCCGTCGGTAGGCAATTCATCCTCATTACACCCAAAGCTCTAGGGGCTGGCATCGAGTTTAATGATGATGTGAAAATTCACAAGTAAGTCATTCCCCCTTTTCCTGATATCCAGATCGCGTTACTAACCATAAAACAGACTTAAAGCTCCGAGAGATAGAAATCAACGATCTATTCCAGAGATGATAGGTGGAGCTTAAACCAAGATTTGTACCATTATTTTTGTTCACTTTGAGGGCGTTGGAGTGGGAGAGCTGGGGATTTGTAGCTTTATGGCCGGGAAGGCTCTGGTGCTATGTCTTACGACAGCTATGGCGTTTGTGGTGTACTGATCTTTGAGCCATGTATGGTATTGATCATTTGGTTGATCTGGGTGGCAAATTTGATACAAAAGTACATGAGTATGAATAGAATATGAATACATGACCTTAATAATTTTTCCGCTTCTTTCCCTCCTTCCATCCCAGGTGAAGTGGACGTGTACTCCCCTATCGGATATATCACCCACTAAACCCTAACCCCCTTACTCCTCAAAACATTAATCCCCGCCATGGCCGTAAAACCCACCCATTGACCAATTCCCCCAACAAGACCTCCCAAGACATGCGAGTCCCGGAATCTCCTATCTAAAAACTCTCGCGTATCTCTAAAGCCCTCGGATCTATCAGTCGTCATGTATAATTCGGTAGCGGCGTAGATGGTAGAGAGCGAGGCTCGCTTCGTGTACCAGGAACTATCGACAGCGGTGTCGCCGGACAGAAACCAGATTTCGTCTGAGAGGGCGTGGAGTTCGCGGAGGGAGGTGGAGAGATTAGTGGGGAGGGTGAGGAGGGTTTGGGCCTAGGAAATGAGGGATGAGGTTAATGGGGTGTGGTTATATATGAGGGTTTGAGGATAGGGAGTACGGGATGGTGAAGTTATTTGGAAGTGGTTTGAGATTTCTTGTGGAATGTGATGATAGTCTTGAGTAGAAAATGGATACGAACCTCCTGCCATTTGTGAATTACATCTTTGTTTCCCATTAACCTCTCCCATGTTAAAGATTTAACTCTCTTTCCCACTCCCTTTGGTGGTTCCCCTCCTTCGGTTTCTTGTGGTGGAGCAATATGCTCTGTGTGATTTTTCAAAGCTAATCTTTGCGTATACAGATGATAGTGTACTAGACTGAATGGTCCCTTGGGGAAAAGATTGGTGGCGGCAGGTATATAGCCGACATCTTGGGCGCCGAGAGAGAGTGTGCTGAGGGTGAAGCCATGGGTAGGTATATGTGGGAGGGAAGCGCGGAGTATGCTTGATTCGATGGGTGGAAAGGGAGAGTCTGAGGAAGATGGGCGATCGTACGAATGGTAAGATTTGGCGGAAGTAGAAACTGTGATTGCGCGATTGTATTGCTGGGCGAGAGGCCGTAGATGGCGGGGCACAAGTCTAATTGTGGGCAATGACATTTTGGAGGTGGTTTGTGAGGATAAATTTTGGTGGTGTTAGATTAAAAGCTTCAGCATGGACCAACAGTTGCCCTTCCCCGGCTTATTCCGTTACATTTGTTCTTATGAACTCTACACTCTACTCTGTACTCCGTACAGAGAGAGTACTTGGAGTAAGCTCCCCTATTACTTTTTCTTACAGCCGAGGAGCCTCCCAAATGAAGAGCAATTCTAGGTTAGACTCGCCGTTCTTCTCGTGTTAATACTGTTTGGTGCAAATGCCCTGTTGATTACCTTCGGTCCACTTTTCAATATGCAGTAAGAAATGTTACTTGCCTCTCACAGCATATATGTCATGTTTTGACTTTCTCGTCACACTTTTTTCTGTCATTCCTTGTATGAAATGTTTTTTGGCCTGCACGGAATCCCATTCGGTGAGTGTGGACTCGGTCAAAAATACATTGCAGTATGGAATGTGGGCCTTCCCCTAGGGATGCAACGGCAACATCGTATTGCATGAAAAATTTTGGTCTTATTCTGCAAGATACGAACGGGCATATGTATACATACAATTGTACATATCAGGGGAAATGAACCATTTCCTATATTCTGATCTTTTGTTCTTTCACACCAGAGCAGCTGAAATCGAGCTTGGAAATGACATTTTGTGGTTAAGGCATCGTCTCGTGGACATATCAACTTGATTCTGTCGTGCTACGGGGAAGAGCTTCCGCCCGGCGAGCCAGCTAAGGCCAGGTATCGTTGCAGATTCAGCTGCAGGTCATCAATTTTTTGGGAATCAAAGCGTTTAGGGCCTCCGATTCAACGTTTCTCCCATAGTGGTAGTAAGCATGCATAGATGGCTGAGAAACCCAACAAGTGGGGAGAATCCGTTTTCGTTCTCCTTGTTCATACGTTAATTGATATATTGGGCGTGTTTCATGAGGACATTCGCCGAGAGTCATAGGCTCAGGCAATATTGCATTTTGTATTTGCATCTCCATCTCTGTAGCTTGTGCAATTGGATAAGCACGATATGAGATCGCACATATTGTGTGCGAGACCCTGGTTGTAGATCGAGAAGAAGGAAACAATTGGTAGGCACCTCCTCCTAGCTCAAGAGACGCCATTGGTCTGCTCCATCTGAGAGAAGAGTTTGAGCTTCCTGATTTGAATAAGTTCGAACCAACCTTGGTCGATTTAATCTTTCCCGTCGACTAAAACTGTTCCTGTGACTTATGCGGGGGTCTGTATGTACTGTACCTATTGGAGAATTTGTGAGCTGGGTTGGAGATTGTTGAATTTCATGATATGTAAAGACAATTAGGTAAAAATTAAATCAAGCCGAGACGGTCCTGGAGATTCATACACTCGATTCAATTGGGATTGGGGCATGGGGCGAGTTCAGTCTGAACGATAGAAATAACTAGATCAACAATTGAGAGAACGAGTTGAGGAAGATACGCCGCGCCCATTGGATTACATATATATGAGCTCTCGCACCATCAACGAGGTTGTCATACTTCTTGAAAACTTCAAGTCCACTTCAAGTTATCCATTGATTAAACTATGATGGAGCTCATGTTTCCGCGTTGTAGTCCGGAAATTTCGCTAGACGCTGGAGGAGTCCGCAATGCTACGATCCACATCCATAGATGGACACTGAAGGGGTGGAGAACAAAAATAAGTGGCTCGCATGATTTTACTCCATAGGTCAATGAGTGAGTCCCTTTGTTTTTGAACTTGCAGGATAGCAAATCCAATGGTAATGTACCCAGCCAGAAGCCTGCTGCATTGAAAAGAACGAAAAGGCCCCAAGATCAATCAATGCATGTGAGTATAAGGTATATCTTCGTATAATACTACATCCGGAATATGCTGAGAGAATGGACATGAGGATAAGATTCAGATAACTAAAATGAGAGAAAATGTAAGAAAATGAGAGAAAATGCTTGGTGAATGAATGAATTGGATAGATATAAATCCTGTGATATTTAACAACATTTATTTACTAATCACACACTCACCAATTGCCGCATTAAGCTATTATTACCTATTTAAGCAGCATTGATTGATAATTATGTTTCAGCTGGGGACCAAAAATTGATAGAGGAAGCAACTACCGGCTATCAACCGAAGAGCAACAGTTCCTGCACGCTATTTTCCATTACATCGCGTTCACACTCTCACACCAATCCATCAAAAAACATCCACCACACACACCACCCACACCACTCACACACCATCCCTCTTCTCTGTATTACCAGAAGAAGAAGTGCCACCCTTGTGAGCCATCTAGTCGGGTAGGGGAAAAAGAGAGAAATAAATCAAAATATCTGTATCTCAGCCTTTCCCACCAGCTATTGGTCAAAGCAACCAGGTAAGCTCTCACCCTATGGCTTATATTTCATCCCCCCTCAAGACCTTTCCAAGTCTTGTCCTCCCAATCCATCCATCAGCTTCCCTCGAGCTTTGTCACGGCAGAGAGACGCGTTCGAAATAGGCAGAACAAATCCCTGACATTCAATCACAATCCTTTTTTGGTAAAGCCCTTGTTGACGAACATTGCCGCAGGAAGAAAAAATCAGACGCTGTGTCATTCTGCCCTTGTTATAGCTCTTCTTCCTTACGGGTCCCCTAAAGCCGCATCGAATATTCTTCACAAAGCTTCACTGGTTCACTTTATTTACCGACTTCCATCAATTAAACGTTGCGTCTAATTCGCCCTTACTTAGTCCATAGAATCCTTGTGCGCAATCACTTTGGAGTCCATTTCGTCTCCAACGTGCAGATTAGAGCATTGAGCAGCAGCAGCCTCCTGATTCTACTATCGCCTTAATACTTCATTCACAATAGATACAATGGGTATGTTCCCCCAACACCTTCCCCTCCATTCCCAATTAGTCCATTCACCTTCTTCCTTATTCACTTCTTTTTGTCTTGCTTTATTCACGTCATTGAGTCGACCTACCTTCCTTCAACTCTTCCTTCAACTTTACACAAAACCACCCCACCCCAATCCTACTTGCTTTTGGTACATTTTATTAACATCTATTATTTGATCTAGCTGACGACTCTTATCGACCACAAGTATGTTCAAATTCTTTCTCCCTCATCAATAACTATTTTATTGTAATATTACAAAAATCTGGGCGTCAGCAATTTAAGGCATCTTTGAAAGCCTATAAGCCTTCGGCTTATGGCATCTCACATCCACGCGCAAACCAAGTCGTAAAATCCCGTCGATCGCAACGCGCCAGTGCGCTTCTGTGGGAGCCTTTCCTAATTGATGGTGTAAGAACCTTGATGGTCTAACCCACATCTACAAAAATTCTCGCACAATAAACTTTTCTTGATTATCTCTTCTATCTGATGGTTAACGAAGCTTACGTTTCACAGAGAGAGAGATCTCGTTCACCTCGTCGACAACGCTCTCGCAGTCCAGGACGCACTCAACGCCGTCGTTCATACTCTCCTCGCAGTCGCTCTCGCAGCCGTGACGAACATCGCAGAAACGATCGCAGATCTCGATCCCCAATGTCGGGCGCTGCTGGTGTAGGTGGTTCTGGAGGGTCAGCTTACGGTGGACAACCACATAGGACATACGAAGAGAGAGCTGCGGCTAGAGAACAAATGATGAGCAGTCTACGAGAATCTTCGCAACAAGACCGTCGTGTTTATGTCGGCAATTTATCATACGATGTTAAGTGGCATCATCTTAAAGACTTTATGAGATCTGGTCAGTGTTCGATAATGGAGGTTGGAGTTGGGGATATGGGCTAACCGGGGGTTCGATTTCTTTAGCTGGAGAGGTCCTCTTTGCTGATGTGTTATTGCTTCCAAATGGAATGTCGAAGGTGGGCGCCTATACGTGATTGGCTTTGAATCTTTTCTTTTTCTCTTGGATTTTGATGGAATGTTGGATTGACGGATTGGGACGTTGTTCCGCGGGTATTGTAGGGATGCGGGTAAGTAACAAACTTGGCTTGAATGATCTCAAATGCTAACTCGAACTAGCATTGTAGAATATGCTACGAGGGAGCAAGCTCAACAGGCAGTCAACACTCTTTCCAACCAGAACCTTATGGGAAGACTCGTTTACGTTCGAGAGGTACGCAGAGTTTCCATGCCGTCCAAAGCCAACTTGAAGTTGACTAATTATGGTAACAGGATCGTGAGGCCGAACCTCGATTCACCGGTACTCCATCAGGAGGCCGCGGCGGCTACGAAGGCGGCGGTCCACCAGGAGGACGTGGTGGTTTCGGAGGTGGTTTCGGAGGTGGCATGGCCCCTGGTGGTGGAGCTGGAGGTGGAGGACGTCAAATTTACGTCTCCAACGTTTGTTCCCATCTATCTTTCCCTTGGATACTAATAGTGTCGAAAATATTGACTTGGTGATCTAGCTTCCCTACACCGTCGGATGGCAAGATCTGAAGGATCTATTCCGCGGCGCTGGTATGTTTCCCTCCTGCACTAACACGGACATGTGAATGAAGTTGATCAATTTTTTATAGCCCGAAATGGTGCCGTCGTTCGTGCAGATGTCCATGTTGGTCCTGATGGGCGCCCCAAGGGCTCCGGTATCGTTGCTTTCGAATCCCCTGACGACGCTCGTAACGCCATTCAGCAATTCAATGGTTATGACTGGCAAGGTCGTCCCCTTGAAGTCCGTGAAGATCGCTTTGCAGGTGCTCAAGGATTTGGTGGTCCTCGCGGAGGATTTGGCGGTCGTGGAGGTTTCGGTGGCGGATTTGGAGGACGTGGAGGCTTCGGCGGTCGTGGTGGCTTTGGCGGTGGATTTGGAGGAGGTCGTGGCGGCTTTGGAGGAGGTTACGGTGGAGCCGCTGGTGGATTCGATGGTGGTGCTGGAGCTCCCGCAGCTGCACCCAATCCTTTCACCGACCACGCCACTGCTGGCACCGAGAGGAGTGAGATCATCTATGTTCGCAACGTGAGTTTCACTTGATTCATCTGCTGTTTTCAAACTAACGCGCAATGTAGCTTCCATGGTCCACAAGCAACGAGGATCTTGTTGAGCTGTTCACCACCATTGGCAAAGTCGAGCAGGCCGAGATTCAATATGAGCCTAATGGTCGATCCCGTGGCACCGGTGTTGTTCGATTTGACTCCGCGGAGAATGCCGATACCGCCATCGAAAAATTCTCAGGTTATCAATACGGAGGCCGTCCCCTTGGCTTGAGCTTTGTCAAGTACCAAATCCCCGGTGGTGCTGGTGATGCTATGGACACAGAAGTTACTCACCTCACACAAGATCAAATTATGTGAGCCCTGGGTCTGCGCACATTTCACGAAATATTTCGCCCATGTTACAACACATTCTTCTTTTTCCTAAGCTCGATTTCCTTATGTGTACTCAAAAGATCTAACCCCCAAAAAGTCATCAGAGGCTGAGAATTCTATGTTGCACGTGAATGGTTCCATTCGCCCGTCGTGGAATTGCTCTACTATTTCGTGGCGAATCTGGAGGTGGATAGTTATGCAATTTGCCGTTTCGATTTTTTTTCTTCAAAAGTCTTCTCCCGCAGAATGGGCCTAATAGCTAGTACAAGGTCATTAGACACTTGATACTCACAGCAATATAAGTCTGTTTTGAGATCAGCCACTTTCCCTGTATAATTGTGAATGTGAAGGTAAGAAATTAACGTCATAAAGTGTATGCGAATCCAGCACTGTCAAAAGGGCAGATTGACACTTTGTTGGTTCTCATAAACAATCACAAATACTCGAGGATAACACAGTCACATGAGTCCCTAATTTCATATTTAGAAAATAGTGGTGAATCATCAATCAGCTTCTGCATCACATCTGATTATTCACTCCCTCAAAAATGACTTCGTCTTGGTCATATTTATAGTTCTTGAAATCTTCCCTTTTGATCTCTTTCGACTGTGAATGTACAACCAATACCAAACTTCCATAGTAATATTATTTCCCTTCAAGAATATTAACAGAATAGCAACGCGAGTAACGACCACGATCACACTCATACAATTTCGGATCCTATGCAATATCACTAACCGTCACAAAACCATGTGTCTCATACGCCCTTTTCGATACACTTGCTGCGCCCGAATCTATGTCGAAGTCACCAAACTTGACAGCAGCTGTTCCCAGAATTGGCCGCTGGAGAAGTGTCCCAAGGAATTTTGCTTATTTTTAATGTATGGCTCCAGAGATGAAGTGACGGTGCCTCGGAGCCAAGGTACATGCTGGAGATGTCTGGCCATGGGACAGGGCCTTGAAGGAGAGGATTACGAAGCTCGGAGACCGCCTATCGATAATGCATTTGTGGTTGAAGGTCTAGAGAACTGCAATCCGGAAGGACGACGTAGGAAAGCCGAACACTTTGGAAACTGTTGGTTCTGTGGTGCGAGCAGTGATGGTGTTAGGGATTGCGAAGAATGTGAGGGGACGGGAAGTGCACGTAAACGGAAGAATACATCTGCTGAAGATGCGCCTGCGATTCCACCTAAGAAGCGTCGTCGCACTTCTCCTGCTGGTGCTGTTACCGGAGGAGGTATTACCAAGCCTAGAAGAGGCAGGCCGCCAGGAGGCAGTAAGAAGAAGAATCTTGCAACCATCAAGGAAGAGCCTCGAATGAACCAATGCATCTTTCCTATGGACAGCAATAACGCATTCCAACAAGGGCAATTCCATCCTGAAATTGCTGGACCTTCATACAACCAGCATGCCTGGGAGTTTGCTCCTCCTCCTCATGGAGATACTACTGCGCCCAGCTACGGTATGAACATTGATAATGATATCAATAACCCTTATGCAGCGCAATCAGGTGATATGCCGTCATTCTTGGCAAATCCAGCACCACTTCATCAATACGGCCAATACGGCGGCAGTATGGTAGAAAACACAGCGAATTATCATCAATTACAGCGCTCAGCAGTGGCACATCAAGAGCATCTCCAATACCCCCAATATCGCCAGCACCCCCAGCACTTCCAACAACCCCAGCAACAAGAACATCTCCTCCAATCCATCGAATCCGATAACGACGAATCACATGGTGAATCTAAGATTGGCGACGGCGGTGAAGGAGTGAAGTCCGATACTAATTTGGGTACATCAGAGGTACGCCATAAATAATGACCCATATATGAGAATGATACTGATAATGAATCTCTGAATGATAGGAACAGTTTGCCTGTTTTACCGCTGATATGGATCAGAGTCATCATGGCCTCAAGCTGACCCCTGGCCCTTTTCCCTTTGAGGGAGGTTTGACATATTCTCCGTCTCAGGATACAAACAATGGTTTTCCGCCAGCGGTTTCTGGTACACATACACATCCACAAACACATACAGATCCGGTTGCACCGGTTCCTCAAATGGCAACGGATCGGTTTAGCCCACAGCCGGATTATTTGCTCAGTCCTGCTTTATCAGAAGCGCATATTGCTCAGCATGCCCCTCAAAATACTCATACAGCAATCTCCGATGCGGCTTTAGCTTCTGCTTTAATAGCTAGTATATCTGCTGCTCCTTCTCTTTCGGCTTCACGTATCGCTACTCCACCATAAGGATTATTTTTTTATTATTACTAATATTATTATCATTAATCGATCAAGTGTACTCAACAAATATACATACATCAACCGACATGTTCCAGAGTTCAGAACGGCTCTGTGTTTCTGTTACATAACATGAGCTTGATATTTTTCTCTGTTATCTATCCTTTTCTTTCCTTCCTTTCTATTTCCAAGGCATGGGTCCTTTCAAAGTGTTTCTTTTTTCCTTTTTATGCTATTTGGCGAAGAATGGTTAGTCCAGCATTGACCTGGACTTCTTGACGGTGATATAGATCGGGATGGATTTGAACTATAAGAGGATTCTTATATGGTTGGATTAGTCGATGCTGTTCAGCTTTTGGGTTAATATCACAGTGGCAGGCGATGAAAGACCTGCTGTGGAATGGGGGGTATTTTGATGGGACTAAATGGATCGTCCATATGTGGAAGGGATATGGGCTAGTGATCAAATTTGTAACTATTCTTGAGCTGAAGAAAGGAATTCTTTGCCTGTGTATTAATCCATGGAAATAGAGCACGTAAAAATAGCCTCAAGAAGTAAACTATGTGACAAGTTACTAGCCGAATACCGGTGGAGAAATAATTTGAATACCAGTCGTATGCGAGACTTTCACATTGTTCAAGAACTGTCGGAACACTGATTCCCTGTAACGCAGGGTAGGGTATGGGATTTGTATAAGTGTATGGCCAAAGTTTGAATAATAGTAGCATTTAATCCTTGGGAATGGATGTCTGACAGCTTGGACAAACGCCCTGTATGCATTTTTCGGTCTTATATCCTCTTATATACCTTTCCATATGAATCAAAAACAATTTCCATCTATGTGACGCCCTGCTGTGATATTAACAACAAAATTTCCATTCCTGATGCTGCTCGGTTGTTCTCCCAGGGTATCGACATTCCGTACTGGACTTTCTATTCCCCCAGCGAAAGCTAGCTTTCATTTTTCATTTTTTCTCTTCTCCTGGAGGAACAGTTGTAGTACCCATCTTTCTTTTCTTTGCCTTGAGCTTCTCCTTCGCCTGTTTCTTATCTCTCTTCTTAAGCGCACCCATGCCACCTTTACATATTTCTGCATATCTAGCAAAAAAACCTTCTAATTGATCTGGCTGGACGACGGTGGATAGTTTTATCTTCTCTCCGCGCTTCAACTTGCCTTTGGAATTTGTGGCGCGGATGAGGAGTGGCACAGGGGCATCGCGTGAGAGGTCTGGGAATTGAGCAGTGAAGATATCGCTGAGGGCGTCGGCGGCTCGTACCACGGCCATGGAAGTATCGGAAGCTGGGCCATAACTAACTGGTTTGGCAGTCAGACAAGATGTTGATACATGTAGGTAGTTGCTGCAGCAAAAAACCAAATGGCTAGAGAAGTACTTACAACATTTCTGTGTCAGGGTGACAGAGCCATGGTCTTTATCCCGTCTGATATCAAAGAGAGAAGCGAGTTTTGAGAAAAACTATTTGTGCAGAATGGTTAATTGTCTGTCCAAAAGCGTATTAACGGAATCAATATAAGCATACCTCATCATTACTTAAATGTGACACCATAATGCGAATTGCTGTTATGATGCTTGTTTTAAGCTGTGATTGATGATTGTGGGGTGGTGAAATGTGTGGGGTTCTGGACCAGGCTACCTAGTAGTTTCTAACGCGAGGCTGAGATTTTTATCAAGGCTGGGGAAAAAAAAGTTGATAAAGCTCAAAATTTCTTATCGCTGTCTGAAAGTCGTCGAATCCTTTTTTGCCGTGGATAACGTATTATTATTGTATTTTACGATTGATCCCTTTTGTTTTTTTAACTCGAAAGTTCGAATTGATACCCAGTTTGCATAAAATCTTTCGTTTTGCAGTTTATCACCAAGATGGCGCCGCCGAAATCTAAAGCGCCAAAACTACCCAATAGTCTTCTTCAGCAACTAGGAATCGAAGGTAAATACTACGCATCGACGATATAAGTCACATGCTTACCATTATCTGCAGACGATGGTGGAAATAAAAGCCGGGGGCGCAAACGTCTTGGGCGCAAGGAGATGCGAAAAGCAGAAAGACAAGAAAAGAAGCAAAATAGATCTCAGTCATCCAAGCCTCCTCCTCAAAAGCGATTGAAGTCGCAACACGTCAGGCATAATTTTGACAGTGAAGAAGATGAGGAAGATGAGGACATTGAACCGTTGAATGCAAAAGTTATACCCGAGAAGAGAAAAGACGATAGCCCAAAACCAAAATCTATACTGAAAACGACGAAGAAAACGGATCCACCTCAAGACAAGGCATCCCGTGAAGAGGATACTCTTTCTAAATCACGGATTGGGAAGAATATTTCAAAAGCTGTCAAGGATAAATTGGCGGAGGACGATGACGAGATTGCTGCACTGGAGAAGAAATTAGGATTGAAGGGGAAGAAGAAAGGCCTGCCAAAGTCATTCCAAGAAGATGGGTTAGATGAGCTATTGGGTGATCTGGACGCCTTAGACGAGAGCGAAGATGAAGAAGTTCAGCTCAAAAAGAAAGGAAAGGCGGAGGCAAATGATTGGCTTGAACGCAAGAGAGCAGAAGCCCGAAAGCGTGCGAGGGGCAATGAGACTTCCGAGGATGAAGAAGAGGAAGAAGACGACGAGATGCCGGATGATTATGATGACGACGAAGCGTCTGATATTTCAATGGATGAACCTGATTCTATGGGTAGTAATTCTGGTGATAACGATAGTGATCTTGGAGATGAGGATATGTCTGATGACAATTTTGAAGGATTTGGGTCTGAAAGTGAAGAGGACGCTCCCCCGAAGCCAAAAATTCGTGAAAATCCTTATGTGGCACCTGTGGCTGCAACTGCAGCTTCTTCTGGAAAATACATCCCACCTTCATTACGGAAGGCATCTTCTTCAGATTCCGAGGATTTAGTGCGGCTGCGACGGCAAACCCAAGGTTTGGTCAACAGGTTGACAGAAGCCAACTTGATCTCCCTCCTTGGGGAGATAGAAAAATTATATCGGGTCAATGCTCGTCAACATATGACTTCTACTCTTATCGATCTACTCCTGACTTCCGTTTGCGAACCAACGACTTTACCCGATACCCTCATCATCCTCCCCGCCGGATTCATCGCCGCGATCTATAAGATTATTGGAACAGATTTTGGTGCTCAGGTAATTCAGAGAGTGGTTGAGCTCTTTGATGAGCACTATGCACGTGTAGCATCTGTCAACCAAAGCTCCTCGGCATCCACCCCTGACAGCAAGGAGACAACCAACCTGATAGCTTTACTTTCAGAACTGTATAATTTCCAAGTAGTCGGAAGCAATCTCATTTTCGACTACATCAAGCTCTTTTTGGATACGCTATCAGAACTGAATGCCGAACTTCTATTAAAGATTGTACGCATTTCAGGCCCTCAACTACGACAAGACGACCCTTCAGCATTGAAGGATATTGTTACTATGCTTCGACCTGCCGTTCAGAAGGCAGGTGGCGAAGAGAAGTTGTCAGTGAGGACAAAATTCATGATCGAAACCATCAACGATCTTAAAAATAATAAAATGAAAACTGGTGCTGTTGCCTCCGCTGTCACTTCAGAGCATACCATTCGGATGAAGAAGACACTGGGAACACTAAATACTCGAAGTATAAAAGCTAGCGAGCCCCTGCGAATAGGCCTCAAGGATATAAGAGACTCGGATAAAAAGGGGAAGTGGTGGTTGGTTGGTGCGAGCTGGGCAGGTAATGCCAAAGACGATGAAGAGCCCATATCGGAAGCCAGGAACGCTAAAGAGGTTCAAGAGGTAGATTCTGGGACTTCTGATCTTGTCCAACTTGCTAGAGAGCAACGTATGAACACGGACATTCGTCGAGCTGTATTCATTACCATTATGTCCGCCTCGGATTATCAAGACGCTTATCTACGGCTGATGAAGTTGAAATTGAAAAAAGTCCAAGAGCTTGAGATACCGAAAGTCTTAATACAATGTTCTGGTGCGGAAAAGCTGTACAACCCATATTATACATTAATAGCAAAGAGATTATGTGGAGATAGGAAACTCAAGATGGCATTTCAATTCAGTTTGTGGGATCTTTTCAAGAAGATGGGGGAAACAAATGGCGATGATGATGACGATTTTGCGGAGGATACAGAGTTAGATACAAGGCACATTGTCAATTTGGCCAAGATGTTTGGTACATTGATGGCAGAAGGTGGACTTGGACTTAACGTTCTCAAGAACTTGAATCTTAGCTATTTACAAGCTAAGACGAAAACATTCTGCGAGGTTCTTTTTATCACTGTGCTACTTCAAACTCAGAAGGCATCAAATGACGGCCGAGATAAGAAGACAACTGCGAATCTGTTCTCGAGGGTGAAGGATACACCTCAGATGATAACTGGACTACAATACTTCTTGAGGAAGGTAGTCGGGAAGACGGATATAGCAGGAGGGAAAACTGAGAAGGATACTGTGAAATGGGGTTGTAAAGTCGCTGGAGATACACTTCAGGCTTTGCTTAATGAAGATACGCGTGCCTAGTGGGTGGTGATATGAGATTGGAAGTTAGAAGGTCACATCCCTTACAAAATGTTGCTAGCTCATGCTTTTGCATAGCTACCAGTGAGTGGTGACATACAAACTCGGAAGTGATGAACATTATATTGTCCATGAATTTTTGCTTTGCTTGATGTATATATACACAATAGTACTACAGTAGTGATTAATTAGTATTTTTTTTTGAACCGAAACAAACCTTACAAGTTGCCAAGTTGAGTTTTTTTCGGCTCCTAGCTGACACAGCCAAGCGGCGCCGGGGACTCGCGGTTTAAAAAAAATCCCCCCACGTGATTCTCGGATCAATCCGCTTCATCCGTTCGGGTCCCTAAACAAACGGCGGCGACCTTAAAAGTTGTTGAATAGCACAACAATACCCTTCATACAAAATGCTTCGCAGTTTATTAGTGCCCAGAGCGGCCGTAAGGTCTGCCTTCAGACAGCAATCCTCGTAAGTTCAAGTGCCAGGCTTCAATTCCTGTTGAAAGTTTTCTGTACTAACTTTTTCTCTTAATCAGCCTTCCCAAGATAGTCGCCCCTTCAGGAATTGCAAACCTATCGCGACGAGGATATGCCACTGAAGCTGGTCAGTAGATTTCGATCAATGTTATAAGGTGGAAACGACTGACATGTAGAAGATGGGCAGGATTTGGTCATCATCGGAGGTGGTGTTGCTGGATATGTTGCCGCTATCAAAGCTGGTCAAGAGGGCATGAAAGTACGGTTTGCTTGGCAAGAGGGGTTTTTGCTGCAGCGTCTTAACATTTTTTGCAGGTAACATGTATAGAAAAGCGCGGAACTCTCGGAGGAACATGTTTGAACGTCGGCTGTATTCCCTCGAAAGCTCTACTCAACAATTCGCATCTTTACCACCAAATTTTACATGACACCAAAGCTCGAGGTATTGAAGTCGGAGATGTCAAACTCAACTTGCAACAAATGATGAAATCGAAAGACACTGCGGTTTCTGGACTTACAAAGGGTGTTGAATTTTTGTTCAAGAAGAACAATGTGAAATACGTCAAGGGTACTGCTACATTTACTGGCGAGCATGAAGTCAAGGTCAACCTTTCCGAAGGTGGAGAAGAGACTATTGTTGGAAAGAACATTATCATCGCTACTGGTAGTGAAGCAACGCCATTCCCAGGACTCGAGGTTGACGAGAAGAGAATTATTACCAGTACCGGAGCTCTTGCGCTAGAGCAGGTGCCTGAGAGCATGGTTGTTATTGGTGGAGGTATCATCGGTCTTGAGATGGGCTCCGTCTGGTCAAGACTTGGTACGAAGGTTACAGTTGTTGAGTTCTTACCTCAAATTGGTGGACCTGGAATGGATGCCGAGATCGCAAAATCATCGCAAAAGATCCTCAAGAAGCAAGGTATTGACTTCAAGCTAAACACTAAGGTCATGGGCGGTGATGTTAGTGGTGAGAAGGTCAAGCTTACAGTTGAGGCTGCAAAAGGCGGGAAGGAAGAAACCGTAAGCTAAACCTATTGAGCACCGCATGTACACCACTAATAGTTTGTATAGCTTGACGCCGATGTCGTACTTGTTGCCATTGGACGAAGACCATACACAGCAGGTCTTGGATTAGAAAACATCGGTCTGGAGACCGATGATAAGGGAAGATTAGTCATTGATTCGGAATACCGGACTAAGCTGCCACACATCCGAGTTGTAGGTGACTGCACCTTCGGACCTATGCTTGCCCACAAGGCCGAGGAAGAGGCTGTTGCCGTTGTTGAGTATATTAAGAAGGGATATGGCCACGTCAACTATGCTGCCATTCCATCTGTTATGTACACACACCCCGAAGTCGCATGGGTCGGACAGAACGAACAGGAGCTCAAGGCTGCTGGCACCAAGTACAAGATCGGAACATTCCCATTTTCGGCAAATTCAAGAGCGAAGACCAACTTGGACACTGAAGGTATGGTAAAGATGCTTGCTGATGCCGAGACCGATAGAATCCTTGGTGTTCACATCATCGGACCAAATGCCGGAGAAATGATTGCAGAAGCTACATTGGCTATCGAATATGGCGCATCAAGTGAGGATATTGGACGCACGTGTCATGCACACCCAACATTGGCGGAAGCATTTAAAGAGGCTGCTATGGCTACCTATGGCAAGGCTGTTCATTATTAGAAGCGTGGTAGAATTTGTGGGGGCGTGATTTGTTAATGAATGGTGCTAGCATAAGCATGAGACTGAATTTGTGATTCGTGTAAGATATGGTTACATAAAGCATGCGCAGCACTCGTCGATAACCTATGAAACCTAGAATTTTCTGATCATTTTTGACTAACTCCTTCCCTGTTACCCGTGATTCTTCTAACTTCCATTACAAACTCTAAAATAAATGTTGATGATAATTGGGAAACAAAATCGAAATCCTACACACGATATCCAATCCCGAGCCGGTTGTTTTGCAACCCATATCTTCCACCATGATGCCTTGTATCTCTCATGTCTCTCACCCCGCCAATCCCGCTAAGAGCACTAAGGCTTCCAAGATTGGGCCCACCCAAACCACCTAGAGCGCCCAAACAGGAACTAGAAGCAAGTAAACCCACGTCTCTACAAGAAATTTGTCCGAGTCTACTGGGAGATACATGTGTATATCTCCCTGCATTAAGCCTGCCATCGACAGTCAGCGACGTCATATAGCCAGTTGTATTGTCTGGTGAAAAGTTGAACTTACAATTGTTGAGAAATGGGCTCTATGTTTATATTTGAATATCTGGTGTCACCTCTAGAATGGGCTCTTGGAGTAAAGATGGCGGGATTTGAAATGCTATCGCAATGCGGACATTCGCATACTGTGTAGTACATATCTTGGAGTTGCGACTGTGAATAGGATTGCGATTGTATGGCATAGTATTGTGCTTCGATGCAAGTATGACAGTAGTGTGCACCGGTGCGTGGATCATCTTCGCAGGATTGGCAGTCGTTGTAGATGTGTGTAGAGTTGTAGGAAGGATGGGTGCGTGGGATGATTAGTGAATTTGCGAGGGCTGTTTGGGGTCGATGCGGTGATTGTAGGTAGATTGGGTCGGCGTAGGGGTCTAGTTGGCGGAAGACGTTGGGGTTGTATTTGCGGAGGCAGGTGGTGAGATTCATTTTGGGTGGTTGGAGTGGGGGAATTCTGTTTTAGAGATTTGGTAAAAGTGCAAGAATGTTTCTTGACTGTTTTTGACTATGGGATGGATATTCGACGAATGTTTTATACTTGGGGGAAGCGGAATACCCTCTCGCTGTGAAACGAGGATTTTGCCCAAGAGAACGAGGCTTACATCCCCGTGCAACCGGGAATATTAGGAGATAACAACGAAGGAAGTTCTATATTGTAATCTATGCCGTGTTTGCAATTGTTCTCTGAGCATCACGAGATTCCTGATAGGTACCACTAAAGTTACGCAGAAGCTAAGGAGTCAAGCAAACACACTTTGTCCTTCTCATGGTATGCAATGTCACTTATGGATCAAAAAGCGATTGGCCTTCCGGAAGGCCGTGATTGCCAATTTTGACTTAAAGAAGAGTGTGAAGAAGTAGATCGTGACGGTCTCAAGCTCAATAGGACATAGGAAATGCCTCTAGCCGCCTTGGAATGCGAGACTTCACCTCGGTGTGCGAATGCGGAAAAAGAGCAGATCCCTAACCCACTAGCACAACCCCGAGGGGCAGTGCCCGGGACCAGATATCACTAAGATGACCATAACGACTGCTGCATGTTTCTATCTAAGCAGTGGATAACACATATATCCAAAAGAGACATTACACCCGGAATGTGACAATATCGACATGTAAATAGTACTAGCTGATGCACTAGACTACAGCTGAAATATGTACTATTTCTAGAAACTTCCGTGAAATCATTCGATGTAGCATGAGGGTATTCAACTCATCACAACAGGTCACAATGAGGACTTCCCCGGCATTACCAAAGATCAAGTCACACTACAAGCAGAAGAGAGTCCAATAGGAAACGAAAGTCCAGAAAAGATCGACCCATCATCGCATATGAGGCACCTGTGATGGACTTTGAACAAAAATCGAGTTTGCATCATAGGCCATCGCCGTCAACGCCACGGTCAATGTCGCCGCCGAGCGATTGCTGACACTTGCTCGGCTGTAAGCTTTCCGTGAGTTCGTTCTCACTCACGCTGCAATCAGAAATGATGGGCGGAGATGATTAACAATGTTTGTGTTAGTTCTCATGACAGCTCTTGATTTGTAGACAATTAACTAGGGCTGAGAGCTTTCCAAGCCCACTTCGTTACAAATATATGGGAGAGGAAGTGTCGAGTTATCTGCACCTTCAGATGATCATCAAACGGCGTCTTTCTCTGAGGCAGGGTTTGTTCTGGACGCATTAAATTATATCCATCGAAATTGTCGTGATAGAAAAAGAGTCCATAAAATGAGTCTACAAAGTGCTAGAATGAATTTTTATAAAGATGATGGTAATTAAACTTCATCATTTGTGGTTGCAACTTTGAAACACTTATTAATACTCTGTCCGAAACGGTATTGAGCAATGGCCTTTTGGACCCTGTAAGATTAGCGATTGAGGATCCAAGGGACTGGCACCACTTAGTGACACCGCAAGTTCCTTAACGAACACTATTAGGTTCGTGCAGATTTGGTACCATTAACTTTGTTCAAGATATAATCGAAATTATCGAGTGATTCTATCACGCAACGTCTTTTTGAGCATCAATTGATTGCTTTCACTGTCGTTACAGTTCCCTCGTCATTGTACTGTTTCTTCTCATCCACCACAAGCAAGAATCGTTCTCTAATGTCTTCCTTCGAGGCCATGGCAGCTGCTGCCAAGGAGAAGATTATATCTCGAAGACAAATCGAAGGTCTCATCGCAGATGGCAGGTCTATCGTTATTGTTGACGAGGCCGTACTCAAAGTAGATGCATGGATGAAATACCATCCTGGCGGAGACAAGGCTATTAAGCATATGATAGGCAGAGATGCAACAGATGAAGTAAATGCGTGCGTAAAGTATCTGTCCCACACTTGCACGATCTCCGGACTAACAAGTCCTTTATAGGCTACACTCAGCAGAAACGCGAGCATTCATGAGCAAATACCAAATTGGTAGAGTGGAGGGTCGTTGGAAGAATTTTGTTCCCCCGATACAATACGGAAAGTTTCGGAGCTATGTTGAAGGCATGCCAGACGATTCCGAAGAAGATAATAATACGTTCGATGAGAGAGGGAGCTCTGACAGCTCAAGACTCCCCTCGCCTACATTCGATGAAGACTGTCCAGAGGTACGCAGAAGAGGGCCAGCCAAAGACGATCGCCCTGTGTCCTCCGCCTCCTCCATATCCTCTGCCCCTGACCTGGACGATGGCATGTCACACTTCAATGCTTTGACTCGAGAACAAATTGATCTAGATCATACCAAATATCCTTCCCTTGATGCGGATACGCAAGAAGAGATCGTTCAAAAGTACCGTTTATTGGATGAACGGATGCGTGCGGAAGGCCTATATGACTGTAATTACGCTGCATACGCCATTGAATGCTGTCGTTATACTTTCTTTGCCTCTATGGCAGTCATGTTCTTTAAGTGGGGCTGGTATGGGACAAGTGGGTTGTTCCTGGGTTGTCTATGGCATCAATTAGTGTTCACTGTACATGATGCGGGCCACATGGGTATCACCCATAACTTTACGATTGACTCTCTCATCGGTATTGGACTTGCAGACTTTATTGGCGGTCTTTCACTTGGATGGTGGAAGCGCAATCATAATGTCCATCACATTGTAACAAATTCACCCGAGCATGATCCAGATATTCAACATATCCCTTTTTTTGCTGTCACGCACAGATTATTGGAATCTCTGACCTCGACCTTCTATGAAAAGTGCTTGGAGTATGACGCATTCGCGCAATATCTGCTCCCGTACCAATCATACTATTATTATATAATACTGTGCTTTGGCCGATTCAATCTCTACCGCCTGTCCTGGGAATATCTTCTCCGGGGCCTTGGACCAAAGAGGGGTCCAGCATGGTGGCAAAGATGGCTAGAAATTACAGGTCAGATTTTCTTCTGGACATGGTTTGGTTATGGAGTAGTCTACAAAGGTATTCCGACAAATGGTGCCAGAGTTGCCTTCGTCTTGATCAGTCATGTGGTTACCATGCCGGTTCATGCCCAGATAACTCTATCACATTTCTCTATGAGCACTTCAGAGCTTGGACCACACGAATCTTTCCCACAGAAGATGCTCCGCACGACCATGGATATCGATTGTCCACAGTGGCTGGACTTCTTTCATGGAGGACTTCAATTCCAAGCCATTCATCACCTTTTCCCTAGGATGCCTAGACACAATCTTCGCCGTGCTCAGAAGCTTGTGTTAGAATTCTGCAACGACGTGGGCATCCCCTACGCACTCTACGGATTTGTGGATGGCAATAAAGATGTCATTGGTAGACTGGAAGAAGTTGGCAGGCAAGCCGCGATTCTTGCTAAATGCCAAAAGAGTATAGTAGAAAAGGGTGATATCCTCCATGGGCACTAGATACGTACCAAGGTAATTGCAATAGAGATTCTTTTTCACCCGCAATGTATCACTTGTTTGATTACAAGGAGCGGTGAATCGCAATCTTAACACCGCTTTTCCATGCATTGATATATTGCCAGAGAATGTATGATCCCGTTTCTCGATTTCATAGCCAGTCACTGTTTAACGTTTCGCGAGAGACCCTGCATACTGCAAACGACTGCAGATTTTTATCTCATTACATTAAAGTCTTTCAAGATATGATTGTCCCCGAACATTGTATCGGCCCATTTTTTCGTGATCACTTATTGTCATGTCTCTTTTCGGACACTCGGTCCGAATTTTTACGGAATATGCAGTGGGGCAATCTACTCGGTATCAATAGAATTCCATCCAGGATGCAAAGAAGGGCTTGAGTGTGCAGGCGGCAACGCGCCCAACACGATGGACTTGGAACCGAAACCCATGTCTAAAGAGTGTCCCTTGCTATCATTCAACCGGAATTGAAGAAGCCGTGGAGCCATCTTCTGTACACGCGCCAGCCTAAGTGATGTATGACAAGTACATTTTATAAGAGGAAGCGAACGAATGGGATTGCCATGCTCGGCCAAAACTTGCCAGTTGCGGCATATTTTTTTTTTAAGGCAGCAAAAAAAAAAGCAGACAGAACAGTAAACGCGGAGTATCAGGTCATGCTGTATTGGGCTTCTAGATTTTCACACGGCTCCTAGCTCTCTCTCTACAATATTCTATTCATGATATCGAGCAAAACCTACATATATCCTCAACACGCCATCATATCAATGGATCTAAGTCTCTCAATATTTCGAACCCACACTATCTATAGTGTACCAGAACTTTGAATTCACTAGCTATCGACCACAGATCATCGAATTCCATAACCTCCAAAATGGGCAATCGCCGCATGACACCCGAGGCTGCTCGACGCATTGCGAAGGCACACCCTGGAGTAAGTCTTTTGGGGTTGACCAAGCTGCAACTAACATACTAAGCATTTGTTAAGTCAGGATTCGCGAGAAGATCTGTTCGAGCGGGTCATAGCAACAGCCAACGCGATGCTCAGTCTCAGGCTACACGAGATAGGGAGATGCAAGATCAGATACAGGAGCATGGTGCATCGACGGGTTATGAAATTACTCAGACAGATAAGATCTCTCCACGCGATAAACAAGAGCAGGGCTCTGGAGATGAACAATGCCTCTATTGCACCACGGAAACCCTCTGTGCTCGTCATGCAAGCAAGTGGGGCTGGTAGGAAGCGAGTGCTGAATGTTGAATGTTGCCTGATGATTTTCAGGGGAGGTCAAGTGCCTCAGATTGGACTGTTTGGTCATAGTGTTATGATTTTTCCTTTTCCTTCGAGGGATCTTCCTCGTCTTGGAACACGTACTCTCCTTGGGCTTTCATATTCGTTCCTAGATTGACAATTGGATATGGAATATGGGAATTGAAATGTTAATATCCATGCTTGGGCAAGCTCAGCTGATGGAGTTTTGCAACGTTGGACATAATGGAAGAATCAAAGGCAAACAATACAACCTAACCCTTCACTTTAGCATTTGATGTACTGTAATGCTTGTGATGAAAGGCTCCGACAAAGTTGGCTCCATCTGTATCAAAAGGTGACGTATAGATTATAGTGACATTTTATTACCTGCTTTTAATTGAGAATATGATAAGTCGAAAACAGAAAATTCAACGAAATACAAATAACGTAATGCTATGAAATGCTATTATCATCAACCACCCCGACGCCTCGAGAGGTTGAGCTTCTTCCCCATTAATGGATCACGTGGAAGCTCTGGTCATTAGCCCGTTGCGCTTCGGCCCGTTTTGACTGGTTCGAATTGCTTAATAACCTTCAAGCTTACATAATCTGATAACAGCAATCAGGGAAAGCAAACAATTCAATGTTGAATCTACCACCTCTCTAGGTATGATAATAAGTAGTAGGTAAGTTTTGAGTGAATTACCGCCTATGTAAGTATATCTCTTTTATTCCAAAGTCTCTGATCGGACTTCATTACCGTTGTTAAAAAAGAAATGATTAATTGCAGTTATGATAAATATATCTATCATTTTGTTCTCATAACCTTAAAGAAACACGCATTTTGATTGGGTAGACCCTTCTCTTACTACTGAAGATCACGGATCCTCGTCATCAAGCTTTCCTGCCTCGTCTTGCAACTTCAGATCCACAACCCACAGCCTCAAGCAAACAACGAATTTCTTCACACCGCAAAACAAAAACTCTTGCAATACAATCAAATATGCACTCATCCCCTCATTCATAATTGAGAGAAGGATATCTGGATATCTGACCGCCTTGAGATAATTCAATTTATTGGTTCCATTTCTTTTGTGAATAGAGACTCCCACGGTGCACCCACCATTCACCCATGTGATCTCCTCATTCCAACTAGCTATCCGCCTACCTATCCACTTTCTTCGCCATTATACTTTTGCTTTGCGATATGAGAAGGAAAGATTGAGAGGAGTGTCATCTGAGCAGAGTATTCTCAGGTAACATGAACTTTTGGCCGCAGCAGTAACTCAAGATGGATCAAAGTATACAACGTGCTCTAAATGATAAGCTTTATGACAAGCGGAAAGTCGGCGCGTTAGAGTAAGTTTTGAATATCACTTCCTTCAAGCCTTATTCGGACATCTCTATATTTAATAACATACTGACGGATATCTACAGTCTTGAACGGGTTATTCGTGATCTTACTGCAGCCAAGGAGTTTGATAGAATCAAAAGGATCATTCAACAACTGTGTAACGATTATGCTTACGCCGTCCATCAGCCGCATGCCAGAAATGGCGGTCTCATTGGTCTAGCTGCTGCTGCTATCGCATTAGGTCCGGTATGATACAGACTCTTGTTGGTAGTACATGCACCAAACTGACATATTTCATAGGACCTTGCAAGATACCTTGACGAAATTGTGCCACCAGTCCTTGCCTGCTTCACAGATCAAGATGCTCGAGTAAGGTATTATGCCTGCGAAAGTATGTACAATATTGCCAAAGTGGCAAAAGGTGAAGTTTTACCTTATTTTAATGACATATTCGACGCTTTATGCAAGGCAAGTCAAATTGTAGAAATCCGTTATATCAACCGTCAAACTAACAGTGCTGAACAGCTAGGAGCAGACTCAGAACTCTCCGTAAAAAATGGTGCAGAACTTCTGGATCGTTTAATAAAAGACATAGTTTCCGAATCTGCAGCTACCTACGTTTCAATCCTACATACTTCTGATGATTCCACGTCCGAATCTAATAAAGAGACTCTTGAGGATTCCGAAGATCTCCCTACAGCCTTCTCCCTAGTCCGTTTCATACCTTTACTTAAAGAACGGATTTACGTGATAAACCCATTCACGCGTACCTTTCTTGTGGGATGGATAACTTTACTGGATTCTATTCCAGATTTAGAACTTGTCTCCTTCCTACCTGAATTTCTCGGAGGGCTATTCAAGTTTTTGAGTGATCCGAATCGAGATGTTCACGTGGCTACTCAAGGTGCAATTGAGAGATTTCTCAGCGAGATAAAACGAATATCACGCATCAAGAAAGGAATCGAAGAAAGTCGAAAATCACGCAGCGATACGAAACGGAAGCGATCGGGTTCTATGGACAGTGAGGGATCATTAGTACAAGATTTAGGTGGAGACGACGACTCAAACATGGATTTAGATGACAAGGACATCAGCAGCGACGATGATTGGGTTCCCGGGCAGGATGTTCACGTTAACCACAAAGCAATTCTTGAAATTCTTACGGCGAATTTGGATACTCCGTTAGGTAAGATATGGCATTAAACCTTTTAACCCAATTTGCTAACATCAATTAGAGGAGGACAGCCTACTTGAATCACTAAGATGGATCGTGGAATTTCTCGATATTTGCCCTGAAGAAGTTCTCCCATTCGCCCCAAAAATACTGGCTCATTTGCTCCCGGCAATGGCTAGTGGGGTCGAAACAATACGGCAAGCCGCCGCCCGAGTTAACACATCATTAATGGCTTATGTTGTGTCACTATCGGACGAGGGTACAGCATCAGAGGTTCCATCCTCGGCCCCATCGAGATTCCTCGCGATGAAGGACTCTACTCCCAAAGAACGAAGAGATTCTTCTGCCACAAACCGCGGCTCCTTGTCAGGGTCTCGTGAGCTTGATAAAAGGGAGATAGAAGTACAAACTCCCCCACCCCCAACCAGCAAAGCACAGACACCTCCTCCCCCATATCAGGCGCATGTAGATCTAGATTATGCAGCAGCGGTCAGTTCACTCACGCTGCTGTTTCTGAATGATCACGAAGTTACTAGAGTTGAAGCACTAAATTGGCTACTCATGCTACACAGAAAGGCCCCCAAAAAACTGCTTGCATTTAATGATGGGATATTTCCTGCTCTTCTCAAAACACTCTCTGATCCATCTGAAGCCGTAGTTACCAAGGATCTTCAACTATTATCTCAAATATCGAGAAATAGTGATGATGACTACTTTACTTCTTTCATGGTGAACTTACTTCAACTATTTTCTACTGACAGGAAGCTCCTCGAAACTCGAGGAAACTTGATTATTAGGCAATTATGCATCAATTTAAGCGCGGAACGAATTTACCGAACACTTGCGGATTGCATAGAAAAGGAAGAGGATGTCGAATTTGCTAGCATCATGGTCCAGAATCTCAACAATAATCTCATCACTGCACCCGAATTAGCAGATCTTAGAAAGAGGCTTCGAAATATCGAGAATAGGGTTCGTGATACTCATCTACCTGGTTTTTCATCTGCTGATATTCATATAGGACGGGCAAGCTTTCTTTGTTGCTCTTTTCAGGTCTTGGTGCTACAATGCTGTAGCTACCTTCTCACTGTGTCTTTTAGGGCAAGCTTACGAGCAAGCATATAATCTTCTTCAGATATTGTATGCATGAGCAGCTCGGATTTGAAACGGTACTAACATGAATAGTGCCGAGCTCGAAATGACAGTCAATATGCTCATTCAAATCGATAAATTGGTCCAATTGCTAGAATCTCCTGTCTTCACATGTAAGATGATGACACTGGACCTAAAACTCCACTAACCACATGTTTCAGACCTTCGACTTCAACTACTCGAGCCTGAAAAATTCCCTCATCTTTACAAATGTCTTTACGGCCTTCTTATGCTGCTTCCGCAATCGTCGGCTTTTGCGGCATTGAAGAATAGATTAAATAGTGTTAGTGCGATAGGTTATCTGCACATAGCACCTCGAGCGTACGTACCATCTTCATCTCGTAATAACAGTGTAGTCGACGCGATTTCTACCTTTGCTTTCCATCAACGTCAGAAGAGTGGCACAGAGACTCATAGTTCTTCTCCTTCATTTAGCGTTCAGACGACTGCAGCGCCGTCAAATTATGACAGGAGTAGCAGATTAAAAGGCAGGGAGGAAAGTGGTATTAGGTGGGGAGAATTACTGGACAAGTTCAGAATTGTACAAGAGAGGGCTAGACGTGCAAGGAGGCCTGGTGGAGATATGGATGATGGATTAAGCGGATTTGAATCGAGGATGGAGAGCGGAGAAGGTAGGGGCTTTAAAGATTCACCGAGATTGTCAGGTCCATCCCCAGTACCTAAGGAAGCGCCAAGTTCGACTCCGCCGGGGCCACAACACACGAAACCGAGGGGTGGTCTGGGTAAGTTTGGGAGGTTGGGGGGAGCAGTTGCGGGAAGTAGACCAAAGAGGTGATGTAAGATGAGTGATTATACGGAATACGTACAGATACCTATACTTGGGGCGGAGGGGGCGTTTACCAGACCGATAATATGATGCGTTGATTCATTTCCATGACTTCTTTCTTGATATGAATCATCTGTCTGCTCTGAAACACAATTTTTCCTGCCATTGAGGGTGTCATTCATCCATATTATAAAGCCCCTAGAAACAAAGTTGTAAATACGGGAGTCCGCTTTCGGCTTACAATAAATGCATTCGTCTTACCATGCCTCTAATCTCTCCTAATAATATAATTTATCTCTAATATACAGCCTTTTTTAATATAATACTTCAATCAATCGATCAATCACTAGATAGATACGGAATATCCGGACCCTCCTATATTAATGCAGAAGTGAAATATTTCAAATATTTCAATATTTCTACCCACCAAAAATACTCCACCAGTATCTTGCCCTTCCCCCCTAGAACATCACGATATAATAGTTTCCGAAAGACATCAACTCACTCCTACACGGACCATCCTATCAAGCTCCCGATAGCCACTCTGTTTATGCACCGCTTCGCAACAAGATGATAGCATCCGCTCTGAAGATGAAGTAGTATCAACAAAGAAAGATGAAATAATAAGACATCCACTAGTTCGACGATCAAAACTCTCTCTTTCAGACACGTCACGAATCAGATACACGCACTAATCTTACATGACAACCTGCCACATGCGCATGATAAATCCAAAATCCAATCGAGAGATGGATGCGCAAGGAACGTTTTGACGATTTTATAAACATGCGGCTCATTGGATCACCATGCGTAGCTCAACCATGACATTAAACTTGAAGAGGCTTGTGCGGTTTCCGAATCCAGTAGGTAGACTTACTCGGCTCCGCCTTAAACATGGCTAATAAATGACTTGCATGTAGCTCTTTATAGGAAACCGCATAATGGAAGTGCTTTCCGATCGATGCTGTGGCATCACGACGATATGGTCACTCACCAAGGCGAGAAGCTATCGTTGCTGAGAAGACAGGTCATGTAACATTTTTCAATGATGATATAGGAAAGCTAGCGCAACAAAAGGGGCTTATGAAGATCTGTCGCGCGTATGGAGAGGAGAATAAAATGACTGAGTAGCAGGAGAAAGACCACCCAAGAAAGTTTGGGCCAAAGATTTGGAAGTAGGGCCATCAGGTCGTAGAGCTGCCGCACAGTAATTGCTGTAAAGTGCATAGCAACAATATACGTGGACACTTAATCCATATACATTCAAGGTATCTATAAATACATCTTCGCGAATCTACGTTGTCTCTCTCTACTTCGTCTCATCATGAGCTCTCTTCGTACCCTTGCCTGTAAAGTATGAAATTTTAGCTCTTTATTCTGTGTAATTTATGCTTGCTCTACTAAAAAGGAAAAAAAAGACAACGCAAAACTTCATTTAGTCATACAATATAATGGCAAAACTAGAAACAATTCGGTAATTACTTCAACGCTGGGTGGGAATCTAACTCTTGACCAAAAGACTGGTTCCAGTCATCTCCTCGGGTTGTTTCAAGCCCATAACCTCCAAAATCGTAGGTGCAACATCACCTAGAACACCTTCATCTGTTTGCTTGAGAGACCAGCCTTGAGGAGCGTTGGCCATAATAAATGGTACCTTGTTGGTTGTGTGGGATGTCTTGGGTTTGCCGTCCGGGAATTTCATTTCTTCAGCGTTACTAAAAAGAGGTTTTGTAAGTATGGCCTACTTAAAAGGAAAAAGGGAGAAAATGGGATAGACATACCCGTGATCAGAAGTGATGAAAAGAACGTATCCCTCCTTTTTGCAAGTCTCGTAGATCTCGCCAATGGCCTTATCAGTAGCAGCAACACCAATTACTGCAGCTTCATAGACACCAGTGTGGCCAACCATATCAGGTGGTGCAAAGTTGTTCATGACGAACTCGAATTTTCCTTCAGAAATACGCTTGCTCGTTTGCTTGGCAACACCTGCAGCACTCATTTCTGGGGCCTGATCGTAGGTAGCGACACTCTTGTTTGATGGTACGAGATCTTGCGATTCATCCCTAACCTCAAGAGGGAATACCTTCTCAACACCTCCGTTGAAGAAGAATGTGACGTGAGCGTATTTCTCGGTTTCGGCAACGTGAACCTGGTTAATACCTTGGGCACCGAGAGTTTCGGCCAAAACGTTACCCATGTGCTGGGGCTTGAATGCGATTTCGAATGGGTAGTCGAGCTTGTATTGGGTCATGGTAGTAAGGGTGACGTTCTTTGGGTAGGCGAAGTCTGGTTTTGGCGAACGATCAACATCACCGAGGAGTAGGGTGATTTCTCGGACACGGTCGGATCTGTAGTTGAAGAAGAAAACTTGGTCGTTATCTGAGAATTCTGGTTAGTACCGCTGATGAACTTCGGAGAAACTTGACCCATTTACCTTGGATACGAGCCTCCTTTCCTCCTACGATAATAGGCTTCAAGAACTCATCGTTCTCGCCTTTCTCGTATCTCTCCTTAATTGTCTTGACTGGGTCACGGCTCTCCTCTCCTTCACCAATACATAGACCACTCAATGCGACTTCGACTCTGTCCCATCGCTTATCACGGTCCATTGCATAGTATCTGCCAACCACTGTCGCGATCTCACCGATTCCAATCTCCTTGATCTTCTCAAGAAGGGCTTCCATATAACCAGCACCGGACTTTGGGTCGGTGTCACGACCATCACCAAAAAAGTGAATGTAGACGTGGGGAATTTCGAGTTCCTTTGCAACTTTGAGGAGGGCGTAGAGGTGATCTTGCTTCGCATGCTATTATTACTCGAGTAAGTATTGATTCCATTGATTGTATCCGACGAGTACCTACAACACCGCCATCGGAGATCAAACCGCAAAGGTGAAGACGTCCATTGCCATCCTTAGCAGCCTTGAATGCCTTCAAAACAACCTCGTTTTTGTTCAACTCTCCCTTTTTGATTGTTTGGTCAATTCTGACCACATCCTGCCATACGACTCGTCCAGCACCAATGTTCAAATGACCGACCTCCGAGTTGCCCATGAGGCCCTCTGGGAGTCCTACTGCCAAAGACGATGCCTCAAGCTTGGTATAACCATCTGCGTTGTTTGCGAAAGCGTCCATTACTGGAGTTTCGGCGTTTGTAATAGCATCTCCATCTTTGGGTGAATTTTCACCTGGAACTCCCCATCCATCAATGACAACTGTGCCAAACCATCACAATTAGCCACGAGACTTCAAGATATACAAGGACATAAAATAGTGCAAGTATATAATCTGGTTTCTTCGGAGGAGGAGGTATAGGGGGTAGTAGTTTCTCAGTGTTGAGTTGAACTGTGGGAATAGAGGTTTGAGGCATTGCGGACAAGTTCCAGTATATGCACGCCAAATGGATATGTTGACTCAACAGAATCCTATGGGAAAATTGATAGATACATCAAGAGATTGAGGATACGTGGAATCTTTTGACATACTCAAGACGGCTTTGTTCTCTACTTGGACCATTTTGGCGAGATTGTTTGTTTCGAATCTAAACACAGGCTATATCAGCTCCAATTTCGGTACGCCAAAACAAAGAATATCAATGTCCATCAGCATTTCTTTAGTCGCTAGAAAGAAAGAAAAAGATATTGAGGACCATAAACCCACGTACGAGAAAAGAGTCTATTCCAGATCGATATAAGTCTTATGTACAATGAAGATTGGAAGACTTTATCGAAAGACTTGGGGAAATAAAAAGTGAATTGTTGAGGGATAACGTTAAGAAGCTTTTTGCGCTTATGGTGGGGTCACGGATGGTTTTCAGGCCCCTCCAAGCCGTATTTGCGAAACCGCCGCGATAAGAGCGAACCTGCCCTGTCTGCTTTTCTTAGCTAGCACAAGGACAAGGACAGATCAGACCTCTCCACATTCATTCTCTGACACGATTCGAGGATTTGAGGATACTGCGGAATTCGTTGACTCGGGTCCGGATATTGAATTTCATAATCCATACGAAAAAGCTGATTGAAGATGGCGACTACCCCATCGCAAGTTACATCGTCTCGAGTCCCTTCAACCATGATTCTTCCTGAGGGTCTTACTGCAGATTCAATCAATACAATTCCAGTTCTCTGCGAAACACTTTCTCGTCTCCAAAACTTCTCTCCAAGTAATCCATCCGCAGCTTCTCCGCCAGGCGCGACCCCTTCGTTCAATGCAAACAGTAACGGGCCGTTAAATATCAAAGATATCTACGCCGCGACAGATGGCATTAAACATAAGTTACAAAAGGCGAGGGTGAGTGTGAAGGGTATGCCGGATATGCATAGAACTATTGAAGACCAGGAAGAGGAGATAAGGGAGTGCGAGGAGAAGATTGGACAGCAGAAGGAAGTTTTGAATCTGTTGATGAAAGTAGGATTGAATATGAAGAAAGAGCGAGAGGTTCTGGAGATAAAATGGAAACTTGAGAGACTGGATAGTCAAGAGAAGAAAGAAAGAAAGAAAGAAAGAAAGAAAGAAAGAAAGAAAGAAAGAAACAAACATTACTTTCGTAACGGGGAACACACTTCATGAAGAAAGAGGCCCAACGGGATGAGTCAGGTGTTCAACACCATGGAATACCTTGTGAGGTACGCTAAATAAAGCTCCTTCAAGATCGAACCGGCTTTTGGAAGCATTATCGTGCGCTGAGCGCTCCCCATGGCGCGAGACTGGACGCGGAGTGTTGGGATGACTAGAAGTTCGGGTAGAGCAAAATGCATACTCGTTCCTCAGCGGCGATGCTATTATGATTTTAATACAATATCAAAATATGAAATCACAGAAGAAACGTTTTATTACTACGCTATAGCATTACCTAAACATTCATTTTATGTACACTGCTTGACCTGCATCAGAGGACTGTACGCTTCGAGGGAGGTCAATGATAATTATCGCCCCACGAGCCCAACCTTCTTCAGAATATCATCAAGCCCGAACGCCGGTCCTCCTGGTACAACATCGGTCCAAATTTCCTCTTTCAATCTCTCCTCTTCGGGTAAGATAGTCCAGTTTGGACTAGGCTCTGCTTTAAGCCACTTAAAGTCATCAACCTGATCCCATTGGTTTTCGATGGATTCATCCGTAACATTCTAAACATAATGTCAGTGTTCTGTTATTAGCTATAAAGTATGGTAGAACATACCTGGGGATCCGGGATTGGTGCAAATCTAACATTGCTACAGTCCTCGATGATGGGCCGGCTAGCACAATGCAGGTATATATCAACATTCTTACACTCATGCATTCTGACTTGTCTTGACGTAACGACAATTATGCTATCCTCAACACTGGTAATATGCGCTGGTCCTGCTACATGCCCAGCTATAACTAAAGAATGCTTAATGTTCTTCAAGGCAAGCCCAGCAAAAGGAGCTCCGTTGGCCGTCGGTACCGACATGTCGACAATACACCTATTAAGTTTCGTTATAGCCCCAGAAGAGGTTGCGCGGGATGCTGACGAAGGTAGGATAATGTGAAGACCAGTGTGACCTGTGATATTTATGGTGCTTGCTTCTGAGAAACTCGGCTTTCGAATTTGGTCAGAGGCAGTGGCCATCTCGTCATTATAATTCTTGGGGAAAGAAGGGAGATCGCCAACGATGTCTCTAGCGCTGTTTTCATTAAGTGGTGTCATTGAATCAGCTGGCGTCGTAGCTATTGATGATTCAGTAGAAGTCATTATGGACGACTTCATAGCAGCATCAAGACTTTCTTTGGCTAGCTGAGCGGCGTCGTTGATAGAAACCGCGGAACTATTCTTGCTCGTAGATGTGAACCGAAACCTAGTTCTTGGTGCGGCTTTGGCTTTCACCTCTTGTAAATTCTCTGAAAGACCTTTAATGGCCTGGCCGTCATCAGTATAGGTGCATCGATCTTTGAGGATATCCTTGCCTGAGAATAAGTTCTCTGATCATATGCTGGAAGATAATCAGTGGCATCGACGACTTCATTGGATAGTCTTGTGATACTGGCAAGGCAGTAGTCTGTAGCATCTTGCCTTTCCCCTCCAACCAAGGAGAGATTCCCGAGCTGGCCTATTCGCTGTTGGAGATCTATTGAAAGATTAACATTCCCAGATTATTAGGTTCAGTAGCCGGGCAGACCTTGACCTACCTGTCACTTCTTCTTGAAAGTGTCGATAGAACCGTTCCTTCACATCCTGCGACGATCCAGCCGACTGGTTGAATGGTGCACGGACAGCTGGCATCGCCTTCTCCATTATATTGAAAAGTAAAGTGTATTGAAAAAATTACTGTATTACTGTATATCGACCTTTGTCGCGGCGACCAAATACGTCCTTTTACGCCCAAGGTCTCAATGTGCGCCCGAAAATGGGTCAACTGGATGTAGAGTGGAGGCAGATGACTTGATTTTCAAGCACACCACTTTTTGGCTGATAGCGGGACCGTACAAAAATTCCTGTGATCGAAAATATGCAAGTAAAGGCACACGAGAAGGTTGCAAATCGTGTTGATCGTAAAGACGAAAGGTGTCTGAAGTTATGGGAATTGCTGAACTTATAATTATACTACTCAAATTGTCGATCAATGAGGGGTTGGACGAGGTTCGCAGCATATTGCGGGGTTAAACTCAACAATTAGTATTTGCCGGCAGTAGTTCAATATTTACATCATGCACGTGATTATTATTGGCCAGAGGGATGAGGGCTGAAAGGTTACTCTTGGTCGAGTTTCAATGTTGTAGCTGACATAAAAATCATATATTTTTTTGGACAGAGATGTTGATACAGTTTCCCTGTTGGTGATAGATAACCCGCCAATTGCGCTGCTTCCTTTCAGCCAAAAGCAGATCCTCGAACATGCTCACTTGTGCTCTAGGTCTTTTTGATTATCATTTCAGATGTCTATGATCGGAGTTGGGTAAGTCATGAGGTCGCCGTCAGTTCATAAAACTGAAATATAGGTCTTCAACCTATAATTTTAAAACGATTTGCAAGCCCTAAACATATGTACATTGTTGTTCGAGGCCTCCATACTATGAATACAAGGTCCCTTAAGATCTAGCTGGTACATCAATACCGTATCTTTCCTTGATCCTCTCCCTTCTTCTCTCGTCGTAACCTACTCCATATATGCCTTGAAGTGATTAGTTGAAAGTCCTTCAAAATGGCTGGTAAAACATACCTCTTCCTTCGCCCAATTCTGCTACCGTCTGCTCAATAGGTATCCTTCGGTTTTTTCTCAAATGCTCCTTTCGCTCAAATTCATCCACATTTGGATCTCTCTTGTATCCGGACAGGGCACCACCAGTATAATCGAATGCACTAAGCACAACCGCCGCCAAAGTTCCAAATCCAAGCACTGCAGGGGTTGTTCCGACTATCAATGAATTAGCATCAGTTCGCTGCGAACGATTTCGGTGAAATTAACATCTTAATCCTAGGACTGATCCCGCCAAAAATCCTCCAATTGCGGTGTTGTAAGTGTCGTTCTTCTCTCGCAAGTTGGCAGATGCGTATTTTGTGAATTCATATGTCCCCCCCAACGCAGCTGAAAAGTGTCAACATGATAGCGTCCGAAAAGGTCGATTTGACGGGCTTACTGAATATGAAAGCTGTGCCTCCTGTCCTTGTAATGAAACCCAATGCTCCGATATTCTTCTTGTGTAAACTATTTTGGATTGCGGAAGCAAAAGCACCAACGGATCCCGAAACCAAGGCGCCGTTGACGCCTGCTTTCAGGGCATCTTGAGGATGGTAAATGTCACTATTCGGTGCCATGTTGAGGCAATGCAGGGAGTCAATAGTTGAAATCGAGATCACAAAAGTCGCTATGTCGTTGGCTTGAGGTTGATAGATCCGGGGTTTTTGAACGGAACATACCGCTAAACGCTGCTTGTTGTAGCCGCCATCCACTCCACCCACCGGGGCGGGGCTGGTTATTTCCGTCATCACCATTCTATTCTAATAAGCTTCTAAGCAACAAAACGCAGGCAGACAAACCTTCACCCGTTTAGATGAGAATACATACAATTAAATACATATTTGACCACACTCTTGACAGAAAATAATTGTACAGATTCCTCTTTTCTAACCACAAAACTTGTTAATGCACCAGTTCCTTTTCTCTTGTTGCTTGTACCCTCCTCGCCAAATTTGGAGATTCAATCACCGTTACACATTCAAACAACCAAAAATACATTGAGTACCTCGGCGGGCCCAAAGTTTGCACTCGTCTTCAAGTGTCTTCTCAAAGCGTGTCCTTCCGAATGCCAACCAGTATATTGATCTTACTCCCAACTTCAACATATTCTCAAGTCTGCAACCTTCTTAGAGGCGGGGTAACTAAGTTGGAAACGAATTACGTAGTATCGGTAGGGAAAGCGTGCGGCAGATAAGTGGAAGGTGCTATGTTTGACTACGAGAAGAGCCCTGGACCAGGCAAGTTCTGCGACTCATTTTTCTTATGAGTTTAGAGACTCCAAGCCTCTCGCATATACTGGGACCTGGCTAATGGTGTGTAATCATGTAGGGAAGACGGCCCCTAGGTTAGTGAACGATCTACTTGATTACGATTTAAGGAGAAGCGCAAAGACGGGCAAACACATTCTCGTAGATCCGGCGCCAATATTCAATGAATCCCACGTTGATCAAAGACTCATTGCCTCCAATTGTCACCATGAGCTTTATGAAAAAGACTCCCAAACTGCACCTCTCCGCCCACATGAGAGACCAGATCCCACAACAATCTGCAAAATAGCTGCATACTGTTCTAAATGCCGATATCATTTCCTGATAACAGTGGATTTCCGGGACTGGAAAGTTGGACAAACTCCTTGTAATTATATGGATATGGAAAACCCACTCCATCACTTTCGAGTAGTTGATTCTATATCGTCGCAGGACTCGAAAAACAATTACAAATTTGTGGTGCATCAATTTGCATGCACTGCCACTATCTGTCCAGCCAAAGTTGAAGTCAAAATATTGCCACCTAGGTTGTCCGCGAGTATGATAGCCCTCCTGATAAATCCTCAAGACACTTTAGCTCGTGGACAGAAAGTGATTGAGGAAGATCCCGCAAGATTCCCGGGACACAGGCCGTTATATCCATTTCAAGTTCTTGGCAATCTGCGTAAATATTTACAAGACGCAGGAAGTGAGAATAGAAGAGATATTGCAGCGAGAAACAAAAGGTTCAGATTGGCATTCGGAGACGATTGTGACAGCCTACTGAGTTACCTGGGTTTCAAGCTCGAGCTGAGACCATCGCCCAATCCCGTAGTACGTATTACATCAAAATACTATGCCTTGTGGTTCGGGGTTTAGTTGACACGTTCTCTTTTTACAATTCAGTCACATCACTAACTTTTGTATCAGGACGAATTCGAAGCATTTTGGATTTTACCCGTTGTAGATGACAAGAACCGCGTATTCATAGACGATATCACGTTCGAGCTTAACCAGCTCATGCTTGAGCGACCAGATATGGAGCAAAAGGCACCTTCCGCTCAACCCCTCGACTCTCCCACCTATGCTCTACCTGATATTTTACGATCTTTGGCTTGCGATAACTATCCGAAAAGAGATGCTGTTCAAATCTTGGATTCTATGGAGCATCCATGTTACGCGAGCCTAGGCGCAGTCGAGCAATTCACGGATGACCTGTTAGCTTGGAGCTATGACCGACAATGCCAATGTGATCCGGAGAACAAGCCATATTATCTGGACTGTTTGCGAGACCTTGGTAACGGACGTGGTAGTTCTGACCTACAAACGAAAGCTACAATGATCATGTCTACTGGAGAAGTCAGCCTGAAAGATATCGAGCAAGCTTACTCATTCTTCGCGCTTCGGAGAGGCGAGATCAAGTCTGAGGCCGATGACTACATTATTAATGTTTATAAGTCCCGTATTGATTCTGCACCTCGCCAGAAAGACGAGGCACGCGAATGTCTGCGCGTGATAGCAAAGGATAGGCGAAGCACCGCTATAGAAACTGTAGCGAACGATAGGACAATGACGTTTGAAGAAGCTCTCGAATTCCTGAGTGTGACTTCAGATACTGCGTCGGATAGCATTGAAGCTGCCGCGGTTGCAATGGTATGTTTATAGCCTTCAATAAGAGCTATTTAAAGAATCCCAACTAACTTTCAGATAGTCTTTCGAAGGTGATAAGGGTAAAGTTGCAAAAGCCTTAAGAGCTATTGCTAACAACCGCGGTAATGATTATACCCTGCAGCGTGCGGCCACATCCATGGAGTCAGGGACTGAAGATTCAAATCTTGACGTTGGCGAGGCGTATAATCGACTTCAAATCAACGATAGGCGTGCTCCAGATGATACTGTACTTGCCTATTACGAAAGTTTGAGGGCTGGTGCTCCTGCTGGATCATCAGATAGCTATACAGAGGCGTTCCGGGTGATAGCTCATGATCGACAGAGTAGTTACTTGTTAAGAAAACTTGATGATCCGCATGCTGATATTCAAGCGGAAAAGTCAACAGTTAATCAACCTGTTGGCCTGGACAACATCGGGAATACTTGCTATCTGAACAGCCTTCTTCAATATTACTACACGGTCAAATCTGTTCGACAGGTAGTTATGAATTTTGAACAAAATCGCATGTCCTTAAATGAGGAAGATATCAAGAAGAAGCGTGTTGGAGGTCGTGCGGTCAGTAAGGCTGAAATCATCAAGGCTCAAAAATGTAAGCTACGCATACTTCCTCGGAGATGTCATTTCGCTAATCGTATCTAGTCGTGATGGAGTTACACGATCTTTTTGAAAATCTGAAGACTGCCTCAACAAGATCCGTCAAACCTACCAGAGAGTTAGCCGAATTGACTATATTTAGCTCAGCAGCTGAAGCAAATTTTCGACGAGCTTCTATCAGTAGTCCGAGTGGTCCTCCAAACATCGCATCCATGATGAGCCCCATCTTTGGACCGGAAGGTCCCCCAACGACCACAATCCCTCCTCAACGTTCAAATGGTGAGGACATTGAAATGGTCGAACGGCCTGAAGACAAAGACTCAAATCAACGTGATGATAGTAGTGAAGGCACATTAGTGGAGGCACCAGACATGGATGGCCTACCTCCATACTCTGATGTTGTTGGTAAAACAAGTGCAGCAGTAGAAAAAGTCTGGGCCAGCAAGACAGAGGACACTAGCAGTACATTTGACGATGCTGTCATGGTCGATGGTGATTCGATATCCCAAGCTCCGGACGTCGTCCCCACCGCACCAGATAAGCCACCTCCAATTCCTCCAAGAAATAAAGCTGGCCTTTCCATACAGACAAGTGACCAAAAAGAGGTCATCACCGACGATGACTTATGGAAATTTGGATCGCAGCAAGATGTTACAGAGGTTATTGGAAACGTGATGTTTCGTTTACAATGTGCTATTAAACCAACCAGTATCGATCCTGTGTCTGGTGAGCAAATCGACAATATCAGGGACACATTTTATGGTGCAAATGCCTCCTACCTTAGAAAGTCGCAAAAGTTAGAGAAGAAAGTTGAGCCATGGGCTAATCTTATCATCTTCCCGGATGAGAACAAATCTCGAGACATTTACGAAGCATTAGATGTGGTCTTTGATGAACAGCAGGTACATATTGATGGTACTGTTCAACCACAATACGCATCTATTACTAAACTACCTCCCATCTTACAAGTACAAATCCAACGTACACGTTACGATAATATTAAGCATACGGCATATAAGAACAGAAATGCGGTAATATTCCCAGAGACGATATACCTTGATAGATATATGGATTCTGAAGATCCTGACTCTACTTTGATGCGTCGTCGCCAAGAAGCATGGAAATGGAAGGCTCGTATCAATACTCTGGAAGAGCGGCAACGGACCCTCGGGCAAGAGAAAACAGCAGAAGAAATCTCTGTTTCTGATGCGCTATCCGCAGCACATGGTTTTACTAAAAGTTTGCAGGAGATGGATGATATTGAAGTTGACACAGATTTAATCACAATGCTTGAAGAACGTCAAGCAGAACTGACCCAAGAGATTCAAAGAAACAACGAAGAAATCCAGCTCCTCAAACAAAAACGAAATGAACAATTCACCAACATGACAAAGTATGAATACAAACTTCAAACGGTATTTATCCATCGTGGTGAAGCTGGTGGTGGTCATTACTGGATCTACATATATGATTTTGAAAATGATATCTGGAGAGAATACAACGATGAATATGTTACGGAAGTGCGTGATCGTCGTAGAATCTTTGAACACGAAGCTGCTGGTGCGAGTGGCACTCCTTACTATCTCGGCTACGTACGAAGTTCGGATGTGAAGGATTTGGTAGGAGCTGTGCATAGGGAATTGAGAGAAGTTGAGATGCCAAATTTACCTCCAGCTACAAGTACGAATTCGTGGGCTAAAAACTTAGAGGATGGTGTTGAGGTGCATCATAATGAGGATGTAGAGATGGGGGAAGTGAAGAATGCGGGATTTGTGAACCCGCGGCACATACACATTATGCCGAAGAAGGATGTAGAAGATAAGACGGGTGTTACTTCGCAAGTGCCATTGGATGAACATGGCAATGCGTGGTAATATTTTCAGTTATGCTTCGGAGCTTGAATGGGTAGATGACTGATTGGGACATGGTGTTTAATTCCAGGTAGTCTTGGAAGAAGGGAGCATATGGTGGGAAGACGGAAGAGGCAGATTTGATACTGGATTATTTGCTTTGATATGATATGGTATGATATGATTAACGAATTGAATGGATTGGAATGAGATAGCATGATATCCCATGCGTGCGTTGCGTACACAGCTTGAACTTTTTATCGTTTATCTTCAGGTGTTGCGTACATATGAATGGATCATGATGGTATTTCGGTATTTGATACCTCTCATATTTGTTGAGCGGGTCGTGAGCTTGTGAGCATTGCTTGCTTGGTTGTCTAGAGAGAATAAAGAAATAGGAATAAACTAAAGATCGGTTGATGGCAGAGAATCTGTCTATGAAGATGAAGATGGAGGTGAAGATGAATAAGTGTATATAGAATTAATGTGTTTGTTTTTTTATGAAACAATGAATGAAGTTGGAGTAAGTAACTCTATTCATTAGTGTTATAGAATTCAATCTACAGTTCTAGGGCATTCATAATTGACCGCTGGATTTCATCTAGAATTATTTCTCAAATCTAATTTTATCCAAAGTTGAATATTGTATTGATATTTTATAATTTTTGTTTAAAAATTGAATAAATTTTAATTTATTAAATATTAATATTTTTATATATTAATATATATTTCTAATAATATAAAATTTTAAAAGAATAAAATTTTGATAGGAAATATATATTAAAATAATAATTTAAAATTCAAAACAGGAAATTATATAATAAATAATTAAATTTATATTGTCATGGACCTCGTATAAAGGACGATCACGTGATTCCTATTGATCGACAATTCCTATCGGTGAGCTGATAGTCTGTGCACACTTTTCCAAATTTACCCTTTTTAGTATGGCATTATGGTCACCTTAAGGCAGATTGCGCACAACCATGCAGCTACCGTATAGGTATTTTGTATATATATAAGGATGCTCCCTATGAGCTATAGTTCTTCAGTTGTAGATTCTAAGGAATATAATTGACCCTATTTATTCAGCTCTTATGAGGCTCTTGTACGTCACAGTTATTATCAATATCAAAAATTATTAAAAATATACTTGATATTAATTAAATTGAAGAGAATAAATAGATGTTAGAATATTCCGGATAGTTTTTGATATAATTTTATTCTTCAAGAGTCAAGATGTAGAATGAAAAGAAGAGAAATAGGAAATGAAAATGAGAATCGAAGTCGTACCATTCTAAAGTATAAATGACAAAAAGACTCTAGAGCATGGTTCTAGGGTGTTCTTGGGTGCAAGTGGAAGTTAGGTCTAAGATCTACGTCTTCCATATACTCTGATAGTTAACGATTCTCAAAGTAAGCCAGGTTCCGATGAGCGAACATACAATATTAATAGAGGTGTGGAGTAGAGCTGGCTGGGAAAGAATTGGCTATCGGAATTGAATTGAATTTTTTTTCTCGGCGGTTGAAATATAAAATGCTATCAAGGAACTTTGGATTATGCTTTTTATATATGCTTTACTGTAATGAAGAAAGGAAGATTGGGGTTTTATCTTTAGCTTGAAGTTGAGTTTTGATGTAAATGTTGAAGTGAAAGTATTACCAGTTTGAGGTTATGTAGAGAAGACTCATGATGACATGCATATACCTTGAGCGGCTTTGTGATAGTCTTACTTTGAAGTGATGTGCTCTTTCGAGGTGATGGGTGTGTCTGAATGTGGTATTATTCGCGAAAGAATATGCAAAATGGGGATGAAGTGGATCGATCCATTGATGCATAATAGGCAATTGAGCCATAAGAGTAATAGTTTGTATCCTGGTATAAAAAGATCAGAGAGAGGGGATTGCGGAAACATCCGACGAACTATGGCGTAGAACATGGTATGTATGTCGATTGAGCTGAAGTCGAGCTGGCCTCAACTTGAAGCGCTGATAAGTGTGTAGACACTTGTGTAGAAAATTGTGTAAACGAGGAGGACATATCCAATTATGAAAATAATATGCAACTTTCCCAATTGCAATTCAAGAGGACACTAATCCTCTTTTCCCCATTATATCTCATCAAATCATGATCATTCACTTCATTCACTCCCTTCACTTCAAAGGTATTTGATCACCCCCGATACAAACTATTTAGAGCCGGAACCTTGAGCCGAAGGATCAGCCTCATAGCAGGGAGTGCAAGAACCCTTCGTTGTCCTGTCCATTTTTCATCTAGCCTCTTTCGATATAAGTAAATGAAACCAAGACTTGGAGGAAGATTAGTAGTGGGACGGTAGTCACTATAGCAATAGCGTATTGAAATGTGAGGGAGGATGAGTGAGGATATGGTGAGTAATGAGAGATGAATGATGAATGATGAGGCAGATAGATAATGGGAGAGATGAATGATGAAAATTGAGAATGAGGAGAAGGATGAATCGAGAGAATTAAAAAGTACCGCACACCCATCCCATCACAGCCGCTTTAAAAATGACAACCAAGTCAAAAGCCACCACTAAAATTTAAACCCCAAACATTAACCAACCGAGTACAGAGTAAAAAGGTAAAACTCCGTGATGTAAATGCTGAGCTAATCAAAGCCATGAGTGAATGAATGAGTGAATGAATGAATGAGTGAATGAGTGAATGAATGAATGAATGAATAAATGAAATGAATGGATGAATCCATGAATGATGGCATGGGATGGAATCGAATAATGCAATGCCTCACTCGATAGCAAATATAAGCGGATTTCGGCGGGAATGGCGACAAGTAAATCCCCAATAATCGCCAAGAAGCAAGAAGGACGGGCAGACCGGGGATTTTGAAAAGCTAAAACCCGTTCGTTGTATTCGGATCGTCGGGAATTTATGCGAAAAGTCCCAGGAAATTGGGAAATCCGTGACGCAAAAGAAACTTTGATCGAAATGTCTCTTATTTGTGATTAAATTCTGCCGTGACGAGTAAGGAAGGAAGGAGGAGGAAGGAGGGAGGAAGGAGGGAGGAAGGAGGGAGGGAAGGAGGGAGGGAAGGAGGGAGGGAAGGAGGGAAGGAAGGTAGGTGAGTGGGTGGGTTGTATTTATTTTGATACAGATACAGATACAGATACAGATACAGATACAGATACAGATACAGATACAGATGGAATTTGCTCCCGGCCAAAAAATGCCAAGTTCTTGGCGCGTGTTCACTTTCTGCCTTGCCTAGGTCAAAAGCAGGCTCATGTTCAGCTAGAAAGAGTAATCCGTAGGTAGCTCAGTTCACCCAAAAGTCGGGACAGCGATCTACATATTGATTTCATGATTGGTAATTGCTGACTACCTGGTGCATTGAAGGCGCGATGCCGTAGGAGTAAGTGTCTAGTTGGATTATCTAGCTGGATTATCTAGCTGTGTTTTATAACTAGCTACTAACTGCATGCATTATCCGGAGACCGAAGACATTGCTTTTGCGTGGAGAAGAAAGTCACTAAGAGATCACAAGAGGGGAAAAAATGGGATAAAAGAGATGGAAAGATAAAAAAAAAACACGAATACGAATCAGGTGAGGAGGTGTTTGAGCGCGATTGCTGATCAATTAAAAAGTATTTGAAATACCGAGGAGATAAAAATAAAACAAAAATAAAACAAAAATAAAACTTTAGATATGCGGCATGGTGGCTTCCCTTAGACCCCTAGTAAAAACGGGTAAACCGCCCTTGTCGTCATATTTCGCGATTTGATGGTGAAGCTTTGAACCATGTCGGGATCTGGAAGCGATGGACCAATCACATCATGTCAAGGGGGGGTGACGGGGCCTTCTCCTCTTGGGCTGAAGATGAAGAAGATGAAAGAAGATGAAAAAAGATGAAAAAAGATGAAAAAGGGTTCCAAGCCACGGGGAGATTGACAGGGGTTGCGGCAAGGATGAACCTGGATTATACCTCGCCAATCTTGAAAAGACCATGCTTAAATCTGGATCTACCAATGAGAGATGATGCTTCCACACATATCGACCAATGAGAGAAGGAACGACGGAGACATTTCCGATCTGTCAAAAAGATTCCTGGGCGGTGTCACGGTCAGAGCTTCATTTACTTTCTTTCACCTGCATATGATATGATATGATATGATATGATATGTATGTACTATGTATCCGGTATCTACCAGGTATCCAGATCTTGAACTTGCCTTTTCTTCTTCTTCTTCTTCTTCTTCTTCTTCTTCTTTCTCTTATTCGTATTCGAATTACATCGAGCTAGTGGGAGTTATGATAGTGCGATCAATTATGCATTCCGATCGATGTGACTCAAATGCTGGTGAGTGATGAATGAATGGCTGGCCACCTTCTCAAATCAATGCATACATATGATTAATGAGTGGATGCAGCAGCAAAAGAAGCAAGTGTTTGCGATGTAATTCTTCACTGGGCTATCTGTCGGCGTTACTTCCGGATCTCTGTTGATGGGGGTAAATAGCTACCAGATACCAAGTCGCATTTCTCCAAGCGTGGTGTTGATCGTGAAGGCAATAGATAAAACCAAAAACAACAAGTGCATCAATAAATAAATACAACGGTATATGAATAAACAATAAACAATTCACAATTCCACCATTAGTAATTAATAAGTGTAAGTTTCTATAATCCAGGTCTAGTCCTCCATCTCTTGTCTTAGTGTGAGCATATCTAGGCGCATTCGGCTTAGATGGATTTGATCGGATTTGAAGAATCCCGTACCATTTCTTGATCGGAAAGTTCAAAAGAAGCATGAAATTCCCATCTTCCAACTTTTGCAGCTCAGGTAAAGGCATAACATAAGTATCTTTTATTTTGGCACTTGACTTGAATCATATTTGATTAACGAATTAATTAATTAATTAATTAATTAATCCATCCATCCATCCATCCATCCATCCACTAACTACCACTTTTGTTAACTCATTCAGAAATCTTACAGACACATCTTTGACAAGTTCAATCATCATTTTTAACATCAAACTTATGCCAATAACCAACCCACTTTTCAGAGCGCACTTCACTTCACTTCACTTCACTTCACTTCACTTCACTTCACTTCACTCTACATCACCTAACCTCCTCCTCTACTTTATTACATCCACCTACCAATCAATCATTTTTATTTCAATTAAATCCAATACAACCCAAATTTCACATCTTCCAAACAAAAAAAAGAAATTTCCTCATTTCACTGATTCAAGCATCTGTGATATCACCCATTTTATCATCGTTTTCCTCCATCTCATCCGCATTCAACAAAGTTTCGCTTATCTACGATCTACGACCCCTTCATCCAGGTATCTCAAAATCGACCTCGAAATCGTCCTCGCAATCGTCCTCACAATCAAAACTCACAATCGCAGTTGCTGTTGCAATCACAACTCCACATTCAAGCCTTATACCTCAGATATTTGTAATCGCAAGGAAACCCTTCCCGACTTGAATTTAAAGAGCAATTCCTCTTGACCTTCAATTCTTTCTTACCAATCTCTCCGTCATCACTCACATCTGTCACGTTTATCGATCGTATCATCATCACACACTGTTACTCTATTTATTTTCACTACAAACAAACATTCACAGTTCAACCATATCAGCCCTCCTATGCTTACCGGATATTCCACTTAAAGGATTGTACAGTGCTATCATTACTAAGTAATCCAAATGCCAAAGGTAAAGAAGGCAAAGGTGTCGAGAGCAGTCGAGAGCGAACCTCTGGGCAAAGTATGTACACACAATACACTCCTCATCTTTATCTTTTGAGAAGCCTCTAACGTAGTCAACAGAAACCCAAGACAGATTCCGAAAGGTTATTCCACAGTGAGCGAGCATTTATCGCTGCATCCAATAGAGGCGATCGTAAAGAGTTTGAATCACGAATGAAATCTGCCCGTTCAGCGTCAGCCATACACAAGCTGAGAACCGGTCGAGGACTCATCATTACCGAGGAAGCTGTAAGATCAGGATTAGTTGGCGAGGAAGAGGAAAGCCCAATGCGGAAGTTTATGAGATCTCATTACTATCCCATGTACAATCAAGTACCCATTCCTACCACTCATAAAGATCTCATGCAACATCTGCGAGACAATCCTGAGTTAATAGCCAATATCCAAGCTTTACTTGACGGTGCTCGAGAAGAATGTACCCTTGAGCCAGTGGAACCTCAAATGGCGACGGAGATGTCACTATTTATACAATGTGGCCAGCAATTATTCTCTCAAAATTCTAATCATCCGAGGTCGATGGCACAAAGTATGCCTACACCTCCTCCATCATTAAGTCGACATTCAAGTTTTGGACAGAGTGTATCATCGCCATTATCGAACCAATCACCAAGCTATGATCAAAACATGGCATCGCCGCAGATGGATCCTAAATCGAGTCTTGGACAAACTATGTCATCGCCATTACCCTTTAAAACACCGAGGTATGATCAAAACATGACAACCCCACCGATGAACCAGACTAGCCTTGGACAATCACCATTCTCAGACCAAGTACCAGGCTATGACCAAAATATGGCAGTATCGATGGGACGAAATCCAAGCACCCAAAGTCATCAAAGCAACCAATCCGATTCATCCGGACAATCATCGACCTCATCCACAAACCCAAATCAAGGCACATGTCAAATTAATACCAGCACAACCCCAGGACCACTTGCCAACAGAATCGACTATGCAATGTATCAAAATCCAATGACTCAGTTACAAATGAATCAAATGCATCAATGGAATTCAATGGCACAAACTGATTCAAATTCAACCTTTCATCAAACAGCATTCTCTCAATTAGCTCCAACATCAACAAGTGCAATCGAAGCACAATCTTTAGGTTCCTTTGCACAAGGTTCAATGTTAGAAAATGACGAATCATTTGATTTTAGTCTGGTTGATTTTAGCGGTGGTCAATAGATTCATTCATTCATTCATGCATGCATGCATGATTCATACGGTAGTTCAATGAAGAAAAAAGTTCTAGCTTGGAGTTTGGGGTACAGGTACATACATATATGAATTGGTGTAAGGTGTAAGGTTAATGGGATCTTGTTTTTGTTTTTGTAGGTACGATTAAAGGTGGAGTGGTTGTGGATATTTGATGGATGGAAGGAAGGATGGAATGATGGAAGGAACGAAGGAAGGAGAGAAGGAGGGAAGGGATACTATTATTTGGTTTGGTTTGGGAATACATAGGGATATGGATATACATACGGATATGGTATATGGAATATGGCGAAATTGGAGGGTTCTGGTAATATATACCCATCGGATGGATTTGTGTATATTATATCATATTATATTATGATATGGGAGTTTATAAAGTTTTTAATTTGTAGGATTGTTAGTTTGGTGTTATGTGATTGATGTGATTGATGTGATATGATATAACTGTGTTTTATATTATATAATAGATATAATATTATATAATTTTAAAGAGATATTAAGCTTTGATTATTTAATTATTTAATTATTTAATTATATATATATAATTTATTATTTCAAATATAATACTTTATAACACGAATTTTTAAATCTTTAAACCATAAATTATAAACTATAACCTTTTTTATATATAATTTATTTTTATAAATAATAATTTCAAATTCTTTTTTAAACTACTTTCAACTTTTTTATTTTTATTTTTAAATAATTTAATTTAATGTTATTTTTCTTTTTCTTAAGAGGGTTTTTTTTTAATATATTTATTATTTATTATTTAGTATTTTTAATTACTTTGAAACTATATGAAGATCTTTATTGTAGTTATTATTATTATTATTATTATTATTTTAAAAGAGTATTCATTTATTTATTTATTCATCTATTCATTTATATCAAATTCAATTTCCTGCATTACTATCACCATACTCCAAAGAATTTCCTAGTATCCTCCTAAGCCCCTTCGATATTTCCACTCCTATATCCTACCCGTGTACAAATACCAACAATCCACAATATCACAAATCAGATATTGTCCTCGGTGCATCAGTCAAAGGAACATATCTCACTCCGTACAACTTCTCCTCTGATACTTTTCCCTCTCGATCTTTATCCACGAGCCAAATATATTGACCGAGTCCCTTGGAGTCTTCAACTGGTATGAACATACTATTTTGTGATATTACTTAGCTCGATTCATCAGGAAATATAAGAATAGAGAAAGATAAACGTAAAATAATCTCATCAAACTTACCGACCAGGACATCTCAACTGCTGAATCAAAGCCTCGTGGATTTCCATCGCCGCTGCTCCAACATGTATAGCATCCCATCCTTCCTCCCCATCAGGATCTATCCATCCCTGTCTTCCATCTCCAACTACAAATTCGACTTTCTTCTCCTGTAACCATTTTCTTCCTTTCTCACTCTTCATCATATTAGTCTCTCCTATATTTCTCAATGCTCTAATATGTTCCAACCCTACCACTTTTCCACTTTTCTTTTTCACATCTCCGGGACGCTCACTCGAGGTATCAGATGATGAAGATGAAGTGGAGGGAAATACAAGTTCTGCCATAACAGCAGTTAAATATCCACTTCCGCTTCCAACATCCAAAACTCTTTTTCCCTCTCCTAGAAATGGGAGGAGATTTTCAAGAGCGGAAGCGTGCATATGAGGTGCGGAAATGGTAGCTGAGTAACCGATAGACTGGGGAGAATCTTCATAGGCTAGGTGTTGCGAGGGGGTAAAATGAGCGCGATCTACCTGATTTGTTGTTAGCACTATCTTTGAAAGGAAATTAAGAGTGAAATATAGGAAGATGATAAATGAACAATGGCTATAAGTAACAAAAGATTCATACAGAAATCATAGCATCCCTAACCCTCTCACTAAGAATCAACCGCGCATTCCACATCTTAGATATCAACTCCCCATTAGAACGACCCGAACATGTCCACGCCATTGTATTATGATGTGTTATTTCTTGTCTAGCTTCCGTATCATTTATATGCGCAAAGCGCGGTAAATATGTGAGGAGGTTGATGGGTGATAATGTGATCTTTGTGGAGACTTGGAGTATTGCGTTGGTTGGATCGGTTTGATGGAATATGAGGATTGGTATGAGGAATGTTAGGGAATGAGTTGTGAGTTTGGGGATTTTCATGCGCGGGTGCTCAATAATTTTCTTTTGTTGATTTGATTATATCAAATGATGCTTGGTAGTCCGGGATGAGGTGAGGGGTACTATGTATGCGACTCATTCGATTTCGAGTCTCCCTTTCAACATAACTTCTCGTCGTTTTATGATGTACAGACGAAAGATGTGATCAATACAGAAAGTTATATCCATTCAATAACCTCGCGCTGGATGCTTTGAAGTAATAATATGTAAATAGTTTGGGATGATGTTGTTTCAATGAAAGGGATGAGGTGAGGTAAGCTTGAGCTATGACAAAAAGTGAAATGCGGGGTTGAAAACGGTGGGGTGACGTAGGTAGGTATTGTGAGGGACAGGAAGTGGCGAATGCGGTGAGAAAATAAAAGAATGAAATTATAATTACTCGAGAAATTGATGAGGTTTGAATATATCAATATAGATATATATTTATTAATATAACAGCTGTAATAACATCGTAACATAATCCAAAATCTCAGATATAGCGTATATATTACACCTCACTATACTCAATCCGCCTAGAGCTACCTCATCTGACGCACCCATTTCCAGAGATAGTCGCAGCCAACCAATTTTGCGTCATTGTTAGATAGAGAACGAATAAAATACATAGTAGGAAATAATGTATAGGCGACGAAGTATAGGTTATTTGACTTCAAGTTCTTCCGGAGTAAACAGATCCGCATCAGGAGTAGGAGAGTCTGAAAGAATCATAGAGCTTGGACGTGATATATGTCCTTTTTGAAAACAGCTTCTGCTTATTCTCTAAGGTAAATTGAAGGATTAATTTTGCTGTCTCCTTCCTTGAGTTGCTAATGCGACGATAGGGAAACGTGTCTAAAGCGAGGTATATGAGGTTTCCAATCACACCCAAATCCCAAGAAGCCCGTATGTCCTCGCCACGCCTCGTCTTTTATGCCGAGACCGGCGTCGAGATTTTGCTATTTGGTGATTCTTACTGCCATTCCGCTCTCTCCATAGTCAAACACATCTATTAGGTAGTCGATCCAACACTCGCAACAAATTTCCATCTTTTGCATTTATACACTTTCCAGGTCTTTCGGCTCGAGTGGTAATATAGAGGCAGAAATTTAGCAAGTGCTAAATGTCAGCATATAGAGCAAAACGAAGATGATGGCAATTTGTCGACAAAATTATCCCGTCCACATCTCGGAAACAATGTCCAGAACTGAGAGAGTATTTCAAGTTCCAAACGTGTCTCTTCTATTTCCATAGTCGGTGAATGTGATTAGCTAGTGACAATCCGGGCATCAGTAGATAGTAAAGTTGTGTGCTAGCAGGAGAAGAGGTTGTGGTAGCCTGAATACTGGACTTTGAGGCATTTTAAAGCATCAAGTGGAAATCTATTGATGTGCCGATACTTCATCATTGCTCAATGAACGCGAGAAAAAGATATTCGTGATGACCGCTACCATGCTTATCATAAGGATGGATATATTTACTGGCGCAAATCATGGAATTTTTTAAAGGGCCTTTGCCTTCCAGCTCATTTGACTGAGTTAATGAATGAATTTTAATGCATGATTAGCATGTAAAGTATTCATCAAGTGGAACGTCTTTCTCCAAATTTGACAGAAATTCAAAATCTCATCGGTACCAGACTTTTGTATCTTTCGTAGACGCTCAAAATACCCTTCTCCCCCTTCTCTAGCTTCTCTAAGATAAACTTTTACTTTTTCATCGCGAATAGCAAGACATGCTGCAGATGTGAGTGACGCTTTGAATACTATTTGTGTAACTAACTTATTAGGGCGCTTGTATATGGGTTATTGTCCTTGTGACATTGTCAGAAACTAAGAGGGTCGCTTTGATATCTTGTTCACATGGATGAGACATCTCTTTTGTTCAAAAGCAATTATTTTGTAGGTTTAGTGAATGAACAACCAGAGATAAATGCAACTTGTCGATGTATGAATTTATCTGAAAACTCGATTTATTAAAACGATTTTACAACTTTTGAACGCTAAGGTTCAAACCAACAAGAATTATTAAATCTAATCCTATGCCAGGAAAAACCGACCTGATTACTACTAGTGGATGCACTAACAACCACATAAAAGGAGGTCCGTTTTAACTTTTATCATTCTTTGCCTCTATTCGGAACACGGGAGTATGACAGTACAAACTAATGTATTGACTATTCTGTCTTCAAACATACGTGAGTGGTAAGTACTATTTTAGTAGCAAACCCAATTCTCATTTTAGTCTGAGAGGACAGATAAAGCTCTCCGAAAATTGTACCGTCTCCCTAAAGTAGACAATGACATCGGTACTTTTGAGAGACCCTAAATCAACAATGCCGACTTCGTGTTATCTTTAATGAAGTACAGTTGCGCCATTGACTGCAATCTGTAGTGGTAGCATTGCCCACTGTACCCTAATAATCAGATTTATTCGATCTCGAGCTCTGAAGACCTCCATTGAAATAGTAATTGGCAACCCTTTGATGTCGCCACAGTACTCCGCGCTTGGTATGGAATCAAAAGCGGGATAAAAGGGAAGCAAGCACACGCGATTGGTGAAATAAACCGCACATCAAAAGAATATACCTACTATACCCACCTACCAGGCCTCATAATATTCTTTGATCATGATGCCCTAATTCTAACTCAACAATCAGATGCTCTCTCACGCTGAAATAGACACCGAAAAATGTGGAGGAGCTTGTTTCGTGTGCGTGAGGACTTACTTCATCCATCTGCGAAAAGGTTTTAACATTCATGTTGTTCAAGATTCAGTGTGAAAATCTGAAGACAGCATTAGGTACTCATCTTCGCCGTCACGTGAATAGATCCGACACCGTCGCATCACAAAATCAGGTGATCGAGGTCCATCAAATTGCCCTTCTGTGATTTAATTTGTGCAGCAAATAATCTCTCGATTCAGTCTCCTTGTCTTCTCGCGATCTTTAACATAAATCCATAACCGTATTGAAATCTCTACATCCTCTTTCTTGATATTTCATCTCCATTTACTCCACCACAAACTAACAGAATATCCATCATGACGCAAGAGCCATCAAACTTTCATCGATTCTGCCACCTCCTTAAAGAAAACCCCCTCCAAATATCGTCGAAACTCATTCCCCCACCTCGAATCATTCATTTAGCACCACGAGATAACCAGTACAACTCGTCCCTAATTTCCCTCGCCAAACCACCCATCATTCTCTTCATCAACCACGAATCTCGCACTCTAGGTCTCTCAACCTACTCAATTCCCCCTATCACAACTTGCGCATCCTGTATCCCTACTTGACGACACAGACTATCTGTGCTGATCCGTCTAGTTGCACTGCGGCTATACTCCATTTATCAATCTTCTCACCACCGTTGTTTCTCTCGTCGGGTATTTTCCCTGTCTCTTCTCTAGGGCTTGATTGTAGGTGCTGGCATAGGTACTGGCATAGAATGTGCGGCGATCACCATTTCGCCTCACTTACGGAGGTGAAGATGCTTTTTGAATGTCGACGGGACTCAAATGGGGCATCGGGATTTTTGGATACAGAGGAGTGGAGGTTTGAAAGAGAAAGCGGAACAGGTGGAGAAGGATATTAGGGACGAAATGAGGAATGGAGTGAAAAGATGTAGATGTCGAGGCGAGGTATGTGGATTTGACGAAGCGGGGCGGGCGAGATGACATGAGAGGGAACCTCCAAGATTCTCAATCATTGAAGTCATTAAAAATTTGATTAAAATGCGGATATTGCTATATCAGTTTTCCAAAGGCCCCCGGAGCACAAGATACAATATAATTTTCACCTAAATGTCGCGTCTCGCCAACCAAGAGATGAAATGGAGAACTATGTAAAGTGTAAAGATCTCGGATCAGGGGCAAAGTACATTCCATGCACGTTGTTTTGAGAGTAGTAGCCTCAACCAGTATTAGAAAACACATTTTAACCTCGTCTCCTCTTGCCCCTTGGATTAGATGCTGACAAGGCCTAGCAATGTAGTTGTGATCAGTGCTCCGAGGCTTCCCACAATTTCTTTCCTAGGCCAGATGCATACTCTTCATCTCAAACCATACATTAATAAGCCCACAACGCCGCCCCAATGCATAACCGCCTATATCTAATTTTATGAATCAAAAGTTGAACAAGCACCATTCCCTTTTGGGTGGTATCAAAGGCATAACACCTCCTGGGAATTTTCCAGTTTGCCTGGCCTGTAAATAGGCAGCAGTCGTTTGTTCATCAAAAACCGCGTTCTCAATTTCCGTAGTTTTGTTTGACCCTGTATACCCTTTTGGACACCATATCTTGTGCCACTTACCACTAATATTAGTCCCTGGTTCTCCATCCTTATACATGACTGGTCGTCCATTGAAAGACTCTAATTTTCCACCTTGACTCGTTCTAATATAGCTGTCGGCTGGAGGATGCTGTACTATATTGGCATTTGGTGGTGGTCGAAAATTCGGGCTGAAGGTGTTCATATTGGAGTCGCTCCGCGCAGACGGAGCGCCAGCGATCATGTTCAAATTTTCGAAGTTTTGATGATTTTCAAACTGCTGTGTCTGTGGTTCAGGATTTGTAAATTGATTTTGCATGACATTTGTTGGCTGCGGACTTGGAGCTCCAAAGGGATTCTTCGGCGCCGACGAAGGAGCACCGAATGCTTGATTGTTTCCGCTATTAATGCCAAAGGGGTTTGATGGAGCAGACTGGCCAAAGGCGTTAACAGGTGCTAATGGATTGTTGTCCTGTGACATCGGATTGATCTGTGATTGCTGAATTCCGGGAGGAAGAGGATTGGAACCAAAAGCATCCCCCAAGGGGTTTGGATTGGGTTGACCGAACGCATTGCTTGTACCACCAAAGTTAGAGAAACCTGGCTGTCCAGAATTCATGCCGCTGTTTGAGGGTGCACCAAATGGATTTGCATTCTGCCCCATGGCTGACGGGTTTCCAAAAGCCCCTGCTCTTTGCTCTAATTGTGAGGGCTGCCCAAAAGCACTACCAAAAGCACTGCCAAAAGCACTAGGCTTTTGACCCAAAACTGATGGCTGACCAAAACCACCTGATGCCCCACCTTGCTGCACAGCTCCAAAGCCTTGAGCAGTTCCACCAAATGCACTAGCGTTTAGACTTGAAGGCTGACCAAAGGCTGTCACATTTTGAATAGGTGGTTGTGCAAATCCAGAACTTGTTTGAGTAGACGGTTGCCCAAATGTTGATGTTAATGCTTGACTTGGTGCACCGAAAGCATTAGCTCCAGCAGGATGATCATTACGCTGAACCCAAGGCGTTTGATCTGTAGAAGTGTTTTGCTGACAGTAATCATTCCTATTTGGATGCTTATTACCGGCCGCAATAATATAGTCTATGGCACCATCCACGTCATTCAGTGCATTCTGTATTTGTTGCTCCGCTTCTTGCCATAACCTCTCTGCATCTTGTATCTAGAAAATATTAGCTTCAGTTCACAACCCCTGGATCTATCACCTACAGCAGGCTGAACATTACCAGAAGCTGCCGCAATGTAGTGGATAAGGCGCATTTCTTCAAAACTTTGTTCTCGCGCTGGTCCACCAAACAACTGCTCCGGCGCATGGCGCCCAGGTCCGTACGCCGAAAGAATCCATTGCGGTCTGTCGGCCGAGAGGTCTTGCTTTATAGTTACTTTATCGAGACTAAAAGGTATATGCGCTTCATCTCCTTCAAAACATAGTAAGCCACAGTGTACAATCATGTAGGCGGGGAACTCACCTCCTCGTTGTGCATTGTAGTTCCGAGAGTTGGATTGGTTGGAAGTTTGGTTCTGAAGAGGAGCATATCGATTATTGAAGCTGTTCTTATTGTGATTGGCATTCTGGTCGGGGTGTCCGAATTTGCAACCAGCTTTCAAAAGTTAGCAAATTTTATCTTCATTTTAAACTCGGGCGAGAATCATACCTCCGTTTCTGCAATTTCCTTGCTGCCAGAATTTACAGACTGCCATTGTTTATACGTCTTCGGCGATAATATGTTAGGAACGAGTCCTTGGATGGGCAGGAGCCTAAAAGGCTACACTTATAAGGTATTCATTCAAGGTCGCGCAGGTTGAAAAATTCATACTCGTCGAAGAGTGTATAAAGATGTGTTTGGGTTTTACAAAGAATTTTTGAAGATGTTGGGTCGGAACGCGGTTTGGTAAGTAAACGCGTCGGCACGGTTGACACAAGAAATTGATTATGACAAGAGGAAGTGACATGGAAATGAATGTAAGCCTACACGAGAATAAAAAAAATTAAATTGGCATTCAAAATCCAAGCCTATCGTAACTCCTCAAATAACTCCATAACGCTGTGTTGGTATCTTTGAAATTTAGATATACAGGCTCCGCATCCTCTTTTTATACATCGATTCTTGGCCCAAGTCCTTCTCTCACAGCTGCAGACAAACGCTCCCAATCCAACCCTCCAATTGATCTACCGCCGATTCCTTTCAGTGATAAAGTCTCCGAGAATTTTCCAGTACCAATTCGTCGCATCATAATTGTATCCCGGCCCTTTCTTATTGCTCTTCCTTCTCCGCGAAGCAAATAGTCCTCGAACCAAGATTCTTCTTCTGGTGAGAATGGCAGATTTACCAGCTCGACGCTGCGATCCGCAATAGTTTCTGGAGGAGAATTTTTGAGAACAACTGCAATGAGTAATTCGAACATGTGTCTTTGCATATATTGCGACTGTCCTCGAGAGAAGTAGAAGGCTTCTGTGACACTGGTTCTCGCGATGGCAGAAAACAAACTCTCTGTTGCTTTGGATGAAGTCAAGGCTGGCTGTACGGTATGATAGTATGCCAAGGGGATAGCTAGATCTTCCGAGGAATGTAATACCAGGGCCTCTAATATTTCGTCCGCAAAACTCGGTATCAAGGATGGATGGGTCAAATATTGAAGTGCCAACTAGAAACGATCAGTCCATGCCAGGTATTTACGGACTTTTGCATCCAACACATAGAATCACGAACCTCAAAATCGAGACGATCTAAATGCCAGAGACCCTTCATATAAATTTGGTAACTTTGAGGTAAGAACGACTTTTGTTCGAATGTGGTGGAGTAGTCTCTTCGCCCGGTTGGAGCGTCGAAATCGAGCAATATATAATATAGAGCTGATAATTTGTGATGGGCCTCGCCCGTTGAGTCGATGATGACTTTGTGTAGATTTCTGAGTTCATTATTTGTTTTCGGGGGATAATACTTGACAGCTTGCAGACAGTTAGTACGGGATACACTATGTGAATAATTTTAGTAGCTCACGTCGGCGGATTTCAAAATTCTTCAGTAAAGTATCCACGAACAACCCTTCAAGCTTCTTACGATTGTTCTCAATTTCGTGCACAGCATATTCATCATAGGAACAATCTGGATCAAAGTCAAAGACTTCATCAAAATTCTGAAAGGTAAACATTTGGTATTGTTGTGTTGTACTCCCGTAACTTTCAATGTTTACTTTTAGGGGATTTTATTTTGAACGATGCGACGATATTTGATAGTAGATAAGAACCTTATCTTAGTGCCATTTCACTGTTTTGAAAGTAAACAATGGTGATCGGCAATATGCAAACAATAAAAACAACGAAATTCAACAAAACACTTTACGCCCGAATGAGTGATTGAATATAAGGCGCATCGCTGAAAGTATTCTAGGCTCTTTTATGCTATATTATCCACTGTGCATAACTGATTCTGAGACCATAGGTACTTTATTGACGGCAGTAACCATTTTTACCCCGCGAGTAAAAAAAAGTAACACATTTACTGGACCTCATTATGTCAGAATCACCAGTGCGGTCTTCGAGACGTGTGGTTTCTCGCCGGAAAGTGGTAGTAGAATCGTCAGACGAAGGGGAGAATGTGGAAGTCAAGGTTGAGGAAGATGATGAGGAGGAGTTTACACCTGCGCCGAAGCGTAGTCCACGAAAAGCGCCCCAATCGAGGAGGAAGACAACGAACTCAATCGCACCTACGCCTCGCACAGGCGGCCGAGCAAAAAAAAGCATGGGAACAGAGAACATGGAGCCGTCAGAAGTGTTCGATCCTGATCAGACGGCAACTCCAGCACCGGAATCACCTACGAAAAAGGCAGCCCCGCGGAAGAGGAAGAGTGTGCTGCCCACCAGAAGTGCACGCAGCTCAATTGCACCCGAATCAAACCCACTTCTACCAGCCCCGACTACGTCAAAGTCTCCTGAGCCATCTGAAATGCATGATAGCACAGTTCTGACCGATGTCATAGAAAGGCCTAAGACCTCGGAGGGTCAAGCGTCAGATGTCAAACCAATACGAGCAATGGATACAATCATGGAAAAGCCCATGGATATTGTACTTAAGTCAAGGACTTTGGCAGCTCCGGTGGTTGAGGATACTGGTCCAAAAGCTCGAATAGTCATCACTTACTTGATTCTTACGAATTTCAAGAGTTACGCTGGCCGTCAAGAAGTTGGCCCTTTCCATTCCTCTTTTTCTTCTGTCGTTGGCCCCAACGGATCCGGCAAATCCAACGTCATTGATTCTCTTCTTTTTGTATTTGGCTTCCGAGCTAGTAAAATGCGACAAGGCAAAATTTCCGCATTAATTCACAACTCTGCAGCCTTCCCGGATTTGGACCATTGTGAGGTTGCCGTACATTTCCAAGAAGTGATGGATCAGCCTGATGGTACTCATCAAATCATCCCCAATTCTGATTTAGTGATATCCCGCAGGGCTTTCAAAAACAATGCCAGTAAATATTATATAAACGAAAAAGAGTCAAATTTCACCATTGTCACGACACTTCTTCGTGACAGAGGCGTCGATCTAGATCATAAAAGATTTTTGATCCTCCAAGGTGAAGTCGAGTCAATTGCTCAAATGAAGCCAAAAGCTGCAAATGAGCATGATGACGGGCTGTTGGAATATCTGGAGGACATCATTGGTACATCCAAATATAAAACCCCTATTGAAGAATCCGCTGCCGAAGTGGAAACGTTGAATGAAGTGTGTGTTGAGAAGAGTGGGCGGGTCCAGCACGTCGAAAAAGAGAAAAATGCACTCGAAGGTAAGAAAGACAAAGCACTTGCTTACATCAGGGACGAAAACGAATTGTCTATGAAACAATCAGCACTATATCAAGTTTATATCAATGAGTGTGGTGATAATCTAGCAGTTACAGGAGAGGCTATTGGCCAGATGCAGGCACAGCTAGACGCTGAGATGGAAAAACATCAAGGCAACGAAGCAGGTATCAAGCAGCTTGAAAAAGAATACAAGAAGGGTCAGAAGGAGTATGAATCTGTCGAAAAGTATACGCAAGCAATTCTCAAGGAGATGGCTAACCTCGATCAAGAGCGGGTGAAGCTTGAAGAGAAAAGGAAATTCTTGACAAGCAAACAGAAGAAGCTGGAAAAGACAATAAATACATCCGAATCAGCTATTTCCGAAGCTCGGGCTACAATCGAGAAGTGTGCAGAAGAAATCCAGGAATCCGCCGCTGAAATCACTGCAACTGAACAGAAGATGGCCGAAGAAGAGTCAGAGCTCGCTAGTATCAGGGATAGTCTAAAGGGGAAAACGCAAAAATTTTCCGATCAAATTGCGGCCAAGCAGAAGTCATTGGAGCCCTGGAACGAGAAGATTAATCAAAAACAATCAGCGATTGCAGTAGCAGAAAGTGAGCTCGCGATCCTACATGAGAAGGCAAATGCGGGTGCTGTGGCACTCCGGGAGATCCAATCAAAGGTGCAGACTATAGAAGAAAGTAGGCAGGCTAAGCTCGAAGAACTTGAGCAATGCAAGGGCCAAAGAGCGAAGCTGGAGAAAGATGGTGCCCGATTACAAGCCGAGCTCACGCAGTTGTCCCAGAAAGAGCCAGAGTTCCGTTCTAAACTATCAGGTGCTCGTCAAAAAGCCGATGAAGCGCGTGCTAGTCTTTCGAACACTCAAACTCAAGGGAATGTTCTTACGGGACTAATGAGACTTAAAGAGTCTGGTCGGATTGATGGTTTCCATGGCCGGCTTGGAAATCTAGGCACAATCGACCAGCAATTTGATATTGCAATTTCTACCGCATGTGGTGCCCTGGATAATTTTGTCACAGATACAGTTGACGCTGGTCAGCAGTGTATTGAATATCTTCGAAAAACCAATCTTGGACGAGGTAATTTCATGTGTTTGGACAAATTAGGAAACCGTGACTTGTCGCCCATCCAAACACCGGAAAACGTCCCTCGTCTCTTTGATCTTATCAAACCAAAAGATGACAAGTTTAGACCAGCATTTTTTCACTCACTACAAAATACACTTGTAGCGAAAGATTTAGCACAAGCTAACCGCATCGCTTATGGGGCAAAAAGATGGCGTGTCGTAACTTTGGATGGCCAATTGATTGATAAGTCAGGTACGATGTCTGGTGGTGGAAATACTGTCAAGAAGGGTCTGATGTCTTCGAAACTTGTGGCCGAAGTCTCCAAAGAGCAAGTCTCAAAGTTGGAAGTAAACAGGGATGAGCTTGAACAGACTTTCCAGAAGTTTCAAACCCGCCAAAGAGATCTAGAGACAAGACTTAAAGATATAAACCATCAAATACCACAACTTGACACTAAAATGCAAAAGCTCGTTCTGGAGGTAGAGAGTTCTGAGCGAAACTTGGCAGACGCACAAAGACGCATCAAGGAACTGAGCAAGGAGCACCAGCCCTCACAAACAGACGACATTCGCGTGTCTGCACTAAATAAAGACATCGCGAAGCTTCAAACAGAAATCGAGAAGCTTCATGCTGAAACAGCGAGCGTTGAGGAGGAGATCAAAGCTCTTCAGGATAAGATCATGCAGGTTGGTGGCGAGAAGCTTCGTGCTCAGCGTGCCATGGTGGACTCCTTGAAGGAAGAGATTGATACCCTCAGCCAGGCCATGTCAACAGCTGAAGTAACAAAAACCAAAGCTGAAAAACAAGTCGTTAAGCACGAAAAAGATCATGCCAAGGCTACCAAGGAGATGCAGGCTTCCATTGCCGAGCTAGAAGCACTAGAAGAGGAGATTCAAAATCAAGGATCAAATTCTGAAGGATCACAAGCCAGAGTCGACGAAGCCCAAGAGACCTTGAAAGAAAAGAAGAAGGAGCTTAATGCTTTGAAAGCCGATCTTGATGAGAAGACTTCCGAGCTCAATGAGATCCGTGCAATTGAGATAGAGATGCGCAACAAGCTTGAAGAGAACCATAAAGTATTAGCAGAAAACCAAAAGCGACTAAAATATTGGCAGGAAAAGTTGGGCAAACTTACTTTGCAAAATATTGGTGGCCTGGGTGAAGGAGCTGAACAGGAAGAACTTCCCACTTTCACCAGAGATGAACTCGCAGATATGAGCAAGGAGGCATTGAAAGGAGAGATTGCAATTCTGGAAGAGAAAACTCAGAATGTCAATGTCGAGCTAGGTGTTCTTGCAGAATATCGTCGAAGAGTCGAAGAACACGCTACAAGGAATCAAGACTTACAAATTGCCGTAACTCAAAGAGATATGGCAAAGAAACGCTGTGATGATTTACGCCGTCTACGTCTGGAAGGTTTCATGGAAGGTTTCAGTACGATTTCCCTTCGACTCAAAGAAATGTACCAGATGATCACAATGGGAGGAAACGCCGAACTGGAACTGGTGGACTCGCTAGATCCATTCTCCGAAGGAATCCTATTCAGTGTGATGCCACCGAAGAAGTCTTGGAAGAACATTTCAAACTTGAGCGGTGGTGAAAAGACATTAAGCAGTTTGGCACTTGTTTTTGCTTTGCACCACTACAAGCCAACACCCTTGTATGTGATGGACGAGATCGATGCTGCTCTTGATTTTAGAAATGTAAGTAGAATTCTCTGCCTTGTTGAATGTACTTTGCTGACATATCCAGGTTTCTATCGTAGCATCTTACATCAAGGAACGAACCAAAAACGCACAATTCATTGTTATCTCACTGCGGAACAACATGTTTGAACTCGCAAGTAGATTAGTTGGTGTATACAAGGTCAATCATATGACCAAGAGTGTGACGATAGAGAATAAGGATTACATTACGGGCCGAGCGTAGTGAGATGAAAGATCTCATAGCTGTGTTTTGTTATTGTTCTACAGGAGTTGGATAAACGTTGTAGACGTATTGGATGTATCACGATTATTAATGAGACTATTAATGAGATCATGCCTTTTGTTTTTCTACTCATGTTTAAGTTCATCGTGATACACGATTCTCTACAAAGCAATATACTGCCACCATCTACCTACGCTGCGGTTAATGAATTCTGAGCTATCTTGTGTTAACAATGTTGTATGCGATATCGGACATTGGAGTATACAACCTTAATCTACCTGTTATAGGTAAGTAGTTTAAGCGCACCGAGCTTGGCTAATATCAAGCTACATAACCGTCGGTGTATATAAGCACGTGACCACGTGAACATTTCCCCGTATAATTATAACTTTACAGCACACTTACCACGAAGTAGGCATTTGACAGTATCGCTGCTCATGCAGCTGCAAAGTACAAAAGACAAATTCTTTATGCATGTACTAGATTCAATACGGAGGGGAATAACCTAGGTTTCTCGGGCCTCAAAGCTTTATGCGGTACTTTGACTGTGCGGGTTGATTTTTCGGTAGATAGTTGTAAGTCTTATTACTTCTATTCGTGATTAGATGGGTGTACAGAGAGAGAAGGGTTCATTTGAGGATATGGTCTATGATCGTTATGAATCTGATTCTAATACGGGGTACTCGGGTAATTGTATTTCTCTAGAAACCCTCTGATAGGATGTTGTATACACACTCATTAAATATATACTTATATTATTGAAATGTTTATTTTATTATTATTTTTTATTTTTATAATATATTGTAAAGATATATCAAAGTTTGAATCTAATAATTCCAAAAAATTTACAAATTTCTTTTAATACAATATTTTTATAGATTTTTTAAATATTAAAATTAATCTTTTATAATCCACTACGAGGTAGGCGGTACGTAGGCTTTATTAAGTCTTGATCTAATTGGGAATAGCATACCCATCCACCCATCTATTCTTTTCCGATCCATATATACCCCGCGGGCAACTCATATGGAAAATCCAAGAAAGAAAACAAGTCAAAAGATTTTACGTCCGTAGAATTGCAATTCAAAGTCCGAAACTCAAATATCCTTGTATCTAGCCTAGCATCAGCGTAAAAATAATTGGAAATAATTGGGCCCATCCACGTGGAACAACCGTTAGAAGAATAAACCCGAGCTTTATTGGAGCAAAAACGAGATCATTCGACCTTTCCGTGCCTCCACATTCACTATATACGAGTATCCTGCGGGAGATTTATGGTTTGTAAGCTTGCCGCGCCGCTGAGTTCTCCGTTTCAATTATGCTTATAAAGTGTGACTTCATCCCTAGTTAAGTAGTGTTTCTTCATATTCATATTCATACTCATCCTTATCCTTATCCCCATCTTCATCTTCATCTTCATCTTAATCTTTGTGTCAATATGGGAAGTATTTTGAAAAAGCCCGAGTTCGTTTTAGTGCCGGGAGCATGGCATGGTCCAGAATGTGTAAGGTCTCCTACTTTTGACCCATCTAAGTTATATGTGTACTAGGACGCAGGAGCGTAATTGCTACTGCTCCCTTTGAGTTTTTCTAATCCTCAAGAAGCTCGTACACTCATTGCAAGTCTATTCAACGTTCTGTTCTGACAAGTTCCTCGCTCAAAGTTCAAACCCACTGCAGATATCCTCAAAGCAAAGGGCTATAAAGTTCATGGCATCAACCTCAAATCCGTGGGTGCATCTCCTCCTCTAGATGATTTTCAGCCAGATGTCGAAATAATTCGGTAATATCCCATCATATCTCCCATCTCACCTTCCCTCTCTCACTTTTCACCTAAGCCTAATACCAGCTCAGAAATAAAGTCGACTCCCTCCTCGCCACCTCCACCCCTGTAATCATGGTCTACCACTCCTACGGTGGAACCGTCGGTTCCGAAGCTTTGGCTAATTACCTCAACACCCTTCCCACCTCTACTAATCCCTCATGTCCCTCTTCTCCACCCGGCCTCATCCGCCGCCTTTTCTACATCGCATCATTCTGTCTCCCCAAGTCCACCTCCCTCAAAACTTTTCTCGGAGATGGTCCCGACTGGTACGTTTTCTCTCCCGATCACAAAACAGTAACCTGTTCAGCTCCATACGAAATTTTCTATAACGATATTGAGAAAATGGAAGCAAAGAAATATGTGGATGCGTTGAAGGAACATAGTCTAAATGTTTTTACTTCACCCGTGACAGCTGAGCCCTGGAGATTTATTCCGAGTACGTATGTGGTTTGTGAGGACGATAAGGCGATTCCTTTAAAAGCGCAGTTAGGATTAATTAAACAAGCGCAGGACATTGCTGCAGGAAGTAAGTGTTATTGTTTCTTTTGTATCTCTTTCCTCTTTGAATGAGTTTGGATTGTTTTTGCTGTAAAGAACAATCCGAGTCCTATATCATGAAAGAAGATATGATCTTGATTCTCTCCTCATTTCATGTTCAATCCAGAATTCCCAGAAGACTAACCACAAACCTACTTAGGTTTTGATACAATCGAACGTACAACCTCCGGTCACAGTCCTTTCATTAGCCAGCCGGAATGGTTAGCCGAGAAATTGATCAAAGCTGCAGAGACTTCTGTTTGATATATGCCATCTTCTGGAAACTCTTGTAATGAATGTGTAGGATTCGGAAGTATGAAAGGGGAAATGAATGATGATATAGTGTGAATATGTTACGAGCGGATGCATGTGAAATGTATTCGAATCATCAACAAAAGGTTGATCAGAAACAGGTTAATCTTACATGGTACGGCGCTAGGCCATATTGGGAAGGCAGGAATAACTCCGTGTACGGAGTAAGCTATTTCCTAATTCCTGATGGTTATGTTACCAGAGTCATGTTCTTCTTCTCTTATGTAAACTGGTGAACCTTACTCCGTACATAACCGAGTCTCTTTAAATACTATAGCTAACGACGTCGCATCCATAAACACAACTTCACTGCAGAAATAAAAACAAAACTATTTATGAAAAGAAACAGAAAGTTATTATTATATAGACGTATACTATCACGAACAATAGCATTCAATACTGCACTGGCACCGGCACCAAGACAACACAGCTCTTTTCCTTTGGACCAATCTAATATAACATACACATGTGCATTTGTACTCAAGTATACATTCACATCCACACTCAAAGTAGAAATCTTTCCAATCTAAATATATAGTACAGACACTGTGTCGCTAAAGTGGAATATTTGAAGATCGACATTGTTTTTCCTGTATCAGAATATGAGATGCTATCTAACCTTAGCTGACCTCAAATCCAACTCCCTTAAAGCAAACTATAGATAAAATAAGATTTACACCATCGATCACATTCGTATTATGCATTTCAAATCACCAGATCATACATAAGTCAGTCATATGATTCCTATGACCGATCCATCTACTCTTTCCTGGTCGTTCATGCCTTCCCCTTTCTCTTTATCATTCATAACCTCTCTCACTCCCCTTCTATCCCCCATTTCCTCCCCCTTACCATCCATTCCAAATCATATATGATTTATCTACTACTATACCCTCACAACCATCATATGCATAAGATTTACCTTGATCCTTGATCTCCCACCTACAAACTTGGGATTATACTTACTTACTTACTTACTTCCATACATCATTTATTGCTTCAATCACATACTATCTAGGTATCTAGGTATCTAGGTATCTAGGTATCTAGGTATCTAGGTATATAAACAGTGAGCATATAAGCACAGCACCGATTTCCTTAATTAAAAGATACTTAGAAGGGAGGCAAGAATTATATTTCCTATCCTAATATGCCATAATTACTTCCTATTATATTATACTATATTGCTAATAATTATCTGTTACTGTTCATCTACCTATTCACCCATCGATTTATTCATCACTCTACCCATCCACTATCCCCTCCAATCCCCCGCATTCCTCCAGATCCCTACCCCATCTCTCATCTCTCATCTCATCCCCGCCCTCCCCCTTTCCCCCTTTCCCCCTTTGCCATTTTCCCATAAATATCACTAAACAACCAATCAATAACACAATTATATCTAAACCACTCAAGACCAAACTAGATCAAGATATCCTACACCTGCCTACACTTCCAACGCTTGCTCTAAAATAAAAATCTTGATTCTTACTTCACTTGTCACTTCTCACCTCGAGATCATTCCTCCATCTGTTCACCCCTCCACTCAATCCACCCTCTCATCCCACCCGCCCTCATCCCAAACCCCCATCTATTCGATCTTCCAGCAACTCATCCAGCTTCTACGTACAACTACCCATCCCATCCAACTACCCATCACATCACATCCACAACTCACAACCAAAACATCAAAACACCAAGACACCAAGCAAGAACATCCATCCATCCATTCATTCATCCATCCAAGCATCTATTTGCTCCGCCCCTTTCCCCCCTCTAAATCTCCTATAAAACATCAAATACCAAATAAATATCAATCAATCAATCAATCAACCAAAAGAAAAACAAAAACACAGCACAAACATAAATATGAACATGGGCAAAGTACCACAAAAGGGCTGAACTTGATATAATCAATCAATCCACAGAATCGACCACTAAAAGAATAACAATACAAGATACAAACCACTGTTTCTTATCCACATCACACCAGCTTTTGTTTCTCTTCATCATTTCCTCGTTTATATAATACATTGTAATAAAATATAGTATAATATAATGCAATGCAATGTATGTATGTATATATCATGTATCAACAAATGTATCGATCGGTATCATCCAAGACCAGAAAGACATCTATCATGAGAAAATGCATCTTTAAAACGAAATTCTAAGCTCCAGTAACTTCACTCTCCTTCAAATCCCATTCTCCCTGTTGTAACATATGTAGAACCTCCTTTCCATCATCTGTCAAATCTGGTTTACCTAATGGTGTAACAGATCCTGTGAAAAATCTCGGTTGCCATTCCACCCCTTGATCCTGTCGCTCTTTAGCCTTCTCCCTCTGCCTTTCTTCTAATTCTTGTTTGATGGCTGTCGCTCGGGAAAATTGTCGAGAGTTAATGGCTTCTGTGACGCCCGACCAGAATTTGAGGGATTCATTGGGTAGCTGTTTCTCTGTTGGAGGAATAATCTTATGTGCTACTTGAAGTGGCATGAGATCTATTAGAAGAATTGGTTTGTCCTGGTAATTTTAAATTAGCACTTATCATCTGAATGCATAAAAAAAAACTTACGCCCTTTGGCCCCAAAGCGAAGTATAGCTTATCCTTCCAGTTTCCAGATATTCTTGCCAATACATCTTTATCAGGGACATCTCTTATCCTAGTTTTATTATCATTGTCCGGATCGTAGCGGAACACTACTCCCTCCACTTTATTTTGCGTCTTTCCTAACCACCCTTCTTCGACATAATGCAAAATTGTCTTGATCTTAGTCTGAGTGCAGGTTACGTAGCACTGGTCTCCCACGGTAACGCTCAAAGTTCCACGTAAAAGTCCCCCAAGGTGAGCTGCTGGATGTGTGAGTTGATACTGCTCATTGTCCCTCCTCTCAATATTAATGAAGATACCCAAATTGTGCTCCCCTGGTGTAACCTTGATACTCGTTCCAGTGAACTTCGCCGATAGTTGATCGAATCCTCTAGCCGAAATACCCTTCTCCGGACAATCGACATAAAATGCGGAGACTGGTGGATGATGCGAGGTTTGTTCCGTTAAGTAAGATACTCGAACTTTTTTGCCGGCGGGTTTTGGCTTAGGAATTGTAACGTTGGACGCATTTGTTGATGACATAGGAGTGTTCTTTTTCGAAGACGAAGCACTAGGGCTCAATTTGATCGTCTCTATAGCCGGTTGTGAGTCCTCGACCTCCCAATTACACTATTCAAAGATCAGTATTCTCCACTACCATCTTGCCATTTTAGATGCAACTGCTTACCCTGAAAAATTCCCCAAGGGTAGAATTATATGGTTTGCAAGGCTTTCCTTTGACATATTTTAAATCCTTCGTAAACCAAAATCTCAAGACTTCTAGCATTCTATCTAATGGATCGTCCGAGTCTCCTATTGCCACAAATGTATTCGGTTGATCGAGGTAGTTCCAGTACTCGAGATTGGGAGTCGGTTCTAATAGCTGGGCCGGCAAACTAAATCGAACGGAAGCAATATCTGCCACTCCAATGAACCTATGTAAAGAGAGAAAGCAATGTCAGTCATCTATCATCTGAGACCTATACGCCTCTGCGGCAGGCGTTGAAGTTGCTTCAGAGGCTGAAACCACAGTTCGTCGCATTGCCCCTTGTTGATAGCGGTGTGTTTTGCTTCCACATCTTCGAGGACAGATGGAAGAAGTAGAATGACTTACTTTCGCAAAATTCCCAAGAACATCTTAAGTTTCGAGCCATCATCTGGCGGTTTCTCCGCTGCGGCAGAGGCGGTAGGTAACGACTCGGGGGTAGTGGAAGGGGTCGTCGATGCAGCGGGCGAAGGGTTAAAAGCAGAGGATCCCGAGGATGCAGATGCCATATTTGACGATACAGACTAAAATGATAATCAAAGATCGTATATGTGGTATAACGAGCAACGGTTAAAGGGGAAAGTGGAAAGTTGAAGTGACTTCGAAATTTAAGTGTTCGAGGTTGGTTGGTTGTACAGTAATGTGGCCTATGATGCTGAGAGATCCTTGGTACAGTTCGTTCTGTAGTGACGTTTAGGGGCTGACGATAAGAAGCCGATAGGGTAAATTGAGATTGGAGAGTGCACCTGACGACTGGCTGATCGTGTAATTCAACTGCCAGACTACAAAACTGCAATTCGAAAATTATAAATCTCAGATCAAGTATCAAGAATTCATGATGTTAAAATATCATATTGATATGATTTTAAGATGTTTACCGTGCGAAGTTGAAACAAAATCATCGAAGATATTAAATTTAAGTTTGTTCCCGTACGCAATGACTTCCCGCTCGGTTATTTGCCTAGCTGATATACCATGAGATCTGAATATCACAATTTGATCCAGTCTATTATGAGATCTATTCGAATTTCAGTTGATTATGATTAAAATGTCTAGAGTGTCTTCAATATATCTACATAATCATTACTCCCATGTTCAGCTGCCTTGCTACCCAAATCTTCCCGAAGCACTATGATCTTTGCTGGCCTCCCCTCTCCTTGTCTGAGTATATCCAAACCACATCTACATATGTTAGATGCTATCGAGGAGATATCTATCTAGATTTTGGACTTCCTAGTATTAGAAAGTACAACAAATTTGTACCCATCTACTTGAAACCACCACTTATAATCACCGTCCATGATACCGACAAAAGCAAACTTTGTGGAATAGCTCTCCTGCGTTTCCTTTCCCCTAAGTTTGAATCACGCTACGACTTTACGGAAAATTTCAGTGATAAGACTGATATATTCAAGGTTCTCTGATCATATTGGCGTCTCTTCTTTGTAGTTGATGGAGGACCTTCCTAAAATGCCTTGGGCCGATATCAAGGAGAACCTACTTGCGGCTGAAGCAGTGAGCTCCGTATTCTTTAAACTTGGCTCGAGCATGTGCATTCAACTGAACTAAGGCACACTAGGCGAGCTGCAGATAGAACCCTTGACCTCCCAAGTCTGGCCCTCTTTGCGTCGTGGCCCTTACATAGGCTCTTCCGCCGGAAAGAAGGACTGATCCTATTACTAGTGAAAGGCCTTTTCCAACCTGTATAAAGAGAATAGATGACAGACAATGTAAAATACCTGGTTACTTACTGCCTTGTATTATTCTCAAATCCGTTGTAATCGGGGTCGTATTGCCTACTGACGGATCGTAATCGTAGCATGAAGTCGGCATCAAGCCGGTGTAGATACGTTGAAAGAAAGAAAAAAGATAAGGTTATAATATAATACGTCTCATGCCTAGTGATGGTGAAGAAAGGAGGAATGACTCCCGGGTATCAGACCGCGGTTCGAGAATGGGAGATTCCTGCTTCCATAACTTCTCCGATATATGTGATTCATCCGAAATTCAGTTCACCGAAGTGGACGAACCATCCTCAAAGATTCACAGTGTTTTGAAAGTTATTAGTTCTTATTGGGCAGAAGTCCACCTATAGGACCTCTTGGAAGAAGAAAAGCCAGTTGGCATAAAGTAATTTCAAAATAATTACCTACTACATTCATTTAGCTTCCAATCATCTACGGAGGCTCCGACTTGCAGGCGGTCTGGCCTCGATACGATGAGGACAAGCACATACAATTCAACAAATTGCATTCGAATATACGGATATCATCCTGTACAATATGAAGACATCCATCTCAGAAGCGTATAAACTTTCGATCAAAATAAGCGCGCGCTCTGAATGTCTGGACACAATCCTAATGAGTTCCGGCTGGACTAGACCCGGTGGCGGAACGGGCCTCCTAGTGACTACCTGGTAGAACAACCAAAAGGCGATAGAAACATTACATTTCCTCCAATCATACAAAACGAACCGTGTTTCCGTTTCAGACCTCCCGCAGAAACCAAAACCCAAACAGCTCCCGCAGAAAATCCCCACACCGGGGAGCCCGAGCACGTGTACGAAACCAATGTCTGACTTCAAGGGGAAGTGTTCTTTCCTATCCCGAGCCCCGACTCCCCAAGCATTTAAATTAGGCATCATACGATATAGAGGCTTGTCCGTGAGCAATGTGTGCAAATCATTCGATGAGCTTTCCTATGCAAACTTGTGCCAAGCACCAAAATTTGGTATGTAAACGCATGCAACCCAGCCAATTGTGCCGAAGTTCCGTCCGTGTACAGCGCTCGTACCTGCAGTGTTGCCGAATGACGACAGCGACGTTCACCATTCCCATTCTGTTTGAAACTCTGATTTTGAGTTCACTGCTTAGTAACGACTGAACCGTCGATGGTACATGCAAGATCCTACTTGATGGGCTAAGAAGGTTTGAAATAAAGTTCTACCGGGTCGATCACAATTGATGACAGATTAAAAAAACGTTGATAAGGGTCCCGGTAAGGCGGTAGGGCCACCATCCAGGTCTTACAACCAAAAAGCTGCCGGGTATTTGCAGCAGAATATTCGTCGAAGCATACATGATACAGCAGCATACATATCTGCAACTGGGAATCAAATTCACACGTATTGAGATGTTGCATTAGGTAAAGGCTTACTAGATTTGATCTCCACGCTTTGCTGATTTTAATAAATGGAAGAAACACGGCCAATAGAGTCCAAGACTTCCTGACTTCAAGCCTCAAGGGGAGTGATCGGCTAAAAGATGCAAGATCTTTGCCCAAAAAGAAGGAAAGAAAAAAAAGGAAGAAAAAGATCACAATTATACTGTACCACCCTTGTTCAAACCATTTTCCCAAAACTTTTTCTTGGGGGGAAGGGGTGGCTTGCAAAGGTTCTCCATCATACAAGCATCATTGACGTCATTTGTATGGGCTTCTGCTCGGAAAATTAAAAACTGTGCGGAACATCGGATGGGAAAATATGAAAATCCTGCCTCATTGAGGAATTTGAAGGCGGAGGTCAGTTAGTTGGACATGAATTAAAAATAAAAAGACACGCATATCAGATGGAAAAATGAAGAAAGCTTGGGTTCAGGTGGAATTCTTCACGGCACTGGTAGGATATCCATTTGGCTATATTATCACGCTGTGACGAGGATGATCCGATGGCCGATGGCTGATGATTACGAACGTTTTGAGTCGTGTATCGGTAACGGGCGATGCTATTTTCAACGTGGCAATTCAACTTTTGCTGATTTAGTTTGAACTTTGCAGCAAATGACAGCGGAACATTTTTTATCTGGCGAAGATATTCAAGACTCGACTATTCTACATGCCGAGATAAGTTCGAGTCTCCACCGCCATAGGGCAAGTATCTTTGAAATACCCTGGTAGCCATTAACGCGGCCTGTGGCTGAAACTTTTCTATCCACTGTCACCAGCGGTGTACCGTGATGGCTTCATGTGCATTGTTCTCGATCACTTGACACTTTGTCGACTAGATTCAGTCGGTATTGACACTGCTCCTAGAATGAACAACTCATTTCGCAGGAAGGGGATAATAAGATGGGGGCCGAAATCTTTTCGCGAAGGTTCCACGGCTCGGTTCTTTGGCGAGAGCTGCATCGAGATTTCCAAAGATGCCTTCGTGTTTTATACATTAATACACCTGTTGGTCGGGCAGCTCCGCGCTGCCATGCTGACCGTGTATATCTGAATGAGTTCGAATGCAAGACTATGTAGCCAGTAATCCGACATCATAAAATGGCAGAAACATTCTTCTTTATGGAGACTTCGAAAGATTGGACACTCGAGAAAGTATACCGAGGCAGCGAAAGTACCTCGTAAATAAGATCACCCATCAGATACATGTCTACGTAATTTAATCAAGCCGTGCTAGTGGAATCCATCACGTTGCCGTCTAATGTAGGCTAGATGCGAAGTCCATTCATGCGAATGCAGCTATCTGCCCTTACACGCGTTTTTGCGCTCGCCATGTAGGCCTGGCAACCAAGCTAAAGGCGCATGGAAATCGAGCTAGCGTTTAAACGGAGATGAAAAAACGTTAATTGACCATTTAAGACTTTGATAAGGGAACGGCGAACCTACGAGGAAGGAGAAAAAGTCAGGAAAGGCATCAAATGCAGCAAGGGAAGACGAAATATTGGAGGGTAATCATTGTGTGAGGGGTTGTGATATTCATTCTAGGCTCATAGGTGAAAGACGAGCCGCACAACTTTGGCATCCCACAGACCAAGGGGAAAGATGGGAAATCGGCTGCCCACCTTTTACGCCACAGTGGCTCGACGATGGCTTTAGTCTGCAGTTGTGTGGCTGTGTGTTCGAGAACGAAAGTTGGCATTACCGGCTGTTGTTTTCATTTCCGCTAACAATCGTTGTAGATGGATAAGAAGTAGCGAAATCCATTCAATTGCATCAGACTAGGCATTTGTCGATTGAGCTTTCAGATGTTTGGTCAGCCTATGAGAGCTCAAGGAGCCTCTATTCTAGGATGATCGAAACACCCGCCACTTCCCGTTAGACACCTAGCAGACAGTTGCTAGGGTAGTGCTGTATGCAGCGGAGTCTGGGCTCTGAAGCATACGAACGGATGGAGAAAAGATAAAATCGCGGCAGGTGACACGACACAATATGCAACATCTGTTAACAGCTTGGTGAGAATTCTTTAGAGTGGATGGCCAAGCCAGCAAAAGCTCGGTCGTCTGTTAACGCTTCTCCTATATCAGCATCAAACCTAATATCCATGGTGGAATCGCAAAGATGCAGACTTTGTAGTACCATTGGACTATATTTCCGAAGATCACACTATCGTCCAAGATCACGAAGCATGAAGCTTGCGCTTCATCTCCGGTGCGATAGGTTGACGGATCCGCCACAACGCCTCCACGGAGTAGTCTCCGTATAATTCCAAAACTTTCCCGCTGATCTACTGTGGCTTGTATGGCTCGCTAAAGAGTTCCTTTGTGTCATTCTTCTAGAGATCGTGGCTGTGGCTATGCAACGACGCAATGGAAGAGTTTGTGATCATCTGGAATAATTCAAACTGGAAAATGATTGGAACCGGTAGAATGGGCACAGAAAAACAGAAGAAAGAGTTGATGGCATTGTTTGTTCGGCGCCACAAATGGAAGACAAGGGAAGTAAAATTCCCCGCGCGGCCTAAAGTGGCACCCAAATATGGTATGCAACGCACTAAAAATCTAGAGCCCCTGGGGCCCGAACTTTCAATCCCCAATTTCTTGAGATTAAGGACCCGTTGGACTTGTCAATTTTATTAAGACGATGATTGGCAATAGATAGTATAGTTAGATACTCGGGAACCGTATCAGAAGAATAACAGCAATTTTACTGTTTGTATGGGATGAGAGTAAGCAACATAAGGGTTATGTGTGTCTAGGCAAAATAGATCTATCAACGGTTCCAGCAGCTCGTTAGGGTGAAAATCAAAGGGTGAAAAAGGGGGGATCCCCGAAAGTAGACATCTCTCCAGATTTCGATACATAGACGCTCTTTTCATGTGTAATGGATCGGAAAATATATAATTGCTCCGTTTGTTTGTAGCTTGTATGATATTTCGCGGAGATGAAGCAGAATCGAGTTTAGTCCTTGTTATCAATCGGGATTGAAAACGACGTCCCGTGAAATATTTCATGATCCATTATCCGTAATGGTCTTGATCTCAGCAGGCCTCAGCTCAGCAAGCATAAGCCAGTGTTACTTGACACTTCAGCATCCAGATTCCGGAGCGAGGGGAGCCAAAGAAGGAAAACATTTGCAATCCACTCGAGAAATGGATGAAGGACGAATCTTTCGCCACAATTTGAGATATGTCGCGAGTTTAGTGTTGATCATTTCTTTAATTGATTGAAATGGATTGAAATGGTTGTGGCTGATGCTGGGAATTTTCTGATGCCGCTTTGACACTGAGAATTAAGAATTTCTTGTTCTCTCCACGTCCGAGGTCTCATTAGGGTAAGACTTCCGTATGTAGGTAGAACTTTCTTTAGCCATCCCTCCATCCCTCCATGTCTCCCCCAGCAGTCCGTCCAGCCTGTCCAGGCAAGAATAAAATAATTTGCATATGAGGATCCCAGCAGGAAGAGGAGTGAGCAATTAAGGGATTGTCACTGGAAAAACGACAAGGAATAGCGGAAGTAGTTGTAGCAACACTAACTTTATGGGTCCACCGATGATGTTATCACGACAAATACACACATTCCATTCGTGGTACCTCTTACTTGGGTTTGCTTGGGTACGATGGATGCTTTTGTTGCTGCTTAGATGCTGCTTAGATGCTGCTTTGTTGCTGCTTTGGTTGGCATAGATGCATGACATGAGAATGATATCTTTGCCGTTATTTCCTATAGTCCAATAATAGCAAGTAGATCCCTAGACTGACGACCAGACTACCAGTAGGACTAACCGGGAGGACTAGTTTTAGCTTGAGATCCATTCGTGTAGAATTAGTAGAATTAGTAGAATTAGTAGAATTAGTAGAATTAGTAGACTCTGCTTAGCTAGCGTATTAGATTCATCCATATCGAGAAAATCTTAATATTTATCGGAGAGCGCCTAGATGGAGAAGTCACACGTTCCTCTCATTCACTGGTAAAGTGGTAAAGTGGTAAAGTAGATAAAGTAGATAAACTACCGAGTAAGTAGAGTACCTAGGTAGTCACTACCAAGTATTTCGCAATTAGTTCTAGCTGTTATTTTCGATTTTATATTCTCTACTTTATATTTTACCTCGCCTGCACTCTGGTCCATCCATACAAACAAACCTAAATTGATCCATGCGTGTATCTAGTAGACCTTTTTCCTACCAAAAGAGGGGATCACGGTCAAAAAGTAATCCTCAAGGAAGTTTCCGTCATCGCCAAATTCATATAATAACAAATCCATGAAAATCCATGAAACTATACTATCATGATCCCCTCCCCCCTGCCCTCCCCTAGTCTAACGCAGCTTTTCTCATTTTAAGATACACGCCTACATACGAAATATAAGCATCTACTATCCCTTCCGCACCCGCATCCTCGCCCGTCAGATATCATTTTTCGCTTTTCCATATTCATATTCATGAGTCTCTAGTTTCGGAAGTCACACCTGGATATCTAGATACCTAAATACCTAGGCATTAGGTGAATTCCCATCACGCTCGCTACTCGAACTCCCAGCAAATCCCATATGCTACCCCTCCACTTCTACTTCAGCTGAATTCACAATACAAACCACCCACGTATTAATCAAAGGGAAGTTTTACGGAGGAAACTCCTTTACTCACCAACCAAAACTTCTTTAACTGGGAGAGCTTGGAATAGCTCTTCTATCTACCTTCCAGATGTTTCGCAATCGGTAAGCTGAAAATTCTATCGTCTTGTTGTTGTCGTTGTTGTTGCTGTTTGGCTTCTGCGCATTACCTTGGGCTTAGGACAGAGAGCTCCATTTACTACTTACCAAAACAAAGCTCACCATCTTCCCTTTTACAGGACATCATCGCAAAGACCCGGTGATGAATTCATCGCCAACTTTCGACAAACGTTTCCAGAAGTTGCCATCACTGCAACCACCTCTGCTGGGAACAACAATACTCACTTAGTCGCGCTTGCGGGCGCGCCAGACAGGCAAGTTATCTCAAATTCTCGTCGCAATCATATGCATTTTGCATGGGCTTCAAAATTTCCTATCGTAAAAGCTGGAATGAATGCATGAATTTCTCCTGGTCTGTATTTCTTCGTGCACATGGGCTAACGCATTTACCAATTCAGACATCACAGCGTAGGAGGTGAAGAGATAAAAGATTTGGATCCAACACCCAGAGCGCAGCAAGAACCATGGCGATTCACACCTTCGCTTTTGGATCCCAATTACACTTTCACCTTTCCCAATGGAACACCAGTGCCGTTTTACACACCTACGCCGGGAGCGACTAATACTCTATATCATAATCAAGCTGGAGATCTTCACACACCTGGCATGGGTATGAGTATGGGACTTGGAACCCCTCTTTCACTCCCAACTTCTACAGATGCCCTCCATACTCATACTATAATGGACATGTCCCATTTTGGTCACCACTTGCCTCCACATTTTCAAAATTTTAACCCATTTGTACATCCCCATCATCAACAGCAAACCCAGCAACAGACCTCATTCGCGCCATCCTCCTTCGTCCATCAGGATACAGGTTACGAAACAATGGACCATGACGGATCTCCTATGGATGATGACGAAGGACCGCTTGGTTCAATGGAGCGGGCGATGCACCAATCTCCAATGCCGACTTTCCAGCCACAATCCTACGGCATGTCTATGTCTGGACCGAGCCCTCAAACTGCCGAGAAATTTCGTTTTCACGTCATTTTAAATGCTCCAACAGCCATGATTAAACAAGCCGATGAGATCCCGGTCACGTATCTCAACAAGGGGCAGGCATATTCCGTCTCCGTTATGGATACCGGATTGACTCAGCCACTTCAACCAGGAACTCGTTACCGGACATTCGTTCGTATCTCATTCGAAGACGAACAGCAGAGGCAGCGACCTGCTTCGTGCTGGCAGTTATGGAAAGAAGGAAGAGGTACCAATGAGGCACATCAACGCGGTGGAAAGCTTCAGGCTGTAGAATACGTTGAATCCACACAGCCTGGCGAGAGTGATGATAAACGTACTCGTGTGGAGCTTGACACGGCTTCTTTCGATGGGTTTTCTGTGATTTGGACCCCAGGTGCCAACTCTGCCCCCGAGTGCAACATCGCGGTTCGTTTCAACTTCCTTTCCACCGATTTCAGCCACTCGAAAGGTGTGAAGGGTATCCCAGTTCGATTTTGCGCGAAAACGCAAACGCTACCTTCTGGTTCTCCACACGTCAACGAGACCTCCGAGGTGGCCTTTTGCAAAGTTAAGCTGTTCAGAGATCATGGAGCTGAAAGAAAATTGGCCAACGATATTGCGCACGTTAGGAAGACCATTGACAAGCTAAAGCAGCAAATAAGTCAGGCAGAGACTGGTATGAAAGATTTTGGGAAGCGAAAGAGAGGCTCAACTACAAAGACACAATTGAGTGAACAGCGACCTGGTAAGGTCCAAAAGCATAAACGTACCTGGTCCATGTCTTCTGCATCTTCTGCAGGTGGACGGGTTCCTATGGAAGAGGATCTTCATTTTAAGCTTCGAGCGATGTCAGAAATGTTCTCAAGCCCGCGACCAAGTAGCGTCCTTTTCCTGCGTGGGTCGGAACAAGATGATCCCGATCTCCACCCAGTGGCTTTAGTTGGCGAACCGCTTGACTTGACTAAAGTGGATTCCCATGACAATGCCATTTGGGCGGCGAGAAGCAGCGCACACAGCTCGACAACTGGTACCTCTTCTATCATCTCCCCATCACCAAGTTCAATCTCATTACATTCTCAAGCTGCTGCGACTGTCTCTAACGCTTCAGCTTCTTGGACTGATTTTCATAACCCGCCATCGGGAGACTTTCAAAATCAAAACCCACAGCATTTGGCGAGTCCGCCAGATCAGCTAACCAAGGTTCCCAAGTCAGACGACGGTGGAAGCCTAAGTGGATGGATTGAGGCTTTGGGAGTTGATCCATCTTACAATCCGCCTGTAATCGAACAACCTGTCAAGCCTGTGGCTTGCTTTTATGTACTCCGCCGGGACACGGCTCAGCCAGGCAAACATGAGTACCATCGAGCTATATACTTGATGCAACGAACACTCAAAGATTTCATTAATGCCATCGCGTTGAAATGGAAAATTGAGCCTACAAAAATTATGCGGGCTCTCCGTGTACTTGACAGTGGTCTGCAGGTCGAAATGGACGATGATGTTGTACGAGAGCTTTCCGAAGGACAAGACTTCATCATAGAAATTCAGGCTTCTCAAGCACCCGTCAAACGTGAATGGGAAATGGATGTCACTGTAGACAATGACAATGCTGGAGCGACACAGAGCGTTGTCCAAAGCGAAGGATACGAATTGAGGTTATTTTTCTAATCAACTCACTTAATTTTCCTTTATCTATTGTTTTATTATACCCCCATAGACCAGGAAGGGGATGGTCGTGTAATTGTTATGGATCTGTAACGGTCTGGGATCGGGTTTTGGACTGGGCTTGAAGGGCGTCAATGTCGTTTTTTGAGATACCAATTTCTTCTATGAAATGTCTTTCTCGGCACCGCTCCCAAGACGTCCGTATTGAAGAGAGAAGCATTTACATCAGTGGGAGATGTTGAGGGACAGATTTGGCGTCTGGTCTCAGCTATATTGGGAAGTGGTAGATGGGGAGGGGGCATTTCAAGCTTTCTTGCATTTTTTCGCGTTTGTTTTTGTCGGAGTAAGCTTTCGGGCATCCTTTCCATTCATTCACGGCTCTAGCAGCCACGCGAACACAATATTTAATGCAATTGCATTTGTACATGGCACTTCACGATGCGGACGAACCATTTCCTTTCCATGAGGCTGGAGATTATTATTCAAAATGGTACACAGATGGGCCTCGATGGCAATGGTGAGGTCGGCGTACTTTGTTTAGGATCGCAGATATTTTTGATTTTGCAACCGCGATAGCAATGAAATACAAAACCATTAATCATTAATTCACTTCTTTCACGCTCTCTCACATGTTCAGGTGAAAAATCCAATACAAGATATTCATGACGTCAAAGCGCCTCAGATAGGGGATGGAATGCATGAATATCATAATACCCGAGTAAAAGAAGAACTATACTTTTCCTTGGCGAAATTCCAAACCAGATGCGCGGCCAAGAAATCTTTGCGGTACTAGGTAGGCAATTGTGTAATTATAATTGTGGATGTGGATGTAGATGTGGGAAACTAGCCTCTAGCCAGCGATATCATCAAACTAGTCTAGTCCACACTCTCCTATCTATACCTACTCAGGTAGTATGTTTAGTTTAGTTTGGTCTGATCTTAGTCTATATGAATGGATGGATGGATGGATGGATGCTAGTATAGTATAGTTAGCGGATAGGATGAAAGGGTTGTGTGAAGAGGATTGTCTTATTACAGGGGCGAAGCTACGAGTTTGAATTCCTGATTTTGTAGACTAGACTAGACTAGACTAGACTAGACTAGACTATACTAGACTGGTGGACCTGTAATTGTAAGTCTTATTTGGGTCGCGTTGGGCGTAATGATAATGAGGAGTTTTTCGGTTTGGTTTATGGTTTATGGTTTATGCTTTTGAAGGGGATGGGAAGGGGATTGATTGGATGGTGGGTGGATGCTGGATGGTGGGTGGATGCTGGATGGATGGGTGAATTATTGAGTTGGAGTTAAGTTGAGTTGAGTGGACTGGACTGGATTTGGGGTGGAGTGGATTTTACTAGAGTGATCTACATCGGGTACATACTTTAAAATAAGGTTATATGAGGAATTGATGTGTTAGACGTTGTGCTAGAGATGTGGAAAGGGATGGAAAGTGACGAAAGTGACGGAATAGAGAATTGATAGAAGAGATAGTATGAAGAATTGATAGTGGATGCTGTAGAAGCTAGAGATAGATGACATCGAAAGATCAGGCCACAGATCAGCAGCTAGATGTGGGTACAGTATACATTATACATGGGGTTTTATATCTGAGTATTGTGGTTAGTTTAAGATGGGTGAGCTATAGCTGGTAGTTAGTGGGTGGTAGTTAGTGGGTGGTAATTGGTGGGTGGTAGTTGGTGGGTGGTAGCTGGTGGGTGGTAGTTAGTGGATGGTAGTTAATGGGTGGTAGTTAGTGGGTGGTAGCTGGTAGCTGTAGCTATTTGATGCTGCAGCTCTGTAGCTTACCTTATCTTACCTTACCCAGGGTTCTAGGGATAGGGTAGGTAAGTAGGTGGCTAGCTACCCCTCTCCCCAAGCCCCACAGCCACCCCGTAGTTTTGTGTTTGTGCATGTGTGGATTTTGGCTCGGTGTGTTCTTGGCGGTGCGAGCTAAGCTGCTGGGTTAGGTATGTGTGTGTGTGTGTTTCGGCGGTAGAATTTCGGTGGTACATGCTAGAACTTTGAAGGGAAAAGGTAGATAAATGTTTGCACCACATATAACTTTATACATCCACCTTATTTACACATTTACATCTATATACATACATGCATGGAATGATATACATACACCGTACAAAAACACCACAGTTGGCACCAAGTAAAGCTATCGCGCTTGTTATACGTACTATACCTCATTAGAGCAATCTATCTCCTAAGTCATGAGAGTAAATCACTGAGCACTAACACGACCCTAAGACACACTAGAGTCTACATATTCTCCTCCGTGCCAAGGCCTCTTTAGGCATCCAGGCCGAATGCCGGTAGTCAAAAGGGGGCTAAGGATACTATGATGATGAAGTTTCTTCAATAGCTTTTCCCCACGGGCCAATTCTGAGGTACTCGGAATAGGAAATTTCGTGGGGTTTGCATACCCGGATGGTTCGAGCTAGGGAAGGAAAAGTGTAGAGATTTAGGTAATTGGGGTTGAAATAAAGTTTAATAGGTATTGGAAAGAAAGCCTATTGTTAAGGTTTGTACACTAATCTTTAGAGTGTGGGAAAATGTGCCAAGATGAGATGGAGATGGAGATGGATGAGGGTCGTCGTCATATGAGTGATTGACATGGTACATTTATATGCAGCTATCCATGGTATTGCATCACATATATATTTATATACATATGTGCAACGTAGATCATCTAATCCCATGAAATATAGCAAACAACCCAGCAGCCCAATTAGGTCCCCAAAACCGAAAAAATCGCCACCCTGCCACCCAAAGCTAACAACAACAACATTCACGCGCAGCACCTATGGCGTGTTATCCCTGAACAAAGGAGAAAAAAAAAGATGAAAGACCCTGAAAACCCAATGAAGAGAAAACTAATTGAATGACGGTTCTAGACGTTTTTAGACTTTTGCCGATCATGAAGACTTTTCAGCACTGTTTCTTCCACGGATCTCTTAACCGATAAGCCTCAGGTCAGCACAGGGAACATATCTCCCATGTCTAGCTTGTCTAACTACGCATAGCTGCTTGTGCCACCATCTCAATTATATCTTGTCCCTATCAGCACCGCTGTTTTTACAAAAACATCCCGAGATTTGCATGTGAGATCGCCGTGTGATGTGACGGGGACGTACATACTCCCTGCATAAGGCAGGGCTCGCTTGGGTACGCGGGTCTTGGACTGTGGCTAATACGACGATGAGGTTCTCGAATGCTTGGGAAATATTCATATGCTTGAAGGAAATCGTATAATGGGGCTGGAAAACTTCATAGGGGTTTTGTGTGTGTGTAAAGAGAGGGAGAAAAAGATCGGTGCCGATCATAGCCCCTATTGTACTTATCCGACCGAGACTTACTGCCGATCAGTGTCCGACCACTTTCTCAGTTCTCTATCTCTAGCACAATCATAATTTTCAAGCCACGATTCTTGTTCGCGCTATCGGTTGGTTTATAATGAGCCACATATGGCGGTTTCATGCAGAATAACTTCTGCACCTTCCCGTATGTGATTGTGGCTCAACTATCCGGCTGCCAGATACACTACTTGTGTAAATAAAGTCCATCTGACGTATTGTTCGTATTATTTATGGTATTGAGGTACTAGGCATCGCTGCCGCCAAAGGCTGGAGTGAGGCAAAGCCATCGAGGTATTAACCACGTGAGTAATATAGTAACCTAGAATGGATGGCAGGGTGCATTTTCTTTCCTATAATTATTTTCATCCCTTGCCATATGGCGGAGAGGGAAAGAAAAATTCATTTATGTTCGGATAGACTTCCTGATCATAATCACTGGATCGAGAGGATTCAACTTCGGTGGTATCCAGTATCTCATTTTGTCTCAAATCCGTGGAGAGTATCCACGAATTTTCATCACTTGACATGGCACTTGTCATTTATGTACTCAGCCGATGTTGAGAGTTCCCAGTAAAATGTCATGTTTAATAACCCTTATCATTAAATAACCAATAGACAATACCCCAATTCAACAATGCCCGCTAATTCTCATAACCTATCCAATCAAACTCCCAGCAATGCCGCTCCCAAAAGGCAATTCATGCGAGGACATTCCAATCTTAAAATGTAAATCGACTCCAAGTTCAAACTAATAACGGGATTCCGTCATACGCTCGTTCTACAGTTTTGCTACCTAGTCCCGGGATTGCTCTGAGCTGCTGTAATGTCTTAATCTGACCACCATCGTCCTCACTCTGTAGCTCTAGAAACTCAACCACGTCTCTAGCCTTCTTAGGACCTACACCACACAGGCTTCTGATCATTCCAACATCTCTAGAGTTGACAATATCTAATAGATGCCTTGTTCGAGGCGTTGGTGGATCCAGCGGACCAATAGATGCTTCATCGTTGAACACACGTAATTTGGTTGTCGATTTGGACTTCGACTTTTTTGACTTGGCGGCTTGACATGAAAAGCTATCCTCAACTTCGTAATGATCCTCTTGGTGTACGAAGGACGCATCATACTCTATATCTAGCTTTGAGCCCTTTCGTGACACAGGTCGTACTTCCTCTTCCTCTTCCTCTTGTTGAAACGAGCTGGCAGGCGTTGGCAGCTGTAAGAAGGAAGCAGTAGGTTTTCGCCTTTCTGTTTCTATAGGCTCGGAGTGTTTGACTGCTACACCAGCATTCTTTGCTTGGATTTTGGCTTTGAGATGCTCAATCTTATTCAGCAATTTCTCTTGCTTAGGGAAGAAAGGAAGTGCCATTCTAGAGAAAATTAGTTCAAGTTACTTGAGGCTTGCTGATAGGCTGGGTAATAACTTACTCATACATCTTCAGAGCACTACTTTCTTCACCGCGCTCTTTGTGTTGTCTCGCCATGAGCAGAAACCTGAGGCCTTCTGATCTCGCGTCTTCCGCCGAGTTTTCATCAACTTTCTTTTCTAATGCCTCAAGCCTTTTCTGAACAGCTTCACTAATCTCAATAGGTGAATTCGATGTCCGTTCCAAGGCACGGTTAGCGAGGATTTCCGAGACTTTACGCTCAACCATTTCCTCAATCTTAGCCGCAGAGATATCAGCTGTGGCCGACTTATACCCAAAAGGTGTAGGCCTTGTGGCTTTGGTAACTCGTGAACCGATAACTCCATCAGATGGCCTTTTCCTATTCGAGTTCGATTTTCGGAGTGTTTGACTGTTGTTCAATGGCCGCGCTGTAGTTGCTTTACTTTTATCTGTGTACACAGAGAAAGCTTTTGCGGGCTTATCGGCCTTTTGTGCTGGGTTGGCTACAGCATTATGTGAATTCGTAATAGGTCTCAATGGCTGTCGTTGCATACTAGTTCCAGCTACTTTTCTGGGTGGTTGAGTGAATACGACTTCATTCTCAATTTCCCTAACCTCTATTCTTTTTGCTCTTGAACTTACATTCAGAGAAGACAAAGTATCTAAATGGTAAGATCGTAAGGGTGCAAGGTTCAAGATCATTATAGTGATACCATTGTTTTGGCCCAAACTGAGGATTCGTGTCATTTTAGATTCTCGATATGGAATTCTCTTGTCACCTCTACCAATGGCATCAATACACTGACTGAGCACGAACAAACTTTTGTTGATGCTTGCAGATTCAATCAATCTCTCCTTGCCATTGTCTGTTCTCCGGTTGTCCTCTGATCCCGCTAAATCAATTGCGGATGCGGTACTGATTAAAGACGCATCACCAGTGGTTTGTGTTACCTTGACCATCAATATGGCATGGCTTCGACTACTTTGCGCATTGAGTTTGGTTCCTGCTGTGCTCCGATTGTTGTTGGCTTCTATGTATAACTTTTCGAAATCCTTCAGGTCATTGCAGGACCTTTCCGACAGCCCAACTACTATTGTTTTCCCGTCCTTTTCTCGAAGAGGCAGTCCCGCAAGAGATCGTTTATCAGGAGATTCGAATAAGTCGAAAACTTTATCGTTGTATATTTCGTAATAAGACAATGTAACAGTGACAGAGGTTTCTTCGCCAGAATCCTTAGCAACTTTACGACCACGACGATAGATTCCACTCAATAATCGAGGAATAATTCCACGGTCTGCCAACTTCGTTCCACCGCGCATTGTATGTGTTTTCCCCGTCCCAGTAACTCCATATGCAAACAGTGTAACATCAAGTCCTTGGAACAATGATTTTAGCGTAGGGGCAACCTCATTTGTAAACAGCTCCTCCTGTGAAGTTCCCATATCGTAGACGCCATTGAAGGTAAAACTGAACTCCTCTGATTCATTTTTGGGGCTCGGTATCCGGACTACATTGAAAGTTTTGCTGTCCTGACTGCTCTCGGCGCGCACGATGATATCTTTGTCTAACTCCTTTGGAAGAAGAGGACGTATCCTTGCAACAACTTGTTTGAAAATAGGTAAGCTTGAGAGAAATTGACTTGTTATGTGGGAAAATACTGACCTCTTACAGACATAATCACTATGCAAGGAAGCAAAGAATAAATATCAACACAACAGAGCAAAGGAAAAAATAGAATGAGTGATTATATGAAATGAAATCAGAAAATCAAAGAACCGTATTAAAAAATCAGATCCTTCGCCCACTCCCTTGAAAAGTATCTTGTACCAATATTCAGGTGTTGATGTATCTTAAAATCATGTCAAAGTTTTGATGAATGTTGGAGCTCTGTCCGCAAAAACACTAAACATTACTGTTGCCCCAGCAACGCAATGTGTAGCTAGCAAACAATCTGCCACAAGTGACGAAACCTGAGACTATATAATGAGTACTACCCCCCGGAGCTGAAGGCAAAATCGGCATATTCGTATTTGCCCATTTAATTAGGTGAGCAAACGAAAGTTTTATCAGAGCTAGTCAGCATATCACACATACATACATCGATATCTCATGGCCGAATGGTGTGGATGCCCCCCTCGGTTAAGCTACATGGATACCAAAGCTGCCTATGTACCTAGATATTATAGATAGAAGATACTTGTTCGATTCAGGTGAGTTACGTATTAAGGTATGTGTACAAGAGCTCTAGAGCTAAGAAGCACTTGGGGTCAAGGGGATACGATGCCATATATACTACTTGGATTGCAGAACACCAAATGGGAATTCTTGCTCAATTTTTCCAGCATAGCGACATACTATCAATCAGTCTAATTTCCCAAGCTTTTCCAACGCCACCGGATTCAAATCTGTGATTACTTCCTGTAACTGGCCATTGCTCAACAATACTACAACATCTCTTCCTGCCTCTGTGTGCTTTGCCAGTACATCAATTCTATGAGCTACACATATGACCGTATGTCCCTTTCGAGTAAACTCGTCGTCAATAATATCGTATATGGTTAACTCTGTAACAGGATCAAGGGAGGAAGTGACTTCATCTAACAGAACAACAGGCTTTCGACCAGAACGCTGAGCCGTCTGAGCCTTGACGAGCGCCCGGCACAGTGCAAGTAGCTGACCTTGTCCTACGGATAGCTCCGAAAAAAGTAAAAGAGTTTTATCCAGAATTGGATGTTGATTGTACGGCGAGATGTCAATAGCAAACTCTGATTCTGCTCCCAAGATTTCGTCCAATTCAGCTGCCTCTTGCATGAAGTGTGACCAGAGATCCGCTCTTTTCAGAGAAGCAATCAAAGCTTCGTTTGATGATACGGCATCTGGATCTAGATTAAAGCGTAAAGTCTCATTGGACAGAAGCAGAGGATCTTGTGACACGGTAATGAAGCATCGCTGCCGGAGAACATCAAGCCCAACACTCCTGATGTCAACTCCGTCTAGCACAATCTGGCCAGATTGTAACTCAAGAAGCCGGAGGAGCGTCAAGAGCAAGGTACTTTTGCCACTGTTTGAAAGTTAGCCTTCCAAAAAGATCAATGGAGCGTGGAATGCTGACCTGCCTGTACGTCCACAGACGATGATTTTCTGTCCTGATGTGATGTTCAAATTCAGGTTTCGTAGAGCCACTGAGTTGGACCTAAGTATTGATTGTTGTTAGCCAGCAGCAATAAGAACTTCGCCGAGGTTACATACAGGTAAGATGCGGTGATATTCTTGATTTCAATATCACCATGAGAGGGCCATGAACCCGTGGGCTCCAAGTTCCAGGCTATAACACCCTCAGATGGTGTCATCTTTTCAAGTGTTCTCAGGCGAGCAATCGCTCCAAGAGAGACTTCTAGTGTTGTCCAACTTTCTACGAGCTTCAGCAAGGTTGTGTTTGCAACGAGCATAATATTGAGCGCAATTCCAACTTGTGCGCCGCTAACACGGCCTCGAAATGCTACAGCTATAGCGATAACTAAGGTTGCAACAGACGCCGCTAATAGGTCTAGGACAATGTTAAGCCATCTTTGAAGGCACATGAGGAGAAATTCAGGACGTTGGGCATTGTCCACACTTATTATGTTATCCTTTACAACCGCATTAGACCAACCAAATGAGCGTATCGTCTCGAGGCCCTCAACCTGGTACTGTCAGATGAAGTAGATTGATTAGTCACATAGTTCTATACGTACGGATTCTAAAAAGCTCAAGAAGACTCCTGCCCGAGCCTCTAGCTCTAGAAATCGAAGTTGTCTAGAGGTGCGAAGATAAACTTTCTGGACGACATAGACTACAGCCATGCATGCTGGTAGAGACACGGTGAGCCATTTCTGGGCAACGAAAAGAAGTATGACCTGCATAGAGAGCTTGAAAATTTCTACGTGTGTTAGGATCTTTGAGTTTGTTCGGCAACACGAAACTCGGAAAACTGTCTTACGAGTTACAACGGTCTGAAGGGCCAATGGCAATTGCTTGTCAACTAGCTGAATATCTTGACCAAATCTAGAGTTTTCTTTTAGTTCTGTCGAAACATCTGTATGTAGGTTTGCTAACCTATTTAGGATCGAACCATTATCGGTTCGCGAAAAATATGATAAAGGTGCGCTAATAATCATCAGTATCTTCTGAATGATGTTATTGTTTTTCGTTAGCAAAAAAACTTACCTCGTTACAATATGTAGAAGCCTTTCGTGCAGGCGTGACCCAGATCGTGGCGCTAATCGTATAAGGATAACCCTAGAAGGTGTTCAACGACAATGAAAACATGGAAGTTTACGAGAAACCTACCACATCTGGAGACTTGTTGCTAGCCATGATATGAATGACAGGAATAGAAATCCAAATGCGTAAAGGGAAGTGTTCTCACCGCTCGAGTCAGTCCATAGCTGTAAGTAGTATTGGAGTATAGTGATGAAGAAGGCATATGACGCTGTGCAAGAGACTAGGAGAAAAAAGTTCTTCGGCCCGACAAATTTCAGATAGTATCCTATGCTCAAATGAATTTACATTCTCAACTTTGGGAAACGGGGAAGGGGTTACCGTGTAGAGCTGAATCTCCACTCTGTCTTGCAAGATCAATTTCAGCTTCGTCTTTTGCTCGCACCTGGGAGCTGAGTTTATCAAAAGCTGCCGACACTGCCAAATTATCTTTGGTGCGGTTCTCAGAGGAGAATTTTGCTATAGATCCGGTTTTAAATTTGATGGTTTGCCAGTTCCCCTGATCTATAATCCCATGATCCCCAAGAACAACAACGTGATCTGCTGATTGGAAGTATTGAGCTATTTCACGGTAAGACATTGCTTTGAAGAAAAGGCAAGGAAACTTACAAGAGTTAGAGACAAGAACAACAGTCGTTTTCAACCTGCGTAGTAGACCGGTCGATCCGAACAGATTATTGAAGATAGTTTGCTCGGTATCACCATCCAATCCGCTGAAAGTGTCATCCAGCAGAAGTATGTCGGATCTTGCGAACAACGCGCGTGCCAGTGCCTAATCATGTTATTTTAAATAGATCTATACATTGCCGCATTCAAGTCCTTACCACACGCTGTCTCTGGCCTCCGGACAAATTCAGCCCCCTGCTGCCAATCTCCGTCTGATCTCCCTCAGGCAGGGAGTCGAAATCATGGGCGAGACAGCAAATTTTCGTAATGGTATTGTACCATGTTTCATGGTCTCGTATTGAGGGCCCGTAGATATCATTAGCACCATAAATAGCCTCTTTGATAGTGCCGCTGGGTAGCCAAGGCCTCTGGGCACAGTATGCTATCTTTCTCGTTGTTAGAGCAATAGATCCACCAGCAAGAACTACTTCTCCAATTATAGTACGCAATAAAGTTGTTTTACCGCTGCCGGTAGGGCCTGAAATTATGATGAATGACTCGCCATGCATTTGAATGTTTATATCATCAAGGATTATCTGTTTATGACCGATTTTCAATTTACGGATTTGAACAGCGAGGCTGGGCTTGTTAGATGCAACATCACTCCGACCAGGTCTGGGTAGTATGCTACGACTGTCTTGTAAAGATGGTCGGAGCACGAATGATTGGATTCTTTCAAACCCAGCGAAAGCTGCTACTGCGCGAGGCACAATAGTCATGACCATGTTTGCTGGATGGGTGACCATACTTAAAATCGCCATAGTAGTGAATGCAGTTTCTGTATCAAGATTGGCACCATGAGCTTGTGATATCAAAGCAAAAATAGCTAGTGTGATGGCTGGCGAGAATATCCCGAGTGCATTAGCTATATCAGTGTCAGTTTAAGGACGCAATGTCGAATTTACATATTGTCATGAACGAACCAGACGCATTATAGTATACCATAACCCATCTAAGTTTCGACGCTACCCAGAGCTCCTCTTTCCGTAACTCCCGTACTTGATTGGTAAGGACGTGCTGTAACCCGATCATTTTGACGACCTTCATAGAACCTATAAGGGAACTAACAGATGCGATACGACTTTGTGTTGCGGCGTTCCAAGCCTTTTGGCGAGGTTGTAAATGCTTTGCAACAAATCGACTCATGTGTGAACATACTACACAACTGAGTATCTATCTAGAGCACCAAGGTGGAATGCTTACTGTATATCAGAAAAAGCGGAAGAGGCCAAATCCAGCCAACTTGCGTAGCCAGAAGACTTATACCTATAAGAACCTCAATGACCTGAGCCCATGTCTCGTGAAACATTTCGGCAATTGCATCGAGACTTTCTGCATCATTACTCATGAGTGAAGTAGCATCGCCGTTGTCGTAGGATATACGGGGCGATTTCATGGTCTTCTCATGAATCAATCCCACAAGCGCACTTCTTGTCATAAGCTTTAGCCTGTTTATGAAATGTTGATACATAGCTGTTGATAGCTAGAATTGAATATTAGCATCTTAGAAGGGCCAGCGAAATATCTCCTTACAGCGAGGCCGACATAGATTATGAAGGCAGACACGATAAGCCAAAATCCATGACTGCTTTCCTCGCCCTTAGGATGTGTCACAATGTATCTGATCGACTCATTGATTAAGATAGGTTGAGAATAACGAAAAGAGATCAAGAGCAGTCGAGGCATAATGGCAGCGAGAAAAGGGGTTTTCAGACATTTGATCAAAGCGATAGGTAAACTCTTCTTACTTTCAGGCTTAGCTAAACTTGTTAATGACAAGGGGAAAAGACATTTTCTAACACACTAACCTCGTTGAGACCATATTCGAAGCATTGTTTTTCTTGTGAGTTCCGGCCTCATATTTTGACTTAGACATGGTAGATCTTGGTCGGTGAGGATATTCTTGAACCCCCGAATAAGAACTGAGTTGATCCATATAAAGAAGATTCTATTGAAAAGACCATAGATTTCATCAGGGGACCTATGCTGCCTAATGGCATTGAATGATGGTAACGTTTGCCGCATAACTCGAGTGTCAAAAGTCACAAGTGATCGCAACAATGTAGAAGAGACGGACTTGAGGTATTCCTTGTGGTTTTGCAAGATATAGCGAGAGAGATTGTGCTGTAGAGTATAGAGCCAGGACGTTATCGCATCGCTGATCTTAAGCTCTATAAACAGATCCCCCAGAAGTAGAAGCAGACTTGAGCAAAGGATAGCAATATAGAAGTCGCTAGTGAGATTAAAAAAAATAGGGTTTATGCTGATTCTTCCGGCTTGGAAGGGTTGTTTGGAGCAAGATAAAAACAAAATAAATACCCCAAGTGACTACAACTTTGACTCGTATCAGCTATATCTTTGAAATGACGGGAAGGGGGGAGGTTGACAGCTTGAACGGTTCTTGCTCGCTGGGAGTGCTCTCAAGCGTGAGTCAATAGGTCCCGAATTCTAACGGGGGTTCAGAATCAATAGTAGAATTCCGGCACCAGATCTTATACACACCGAAAATATGCGCGGACCGTAGCGAAGTTGTTATGGTTGGCACTGCCTGCTTTGGAGACGACTGCTCGTGGCTAAAAGCTGCAACGGTCGGTTCAAATCTTACAGGTTCAGATCCCCATGTCATAAGCAAGGAAGCTGATAACATCGCAAGGCCTGACTCAGCGTTCTTCTTGCAGTAATATAGAAAAGCACTAGCATATCATATCACCACAATTATTTTTGTGTTCTTTTTACCACTAGGTATAAATCAAGATTTCCATTTTTTTCATGATACAATTCTTCTAAAAGATGTGTGGAATCATTTATAATTTTACCTGAGGGGATTGTATGGAATAGAAATAGGTAAGATGATTTGACAGGCCCTTGCCATTTCTCCGCCAGTGCCCCGCTAAAATATTTTTCTCACGAGCTTTTCACGTGCGATAACCCTACTCCGGACCATCGTTCAGATCTCTGTACTTTTTGGTTTACAATAAATTAGAGCATAGAGTTACTGTGTCTTTAGATATGGATCCCAAAATGCCCAAAGCCGCGAAACCTAAGCGTCGTAAGAAGAGCCAGTCTAGAACGGAAGGTATGTGTATCCCCATGTTTTGAATCAACTTCTAGATACTAATATCTCAATAGTAACATCCATATCCGACAGTGAGAGTGACATTGCTACTAAATCTCAATCCTCCAAGCCAAAAGTTCAACCAGCAGCCACCAAATTAGTCTCTCAAACCATACCAACTCCGACAATCAAAACTCCATTTGTAACTTACCCCAACGCTTCCCCGTTATCTTCTTGCTTCTAGCCTTATTAACATATCCCAGAAACCAAATCTGGTGAAAGATTCAGCTCTTGTCGAGAAATTCACGTCGCATTATCTTCAACGCGCTACTATCGAGTTCTCCGAGGATTTAGATAAGATCCGTGAAGCGGATGATTTTAATGAGAATGCGTTGCAGATATTGGTGCATGCATTGAAGCAGGGAACGGAAGTTTGGGGCGAGGAGGAGATGAGAAGGGTTGTTGGGTAGGGTGTGAGTGCGCGTTTTGAGAGGGGAGTGGTGACTGGGGAAGAAAGGAGGACGAGCGGGATAGGACGATGACGGCGTCTCTGATCCGGGACGGACAGGAAGACGGGCACGAGCACTTTCTTGAAAGACTTCTACGATTCTGATAATGAAAGCAGCGGGATTAAGGCTGTAATTGTAATGGTCGTGGAGTCTGCAAAGAGTAGACACTTCGAAGAACTCGAAGTAAACGCATGAAATGAGAGTAGCTACAGCCTGTATGGGAGTTCAAGACTGTGTACTAGAGACGCGCGACTCCATATATTTTGCTGGATAAGCAAATTTGCCTGGTCTGGTGGTCACACTATCTGTGGTAAGAGGAAATCACTTGCATGGACTTTATCAATGGCGTACGGTTTTAAAATGGAAGCCAAAAGCACTGTAATATTGGTTCAAACGGAGGGTGTACAAATTCAGTAGAGGATATTACATATCATGCATGATCACATCCTCACTGGCAGTCAATCATTCATGATTCATCAAAAATAAACTATAGTGGCAACCAACTCAAGAACTCGAGAGTGTGAACCTCTAACATGATTCCAGACAATTATCTCTGGTCCACGTCCCAAAACCCCAAAAATCACCAACACGAACCCGCAAATAAAACCTCAAGACCGTTCTTATTCCCAGTAATTCTTTACACTTCCGCGCTAAAACCCGTTGATGGAAAAAAATAATTTCACAAGTCGTGCAACAAAAGTTAAGATGTGTATATCACGTGATATTACAATGGAAGCAATTATTGTGAAAGCCTTACCTCGCACTTATGGAACGTCCAAGTCCCCGAGGCGCTTTGTCATTCCCTGATGCTTAGTGGAACATCTTGTAGTCAGTAATTTCGCCTCATCTGTGTACAAAAAGCTTGAGATTCTCAAAGGCAGTCCTTCAAGTTCAAGTGGTACTAGGTGACTATTCTCGCCTCATATAGGATATGAGTGATTCAAAAATGGCGAATGGAGGATGGGATATGAATAAAAGCCGAGGCACATAAAAAGAGAAGCACCAAATCTAATGGACATGCAGAATTGGAATTAGGTATAATCGATGGTAGAATAGCATGTACCAAGCCAACAACAACGGTCGCGCTCTTCCAGAGGAAGGCTATAATAACAAATAGGATCACTTTCACTCATGTCCAAGGTCTAGGCCAAATTTCTCCACGCATTCGCAGCAACCCAAATTCAAGTTTCATTACATAGTCTTCAAGAGAACGGTCATGTTTGCTTTAGATTCCGCGTAGCATTGAGTAATATTTGGAATACATCATAGCTTGCAAGAAACTATCCCCTTCACATCCGTCTATCGGTTGTAGATCATTTATTTGTTGGCATCATCGAAAATGTAGGTGAGGTGGCAACGTCCACAGTATTGACGGTCGTGCATGGCAGCCATGAAAACACCGGCACCACACTGAAAGGAAAGTTAGAACCATTTAAAACCCAGAATTCGTCAACGAATAACTTACGTCTGGGGTTGGGCACTCTCTGCGGAGACGCTCGATCTTTCCGTCACCATCAACCTTGTAGTACTTCAATACAGCGAGCTTGGTCTTCTTGCGCTTGTGCTTGATCTTCTTTGGGGTACTGTAGACCTTCTTCTTGCGCTTCTTACCACCACCACGGAGACGTAACACCAAGTGAAGAGTGGACTCCTTTTGGATGTTATAGTCGGAAAGGGTGCGGCCATCCTCAAGTTGCTTTCCGGCGAAGATCAATCGCTGTTGGTCAGGTGGGATTCCCTCCTTGTCTTGGATCTTGGCCTTGACATTGTCGATGGTGTCCGAAGACTCAACCTCGAGGGTGATAGTTTTGCCCGTAAGGGTCTTGACGAAGATCTGCATGACTGCCTTTGAGGATATATTAGAATTTGATCATATTCGATAATGCGATTTGGCATTGAGAATAAAAAAACATACCTGGACAATTATTTAGATTGTCTTCCTAAGTGGTCGTGCTGAGTTCAAAAGAAAAAAGTTCAAGATAATTGATAGGGAATTTCGAAATTCTGGTTGTGCGCTAAAATCCGCTAGATTGACGCTAGGTCTCGCTTACCAGATCACACAACTCAATATTGAAAGATGATGTTGACTTGAGAGATTTCAAACCTACGAACGACAATCGCCAATCCAACAACCAAAGATTTGAATAACTCGCCAATTCAGTAAGTTCAGAGATACCATCGATTTGTTTTGTAGAGAAAAATCTAATAATTTATTTTAGAATCCGCAAAAATGGTCAAGAAGCGCGCGTCCAAGTACGAACTCCAACTCCATCCATAATTCCATTCAACTCGAACTTTTCGGAAAATGATGCAATTATCATCATTGACGAAGAGGTTATACTTGATGAATTTGGGAGGCTGATTCATATTTTAGTGGACGTAACAAGAAGGGTCGTGGTCACGTCAAGCCCATCAGATGCTCCAACTGCTCTCGATGCACCCCTAAGGACAAGGCGATAAAGAGATTTACCATCCGTAACATGGTTGAGTCTGCTGCCATTCGTATGTTTTCATTATTTCCGACACCTCCAGCAACTCCGAAATAGAGATGGATCGCAATGGGATCTGGCAAATGGATATTTTGGACTTTGCGAAATCGGCGCTAATACGCTTTTATTACAGGTGATATCTCAGAGGCATCTGTCTTCTCTGAGTACACAGTTCCCAAGATGTACCTCAAATTGCAATACTGCGTCTCTTGTGCCATTCACGGCAAGATTGTCCGGTATGTCCATGCTATGAGATGAATCCTTGGTCGAACTGCCAGTAAGTTAGACCCTTTAAGAACATTTGGGCTGATTCTCTTTTTTACAGAGTCCGATCCCGTGTTGGAAGACGCAACCGTGCCCCACCTCCCCGTGTTAGATACAACAAGGACGGAAAGAAGGTCAACCCAAACCAAGCCGCTGCTAAGGCTTAGAGTGCTTTTGGTTGGGAATGGGGAGTTATTGACTGGTTTTTCGGGATGCATTTCGTCATAGCCAGATCCTAATGCAAAAGCATTGCTTAGACAAATATGACCTCATTGACTGATGATTGAAATCTTTGATTCGGCTCTCAAACTTTCAAATTTGTGTGATGTTTTCGCAGCTGTTTTGATCCGGGTTCTGGCGCGTAGTACATATTTCGAAGTGCGCTTTATTTTCACTACATTTGGCTGATTGGTTGCGCACTTGTAACTTGGCCAAGTCCACCTCTACGTTAAAATCGCAACCAACATCTATACATTTCCAAAGCACCATATTCTCCAGGCTATAAAATACCATCTCCTTTCTTCAGTAACTCATCATTTGCTTTGTTGCCCAATAAATAAACGCCAGTGACTACATGTCTAGTCTGATGGAGCTACATCTGATTATGAATTCCCTCCCGCCAATATTCATACTCCATAACTTTCTTGCACCTATTTCGCTTTCCACATCTCAAGGTCACCAGCATCATAGCAATTAGTCCTTGCCAACACACCCTCATCTGTCTGAACAATGAATTAATCTCTTACTACATTTACAATCTCCCCTTGCTCAACACCTCACCCATCTCCACACAATCCCATGTTCATTCATACCTGTACGCTATCACAATTACGTCGGAACCAAAAACTTATCGTCTAAAACCTCAATGTAAGCTCTATACCAAAAGCAAACATCTCGGTGCTCAACATCCAACATTTACAGGCTCATATGCCCATCACTCAGAGAACATTAATTGTAGAATAGGTTCAAACTCTGCTACTCCAAATGTTTACGAGGGTTTATGGTATCATTGATGAATGAGAAGATAGACCTTTGTGATACGACCTGTCGAAGAAGAAGCAAAAGAAGAAATTGCTCCTGCGAGAAGGAGATTCTAGATTCTACTAGCAGACGCAGGAGAAGCGGATGTAGGTCAAGAGAAACTGCGGGGAAGAAAAGAAAAATTAGGGAATTGGATATGCTGTTCTGGTATCATGAAATGAGGATTATTGGCATGGTTTTTCAAGGCTGTGGTGTTGATTTCTTGAATACTACCATGCATAAAGATGATTACAGTTTGAGAGAAAATTTTGTTTCAAATAGAGCTTGTTTATAATTTATAATTATACAATTTTAGTTCAATCGTCCGCTTGAATAAGAACAGCGAAATATGTTAATGATAATTATATACATATCAAAGAAGAATATACATAGAATTTAAACTTTTAACAACCGAAGTAATGATGTGAACCGATAGTCATGTCATAAATTATATTCTATCCACATTCCCATCCCTTACTCTATTCGTTTGCCTCTACTCTTCGCAGGATGATCTGTCTCGCCGTAGGGTTATCTAACATCTTCATATGCAACTTAGCAAGAACCTCCTCGCATTCCTCCCTACCAGCATATATTTTCTCCGCTGCTTCAGAAAGAGACAACGCTTCCGAATCTGATACCTCTATGGGTAGATTTAGCAAAGCAATACCTTCCATAAGCCGTGGCATCATGAATACCGTGTTCTCTAGCGGTATATATGCGCCAATGATGCTTTGGATTCCTTTCAGGTCCTGGGCAAAGCGAGCTGCGCCTAATGTTGTGAAATCCTGTTTGAAGAGGACTTCGTTGAATAGCAAGTCTTCGAGAGCTGAGATTGCATGGCGCCAAATTCGCACAAATGCAGGATAAGAAATGGTTTTCTCCAGATAGGCCATTTTCTCTTTCATTACCTAACGAGGATGTTAATGCTGGTGCAGTTTGCGAGACAGGAACGCACTCACCTGAAGAGGTTGATCAAGCTCGGCTGAAATCGTCAAAGACGACGTATAATGTGCAACTAAACCTAATTAGTAAAATGCTTGTAGGATAAATGAAGGCTTACTTACTAGATTGAGAATCTTGACCAACTGTAGTCCATTGCGCTTGAGTAAAATAGGCTCTAAAATCGGCTGGAATTGGATATTTAATCGCTCGTTGCAGAAGGTCTCCCGCGTTGCTCCTTATCTTCTTGAAGCCGTGGATCGCTGTATCAAAAATTGTTCCCTCACCCGTGCCTAGCTTAAGAGAAGTAGATAACTGAAGTTGCGAACATGTGATAGGGCCAGCGATAGCGCTTTCAGGATGTACGTTTCGTGCCCTATCATCCAACTGAAAATATAATTCAACGAAGAACTAATCACATATTAGTACTTGACATTATACTATTGTAGCGAATGATAGAGATGCTAACCATTTCATAGGCTAGAGACTCGAGAGTCGAGATAATATGATCTGCACTACCAAAAACTTTGCAAAGACTAACGAGCCCTGCCATTCCCTCGACAGACCGTTGCTGCTCTTTGGTGGCGCCTGTGGCAATACGACCGACAGTTGAGGTTAGAGATATATAGGCGTCTAAAGATTCGGATAAACGAATTTGATATCTATCAAGTACTGCGATTTGAGTATTGAGGAAGAATCGAACTTTGTGCGAGACTCTTCGCAGGTCTTTATACTGTGTTGTAATGGTCTTCAGGAGATCAGTAACCTTTGAAGCCCCAAAGGTAGTTTTAGTCTTCTGCGATTCGTTGCTGTCGTAGTCAATATTCCCATTATCTTTCGACTGCATTATTTCTTCATATCTCTGCAAGGCGAATCTCTCCTCAGCTTCTAACCAGGGAGTGAACCATTTATCTAGGACATGCCAAGTCACGCCAACCCAGCCGAATTCAATGTTCCCGCCATCATACTTATACTTGCTTCGAACACTCTCATCCCAAATCATTAATTGGCCTATAAATTTAGTCAAGTGCACAGGGTCGTGCTGGATATCCTTCAAAACAACTTCGGTCTTGTCTTTGATTAATGGCAAGAGTGCTGTGATGAAGGCAGATACAGGGTCTATGTAAAGTGAGTTACCAGCCAGAGAACTACCCAAAAAATGTGCAGCCAAAACAGGCCCAGCATTAACTCGAAGATAAGACTCATGCGAATCTATGACATCGAGGATCCAGTTCAGGTAATATTCTCCAAGCTGATATTGTTAGAGCGTATTCCTGAACAATAGATAAAAACTTACAAGACTGCTGGCACTCGTTGGCGTGGTTCCCATGAAGTGATAGCGAAATTTCAATTCAATTTCTTTGACTAGAACAGCGAAAGGGAGAAGTATAAGAGGTTCTCGAGCTTCTCTAATTTCTGGAGCTTGTAGATCCAATAGTCTTCCAAAACATGTTTGCCATGCCCTAGAAACTTCGACATCCAGATCTGGCCATTTCAAGGTTTTGAGTACATCCTGGAATTCTTTGACCATGATTTGGACCATTTGTGCCCATAAATAAGTCGCTGTCTGTTCCACATAGGCAACGAGATGAGGAGCAGTAACTTCTGTGGTATTCTGAGTTGCTTGTAAAGCCATTGCAAGTTGTTTCAATCGCACATATGGCTTCAAAGCCTCGGTAGGATTGTCAGGTAAATTTTGGCGAGCTTCCTTGGTCATGTCGTCGACATCTTCCAATAATTGAACGTATGCTTGGGCCAGCTCAACTTGTCGTAGTTTCTCCATCGGTCCCTCCAAGAGCCGCACTGCTTCTTCTGGAGTATCTGAAGATGTAAGCATCATCAATCGCGCTCGCAGATCGTCTTGTTGTCGCTCAAAGGCTTGAGTTTTTTGGACTAGCGACGAAGTGTGATTCGCGGCGGCTCTTTTGGCATCTGCGAGCTTAGTTGTGGCATCTCGCAACTGTGTAGAGTTCTTGTTAGCTAGTGGAGTGAGATTCACGGTGATATTGTGACTTACTTGCTCTTCCAATTGCTTTTGCTTCGCATTTACATTCTCCAATAAGCTCGATAGGTTGTTCATATCCGCGGTGGTCTGGATTTTGTCGTTCAACCAATCTTCAACCCGCATATTTCTTTCCCCTAGTGGTATATCGACATTCGGATTGCATAAATAAGCTTTCGGGCTACGCTCCAGCTCTATTTGAAGCGGCATGTTTTAATGTGGTTAATCGGTTGCTTCCTGATACTGGCAGTCGCAATGTTTAAAGTTGTCCTCATTGATGTTAACAATTGAAATTTAGCGATCTCAGGTCGCCAAAAAAGCACCAATTTCTGGGCCCCCTCATTCAAAAAACGACGTCACCACAGCCTTGAAATCTGCCGCCCGCGTCACGTCCAAAGGTAAATGCGGGACGCGATTTTCTCCATGGTAACTTACAATTCACTTTAGACATTGCGGGATGTTTTATACTCATGAATTTCATTCATGAATTTCATGAACGTTTTTTGCTGCTCGACAAATGTTCTTACAATGGCTCACACATGATAATACTAATCACATTCGCAACAATTAACCCTACGATTTCCGTTCGGAGTGGCGAAACGGATTGAGATAATGGGGACACCTACGAAGCGGAGGAAGCTCAACAATGATACAAAGTCCAATGGTTCTCGAAATCTCGACTTCTTTTTCGGAAAGCGAAAGAAAGAGGAACAAGAGTTGCCGTCTCAACTAGTGGGTAGTCCATCCCAAGATGATCGCAATGGCGCCGGTCCCTCCGGATTGACAGACGAGCAGCTGGCAAGAAAGCTCCAGGAGGAATGGGATCGGGAATCAGTTGGCACAAATGAGACGACTGAAGGTCTTCCGGTCGAAACCAATGGGCAGCCGCCTGTGACTTCAGGCTCTGCCATTTCTACCAGCCATACAGCTGAGGAGGCACCGAGTGATGGCATTTTCAGTCAGCCTACCACAAAACCAATTAAACCAATTATCAATAAGAATACCCTTTCACTACAATCCGCTGGCACAGCAGAAGATACTATATCGTCGAACATACCATTGGATGAAAGCCCTTTGACCTTCGAACCTTCGAAGTATGTGTTTGACCTGCAAAAACATTGGACTGTAGAAGGAGGGGATGCATCTTACGCTCTCTTGACAAGATGTTTTATACTCGTGAATAGTACTCAGAGCCGCATTAAAATAGTAGATACTCTGGTCAACCTGCTGAGGGTGATCATTGAGGGCGATCCGGATTCGCTACTACCTACTGTACGTTCAAACCATTCTTACAAATCTTCTATAAGCAAAATATAGCAAATTCCCGTTCGAACTCATATATGATTCTTTCAAAACTCTCTACGTAACATACCACATATCCCATGCTCTACCTGTGTTAATTCTAGATATAGGTCTGGCTCGCGACTAATGCAATATCACCACCATATATATCCCTCGAACTAGGTTTGGGTGGTTCGGCCATTTCAAAAGCATTGAAGAACGTGTGCGGGCTAGATTCAAGGTCGTTGAAGACACTTTATAACAAGCACGGTGATGCTGGCGATGTTGCTTTTGAAGCTAAGAAGAGACAGAGTTTTACCTTAAGAAAACCGAAGCCACTAACGATAAAAGGAGTCTATCAATCTCTAGTCAAAATAGCTAAGACACAAGGAACCGGCAGTAGCGAGATCAAGCAAAGGATTGTCGATCGATTATTGCAAGACGCCAGAGGAGCAGAGGAGAGTCGATATGTTGTCAGGACCCTGTGTCAACATGTGAGTACTTATTTTATTTATTTACCTTCATTTCCAAACTGTAATTTTTCGTGGAATATCATTGCTAAATTTCCTTCCCATACGAATATTTATGCTAATTTACCTACAGCTCCGTATTGGGGCAGTGAAAACCACAATGTTGATTGCTTTATCTCGAGCTTTTCAACTATCTAGACCGCCTGGAGCAGACTTTCCTCTTAAGTCACAACAAGAGCTGGTAAAGCTCAAGAAGGAAGTCTTGGCCGAAGTGTGGTCGAAGGGTGAAGAAATCGTGAAAGCATGCTTTGCTAAAAGGCCCAATTACAACGACCTTATACCCGTTTTACTTGAGATCGGAGTCTGCGAGGAGCTATTGATTAGATGTGGACTAGCCTTACATATTCCGTTACGCCCCATGCTAGGGAGCATTACCAGGGATCTTGCAGAAATGCTTACGAAACTTCAAGGTCGTGATTTCAGTTGTGAGTATAAGTATGATGGACAACGAGCCCAAGTTCATTGTGATGAGAATGGAAAAGTGTCAATATTTTCCAGGCACCTGGAACTTATGACAGACAAATATCCCGATTTGGTGGCCTTGATACCGAAAATACGTGGGGAAGGTGTCAACAGTTTCATCATGGAAGGGGAGGTAGTTTCTGTTGATCGGGAATCTGGTGATCTGAAAACTTTCCAATCTCTGGCAAATCGAGCAAGAAAAGATGTAGCAATTGGCAGTGTGACTATCGATGTGTGTCTCTTCTCCTTCGACTTAATGTATCTGAACGGAGAATCACTTCTCAATCGAACATTCAGGGAAAGGCGAGAACTTCTACGAGGTTTGTTCGTTGAGGTACCGAATCGGTTCACATGGGTAAAGAGTATTGATGCTACCTCTCAGGATTCAGAGGTTGTCTTAGAATTCTTCAAGAGCGCGCTAGACCGAAAATGCGAGGGCATCATGGTAAAGATTTTAGATGATTTATCTAATGCTACGTTTCCTGAGTTCGAGGAAGTCTCCGACGAGACTGAGCCCTGTGTCCCCCAAACCTCCCAAAGGCAATCTAAGGGGAAGAAGAAATCTACAGAAAAAGAACCTGAGAAGAAAACGCGCCGAAAAGCTTTATTATCTACCTATGAGCCCGACAAACGACTGGACTCTTGGCTGAAAGTGAAAAAGGATTACAGTGCTTCATTTGATACATTGGATTTGATACCTGTCGCTGCATGGCATGGTCAAGGACGTAAGGCCAAATTCTGGTCACCAATTCTCCTTGCTGTTCGCAACGATGAGACAGGCACTCTGGAAGCTGTGTGTAAGTGTATCTCGGGATTTAGTGACGCATTCTACAAGGCCAACAAAGAATTCTACGCAGAGGGGAGCGAGCATGTTCTAGGAGGAAAACCAAATTATGTCGATTATCGAGGTGGGCACCCTGATGTATGGTTCGAACCGCAAGAGGTCTGGGAGATGGCTTATGCGGACATCACAATTAGTCCGGTGTATAGAGCCGCCATCGGTCTTGTGAGCGATGAAAAGGGATTAAGTTTGAGGTTCCCCAGATTCTTGAAAAAAAGAGAAGATAAGTCTATAGAAGAAGCAAGCACAAGTGAGTTTCTTGCTGGGTTGTGGAGGAAGCAGGAGCAGAAGGTCGATGATGGGAAGGACAAATCAGAGGAAATATATCCGGAGGAGGATGAGGAATGATTGATAAATCACAAAGATATCCCTACTGAGTGGTAAAAGGGCTATCGAGGACACCATACCTGTTGGAAGAGTATTGTAATCTTAATATTTATCTGTGTTAGAAATTGTTACAGGTAAGGCCTGGATATCACGCATCTACAGTATATCTGCCATACTGCAATTGTACACTGAATGAATGAATAAAATCACTTTTAAGAACAGAGATGCGTCGTCTAATCATCGTGAAGCTGCTGGGTACTAAATCCTCAAACCCACTTTATTTAAGCATCGTTGCCGAGCCAACATGAAAGAAGTCGCGACCTCGGGAAAAAAGACGATAACTGAACATTAACAACTCAATAATATTAATTTGAGGCTCAATTAATAGTTAATTTTTATCACAACAGTATATATTATGGCAAGACTTGTGGTATATAGTAGTGATGAGGAGTTTCCAGATGTAAATGAGGTGATTCGAGGGAAACCAGGAACAAAAACAACCAAAACATCGACGACAACACGAAAAGTATCGAAAGAAACGAATAGGAAAGTCGACAGAAATGAACCAGCGAAAAATAATTCAAGGAAGGAGAAGGGAGCGATGGCCCCAGATGTCAAGGAATTGGATAGCGATGAGATAAATGGCTCTGAGAATGCAAAACCTAAAGCTAGGAAACGCATATTGAAGCAGAATATTAATTCGGATAATCCACTTTTAAAACCATTGAGTATGAGCACAAAGAAATTGGGCATGGAGCCTAGAAAGGCATCAGCTTCTAACTCGGCTGTTCCGACGCACAAAGTGTTGAAGGAAGAATCAAGGGAGAAACCAAGGGCTCGGAAACCTATACCGGATTCAGACGAAGAGGAAGAAGAGGAAGAAGACTACTCGGATGATCTATCAGACTTCATAGTGGATGACGACGATTCTGATGTGTTCAAGACGCCGCCGAAATCAAATCGGAAATTGGTCAGAGGTCGAAGGACGGTGGTGGAAGAATCGAGCGATATCGATACAGAAGATGAAATTTTACGCCAGCTTTTAGACAGAACTTCAATTAACGACAAAGATACACCTCCTGAATTCAAAGCACCAGAGTTGAAACCGCCAAAAAGAAGCGAGAAAGTCGAAATTCGACCAGGTACATCTTCTAGCTTCGATGACAATGGAGCTGTTTTACGATTGTAAGCAAGTAAATTCCACAATAGAAGATATATGCTAATAAATCCAAGCTCCCCGTCACCCAGAAAAGTCTCCAAAGGAGTTCGACTATCAACACCACCAGGAAGCCCGGAACTCAAACCTCGAGGACTCGTCTCGCCCAAAAAGTTATCACGCATACCATCTACATCCCATCGTCCAAGTATGGATAGTTTCTGGTCCCAAGATCTCGTCAACGACTGGAATGATCAATACTCCCCCATGAAAACACTCCAACCTCTTACCAAACCCAAACTCCAACCTCCTTCCACATCGAACGGTACCAGTCTCTTTAAGAAACCCGTCCCATCTAAACCCGCCCGTCTCGATAAGGATTCCAAAAAAGCATTCTCAGCAGCCAAACACGCCATCGCCTCTGATTTCCTGGCCGAGCTCGACTCCAAAATAACATCCGGTCAAATAGCCCAACTCTCCGCCTCCACAGGCGGTGTCCAAATAATCTGGTCCAAAAAACTCATCACCACAGCCGGCCGCGCAAACTGGCGACGGGAAACCATCAAACCCACCCCCATGAGCATAACCCCCAAGAAACCCCCACCACCCCAAATACCGCCACTACGCCTCGATCGAACTCGCGGAAAAAGTAATCGACTCCGAACCACGCCTTCTAAACGTCCTCGCGCATGAATTCTGCCATCTAGCTAACTTCATGATCTCAAACATAAAAACCAATCCTCACGGGAAGGAATTCAAAATCTGGGCCTCGAAATGCTCTTCCGTATTCGCCCATCGCGGTATCGAAGTTACGACTAAACATAGCTATGAGATTGAATATAAATATGTGTGGGAATGTACGGAGCACGCCTGCAGAACACTGTTTAAACGTCATTCGAAAAGTATTGATATCCAAAGACACAGGTGTGGTGCTTGTAAGGGGGTTTTGGTGCAGATTCAACCGGTGCCTAGGGGTACGGGTAAGGGGAAGGGTGCGCCGGGGAAGGAGAATGAGTATCAGGTTTTTGTGAGGGAGAATATGAGGAGGATTAGGGAGGAGAATCCGGGGAGTCCGCAGAAGGAGATTATGGGGCTGGTGGGGAAGAGATATCAGGAGTTTAAGGCTAGTAAGGCTGCGAAGGGTGGAGGGGAGATGGTGGGTTTGAAGCAGAGTACAGTTGATGATGAGGAAGAGGTGGAAGTCGTTTCGAGGAAACTGGATTTCCTGGACTTGACAACCCCTTGAATTGTTCTCGGAGAATCAAATTTATTCTTTGAGATTTGTTAATTGAACCATGTAATCTTTCCTTTGTATAGCAAATCTCAAAACGAATATTCAGTAAATCAGCATTGTCCTTCCTGATATAATAAACGAAAATATGAAAATCATCCATAAGACATCATCTTGGAATTCCGCCATCCACTCCTGGCCAAGGTAGATCATTCAGCATACCATGCTAATACATCAGACTCGACCAATACCAATCCCTTCATGCAATCTCCAAAATCCATGCACCTCCCAAACCCTTTACCCCTCTCATCCACTTCCGCATCTAAACCTCATCAAAAAGCCCCCAATCCTTAATCTTAAACGTCTCCCAAATCTTCGCCGCATGTTCCACCGCATTCTCAATCAACTTCCCCTGTTTCCCCAATTGCAAATCCACATCATCAGCCGAATACTCACCTTTAATATGTGGAACATTAATCGTGACCAAAATATCCGTTCTCTCCCGCTCCAAACGAATCAGATTGAGTACTATTGCAGTGAAATCGGGAGCCGAGGTATGGGAGTTGGGATCATGAGGTGGTGTTTGAGTTGCAATTAGAGTGTAGGCTGGTATGCCTTCTCTTTGGGGTTGTCAGCTCTGCTGATACCGGTATTTTGATACGGCACGTGATGTGGTGGGATGAGGGGAAATGGTGATGGGAAGGCGGAATAAAAGGGTATGAATGGATAGGAGGCACTTACGGTAATTTGGTAAACTTGGTATCGGTAATCGACCATACTTTAACAGTATCAAGATCCGAATCAACGATATCCTCCAAATGAGTCGTCATAGCCGCTCCATCGGTCGCTGGGCTGGAACCTGCTGTACCTACTCGCTCTGTGATATCGAAGATGATACTTGTGAAGCCATCTTTATCCAAATATACCTCTTGATGATCGGGAACTTGTCTTATTGTACTATGGAATTTGTCAGTTGATGTGGTGATTGCTGATTGTGAGTTTTGGCAGAAAGAAGGTGGGGCTGGAGGGGTTTGGCGTTGGTTATTTTTCTTTTTGAACCTTACCTGACGTCGGCGAATGTAGAGGGAAGATCAACTATGAGAGCGCCCCCGAAGAGAGGAGTGGATGTATATGTAGCCATGTTTGAAGAGTATATTTCGTTATCTATTATTGTATATCGTGTGAGGGGTTGATGAAGGGGTTGGATTGCTTTGATATGTTGTGTTGGTAGGGCTGCAGTTTGGATGACAGGGTAAGACGTCACGTCACGTCACGTCACTTGTTGGTGACTCGCTTGATGAAGAACAGGGAAGAACAACAAATGTATGCCTAATGCTTACTTTGGGTATGTTTTTGGATATTGGATATTGGATGTTTGTTTGTTTTATTGTTCTTGGTATAAATTGATTGATGTTCGCTTTTAATTGCTCCGTTTCTTGCTTGGGCTTACCTAGGCAAGTTTTAGCGGGGTTGGCGAGCATGCTTGAATTCTTTCCAGCTTCCAATTCATCCTTTACACATTCATTTATTTATTTACATTCATAAAACTCAGTATTGAAAAGTTTCCATTGATCATAGCCAAATCATATAATCTCATTTTCTGCTTCATATTACACAATTCAATCGGGATTTGGAATGCGTAAGTTGGTATTGCGAATATTGTCATATTCAATCTACTCTAATATGGTTGTAGAGCCTGCACACTCGATGTTCTTGTGGTTTCAATGTCGGCGTCGTGTGTATGCCACACTCAAAACATTCCTCAACCCTCTGCATAACAAACTGTTGAATGATTCATTTCCATTCAATCTCATCTCTGGTTATGATTGCAGCAATAAGGCAGGCAGTACCACAGCATAGTCGTATGTTGAATGGGCTCTCGCAATTGTAAGGCTTCGTTGCACCTCGTTCTCATTCATGCATCTGCAGCCTTCTTGATTTAGGTTAGTGCGTGTAGTACGCAAATTAAAGAGGAGGGTGAAAACGCTCATTGAAAATTGAATTAACTCCAACTTAACTTCTTTTTGCGTTGATGTTATCATAGAATCAAGCTTTGCAAAGTGTGCAAATCGATTGACTTCGGAGATCTATGTTACCGCCAATTACAATCAGTTTGTGACCCGTCGGCAGCCGGGCCAGAGACTCGACACTATGCCAATTATAAAAGCCTCGCAGAATCAGCGCGAAAAGGCTGTGAATTGTGAAATGAAGCTAAAAAGGGTATGAGCCGGGTATCCATGTCTAACGGAAATATTCAAGATTACAACGGGGATCTCACAGTACGTTGCGGACCTGGTCTAGAGCAAACAATAAAGGATGATTTCACCAGAGGAGTTGCTGAATTCTGGTTTGAGTGGAAGACTTATGACACAGAGTGAATAAATAAATTTCGTTCCGTTCTTCACATTTGTTGTGAGAACGGTGCCCATATGCAGCATCGCAGCTCCAGAAGCCAAAACTAACACACACATGCATAGAATCCCCCGCTGCCACACTGAACATCATTGGTGGGCGTCCTTTTTCCATGACACCTTACTCTTCACAGTCCTGTGAAACTGCTCGAACATGGCTTCTGGATTGTCTTCAAAGCCATCAAGGTTCCTGCCCAAGCAGGCGAGCTTGAGAGACGCCATTATAGTTACTAGGTGTATGGGATTCAAATATCTGTGGATTGATTCGATCTGCATTCTTCAAGGTTCAGACGCTGTCGCCCGAGCGGATTGGCTCTTCGAGTCAAGACGCATGCGAGATTACTATAAAGATTGTGCGTTATGCATTACCGTTGACGACGCAACTTCAGATCAGGAAGGCTTCCTGGGCATTTGACGCACACAAGGGACAGTTGCCTCTGTTTCCCTATCGCTAACTCAGTGGGGCGGCGCCGAGTCTTGCAAAATACACCTTGAAGCAGATACTGACCCTCGGTCTGAATACCCTGGTCGCTGTCGCACCGCTCTTGCTAATAGAGGATGGACACTACAAGAACACGTTTTATCTCCGCATTTTTTACACTACACTTCCAAGCAACTTGTCTGGAATTGCCAGCTTCAAAGAGTCTCCGAGTCAAATGTAAATCCGGAAACCTTGTGGTCAAGCGATAGGCGCTCGTCCAAGACGGACCCCAAAGGATTAAATCTTGTTACTATTGTTAATTTAGTTAAAAATCCCAATTGACTCGCAATATAATTTAAAGTGCACTAGCAAACATAACATCAATTTCAACCCTGTCAAGAAGCTCTCCCCTAACATAAAACCCCATCCATCTCCATAAAATCCCCACCAAAAACACTCGCTTACCACTCCTCCCTCTCTCTATCCATCCAAAAAATCCACCACCTTCCCAAAAAGCCAAAAGACAAACCCTTAAAAATCCAAAATAAATTATATCTGAATAATCAGATGGTTTGTTCCAAATATTTGATGAATGGAGTATTATGGGCATGAGCCACGGTCATCTCTGGTAAAAGGCAAGAAATGAATTCTGAGCTAGCTTGTCCCACTCCGAGATGTAAACTGTGGTTTTCGAATTTATATAGATGACAGGTGTTTGTTGTCGGGTAATATTCGGGAATAATGATGGATGGGATTGGTGGGTGGAGCTTGAGGAATGCTTGGAGGACCCCGCGTTGCATGGAGGTGTCGGACCTGAATTGATTGATATCTGATCTATCTTCGTTTTGATTCTGCGTACTAGACAGCTGGTGGGCTTTAATTGTTTTTACAATACGACGCAATACAATACAATACAATACCTGTTTTCTCATTTCGAGATTTCAATATACAATACAAAATGGCCTCTCAAGCAGCATGTGTCTTCTGCAAGATCATCAAAGGTACGAATTTCCATACCTTATTCCTCATTCAGTTCCTTCTCTATACCTCCTTCTCTATACCCAATTCTCTGTATTTTCTTTTCTATACAATATTCTGTATCTTATATTTCATGTGCAAAGGCTAATAATATAATATACTCGAATAGGAGATATCCCTTCTTTCAAACTCTTCGAATCGGAAAAGGTGTTTGCGTTTTTGGATATTAACCCCTTGTCTAGGGGTCATGCTGTTAGTATTTTGTTTCTGGCTGCTCTACTCTGTTCTTACTCCTGTTCCTGTTTTTGTTACGGCTCCTTTTCTGGTATTGTTGTATCTGCGAGTGAAGATATCATACATACATACATACATACATACATACCGCGGGGTATCCAGATTCTAGACGGATGAATGCTTGGATTGATGGATTGGTGAATGAATGAATAAACAAAGTAAACAGAGCTATCTAACTAACATTCACAAAAAATCTAGCTCGTAATCCCCAAACATCATGGCGAGAAATTGGTTGATATTCCCGATGATCAATTACAGGAGATTTTGGTACGTTACCTTTCTCCTTCCTGGCAAATACATTTCAACGCCCTTCCTTCTTCGTTCTCCCGGTTTTGTCAATATGAGAATCTGCCGTCGTTTCATGAGATTTATTTCATGCTCTCCTTCTTTGCATATTACGAGGATATGATAGGATTCAAAAACATTGCTAATATGAAGAATAGCCTGTAGTGAAGAAATTGGTCGTAGCAACTGGTGCAGAAAATTATAATGTTTTGCAGAATAATGGACGGATTGCACATCAGGAGGTTGATCATGTAAGTCTTCTGTCATTTTTCTGCCTTCTTTTCTTTCCCTGTCTATAAGTTTCTCATACAACAACTAATCCCTCCTTCTGCAGGTACATTTCCACATGGTACGCTGAGTTCCCTTTCCCTCTTCCCTCTTCCCTTTCCCCAAATTCCGTTCCTTTCCCTTCCCGAAACCCCAAACTCCCAACATCCCAACCAAACTCCCCCAAACTACCGCAGCAAAGCCCATCATCACCCAACTAACCTCTCTCCCCCCTCCCCCCTAATAGATCCCCAAACCCTCCATCGAAGAAGGAATGTCTATCGGCTGGCCCCAACAAACAACAGACATGGATAAACTAAAAGCACTCTTCACCGAGATAAAATCCAAGATGTAATCCAAGATGTGAGCTTCAATTTCTATGAACTATGTAGGTTGGGTTGCATTGTATCACGTTGTGCTACTTTGTACTGGGTGCAGTTTCGAAGTAAAGAGCAAATGAACAGGGTGTTGAAATTTAAGTATTTCCTATGAGTTGTTGAGTTATGGGGAAATGGAGAGATGGAAAGATGGAGAGATGAAAAGATGGTATAGTTTAGTTTGGTTTGGTTTAGTTTGATCTGGTGAACGATGAGATGAGATGAGATAGGATGTTGTGAAATAGGATGGAATGATATGAAAAGAGAAACCTTTTATTACTTCTATACATAGTACCACCTAAAAACCAACGCAGAACATACCTTCAAAAGCAAAAACATGCCATTCCTAGAGGGTCCTCTAATATAGTCCCCCTTATCCCGTCTCATCCCATCCATTCTGATATTCCAATTTAAAATCCATCTAGAATCTAAAAGCAAAACAACATCAAAAGGCTATTAAACATACATAAACATATCTATATCATCTCTCACATATTAACTTTCTAACTCTCTCAATTCATTCTATTCTTCCCTAGGTATTATAAATCTTCTTTTCTTTCTATTCGTATATCTCATATCTCTTTTCCTTTCTTTTTCTCTCTTTCCATTTCCATTTCCATTCCGTTTCCCTTTCTCTCTTTCCATTTCTATTCCCATTCCCATTCCGTTTCCCTTTCTCTTGTCCTTTCCCTCCCTTTCCCCTTCTCTCCTAATCAATATCATCCGCCGAGGTTTCCACCTTTGACGTTGCAACCGGGGTTTGAGTCTGAGTTTGAGTCTCCGACCCCTTAACCTTCGGATAAAAATCCAACTTTCCCCCCGCATTCACAACACCTACTCGATCATACAAACTCCTCGCTCTGACATAGGGATCCAATTTCCAATAATCATCTCTTAATTCCTTTGCCAATTCGGTTCTCTTGGTCTTGAGTTCCGGTTTGCTTCCTTCGGAATTGATCCATTCGATTGTAGCTTTTTCATATTTATCTACGATTGCTTCTCTTTCGGTGAGAAGTTTGTCTCTCGTTGCTGTATCTTTCATCTTGTCGTTTTCGCCGGGAACGGGTTCTACGAATTTGTATTCCCACTCTTCGTCGCCGCCTAGTTCTTTGAGGATTTGAGAACGGGCAACAAACTCGGACATTTCTTCTACGTTGTTTGTGAAGTGTACTTTGCTTGCTACAACAGGATCGAGCCAGCCTCGGATGATTTTCCAGATGCCTGCTTGGTGTTAGTGATTAGAGTCTGGAGTTGGAGGAAAGATGTGTACCTTGGAATACCCATGGTGCTCTATGGACTAATACTACACCGAGACATTCCGGGTAGTTGGCTTCAAAACATTTGATCATGAATTTGACGGGTGCATAGTCCTATGATGTGATTAGTAACATAGTTCATAAGTCGAGTAATTTCACTTACCATGTTGGCCAGGGAAAATCCTGTCAAATCAAATACTACACACTATTGTATGATCAGTACTTCAGCTATTAATAGAACAAAACATGAAGAATGTATCCCTACAGCAGTGTCTATCGGCGGCTCCAAGAGCATCCTAGCCGATTCGATAATGAAAACTGTATATTTTTCTAAACTCTCCTCTGTCTGCTCGCCTTGCTTGTGTAAGCGAGCTCTCACAAAGCACATTGGTCTCCCGGCTCTGGAAGAATTTCATGTTAGCAAATGTGATAGAATTCCGCGGCAGAGGGATAACCAAGAGACGAATCGGTAGATATAGAACGTCAGAATACATACTTATCTTTCCCATGCAAAAAACTTTTTCCCAAACGCATTTGCATAAGGAATCCCTCGGCTTGTTTCTTCTTTTCGGCGTCAGTCCCCTTCTCATCTTCAAGAGCACCTAATTCTCCATTTTTCATGATATCATCATCAACATGCATATCCGAAGCCCTCCATCTCATGGTAGAAATCATCATGACCAATGCCTTATCCACATCCCATTTTCTGGCTCGCAAGAACCGCAATAGAAGTGCATCTGGATGATCATATTTCACCATGCTCCAGAATGCCGCACGAATAGATGCCGGCGGCAGACTAGCCAAGGCATCGTGGAATTCCTTAGTTTGTCCATATTTATCCTCCGCATCAGAAGCATTTGAGATGCGCGATGTAGCGCTCGAAGATTTCGTAGATGCTGAATCATCATCCTTATGTTTCCTACGCAGAGCAGAGAATCTCTTCTTCTTGGGCTTCTCAGAAGCCGAGGTATCCGATTTTGCGACACCATTGCTCACTTCTGTATCGCCACTGGTTCCATTGGTGTCGGCGTGAGGATCAAGTACGCCAAAGACTTGTAGAGTGGCAACCCAAAATTCTCGTAATTTCTCCTCTTCGTGTGCGGTTAATGTGCCAGGTCGACCTGAAAGCGTTTCGCCTGTCATTTTGTAATATTCGTAATATTCTTGCTCGAGATCGATTTCTTGTAATTTAGGTTTGTGTGTCTTTGATTGACCTTGGGTTGAAGTATAGAGAAATGCGCTGCTAATAAATGTAAGAAGTAAAAGAGTAACGGTACCCCAGTTTCCTAAGCTGCTTTGCACAGGTGCTGGTAAAGATGTTTCACGAGAAGTATTGGCCTTTTTAGATTGATTGGGTGACAATGAGGATAGGCTTCGATTACAGGTATATGTTATAGCGCTCGACCGTTCCAAAGCGGAGTTAGGAAGTAGATTCGTGCGCTTTTCCGTATTTTCCAGTCCCTTGAGTCTCAAAATGTCTGAGTGGACTTCAGAATCGTTGCGACGAAGAGGCGCAAATGTTTCTATCCTCCGAAAAGACGCAATGAAATCCCCACGGTTACCGTTTCGACGTAAGAATGTGGGAGGAGTAGAAAGTGAATGCTGAGTATATTGATGAACAAAACCGCGGGTCGCTCCCAATGATCTTTTCATGGAAAGATATATAGTTGAGGAATCTTGACTCGGTAGAGTTGAAAGGGTCAAGATGAGGGAGGGGTGGAGAAGTGAGGGGACTGAAGCCTTGATATGGATGAGGGCAGGCCTCTTATAAAACCAATGTTGGTGGAAAACAAGAATTCGAAACAGGTCAAGTTATAGGATTACTGTACATAAATAACACTAACATCAGAATCCTTAATTGACATCTACAATTTCTAATCAAATAATTCTCTCCGCCGTTTTGACTGTCAAGCGACAAGAAATTAGAAAAAAGATCAGCAAGAAGCGGGAACTGCATTTCTGGATTGTAATCCGAAGAAGCCGCAAATGCTACAAATTCCTACAGAGTATTCACATCGTATCCCGTATTCCGTATTCATAAAACTTCGTCATTGTGCGCTCTGTGGTCCACGGTGTTCGTACCAAAAATCATGCACGCGACATAAAACTGTAGGTGCACACGGTAGGTGCGCGGCGGGGTAAATCAGTATGCAGGTATTTTGATGCAGGATGGTTTGAAAATATTCAGGCATTTTCACCGCTATCAGATAGATCCATCAGCCCTGAATTGTGTTGTACAGCAGCACCGAATGCCCGATAACTTCTGGTGTGCACGTCAATTATTGATTGTGTAGGAGTTGCGCAGCCAGCATTTGGACGAAAGACCCAAAACAAAACAACAATTCCAGCGTCTATCATTCATCCAAAAAGCCAACAACAATGGCCACCACAACACCCCTCACTGGCGGTAATAATAGTACCAAAAGATCTCACTCCGCCTCTCGCAACCCACTCTCTCGACCAACAACGCCTCTACGCCCCTCCTCGCGCTCTTCCCTCCGCGATTCTGCGAGAAGGAGTACGGGCGGTTACTCCAGTGCTCCTTTAGAAGCATTTGAGCCGGCTTTTGCAGAATTGTCTGATTCGATGGCGGATTTAGAAGCTAATTTTATGCATTTACAATTGATGCATGAGAGTTTGGCTAGATTTAGTGAGAATTTTGCTAGTTTTCTCTATGGATTGAATATGAATGCTTTTTGTGTGGATTTTCCTGAGGTTTGTTTACTCGGAGCTCAGTTATTTGGGGTTTTCTAATTGCGTTGCTAGGCGCCTATTCCGGATTCATTTCGTAGAGCACAGGAGCAGGAGGAACAATTAGGTCAGTTTCATGGACGGATAAGCATTGAAGGTGTTACTGATAGTTTCATTAGGCAGGTCAACAAACTCAGAAAGATTTCGTGGTGAAATTGATGGAGAAACAACATTTTTGTAAGCAACATGTTAGTCGATACTATGGCTAGTGGCTAATTGACCTCTCTAGGACCACTGACACATCCTTCGTTGATAATCCTCCAACCTCCTCCAAAGCAACCCCGAAATTTACAACTCCAGCACCATCACGAAGAGCAGGCTCCTCTGGTCGAGGTGGATCTTCTGGTGGCTCTGGGTCATCTGGAAGAGGTATTCCTGTTCCGCGCGGCGGACGTGGAGGTAGAGCGAGTGGTCTTGCGAGAGGTCGAGGTCGTGGTGTACGATAAGACGAAAATACATCACAATTCCTCCACCATGATACCCCGTCATAGATTTATAGTAGCAGTCACGACGGACTGAGCTTTGATAAACCCTCCATTATTACTTCATGGAGGAGAATACGATGCATATACTCAGGTTTCCTGGTCGTCAAGTAACCCAGAGTTTTCCATCTCAACCTCTACATCTAAAGCCTTATTTCTGATACCATTATCTGGAGGGCCTTGTCCTATAGCAGCTTCTGCATCTCTTTGTGTATATGGTCCTTCCTTTAATGCCTTGACCCTATAGGAGGGAATTAGCATAATGCTGTTAGAATTCTTCTTCATAATCTTTTAACATACCTTCTCTTATGAGGTTTGCCTTTAAGATGCGACAGCATACTATTTTCCGATTCGTACCATTTCGCACACTGGATGCAATACCATTTTCCCAAACCTGGCAAATCTTCTGCAGCTTTCGAGTCTTTGTGTTGTGCTAGATGTTTTGGTGAACGAATATCGGCCGAGATTTGATCGAGATCTCTGTAATGGAAAATATTAGTTCGGCGCACAAAAAGAAAACTTTCCAATAATTGAATTGTATTTAACTTGCCTCAATCTTCTCCTCGTCTTAGTTTTAGTTGATTTTTGAGGGATACCCATTTTGGCTTATTGACTTATCGACTTATCGACTTGGTGATATTTTTGCTTCGTCTACTTGATTGGAGTTTTGCTGCAAATGGAAATTTCGATGTATGGTGGTGGGTTGATACAGAAATTACTAAATTTTTTGCTTAGGACTTGCATGTGGATTTTTGAAAATTACGGGGAAACTTTTATCCACCCCACAGAAATTTGATCCACCTTTAGATTTTATTGTGCATCTTTCGGCACGGTTAGAACGGGAAGAGTATGCCGAATTTACTTCTGGACATCGGAAAAAGCTCCGATTCTCCGCTCCATTTGTCCTGACTGGCTTTGGATTTACTTTGTATATTTTGTCCCAAATTCACGGAGATCGTTTCGAGTGTTCCATACCCACTACCTACCTATGCTCCGGTATATATATAAGGAATGAATACCAAAACATTTGGTACATCAAGAATAGCTGTGAAGGTACTATTAATGCTCAATCATGGAAATAGATTTTTTTTTAAAAAATAGAAATAAACTTCCTTCCATCCAGCCTTTGAAAGGAAACAAGCCTCGGAAAAGTCCTATTGTTGATAGCACATGACCGGAGTAGAAATCCGATTCCGCATCAATACCGGAAGCGTTTGACGGAAAACATCGTGAAGCCAGATTCACAAGTAAATGACAAGTGGATAAATGGAAGCGGGCGTTGACACCTTATTGGATATAGCTTAAAAAGTTTGATCCACTATCAACCTGCAGACCTACGAAAAATTCGCATTTGAAATATAGCCGCAAACAAAGGCTTCAAGTTTTGAGGACCAAGAGAGATGAGGGCGACACGAAGGTAGAAAAAAGAAAATAGAAATAAATTCAAAATCTCTTGTTCCCGTTCTTGATGAGTTTCTCAAATTCAAATCGTGGTAATTCATACAATAATCTACTAAATACCTTAGTATTTTCTGACGTCAACCTTTTTCTTGTTCCTCTAATTGGACCAATTTAACGCATATTATATCGTCGTGCATTCAAACCTATCCTCCATTTTTGAGAAAAATAATACCTAAATTTTGATTGGTCCGCTCACATTGGTCAAAGCTTGAAGATAAACCCGCGGTTCCCAAGCTTCGGCTGTCCAGTTTCTTCCTCCCACTATTTTGCAACTCCAAAGTTGTTTAAACAAGAAACAACTTTCAATCTTTTTTCTCTTTCTTCCTTCTTTTGTTTTACCAACTCTCTCACAATGTTGGCAACAAGACAGGTTCTCGCTGCTGCGAAGCGGCGAGCAATCACCGGCATGAGCATTCGCACAATGGCCACTGTTGGTGATTCCCCGCTTGATAAACAAGTTAGACAAAATATCCACGAAAAGAACAACTTCATCAACTACAAGAAGATGTCCGAGAACCTCTCAATTGTTCGTCAAAGATTAAACAGACCTTTGGCATATGCTGAAAAGATTCTCTACTCACATTTGGATGATCCTCATGGTCAAGAGATTGAACGTGGTGTATCATACCTTAAGCTTCGACCTGACAGAGTGGCTTGCCAAGATGCTACTGCTCAAATGGCTATCTTGCAATTCATGTCCGCTGGCATGCCTTCTGTCGCAAACCCCACCACCGTTCACTGTGATCATTTGATTGAGGCACAAGCTGGAGGTGCTAAGGATCTTACTCGGGCTATTGATATCAACAAGGAGGTCTACGATTTTCTCTCTACTTCTTGCGCAAAATACAACATTGGTTTCTGGAAGCCAGGTTCCGGTATCATTCATCAAATTATCCTCGAGAACTACGCTTTCCCAGGTGGTCTTCTCATTGGTACTGATTCGCACACACCTAATGCCGGTGGTCTCGGTATGGCTGCTATCGGTGTTGGTGGAGCTGATGCTGTCGATGTTATGGCCAACCTTCCTTGGGAGTTAAAGGCACCAAAGGTTATCGGTGTTAAGCTCACTGGTGAACTCTCTGGCTGGGTTACTCCAAAGGATATTATTCTCAAGGTTGCTGGTATCTTGACTGTTAAAGGTGGAACTGGTGCTATTGTTGAATATTTCGGACCTGGAACGAACTCCATCTCGGCCACAGGAATGTCTACAATTTGCAACATGGAAAGTATAATTCAGTTCCTCTTTATTATCTGTTACTAACAATTTTAATAGGGTGCCGAAATTGGTGCAACAACCTCTCTTTTCCCATTCAACGACCGTATGTACGATTACCTCGCTGCTACTAAGCGTACCGAGATTGGAGACTTTGCTCGCACATACTCCAAGGAACTCAGGGCGGATGAAGGTGCACAATACGATGAATTAATTGAAATTAACCTTTCCGAGCTCGAACCACACATCAACGGTCCATTTACTCCAGATCTTGCCACTCCTATCTCCAAATTCAGTGAGGCCGTTAAGGCTAACAACTGGCCTGAGGAATTGAAGGTCGGACTTATTGGTTCTTGCACAAACTCTTCATATGAGGATATGACTCGTGCTGCTTCTATCGCTCGTGATGCTATGGATCATGGTATCAAGGCCAAGTCTCTTTTCACCGTTACTCCAGGTTCCGAACAAATTCGTGCTACTATCGAGCGTGATGGTCAATTGGAAACTTTTGAACAATTCGGTGGCATGGTACTGTAAGAATTCCCCAACCTATAAACTTCATCTTTTTCTTTTACTATATGCCCAATGCCCAAGGCTATTGGGGTGTCTCACCCGTCAGATTAGTCAATCCTATTGATTGTTCTAAGTACTCAAATGTTTAGTCGCGTTTGGGTATCTTGAATGTTCAAATTGGTTTGGATATTTCGTTGTCATTTATCTCATTTTTGGTTTCTTGATACTGATGTTGATTTTAATTTTCTAGTGCTAATGCTTGTGGACCTTGTATCGGTTAGTACCCCTTTAATTTTTTCCCCCTTTTGCTACCCCTCAGGAATGCCCTTTTAATTGCCAAGAATACTTGAGACGCTGAGATATTTTCAATTGTCAAAAGTACTTGGGACATTGAAGCTCAACTGTCAAAAGCACTTGAGACATTGGGGCCTTTTCAATTGCCAGCAGTACTTGATACATTGAAATGCCCTGTTGGGGAGGTAATGTCGTGCTCCAACTTCAAGGCGTCTTAATTGTTCACAACAATTAAGACATTGGAATACCTCATTTCGGAATAACTCTCCACGCCTCTTTCATTCATTTTCATGAATATTTACTGACCTTTTAAAAAGGACAATGGGATCGTAAAGATGTTAAGAAAGGAGAAGCCAATTCGATAATCTCATCTTACAACCGTAACTTCACTGGACGTAACGATGCCAACCCTGCTACCCACTCTTTCGTCGCATCACCAGATATGGTCGTCGCCTTGACCATTGCTGGATCCCTACACTTCAACCCTCTCACCGATACCTTGAAGGATAAGGATGGCAAGGAATTCAAGTTGTCTCCACCTACTGGTGATGGATTGCCATCAAGAGGATATGACCCGGGACAAGACACTTACCAAGCACCACCTACTGAGCGTGCTTCGGTCAGTGTTGCTGTTTCACCAACCAGTGATCGTCTTCAACTTTTGGAGCCTTTCAAGCCATGGGATGGAAAGGATGCTTTGGACATGCCCATCTTGATCAAGGCCAAGGGAAAGACCACTACCGATCATATCTCCATGGCTGGTCCATGGCTCAAGTACCGTGGACATCTGGACAACATCTCCAACAACATGTTGATTGGTGCCATTAACAGCGCAAACGGTGAGGCCAACAAGGTTAAGAACTTCACCACCGGTGAATTTGATGCCGTTCCAGCTACTGCCAGAGACTACAAGAAGAAGGGCATCCCTTGGGTTGTTATTGGTGACTGGAACTACGGTGAAGGAAGTTCAAGAGAGCACGCTGCTCTTGAGCCAAGACATCTTGGAGGTCTTGCCATCATCACTAAGTCTTTCGCTCGTATTCACGAGACTAACTTGAAGAAGCAAGGAATGCTTCCTTTGACTTTCATTAACCCAGAGGACTATGACAAGATCGATCCATATGACAAGGTATGAATGATCAGCAATTATCTTCCTAAAGCAGAGCTAATCATTTTCACCTCTAGGTTGACCTTAAGTGCACTGAACTCGCCGTTGGTAAGCCAATGACTCTCAAGGTTCACCCAAAGTCCGGCGAGCCATTCGAAATTAAGCTCGCTCACACTTTCAACGCCCCACAAATTGAATGGTTCAAGAATGGAAGCGCTTTGAACACAATGGCAAAAACGAATGCATAAATGATTAAAATACATTGGGTGCGGTTGTGGTGTTGGACGGTGGTTTACGAGAACTAAATCTTTCGGACTTTCGGAGCTAACGGGTTGCTCTGGTCTGCTACTGTATTTTGTTCACGACAGTGGATCTTTTTTTAGTTAATGCTTTTACAGTTTACTCCCGTACATTAGGCCTCTTTTTTTCTATGTTAAAAAGTATAAAATCCCTAGAAGGGGAAATGCTATGATAATGAACGATTGTGCATCGAGGTTTTTGCAGTGTGATTGTTTGAATTTGGAAAGGAACTCATCACCTTGATTTAAATATTCTGAATCTAGGGAAGTAAATCAAAGTATGAATATTTACATTTTCACGGAAGTCCTTGAGGAGATTGGTTATGAGACAATGACTAAGGTGGCTATGCGCAATAGTTGTTACAAGTATTCTGGGAATAGGATATAGATGCGGGAAATCCTATTGTTTCGGTATACCTAGTATCAAGACTTATCATGCATGGCTTTAGTGCTTCGTGTTAATTTTGATTGTCCTGCTTTTGATATTGGGGTAGTAAGTTTTATGGATTGATTGTTGGTTAATGTTGCTTGGTTTGGAGATTGTTGGTTTGGAGATTGGTGAGTATGGATATAAATTATTAGGTTGTGTATTACATAATCGTATAGTTCGTTGTATAGCTATACACAACCGGCTGTACTGTAGCTGCTAATGCTGGTGCTAAGATCTTATAATAGCTATAGCACTTATTTGACACGCACACAAAACAAAAGCTGGGTATATACAATAACGATCTCTGCCACTACTCACAAGTTCGCATCTCAAGCTAATATATATATACGTCCCGTGTCTCACATATTGAGCAAAGACACGCGGCCTTCTCGGCAGAGTCCACTAAAACAAGGTCCTGATAATAAAATAGCTTCTGTGATTAGCTATATCTCGATCTATAAGTGCAGGGTGAATCACTTATACAGATCTTGCTTGTCCCTCTAACCTGAAGATCTGTACGACGGCGCTGTTTTTTGTTGCTGCTGCTTGTTATTAGTTTGCAAACGTGGAGTTCTGTCTTTTCCTATGTCCATGTTTCTATAGACGTATGGTATGGGGCCGTCGAATCGTATCATTAATTATCTTGTCGGTTGATGCTATTAGTACTTTCCTCATACAATTCCTAGATCTGGTAGTTCTCGCTCTCACAGTCACGGTTCAAAAATCAGTACAGGATATTGAAATATGCATTAATAAGGGCGAACGGGTATTGAGATATGAAATCATGATTCAACTGCTCTGCTTTGAGGTTTTCCTGATCGGAGGCGCAAAATTCCTAACAAGAAATCTACAGCATATTTAGTATACAAGTGCTATTGGCAGGTATCTAGATTACTCGGAGCAGTCATAAGACAATAAAAGAAGGATTGAAGAACCGCTTATACAACTACATGCGATAGAAGATCAAGAGTTCAGTACAGCCAACGCTATTGATTCATTCGAAGATTTTTGCGTCAAGTAATAACTCTACTACTTCTTAAAGACAATATCCCAATGTATCTGTATCACTCAACACTTAAAAAAAAATGGTAGCGCGGTAGTACCAGCTACTATTGCAATGCGCGACCCAGATTAAGGATATCATAATGTTGGCGCAATTCTCACAATTCACACTTTCAATAGTTCTATGACGAGGACAAAACGTGACCGTATAGCTTCTACAATCTGTCCCCATATGTTGAAAGAGATTTTGTAGGCCAAAGAGGAGGAGGGTATAGGGTTTTAATAATCAGAAAACTCTGAAATGCGCAAAGTTTGTACTAACTTTAAGTATACATTTCGCGTGTAGAGTCATCTTACAGAACCAACAATTGCAGATACCGCAGTCACTGTATCTAGTTCTAACAATCCATAACCGAGGATTGATTGAAGAAATTCCAATACCAACAATTGGCAGATGCAGGCTTAGATCAAAGATTGTAGGTATGGTGGTAGGGTCTCGCTTTAACGGTGTAGAGTCTACAATTTGGCTGCGTGGAGGGAAATCCCCTTTTTAGATCTCGCTTGTTGTTCAACGTGCTTAAATCGTGGAAAATGATGGATTTGGAACTCTGGTTTGGGTAAGGGGGAGATCTTTAATGGTGGTCAGTCATCAGTTTTGACTTACGGTGAAAATAGCGCGGTATTGTGTGTGTGATGAGTTATGACATAGATTTGAGGATATATTGATCAAAAGCGGTTCCGATAACACCATTGACATAAAACTTGATTGATAAGCTTGAGATGCATACTATGCTTTATACCCAGCCCGAGCTATTACGCATGTGTGAAACTCGGAAGCCGTTCCCTCACCAATAGTGTAATCAATCTCATGAGCCTATTCCATCTGCTTTTCCCATGCATTCTCCACCACAAACTAACGTCATCATTCCTTTTGGATGATTTTATATCTGAAATGACACGTGCCAGTGCATCAAGAGTAGTGGATAGACAGCGGCCCAATTTAAATTTTGGCCCTCCTTGCTTCACTTGAAGTAGAAACCCTCCGAGAGCCAGATCTCGAATCTAGTAGCTTTTATCGTTGGGAGGGCCACACAGTTGATGGGATTTGAGGATAACTTAGATTGATGTATTTGTCGTGAAGATGATGTTTAACATGCAATCTAGGGAAGAGAATAGTGAAAGAGGATTATGGATACAAGGAATTTGGCCTTTTATCTGGCTTACCTCGTAGTGTAGAGCAAGATTCTAACCTCAATTGACGTTGAGGTATCATGTAATTGTGCTCCCGGTGACCTCCCTGGCAGCTCAAGGGGAAGACCCAATTGTTCCAGCCGAGCTTCAAATAATGCTATTGATTAAACGCAACTCTTTTTTGAATATTTTGAATGGCTTCGAGTTGCAAAGCTCTGGGAACATATTCATACCACCAGAATCAATCAAGCAAGATTTTTAGCATTTCCGGTTTTCTTTGTTAGTATTGAAGCGATGAAAGTTCGCTCTTTCGCTCGAAATACGAATACGTCAGCCTCGTCTTATCAGCCTTGCCTCTGACCCTGCCCTCCCGAAAGGAAAATTGAAGCATAGTCCGAAAATTTCAGAAGTGCCCCTATAAAATCGTAGGAGAAGAGTACCAACTTTTAGCTTGAAGAATTTAAATATATTTAATGATTTAGTTGTTCAGACAATTTGGTAAAACCCCCGGGAACGGCTGCTCTGGCATGGAAGCTTCAGCCTTGCTTGCGGTACTCTAGCGAAAAGTCCATAATCCCATAACAATTCCATAGACGGTTCATCTCTCGACATAGCACTCCGCGCATCGATTCTCAGACGATGCTACAAGGGCTTTTTATAAGAATTCCTAAGAAGTGATAGCTAAGGTCATTGGATTTCGAAAACTGTCATACATCTTCCCCAAAAGTGAGGCCACCAAAAGTCCGCAACATTCACGATGGCGATTACATTACCACAATTCGGCGCAACCCGGCTAAGATCATACATCCTTCGTTTACCTCTGTTCACAAGATGCATAGTAGCGATCATATTCATACTATGGCTTGTAAGTTTGCAGTCAGCTTGGGATTTACAGAAATGGGGTGGCTTGTACCCAAATGAGGTTGGGTTGCAGTCAAGTAAATCTACCATCTCATACAACACTCGACCTATTGTTACGGATCATGAAGCTAATTTGACGTTATTATAGTGTACCGCACAAATACTTTCCCATTGATACATATGGGTTTCATACACATGATAATGAATACCATTGCTCTAACTCCATTGTTGGAGAGATTTGAGGCAGAATATGGGACGTTGACCACATTGGCATTATTTATGGGCCGTAGGTTTCTCTTGAAGAGGATGGTATTAGAAAGGTAAAGCTAATGGTTATGTAGCTTTGTCGACGATTCCTGCATTAATATACACATTCGTGGAAAGGGGGATCTTCCATATGAACACAGGAGTGATGGGTGCCAGGTAAGGAAACATACATCAAATTCTACTAAGAAATTTCCTGCTAACAAAGACTTCAGTATTTGGGTTTTCACTTTACTTGCAATGGAAGCGATCAAGACATATAAAACAAACCCAAACTTCGTTTTGGGTACAGTCCAAATTCCAACGTGGACAACACCAATTATTCTTACACTATTTATCTCCTTCTTGGTACCACATACCAGCTTCCTTGGTCACCTTTGCGGACTTGTTTTTGGTTATGGATGTTAGTACCCCTCTTATGCCATGGTTCGGACCGCTAACTAACTTTCATAGGGGGCCTTGGTTATCTCAAATTCTTAGCTCCACCAGAGAAGATTTTAAGATGGATTGAAGGAAAAATGAATCTTTTGGGTAGATTACCACACTACGTTTCTGTTGACCAAAAAACTGTTGGAAGATATGGTCTATTACCTACCACCAACAATCCAATCATCTCATCGGACACAAACATTGCTCTAGGATTTCCCGGCCAAGCACAACGATTGGGACCTTAAAATATTGAAGCAGTGATTTCCCTTCTCTATGTACAAAGACTACGCATAATTACGGAGTTCGGATGTTCTGGGAGCGGTCATGCTTTGATGTTAAAATGGTGGAAATGGAATATGATATACGGCTTTGGTTTCTACTTTGGCTTCAGGTAGATAGACTGCTGATAGCTTCAGGCATACGGTCAATTTATGATTGTATGCTTTTTAATGACAACTATGTAACTAGACGAAACCATTTGGAGCTCGTCAGGCTGTGTTTAAAGTTATCAATTCTTTGCAGTATCCATGTGAACTTTAAAGCAGTGAATCAGGTGTAAAACCAAATGTCCAATGCTATGATTATGATGAACGTTTATAAATTCCGGCAAACTTGCGTCTCCTTCGGACGGAAAAGTTAACCTTGAGCCAAAATCTCTCGCGTCGGCTCCTGACCTGATTTCGCGTCTCCCGAACCTCGTCTCAATTCTGGTACATTTTGGCAAGGCTGACAACCCACCTAAGCTTCGAGTTCCCAATGTGAGAAAAACAACGCTCCGGACTTCGTGAGGACTTTTATTTCTGAGCCATGGGGCTACTGTGTACGTATCTGTATCTGTTAAAGACCACAATTCTAACAATAGCAAGCATCCACCGTCTTGCGATATGCGCCGGTTCGCAAATTACCACCATATCTATCCTTTCTCTGCATAGCCATAGGTGTTGCATGGCTGCTACTTTTACCATTGAACGATTACTCGAGGAATACTTATGTTTCGGAAAATGCACTTTTGCCTGGACAAGTCCATACCTATTTCGCGGGAAGTGATCAGAATGTTTTTCGAGGGTATAAGAAGGAGATTGATGCTTTGGGGGAAAGTAGTAATGTTGAGTATGTGTGAAAGCTGCCAAAGCGCATTACGATTGAAGGATATAGCTGATTTTTGCGTACAGAGTTAATGATAAACTCGAGGAATTCTTGAAAGCTACGGGCCTTAAGGTTGCGAGACAAAAGTACGAGTATAAATCTGCGGGTGAGGTTCATAGAGGAGAGAATGTGTATGCGATTTTACATGCACCTCGAGGTGATGCCACAGAAGCAATTGTGTTGGTAGCGGCTTGGAGAAATATAGATGGAGAGTTGAATCGAAGTGGTGTTCCTTTGGTTCTTACTCTGGCGAGATATTTCAATCGTTGGTCTTTGTGGTCAAAGGATATTATATTCCTGATCACAGCGGATAGTAAAGCTGGTCCTCAGGCTTGGGTTGATGCCTATCACGATACTCACCAGTCGCCTGCCGTTGAGTCGCTGCCTGTCAAGAGTGGAGCTCTTCAAGGAGCTGTTGTGATTGATTATCCTTTTGATCATCGCTTTGAATCGATCCATATCGTCTACGATGGAATCAATGGTCAACTTCCTAATCTCGATCTCTTCAACACCGTAGTCTCAATTGCTAGTGGTCAAATGGGTATCAGAGTCTCACTACAGAAAATGTGGCAGCACAGCGATAGCTACCAAGACCGACTCAAGACTATGTTACGCGGTATGATTAATCAAGGATTAGGTCATGCTTCGGGACCTCATAGTAGTTTCATCCCATATCATGTGGATGCCATCACACTCCAACCATTTGGAATCGGCTGGCAGGATGAGATGGCTATGGGACGAGTAATCGAAAGTACATTTCGAAGTTTGAACAACTTGTTGGAACATCTGCATCAAAGTTTCTTCTTCTATTTATTGATGCAAGCTAACCGCTTCGTGAGTATTGGAACCTATCTTCCAAGTGCTATGCTAGTGGCCACGAATTTTACTATTATGGCTATTTACCTATGGGTAAAAAGTGGTTGGCCCAGTCCTGCGAAGACGAAATCATTGAAGTCTACGGAAAAGGGCGAAGAGAAGGAGAAGACTCCTTTAGTGGTCGTGGAAGCCGGAGACGCAAAGGCACTCGTTCCACAAAAAAATCTCCAAGTCCGCGAACGCAAACTCTTTCTACCTCTAGCTGTTGTAGCTGGATGTCAATTCTTAGGGCTTGTTCCCCTTTCCATCTTTAACCATACATCTAAAGCCGTACGTTTCTATCTTCCTCCCTGCATCTCCCAACCAAATTCATGTACAAACTAACATTAGATATCCTCTCAGAACCTCCCAATAGTCTTCATCATCTTTTCCATCCTCAACACATTCCTCCCCCTAGCCCTCTCCACCATCCTCCACTCCACCTACTGCACACCCCCCACACCCCACCAACTATCCCTCATCCAATCCTTCTCCCTCCTCCTCCTCGGCATGTACCTCTCCTCCCTCGCTACCCTCAATTTCTCCCTCTCAATCCTCATCGGTATCCTATCCACGCCCTTATCATACATTCGTCCACTGGGCCACAAACCCATCCTCGCTTCTATACTCGTTATATTGCTAGGTGTATTGGCACCTTCAACTGTATTGCTTGTGGGAGCGAAGTATTGGGGTCTGGATGTGGGAGATGTTTTGGTAGAAGCGGCTTTTGGATGGGATGTTTGGGGGATGACGACGCAGGTGGTGGTTTGGTGTGTTTGGTGGCCTGCGTGGGTGGTGGGTGGTATGTTACTTTTTGGGAAGCCGAGGGAGGAGGAAGAGGAGAGGCTTGACGGGAGTGCAAATGCGGTTGAAGGGAAGGTGGTGGAAGTTAGGGGTGGACTAGAGAAAAAATAAGGTGACTATTTGGTTGCACGATGTATTTATACGAATGTAGTAATGCATCGTAATCAGCGAAGTTGGAATATAACATAGCAAGGGTATTCTTCTCATATATCATTTTATTCTATTCTTTCTCAGCACAAATGCAACTGCCCACAAGCATGCATGTAGGAGAAGGAATATCTATTTTACAGTCCCATGCAAGCCGAAGACGCCATTCTTGCCTTTTCATTCATGATCATGATTTTACTGCTCATGCTGCCCACACATCCTGACCTTTCGACTCGATCCAGTTACCCAGTGAGTTAACGCTAGAATCCCATTCCTCTAGCCGTGTACGCATACCCTCAATTTGTGACATGTCCAATACCTTAGGTTGTACCCAATTGATACGTGCGATTTCGTCCACTTGATCAATACTTCCCCGCAATAAACCTAAGCTCAAAGCTTTCATGATCAAATGCTCAATTTCGTCAGGACGGACTTTTGTTTCTTCAGAGATTGTACGGAACGTCATGGCGCGGTCGTGAGGAGGGCGACGGAAAACGGCTTCAGTAAGAGCTGCGAGGTAGATCTTTTGTTTGAGTGCGTCGCGATGTTGTGCGAGGAGAGGGTTGGAAGTGATGTGACCCGCGAGTACATCGTAGGCGGCAAGATCACCACGGTTGAAAGCGAAGAGGAGATCTCGGAGCCAGGCGTCATCCTCTACGAGAGTGTCGAGGATGGGGTGGAGAAGGAGCTCACCAAAGTTGTAAATTGTGTCGGATACAAGTGCTGCGATACTCAAATCGTAGGCTCGGTTTTTGCGCTCAGAGGGGGTGAGATCATTGAGGTTGATACAGGCTAGGTATAGCAGGGCGTTTTTGTAATACGATGCGAATTCCAATTTGGACTGATAGTACTCTGCGTTAACCCGGTAGAAAGCAGCATGTACGATTGTCTCCACGGAGTCAAATCCATCTAATATCTTCTCTGATTTATCCAAATCCTTCCTCGCCCCATATTGATCTTGCAGTTCTAATTTGACAGTAGCCACGGCCACAGTTGCGTATACGTATGCATCTTGGGAATTTGGGTTATCGACTTTCTTTGCTACAGCCTCCAGGAAAGACAAGCGCTCTTGACTGTCTAATGCTAGGTTAGCAGTTATTTTAGAGCCTTCATGATTAGTCTATTACCTTTACACTGCGAAGCTGCGCTTAAAGCAAGAGTAACAAGCTTCAACTGGTTGATCTTATCGGCGAATGTGAGGATGAATGTCTTGTATATCGGTAATCGTTGGGAAGCGCTTTCTTTGTGATTGAAGAACTCAACAAGAGTATCCGTCAGTTGATGCCACAGCTTCTTTTCCCATAAATCTTCGAAGGATAAGAAAAGGTGTTGAAGGTCTGCTGGCGCAGCATCGCGTTGCTCCCCAAGAAAGTCGGGGATTGCATCGGCATTCATGATGATTGAGTGCGGGGTGAGGTGAAGTAGAATTGGTTTGTTCCTGGTTCCTGGTATCTAACTACCTAGTATACACCCCTCAAAATTAATAAAGGTGGTATCGTTTGGGTATCTTTTTGTGTTTGTAAATGTTTGAAATTGAAGCTGTTTAGTTGGAGTTTTGATATGTTCAAGGCGAGGCAACGAGAGAGCTGCGCAAGGTCGGACCTAACCTTATTTAGACTAGGTTAATCCGCGGCTGGAATCCCGCGAGGTCAATCGACAACTTCAACATCAAGTGAATTTGAACCCTGCCAACTGCATTTGCGTCTGCGATTCAATTGATTTGTAACTCAGTCGCAAGAATGCAGAAATCCTGCAGTCCATCGGCTTTAAACAGTCTACGGACTGCTGTGCGATTAGAAAGAGGCATTAAGAATGTACCTTTGAGCAGGAAGTTATCTGATGTCACTATTACAAGGACTGGAAAGCCCATTATTCGTACCCAGGGCGGCAGGTGAGCTCTTGTACTATGATTCTCAGTCTTGTGGACACTCTTGCTGATGTGCCGTTCTTTAGATCGTCTCTTGGAGGTATATCATCCACAAAAACCCCAATCAACACAAGCCTAATTTGAATCTACAGGACATACTGCAACGGTCTTTGGTGCGACTGGATTCCTCGGACGTTATATTGTGAACAGACTCGGTACAAAATCTCTATGTATTCCGTAGAGCTACTTGGACTGACGAGTGTGGTGGTTTAGCAAAACAAGGATGCACAGTTATTGTTCCGTTTCGGGAAGAAATGGCCAAACGTCATTTGAAGGTTTCCGGTGATTTGGGTAGAGTCATATTCATGGTACGACAGAGGCTTATGGGACAAAATATTGGTCAGGCTGACTGATTGCCGATAGGAATACGACTTGAGAAATACACAATCTTTGGAGGAAAGTGTCAGGCACTCTGATGTAGTCTACAACCTTGTTGGACGTAATTATCCCACCAAGTATGCATCAAATCAAGAGTAGATGGGAGATATATGCTCATTAATATCAGGAACTTCGATCTCGAGGATGTACACGTTGAAGGAGCGGAGCGAATTGCAGATGCCGTTGCCAAATATGACGTGGACAGATTCATTCACGTTTCTTCCTACAATGCGGATCCTAATTCACCCTCTGAGTTTTACAGAACGAAGGTATATGATGTACTCCTTCCAAAGCATTGGCTCATATGGTTAACATACCTTCTATAGGCAAGAGGTGAGGCAGTCGTACGCAGTATATTCCCAGAGACCACAATTGTGAGACCAGCTCCGTTGTTTGGTTTCGAGGATCGTCTTCTCCACAAACTTGCCGGATTCACCAACCTCCTCACATCTAACCACATGCAAGAGCGCTATTGGCCAGTCCATGTATGTTTTAAATCTTCTATTTACATGGTTCTCTGCTAACCATATCTTCAGGCACCTGATGTAGGCCAAGCACTTGAGAAAATGCTTCAAGATGACAATACTGCATCCCAAACATATGAGCTCTATGGCCCCAAGAATTACTCAACGGCCGAAATTGCCGCCTTGGTGGATAGAGAAATCAACAGCCGTCGCCGACATGTCAACTTACCAAAGAAGATCCTCAAGCCAATTGCTGAAGTCTTGAACAGAGCTCTTTGGTGGCCTGTTCTCTCTGCTGATGAGGTTGAGCGGGAATTCATTGACCAAAAGATTGATCCTTCCGCAAAGACGTTCAAAGACCTAGGAATCGAGCCAGCTGAGCTCAGTAGTCTTACTTTCCACTACCTGGTATGTACACTCTTCCATGTAAATTTCAATCAAGCAATGCTAATTTTAAATAGTTGGGATACCGAAGTGCTGCATATTACGATTTGCCTCCATCGACGGAGCGTGAGAGGAGGGAGGAGAAGAAATATTTGCATGTCCTTGATGACCAGTAGAAGACTGGTTCTGGTTATGGGATGTATTCATAATAGCATGCGAATTGTACATATGCCAAATTTATTTGAAAACACTTTTTGTTGTATGTGATACTTGAATTTTGAACAACCGCTTGAAGATGATAATCTTCTTTGAAATTTAGCCGGAATGAGGAAACCGCTTTCTCCAAATCATTCCGATTTCGTTGGTATATCAATAAATTTCATCAATTTGTTTGAAGTCAAGTTGAAGAGACCTCTCTAGCCCCACATTTTTACCCCTCCAAAATTTTACAGTATCACGTTCCTTGAAAATAACTTCGAATATCAACAATGGAGAACACAGACGAAGACGATATTCCGTAAGCTCACTACGATTACAAAAATATCCCCGAGACGTCACTAACGAAACTACTGAAAGCGTTCTATCGGGCTCAGCGCTGGATGCACTGAAAGAGTTTTACGCAGATCGAGATGCGCATCAGCAGAAATTCGAAGCCTTGAAGCAGCGGGCTGAAGATCAGGCTGATGGTGTTCCATTGACTATGGATGCCTTTGCTGAGGATTGGAATGAATCGCAATTTTGGGTCAGTTTTCTTGAATTCGGTTATTCTGTTTGAAATTTTGAGGTTGGGGGCTGGAATGCTCATGATATGGAGATGTAGTATTCCAATGAGACAGCTATAATTCTTGCGCAGGAACTCCTGACAGATGCGGTTGCTGAGACGGTTATTGCGGTTGTCTCGGCTCCGAGTGTTTTTATTCAGTTGAAGAATATTGTTGTAAGTTCAGTTCGTAGGTTGTGATGCACGTGTGTGGACAAGAAGATTAACATTTGGAAGGCAGGGTGGCCGGTGGATAAGAGGCCAAACCTTCATTTGTTGGAGTTTGATGAGAGGTTTGGGGTTTTTCCTGAGTTTAGCTTCTATGATTTTAATAATCCCTTGAAGCTTCCTTGTGAGTTCTACAAGCGCTTGGGTTGACGTGCGGCTGGACTTTTACTGATAGGTAGGAAGCGCATTTGAAGGGGTGTGCTGATCGTGTTATTTGCGATCCGCCATTTTTGAGCGAGGAGTGCCAAACTAAAGGTATATAATCATTTGGTTCGTGGATGTGGTTCTTAGCATACTAAGTTGAATTTTCTAGCATCTCTAACTATTCGATGGCTGTCAAAGTCATGGGGTCAAAACGAATCGTTGATGTCATGGGGTCAAGAACAATCTGCGTCGCCGTCGAAGCTCATCGTATGTACCGGTGAGCGTGTAGGAGATATTGTGAATAAGCTTTATCGACCGTAAGTATTCATTTCTATATTGGTGGCATATTAACTCATATAAAATAGACAAGGTATTGCAACTACGACTTTTCTTCCTGTACACGCGAAGGGGTTGAGTAATGAGTTCTTTTGTTTCGCGAATTTTGAATGCGAACACTGGACGTGGAGAAAGCCAGAAGAGAAGTAGTATACGAATGGCTAAAAGAGTATCTTATTTCCATGATAGAAGAATCAGGTACATTCAAAGAGCGGCTCGCGCCTTTAATTTCCATCTATCTTGCTCCTGGACCACTTTCTCATCCGCTTGCAACTTGTTTAATATCTGTAAAATGCCACCATTCGCTGGTACGTGAAGGCTCTCGGGTACATCCCTATATACAATCTTCACAATCTCCATCGAGGTCCATTCATCAGCTTCTTCATCCCTGGTAATAGTGACTCCAGGTCTATTCTTTGCAGACTTCAACACCTGGATAACCTGGGACTCCCTTTCCTTTCTGTGTCTGATATACTCTCCGATTTTAGCAGGTCCATCTTCTATCACTGCTCCATGTCCTGGATATGCTTTACCACTAAAGATGCCCTTCATTCTTTCAAGGCTGTTCAAGTAAGTCGTCAGGTCTTCAAAGACTGCGGTACCATGCCCCAAGACATTATCTCCGGTGAACATGGCATCTTCTTCCTCGAATATTAATGCCATGTGATCTTGGGTATGACCGGGCGAATGAACTGCACGGAGAGTTGCGCCGTCGGTTGAAAATATTTGACCATCTTTTATATCTGTTTGTCCCTCACCCGGACGATTTTTGTGGATGATGGTTTTCGGCGAGTACTCTAATAAGTGGTCAACTCCCTTCACATGATCATGGTGCCTAAATCTTTAATTAGTGGTCGAAGTGCAATTCATAACGCGGATAAGCCCTCACCAATGCGTGAGAATACAAGAGCTAATCGTAGCTTGCTCTTTCTCCAAAGTATCCTTTAAATTCCTAATCCAACTCTCCCTTCCTTCCCCCGTATCAATCAACAATCGATTTTTCCCCTTCCCGACAAGATATGTATTCGTCCCTACACCCTCATTAGAAATATGAACTACCTATTCCATACTCTTCAGATCGTTTATGTACCCTGCAAAGTAAACTATTTGATATCAGCTGACAATGCCCCATGTGATCCCCTTTCAAAATCCTCACCTTTCCTGGATTTCCACCAAGGATCCGAATTACGGTAGGACTCAATCTTTCGACGTCCGGCAGGGAGACTAGTTGAGTTGCCATTTTCTTGATGGTGTTTTTGAGGGATAACATAAAGGTGGATAAAGGAACATTGTGAGTAGATGGGTCTTGAAAATGATGCAATGCCGATAAGCCTCGGTTCATTGATGGATTGTTTGATAAGCATGATTTAGTAGGAGTAAAGTAAGTAAAATATCACTCTTTTTGGCTTTTGAGCTGATGGTTATATAGTGATTAGGTGGTTATGATACAGGATTGTCAGGAGAGTATAGAGAGAGATATCCATCTATAATAGGCTCAGTTTGAAACTTGATCTGCTATTCTTCTTATGGGTTTGGGTTGTAACTTTGCTTGACAAGGGACAAGGCAAGTCTAATTAGCTTGACGATACAAGTAGAAAACGAAGATATACTAAGTATCTGCTACTTCGATTCTATCACACCCAACACTGGATAACGTGAGAAGAAACCCGTTTCGTGATTACATTTTGTATCACAATTAACGTTGCATGTATTTTGGTACTAGGGCACATAAGTTCAATAGGGGACAGCCCCGAAAATAGCCTTGAAATAATGCCACTTATAAATTTCACCGCCCGCCCGATTTTCCGCAAGGCTCAGCCAATTTAAGCATCATCAATCAATATTAATATATATCAAGAAATCAAAAATCCATCAACGAATCTACGATTTGTCACAATTGTAGGAGATCTACACATTTTGAAAAAAATGTCTACTTCTAGACCAGCAACTCCAGCTTCTCCTCGATATATAAAGATCAAATCACCACAACCTGGGGTTCCGAAATATGGCTGTCGTATGTTTCGCAATCCACTCGTGGCGCATTCTCAGCCTTCTCATCAATTGCTAATATGGCATCCTAGTGCATATTCAACTACTCTTGAACCCGGATAATGAGGAACGTATGAAAAATACAATTACATATTATAAGAATTGTTTGAGAGTGGTTCTAGATAATACTCCAATTGTTCCACAAACATCTAAGACTCCGAAAGGCCCGCCCCTCACTTCTCTGACGCCAAATTATCTCTGTTTGCAATGTGACCGGACGGCTACGGCGCAGGATCATGTGAAGCATGGCCAGGAAACTTCGCATAGATTTTGTATGTTGGGGTTGTGGTGCAAGTGTTTGCGACTCCGCTAATTGGTGGCAAATTAGATGTTGAATCGAGGACGGGGGCTTTGTTTTGCCAAATGTGCAATGATTTTGTATGGGATCCTACACTAGAGGAGTTAAGAGTGAGAAAGACAGGGACTGGCTCTTTTTCTAGTAAGTCACGTATGAGTTATATGCCTCCCCCAAGCCTTGTTCTGGCAAGCCTCGATTATGAACTTTTCAGCGACACTGGCTACACTCCTATAAAGTTGCATATTAAATCTCCAAAATGACTCCCTTCTAGTTTCCTTTATGCCACCTCTCATTTCTCTTTATCCGTTGTATCCATTGTATCTCCACGCGGAATACTGATTTGCTTCTCTCTTAAGGTCGAAAACGAAAACACGATGAGCTTTTTACAGACGCTACGAAAGAGGACCCAAGATTTATATCCACAAATACCATGTCCGCTCCTTGTAGAGCAAGTGGTGTTAGGGGTATTTATAACATGGGAGCTACCTGTTACATGAACGTCATTCTTCAGTCCTTCGTTCACAATCCTCTACTTCGAAATTTTTATCTCGGAGATGGTCACCAAGCAAGCGAATGCGAACAAAAAAATTGTATGAGTTGCGCTATGGATGATATGTTTCAAGATTTTTACTCTCAAGAAATTACAACAGGATACTCAGCTTCGAATATACTTGCCAGCTTTTGGCTTTCAAAGAGAAAAGCATACGAAGAATTAGCAAGTAACAAAGAGCAAGACGCTCATGAGTTCTTTCAATTTCTTACAGAAGAATTACACGAAATTAATGGCGGGTCACGAGCAAGCGATCGAGAAGATAGCAGTCCAAATCCTAAGCGGTCGAAAATGGATCAAGGCTGCAAATGTATTGTGCATCAGACATTCTATGGGAAGCTTCAAAGTACTATCACCTGCCAAAATTGTGGAGACGTAAACACATCAGTCGAGTCATTTCTAGATCTAAGTTTAGGTCTTGATGTTATTCAGAAAAAGAGCAAGCTAAAAGCAGCTTCCGGCACAATCAGTCTCCAACGTTGCCTAGATGAAGAGTACATTCGGGCTGAACGTTGTGAATATTCATGTCATCAATGCGATACTCAAGAGGCAAAAAAGCAACTCAGTATCAAAAGTCTGCCAAACGTTTTGTGTATTCAGCTTAAGGTAATTCTTCTTTTTACCTCCGTTACTAGGTTACAGTCCAATCAGAACTAACCCGAAAATAGCGCTTCAAACAAGATCCTAGAGGCCTAGCCTCAAAAATTGATACCACTGTCACATTTCCACTTCAGCTACATATGCTTCCTTATACCAATCGAGCACGTGGTCAAGACACAAAGAATAATTTCGAGTTGGCCAGGTCGTGTACTTATGATTTACAAAGTGTTGTGGTTCATGTTGGAAATTTGGAGACTGGTGAGCAAGCACCTCTTTCCTTGTTATCCTTCATCACTCCATGTCTTGTGTGAGGTATGTTTATGATGAGATTGCTAATCAGAGGTGTTTAAATAGGTCACTATGTATCCTACTCTCGAGTGGGAAATCAATGGTTTAAGTTCAATGACCATAATGTTACATTGGCTAGCAAGAGTCAAGTGTTAAATGAACAGGCTTTCCTTTTATTTTACGTTATTCAAAGTCTAGCGTAATGATATATGGTGAGTGGGAGTGGCACAAGTGGATTACCCATCATATAGATAAAAACAGAAACGTTGAAGAAGATGTCACATGGGAGCATAAGAGGAGAGACAGAAGTGGAGTGCTGAGGCATGGCATGGCATATACACAAAGTATTTCGGACTGGAGTTGAGGAATAGGGGTTTCGCATCCAGAAGGCGTTAAAGTTGCGGGTTTTGCTTGATGGGATATGGAGCAGGAATTTGATATGGTATGGTACGGTATGGTATGGTATGGCATGGTTGGTAATTCAAGAATTATAGAGATTCGATGGGGAGGGGACTGGGTGGGGGCTTTTCTAAAGGGTATTCCTTTTCCTTTTATATCTTTCTTCGTTGGAAGACTTGTTTATATTTATTTACTTACTTTTTGCTTCTTACTTCTTACTTACTTGTTTACATATACCCATTCTCAATATATTTTGAAATTGTACTTTTGTGGGTTTTTGGCTTTTTGAGTGCGAGTGAGAGATGTTGGCCCGGGGGGGCAAAGTGGGGTGGGGCTTGAGAGGGCGGCAGGAGAAAGACAAAAGGGAAATGAAAATTTGGGATTGAAAAGCTGTTTTGGATTATTGTTGTTATTGCTGTTGTTGTTTAAGAAGATACATATTGATGATGTTTTTATGACTGACTGAGTGATTGAGTGACTGTTTGTTCGTTCGGTGGGGTGAATATTTGAAGGTTTTAGGGTTTGAGGTTTTGCATCCCAGTTTGCAGTTTCGATAAAGGTTGGAGAAGGTAGATAGAATAAAGATGTAAAGAGAATAGGGAAGTGAAGAAGAACGAGGAATAAAGATTTGGTTTTTTTGGTATCACTCCGGTGATACTATTCGTATAATACTATTATAGTATATGTTTGATTCTTGATTATTGTTACGAGGGATGCGATCTAGATCACGTGGAAGTGGCCTGGATCCTCGAAAGGTTTATAACTAGGCGTCAAGCAGGAGCTTTAAAGTAATATCAATGGTTGCAATTCGTAACTAATAGTAGAGTATACTAAATGATTGATCTTGAGCACGAAGCTCTACAAAAGGAATCCTTTCCTAGCTATATAGACCTTCGTATCAATTGGATCATAAGGATCTAGTGGATCTAGGATACGATTCTCTAGATCCCCTAGATCCTATGATCCATCACGTGACTACGGTCAGACCATATGTCCGAGCTTGCTAAAGGTGGGGAGACCACATGAGGCGATTACCATACAAATTTGTATGCAAATCGCCTTGCTTTTCGATAGGGCCTAAGCTCATGTGGACAGGTTGACTGTTACCTTGTAACAATTATCACTAATAACTATATAATATAAAGATCTATTTATATTCAAAAGAGAAGAATTAAAGTCTACTTGTTGTATAATCTCTTTCTTATATAGTAATTATATAATATATCGATAAGGTTTAAATTAAGTCGATTTATAAAGATTAAATAATATATAAATGAAATTTAATATATATAAATAAAGAAGTGAAGGGGTAAAGAGATAAAAAAAATAACATTATAAATTATTAAATTATTAAATAAAAAAATAAATTAAAAATTGAGAAGTTGAGATAAAATAAGATTTAATTGAATTAATATAAGAATATAAAAGATCACTTTTATTATAAATGCTTTTAGAGTATAAATAAAAAATCTATAATTATTATAAATTATAGTTTTTCATTTATTATTTTAATATATAGTTGACGAAATGCCGAGTTATTAATTTGTAATACTTTACAAAAACCTTTTAATATTTATATATTAGATTATATTCAATTTGAAATTAGAATTTTATTTATTTATAAAAAAAAAACAATTTATTTACTTTAAAAAAGAAAATGAAAAGCTTTAATATTATCTTAAAACTAATTGATTCTTTATTATATATAACTTTTATATTTTTGTTTATTAAAAAAAAAAAAAAGTTTCTAAATTTATTTTAAAAATCTTTTAATTCTTTTTATATGTGACGTACAAGAGCCTTATAAGACCTGAATAAACAGGGTCAATTATATTCCTTAGAATCTACAACTGAAAACTATAACTCGTAGAGAGCATCTATATATATACAAAATACCTATACACTAGCTGCACGGTTGTGCACATCGGTTATTAAGGTGATCATAATCCCATACTAAAAAGAGTAAATCGAAACTCAAGTGCACAGCCTACCGATAGGAATTGTCGATCAATTAGAATCACGTGATCGTCTTTTATACAAGGTCCGTGACATTATATAGATTAAAAAAGATTTAAAATTTAAATTTAGATTTAATATATAAGTATAAAGAGAATAAATTTTATTAAATTAAAAAATAATATTTTATTTAGATTTTTGAAATATTATATAAATCAAAGTGTAATAATTAGATCTGACATTGATTGTTTTAAAAGAATATATTAATATAATAATAAATAAATATCCAGTAATATTCATCGACAAATCTATATAAGACTTATATATTTATATAGTAATGTTTTAAAGAAATTCCGGGATATGAGATACCGATGCATAAAGAAAGGGTTTTGATAGTATGGTATGGGATGGTAGTACCGGGTGTTCCTAAGGAGTATTGCAGGTGATGTGTATATATGAATGAGGAGTTGCTGTTTTAATGATTCTATCTGGGAGTAATCAAGAAACAAGGCTTTTCTGTAGCTACTGAAGACCTTCTCAGCTTATGTTGATTGTTTCATATATCTCTGGGATGGATCGGTGATGGGTGTCAGCTTACTTATTGGTGCAGGTGTGACCGTCTGATATATTACTGATAAGTTACTGATTTAGTATGTTGAACTCCGTGGTATATCGAGGAATAATAGCAAACTTCAAAGATAGGCACTTTATGATCATGATCTAATAGATCGTTTGAGTTTGTTGTGAACAGGTGATTAAATTCCGATCGAAGATGGGATACAGACAGTACTATTGGAAACGGGAGAATGCGACGCTGTGGCTCGGAGATAAGATGCGGACAGAATGGAATTCCTAAATGCCGTGACCAACAGGTGCGTTATGATGGGATGGGGTGCAGGAGTTGTGTCCGATATCCGATGTATCCTTGTTTGAGCCTTTGAGGTGAGAGTGGGAGCTAGGACCCCGCGTTTATGGATGGATGTGAGAAAGGATGTGGGAAGCGAACTGTAAAGATGTTTTCGGTGGGGCTAGACATCGGACAGGTTGTGGATTGCGTCAACGTTAGATGAATGGAATACATCAATGCTTACGGAGTACATGCTTAGATGATGGCTGGTCATGTTATCTGGTTAATGTAAGAGGCGTAGAAGTAGCAGCTGTATTTCCTATTTTGAATATTCGTAGGAAGTTCTGTGGAAAGACGGCGTAGGAAATAAGACCTACATTGTGACCGAGTTTGTGTTTTTGAAGAAGCTGGGTCTGTAAGCCCCGATGAATTTTGATAATCAGATGATGAATACGACTCTTGCCGGGAGAAACATGGCATGTGCAAAATCAAAGAGTGGACGCCTTGTTGATTTATCGATGTCCACCATAATTCCGATGTATCCGTCTGTAACTTTGATAATTTGTTCCACGTGCCGTATGCAAGAAGTCGAAATGGTGATTAGATTGTCCCACCCAAATGCCGAAGAGTTTTCACACTTCATTCCTACCTTACTGAATGGGAAATGGTGAAGATATTGATGAATCATGAATGACTCTTCGGGAAAACCGGAGTTGGATGGTCGTTGAAATGGCTCGACTGTTGGAGTAATAAATGTGGAGGTAAGGCACGAAAACTTATTAAGAAAACGTGGTGGTTGGATGATCTTTGCGATGATGTTGCATGTCATGTTGCATGGATAGTAAGCAAAGTGTGAGGAATATTCTTTTCTCTCCTTGGTGCAGTCTTTATTGACTTGCTGTTTTAATGGAAAAGGTAGCTGAGAGGAAATGGATTATTAATTATTGATTGATTATTCAAGGATCGGAGTATACTTGGCTTGATGTGTCGATTGTGTTGTCAGACGTCTGGTTGGGATGTATTGGTTGAGAGAACATAAGAATGAAGGCGGCCTGAATCCCACAAACGGTTTTATGTTGATATCGAGGAGATGGAGAAGATTCACATAGAAATTCAGCTATCTAATCGTGAAGGTATGAAGGTACGATGGCATGAAAGTATGAAGGGATAAAGGTATAAAAGTATGAATGTTTTGTCGCGCAGTTGTTTCCTTTGCACGGATGTTGTCCATTTTGGCTTGTTGATGTAGCTTGTAGATACCTACCCACTCTCTCACCCCACGTCATGCCCGTTACCCATGCACGCCAAGCCCTATAGCTTTTTGATGCATTTGCTAAAGTGATATGAGGATTTGTGGAATGGATGGCTTCTGTAAAGTATTGTTACATCGTCGTTAGACAATTAAAACATGTAAAATTTTAAAGGAAAATAAGAAACAGAAGGTTATTGACAATCACTTGGAATATGATATCGCTGATTCATCCGATTCTAAATGCCGCCGCTTGCGGTACTTGGCTTCAAAATGTTGGCTTAGTCATCTATCAAAATTATCTTAGTCTTGTTATTATTATTCTCCGAGGAATATATTCTTTTGGATACAACAACCGTAAGAATAAAACAACCACCAAAAACAGCATCGACTCGACTTTCGCAAACACAATGCCGCAAATCAGTGCCGCAACATCCAATCCCTTGTCATTCGAAACCTTGTACTAGCTGTAGCTGACCTTCATCTACGGAGTATATGCACTTTTTTATCAACATCAATCAATATGGCGCGAAATCGGTCAGTGGAGTGAGAAAATTCATTGTTTCATTCGACATCGGCATTCACGGACTTATGACCGTTAGCACTTTCTTTCCTTTAATTGTTAATTCATTTCATCATGGGAATCTTATTTATTTGTCGTCATGTTCCCCATTATGTTCCACCTCTTTCCGATCTCTTTACACACATTTCCTTTTTGGCATAAGAATATTCTTCTAGAATATTTCTTTCTTTTGTTCCGCAATTTTGTTTTCATCAGTACACATATCTACTGAACGCCCGCACTTGTTATTTGCCTTTGCCTCTTCACTATTCAATATACCCTGATACCCTAGATTATTTCAGCCGTGTATCTGTTGACGCACGACTTATTTTTTACTGTCATCGCATTTTGAACTACTAGCACTGTACGAAATCGATACAGATGCCTTCATATATGCGAAACCTCACATTATATAGCAGTCTTATACTGCTTGGACTTTTACCTCTAATAACCGCACACGGCGATGGCGAACCAGAAATGGATATGGGCATGCAGATGAGTTCAGTAGCTGCTACTATAGCTACAGCTACGGATTCAACTGTTGTAAACAACACCAAGGTAGCTGAATCTAGTTATTTTCAACATCCTGAACTTGGAGGTCTCATGGTAGCTCATATTATACTCATGACCATAGGATGGGTATTCGTTCTCCCATTATGTGAGTAGCTCAAAAACAATGAATGCCTTCAAAGATCTAATATATTTCAGGTGTGATGTTCTCAATTGCTCGATCTCGATTAAGTCTCCCTACTCAATTCGTATTCGTAGCCTTCAATGGCGGTGGTCTCTTCTGCAGTATAATATACAATGCCTCCACTCCGGACTTATATCCGAATAATATACATCATAAATTGGGGTGGTTTTTGATATGCTTAATTGCTGCACAAGGGGTAATTGGGGTGATCCGTGCCTACGCAGGGCGCAAAGGGGAGAAACAGGAGAACTCCGGGTATATTCCGATTTCGAGAGAAGCAATGGCAGAGCATACCCGTATGCATGAAAGGCCTAAACCTGTTACTAGATTTTCGGATGATAGTGGACAAGGCACGGAACCAACTACTGAATCTTTACGAAGTCATTCAATATCTTTGTCTGGAGATGACGAAAATACTCTACATGAATCAGAAAAGGATGAGCCGGAAAAAGTGGGTTTGATAGAAGGTACCCGGGTGGATCAATACCTATCAAAACGACTTCCAGGATTCCTTTCCGCACGCATTTTAAGCATAATTGGATTTGCACACGACGTTGTGAATCGAGTAATACTTCTCTTTGGTTTTGCTATTCTTACGTCTGGATTTGTCACATATGGTGGTTTATTCGTAAGTTTTGTCAGTACTATGAAGATATCTCCCATTACTAAACATTATCGCAGAAAGGTTCGGAGATTTATAGTGGTCTTGCGCACTTTATCAAAGGAGGAGTTTTCTTCTGGTATGGAATTTTAACTCTCGGTAGATGGGCAGGTTGTTTCGCTGAGATTGGTTGGTCTTGGAATATCAAGCCTGATAATGATCGGCGATTCACTCCAACAGCTGAATTCGTGGAGAGTTTTCTCATTTTCTTTTATGGATCAACAAATGTTTTCTTGGAACATTTGGCTGCTTGGGGAAATGCATGGAGTGCACAAGATCTTGAGCATATCTCGATCACCATTATGTTTATTGGTGGTGGATTGGTGAGTCTTTTGCTCTTATGATTTTACAGCCACTTCTAACATGCGCAGTGTGGTATGTTCATCGAATCAAACAAAATCCGCAACTTTTTAAATACAGCGGCCCAACGATCATCATATTCGATGTCTTCTTATCACCCAGAAGCTCAGGAACCAAAATCTTATAGATTTTCAATGAACCCAATACCTGCTTTGGTCGTCATGCTATTAGGAATGATGATGAGTTCACATCATCAACATTCAATGATCTCAACCATGATCCATAAACAATGGGGAACTTTACTTGTGGGCGCGGCATTTGCACGTGCGGCAACTTATGTCGTATTTTATCTTGCACCACCCACTTCGATCCTTCCTGGTAGGCCACCCACCGAAATCATTACAGCTTTCTGTTTGATGGCTGGAGGTTTGATTTTTATGGCTAGTGTATGTTGCATCTTATATCATCTGATGAAATTAAGACTAACAGCGTTTTAGAGCAAAGATACAGTCAAAGCAATTGAATTGAATGATCTTGATGCGATGTTTGTTTTTACAGTTTCCATGGGTCTTATTACATTCTTAATGGCTTGGATCATTCTTGTCATTGCAATTAAAGGATGGGCAATGAAAAGGGAACAGAGGTGGATTAAGAGTGTTGAGTATGAGGTTGAGTGTAATGCATAGAGATACTAACGGTGGTAATGGTTTGGGGAGGAAGAAAAGAGGAGATGAAAGAGAGGAGGAATGAATAGATACGTCATGATATCACGAGTCGACGGGAACAATAATTTTTATGAGGTGGGAACCAGAGAAGGGAGGCGTCAAGATACCATGGGTTGTTTAAACTTTCGGGCTTGAGTTTGAATTTTGGAATTATGGATGAAAGAAGTGGATGAGGAACTGATAGGAAGAAGAGTTGGAAAGAATAACTTATAATTTATAATGGGACTGGATATTTTGAGAGAGTATTGTATTATCACCTAGCAAGCAGTGTGAATACAGAGTACAAAATGTGATGATACACCCACCAACCAGCTTTATCGCTTGAACCTCGGCTGCTCGTCACCAGAACTCCACTCTTTAAACAATCTCACGGGAGAAAAAGTGGATTATAGAATTAAAATTAGGACCATTCAGTACAACAAACATCGCTAAGAAAAAAGGCATGTTGCCAGAGTGGTTAATGGGTAAGACTTGAATGAATTAATTCGGTTATCTTATGGTTTCGGCCTCGTAGGTTCAAATCCTGCACATGTCGGCTTTTTGCTTGATTTTTTTACTTTTATTACTTTGGGGGCTGGTGTTGATGTTGGTGATTGGTGGTGATAGTTGAGGAGAGGGGAGGTTTGTTTTTTGATGGGGGAGGGAAAGAGAGAAGAAGAGCTTTAACTTAACGAGAAGGTAAGGAGTTTGGAGCTTAGGAGAGGAAAGAGAAGGGAAGTATAGAAGATAGATAGTATACACTCAAACTCCCTGTGGACTATTGAACCGTTGGTACATGGGACATGGTGAATTTTTATATCATATTGATATAATATATTATTTGGCATAAAACCAGAAAAGCTGATATGCCTTAACTAGAAACTGGCGACGCATGAAGAGACAGTGTCTTCTATTTTCTTGAATTGATCGATATTTTCAATCTCAATGACCTGAATAGTGCCTGCCACACACAATACTCTTGTGTGATAGATGATCGAGGAAATAATCCATTAATTACTACGATTTCATTCTAAACCACCATTTTACACACCCACACATTCACGTAAATAAAATCTTCCGTTTCCATTTTGAACGGGATGTATATGGATCTATAACTACCAATCCGTCACTTCATTCCCGTGAATCCCTTCGTTAAACTATAATTATATCCTAATATAAACTTCAATGAATTCTCCGATATGAATAGATAAGCTTTACTTACCTAGTAGGCTAGTACCAAGAGCAGCGCACTCACTGCATGGTTAATTTGAATTCTCCAGAACTGAGTCTTCGATTCCTTCAAATAAGTTCTTGGTAGCTATGAATGAGCGGGAGAAAAAATAATAATGCATGGTTACACCAGATGTGATGATTGAGTGGTGGTGATTGCAAGGGAATAATGGGTGGATTTGTGCGTGGTCTTTGAAATTTATGCAGAATAATAACAACACTTTAAAATTCCCATGAGATATAACTAGTATTATTTTGACGCGCGGAAAATTGTATTGGTATTTATATTAAGTGATAAAAATTGAGGTAAAAAGAGGAGGGCTTGGGTTTATGAAGAATGGCTTTGGAAGACGATAAGGTTGGAGCACTACAGACTAATGGAAAATACAGAGTGAATAGATATTCTTTTATATACATTGGCAGCACTTGGAAATGTATATTTTTTAGATCGTGTATACAGTATGATGCTCATCTTTGTAGTAACTTTACTCATCTAGGATTCCAATATACTTAATCAGATTTTTAATCTAGATAAGATGGAAGCCTTGAGATCACGAAGCAACGACGTCAGCATAAACACGCGATTGATAAACCATTAACTAGTAGCAATAACGATAAATAAACATATGAAGAATACAATAACAAAAACCCATGAGCCCTAGCAAATTCCCTAGAAAACATCACATATCAATCACGTAGTCCTATCCTACGAGTACAAGAACAAAGAAACCCCAGAATCACTAATCTTCACTTCACCTACTCTCGTTCCACTCCCGGCCCTAAATAAAAATTCCAATCCCCCACATACAAAAATCCTCATCTATACTAATCATCCATCCACCCCTTGACAAAAAGCCCCCAGATAACGCAAAAAGGCAGAGAAAAGAATCAAAAGAATTGATCACTGGCGGGATCGAACCGCCGACCTTGGCGTGCCAGCATCTGTTTCATGATACATGAGAGGATATTAGCACCACGCTCTAACCAGCTGAGCTAAGCGACCTGATGGGTTATTTGATTGATGAAGGTTATCAAGAAATTTGGGTTATGAATGAGAAACTGGGAAGTGGGGTAAAAGTAAGTGGGTGGGTGGATGGTGGAGTTGGTTATCGCGAGTCATGTGGTAGGGTTAGGGTTTTTTGAGACGGGAAAGACGGGCCGGGATGTGGGAAGTGGACGGATGGTGGGGCGGGTCTTGGATCTTGGCTTGGGTTTTTGATGTAGAGTGGAATTGGTGTTGAGTTTTTGGTGCGGAGGGGGTCGAGATTAGGTTTTGGGTTTTGTGTTTAAGGTGGAAGTTCTACTTAGGTAGTAGGTAACAATTATTTACACTCTTTAACATGTAATATTGCATAGGAAAGGACATGAAAGAAAGCGACTTGTTTAATTTTGTGTAAAATGTACCAGGTACATGACGGACTCTCAAATGACCAAGTGTCCAGCAACGAAATAATTCATGACTTTGGAAGAAAAGTGTAGAACTATCTCTATCTACATTTCATCATTAATATGTCTTCTCTATCTCTTACAACCGGGATCCCACTGAACTATCTTCCTTAACCTCGACCAATAATTTCCCTAGAGATTGTCAACACAATTGTTCAATAATATTAAAATAGAAAAACTTACCAGTATTAACACCTTGATATAAATCCAATAAAGCTTGCTCAGCAACACCAAGTCCACCCTTAATAATGGTTTCCTTTCTTTGAAGTTTGCCTTCTGCCAACCATTGAGACATCTCTTTACGAGCTTCCGCATATTTAGATGCATAGTCGAAGACGATAAAACCTTGGAGACGAATACGCATTGAGATGATCATCGAGAAGTTCTGGATTAAGTTAGTGAGTGCAACAGGCATACATTGAGCGAGCAACATACCTTTGGTCCTACTGGGGCATCAGAGTTATATTGACTGATGGCACCGCACATAACAAAAGTTGAGAATGGCTTAGCTCTACTAAGAGCGAGTTCCAAAATATCTCCTCCAACATTGTCAAAGAATATATCGATAAAGTTTGGTGTAGCAGCCTTAAACTTGGAAGCGAATTGCTTGTCTTTGTAGTTCAAAGCATCATCACAACCCAATTCCTTCAACCATTGAACTTTATCATCACTTCCCGCAAGACCTAAAACCTTGGCTCCCTTAAGCTTAGCAATTTGACAAACGACACTTCCAGTAGCACCAGCGGCACCAGAAACTACAACGAAGTCTCCAGCCTTGACCTTTCCAACTTCGAGAATTCCGAAGTAAGCGGTGAGACCGGTCATTCCAAGAACACCGAGTGCATCGGTAAGTTTGCCGTTAGGTGGAAGATCAATGGGTGTGAGATCTTTGGGAGCCAGGATGGCTACTTCTCTCCATCCTGTAATACCGGATACGTATTCGCCAACATTGAATTTAGATGACTTGCTGGCGATGACCTTTCCAATAGAAACGCCACGCATCACCTCTCCAATCTGAACAGGTGGGACATATGATCTTCTATCTATTCCAGCATTGTGAATGTCAGCGGTGATCACGTGAGAGGCGGGGTACATCAAGAATATACCCCCAAGTATCATCCATTAATGGCTAATGGGAAAGAAAGACAGTGGCAGTCTGTACATACCATTTAACCAACCTCTCATGGCTGGATCCAATGAAAGATATAACACTTCAACCAACACTTGATCATCCTTAAGATCTGCCTCCGTCACCATTGGATTCTCCTTCTTCTCAAAAGTCTCTCCTGGGACAATTTGAGCAGTAGGACGTTTGGCCAAAACCACCGATTGATATGTTGATTGAGCCATAATGTTCTTTGAACGTTTAATCTTTTGACCCTCCATTTTGGTGTTCGTCTGCGGCGCGCTCCCTTATATATCTTTGAATCCTTTCGCTTCGTCGGATGTACCCTTCCCAACAAATTTGTGTCTCTTTCCGTTTCTAGGTCGAATACTTGAAGTGATGTGACGCTTACTATGATACCGGACCGACCGAATGTAATCCAAAACTATAATAAACACTACACCGCACACTCAAGATCATCCAAGTACGTGCTTTGTCGTTTCGTAGCCGATGCTTTTCGTCTCGTATCGATGGATTACCTGCCTTTCTCCGAGGCAATGGCTATGCAATATCAATCAAATCCACAAAACTTCAAGGTGATTTTTCCAAACTTGAATTTATCATCCGACTTCTGCTTTACACAAACCTTTAAACGTTGCTGCGTTGTTGCGTTTGATGACAAAACGGTTGAAATATCAAGGTTTCATCAATAGCCATGAGCCGAGGCAGGCACCTAGTGCAATGGTTGCCTCACCGAAATGGCCCAACTTCCTAATATGGATATCATGCCGATATTACCGACATGCCGTTCTAGGATTTTCCCGACACAAGAGAATCATCCATTTTTCTAAACTCTGGCATGGGGAAGCAGTATGAAGGAGCGGCATGAAGTATGTCATCGAAGAGGAACCGAAAGAAGATGCAGATGCGCGATTGCATGACGTGTGTATTGGAATCGCAGAACCTTATCAAAAGAAAGATTTCCGATAGGATGAATGAGCTCGGAGACGGGCTAACATTGAGACTTCAGAGTTGCCTCAGTTCGGCACGAGTTACCGTGTGCGGCCGCAAGCGCGTCGAGGATCCTTCGTCCTTAGGTTTCAAACCCAAAAATGAGCAAATAAAGCAACTCGATAAGCTTTTTCCCTTTCTTTGGGGCGGATTACGACAAGTTTTGGATTTTGTTGATCTCGTGGATTTTGTTGATCTCGGGGCTTTTTCTCTGCACAGATATTGTGGATCTCAAGGATTTTGTTCCCGCGCGGGCATACTACTATTAAGTTGTAGTCTGCCCGAGACTTCTTCAATGGAACTTCAGAAGGAAGTCTTTGTTTTTGTTCGTTTATTCTGAGACACGAGTTCTGCCTTAACCGATGTAAGTTTCGGATGCAAGTTACAGATCGTTTACGGAAAGGGGTAGGCATCGCCGTGCTGCAAGTCGTGTTGACACAGAAACGTGCGTTTTCTACACAATTGCGAATATGCGGGCTGCGGGATGTCATGGAAGGCAAATAACGTTCATGCCGCTATAAGTTCTAGCGGGGATATTTCCCCATGCGATGTTTGCGGAGTTGTTGCCCCCCGGCCCCGCTCCCTTATCAGGACGGAATGGTCCCTCATTTAGGGCCGTAGGATTTAAATACCGTTCGGGAAACTTCACCGCTTGCTTCGACTCAACATGCCCCATCATTTCAGGGTTTCTGAACCTTATCTTGTTTGTGTCAACGGTCGAGATCGGCTTGTACTTGCAGTTCACATTACTCTTTGATCACAAATCCCATATATTAAAGTCCAAGCCTTTGGTATTTACAGCATGGAGTTAGAGTTCCTGCTGCTTTTGAGTGGTTCAATAAATGCCGCTGTCATGCCAAATCCTCGGTATACACGAATATATAGGGTCTAAAGTAAATATATTACAGAAAATGGGAGCAGAGTTCAGGTCTAGTCGCAGAGGATGGACTAATTGGTACCCGAGTGGAAACCCTGTTTCGTTTGAACATCAGTGTGGTCATTTAAATATGTGAGTATATTTGATATATTTCTGTGGTTATAAGGATAGATTTCCGCACACACATTATGCAGAAGGCAACATGCTCGACACCTAACCCCTTTCTTTCCTCCTACTGGAGAGATCCTTAATCCCTTCAGTTCATGATGATGCCTACTTAGGACAGCCAGTTGATGGATAGTTACAAGTGCTTGCTACTGCTCCTCCAGTAATCTTAACTCCAGAGAAACTAACATTGCTACAACTTCCGGATCCACAGAGTACGTAGTAGTTTCTGGCGCTAGCTGCGGCTGTTCCCGTAACGTTTTGGAACAGAATATTCTGGATAAGGACACCGTTTGTTGGATTTCCTGTTGGGCCTCCGTTTAAGTAATCTTGTTGTACATCGATGCCATAGGTATCAATGTTGGTGAGCTTAATGTTACTGTATGTGATGTTGGAGATGAAGCCGGTGGTTCCTTCGTTGGACTTGATGCGAGCTCCGTTGCTGGAATTGACGACATGACTATTCTTAAACTGGAAAATAATGAGAAAGATATTCAACAGCGGGTATATAAAACTTACTGTAATGTTTGTCACATTGTTATTGCTCTTCCCACCGATAGATCCTATGGAGAGACCATGGCCACCTGAGCAATACAACCCATCAATGGTAATGTTGTTCCCGCTCGTAATAGCTACGCAGTCATCCTGGTTGTAGACGGATGAGTTCCTGATTATCGTGTCTACACTCGAGCTCACATCGAATCCATCCGAATTGTGAGCTGCAGGCAAAGTACCACTGGCAGCATTCGGCACGTCCCCTGCTGTGTTGTTAAGAATCAGGTTCTGGATGGTCAACCCAACAGCACCGGTAATGGTGAAAAGATGAACCGGCCAGTTCTGAATATAGAGATTCTCAATCACGGAACCGCCAATCAATTTCGAGGCAGCGATAAAATGATTTGGCCTGAATTGATCATTAGCTTAATCATGTTTGAATTGCCGTGAAAACATACTTTGGCACATCATCGTTCGAACCATATCCATTCCAATAAGCTTGGCCATTGCCATCAATGACTGCACCGGGCGCACTGGTGACGTGAATTCCGGAGCCCGATAATTTTATTGGCTCGAAGCTACTATCGTTGGTGAATCCAAAAGTTGTTTTCCCGGCAAAGGTGATTTTGGTACCGGCCTTGACTTTAGTCAAGTCAATACTGCTTTCTGATGGTGCAAATATATTGTTCAGCACAATTGCTGTTGAGGACGCAACACAAGGAGCGATTTGGGAGTACACTGAAGCAGTGCACGTTGTTTGAGCTGCGCAAGCGCCTGCCAAAGTGAGGGCTAAGAGCCCTGGGATGGGGAAGTTTTTATGCATGGTGGATTAAACAAGTAAATGAATGAAGCTAAACAAGCAGAAAGTAGGAGGAGGCAAGTGATGAATGAAGTCAAACTTGCAGAACTCAGGAAGAGCATGGAGAATACTCGAGTTTATAAAGTCCTGGAAGGCCAAGTACGGCAATCTTCCCAGAACCTCCTTTCCTCATGTCGAAAAGAAAATAGAATGATACGAACTGATCTTCTGATGGGCCGGGATAACTGCGTACATTGTTTCTCCGCAAATTAATATAATTGCAGAAGTGCGGACTAAGAAGACATCCGCATTTTACCAGAAAAGAGCCCATGAATACCAGAAGTTCGAAGTGGTACCTGTCGAAAACCTCTGAATGGGAACTTAGTCTGCATTAATGATGAATATTCTCCAATGTTTCATCGCTCTTTCCACAACCCCGGATTTCAGCTTGGCAGCAGGTCGCCGCCCAACTGGTATCGTTTGCAAGTTCGAATTTTCCACAAGTAATAAAGTCTCAAAATAAACTTTGATTGACAAGCAATCTTAAATAGTTCTGGAAATTCTTTAAATCTTCCATTTAGCATAAATCTAGAACAGATCTACCCATGATTTCTGGTTGGAGGCCCAAGATTTGTCCGCGAGGATCAACACGTGTGTGAAAGTAGACTAGAACAATAACGGTCCACCGTCGCTCCTGTTGAATTTTATAAATTCTCGCAAGCCGCTAGCCAAGGTACAGGAGTCGACGCATGTCGGCTGTTGATCGGGAGAGTGATCAAAAGGCTGTACGGTAATATGGTATACGAAGAGGATTGTGATATGCGCCTAGAATGGGGGGCGCAAACATGGTATACGTACGCCTCAATGTCCTATCTTCTTCTTCATATATATGAAGACCATTAAGTTGACTTTTTTGGAGGCCAGGATCGTTGAGGATGGGCTACCATGCTTAATTGATTCCAAATCAGCAATACGAACTGTAGAAAATTGCCTGACTAGCGACGACGAAGGTTTTATCACATTGGCAGTTAGATGAGAATAGAATGAGATAAGGATCTGAAACATCTTGGCGACGGGAGTAAAGGGGGATAAGAAGATAACAAGATAAAATGGCAAGACAAAAAGGGTTTCCACGTGGGAAATCACGTGTATAGTAAGTTATTTATAACCTCCGAAGCTCCGAACTTCCGATACAACATCGGCGACAATAACGAGCCACCAAATTTTTCATTGCAATCAAACCTCAAGTCTCTAAAGTTTGCCAAACGAAAGAATCCGCAATCGGGAAATGATTGGTAGATTGAAAGTCACTTCTTTCCCTGATAATGCACAATATTACATTACAATGGCGAGTTGCGTTATCACGAGCCCTTCCGGCTGAATTGACAGGCTGTACGGAGGGCACGAGAAGGGCGATTACACGCCAAAAGCAATTTTCTGTCATATGCAGGGCTAGTATAGATGATGCATCAAAGGAAGTCCGGATTGCAATATCATTTGTTGAGCTAGCCATTAGGATCTTCCTTCTGCCTAAATGATGGAAGTCTTACGCCCATCTTCAGGAGCTTTTTCGCAAAAATCAGTCACACGAGCCCTCTTCTCATTTTGAGGTCGAATCAAATTTCATCATGGCCGTCGCAAGGGTTGTTGTCCAAGCCGAGTCGCGTTGAATCCTTGCATGAATACTATGTGCATCCTGCCCATTGTTGGAAAGCAATTACAACCAAGTCTGGGAGCAATAAATAATATAAGTCCCCGCCCTTTCTCTTGAGCTTTTCTAGTTTTTTCTGTTTTCCTAGAGCCGGCAGCTTTCTATTAAAGTTACGATGTAGCTTCTTGCCCTACAAATTTTCGGTTCAATGATGACCCGTTTCAAGGCAATGAGCTGTTCATGCAGCTACGACCAATCATATGCATCAATGAATACCGCGAAGGATTCCGAGTTAAACACGAGGTTTGATTGGCTCTAGGTCGCGCTACAATGCTCTTATGAATTGAAGAGGGACTTGGTAGGGCGTGCCAAAGGGGATCAATACAGAGAAATAGACAATGCCCGCGGAATCGCCCTGTCTAATGTCACTCAACGTGGCTCGAGACTACCATGGATTGAAATCGCTCAATCAATGATGTTTTTGGCAAGTGATAGAAGCTACCGGTGATTGACCGATGTGTTGTATTGAGAAAAAAAAAAGGTGAGGTAGGTAATGAGGTTTTTGGTGGGATAGGTAGACTGTGGAGGCCCCTAGCTTTCCTCCGTTACCCGATTATTTCCCACCCTTCTCAACTGTACATATATTTTCTCCACTACCATTAACCTCTACCACTCACTCATAAACAGCTTCTGCGCTGTTATTGTCCCGATTCTTCTCATCGTCCAAATCATTACTTGGAATTTACTCGGTTCTTCCCCAACACCAAGAAAAGGTAAGTTTCATCACCGCTTCATTCATTTGTCAATGAGTCGCGAAGACTCACGTTGCTGCCTAGCTGCCTCAATGAGAATGTCGAACTCTTTCCAAACCTCCATAGACGATCTTGCAGGCATCGCTGCATCTTTCAATAATTCAAGCGAGTGGAGTTTCCGAGGGATTACCATTTCAGCAGAACAATACTCCGGCAACATAGATGCAGACCTTGCTGCACTCCCAGCAAAAGATATCGCTGGCAACGCAGACCCGGCGGCCTCAAAGGGCAACCAGTGCCACAAATCTGCTGATGGACCTGCACGGCCATCTTTCTTTGGCCGTTGTCTATCTGCCAGCACTTGTGCTGCGACTTCGTATGTGAATGCGGAGGCATCCATGAAACCGAACTACGCCCAACCTTCTTTCGAGTCGATGTCACAATTTTCGACTTATATCCATACACCGGCCACCTCGGTTGATGAGCACGGGGACGTTTCCCCGGTCCAAGATGATTCGGTCGAGATGCAACAACCATCTTTATATTCTCGGTTTCCCGCCTACGCCAGTGGCCCCACACCGCTAGAATCTTGGTACAATCAACATGAGCGACACGAGCTTATTGCTTACGAGTTGTCGTACCACAAAAGGGACTCAATGGCACAAAAGGAGTTCAAGGAATCGCACGGCAAAGAGGTTCAAAAGCTCAAGTGATGGAGCATCTAGATAAGACGAGACGAAGGATACGAATGAAGGGTGTTTGGGTTACGGTTGATTTGGGAATACCTTGTTTTATGATTTATTATTTGGATATTTGTTTAGGAGAGCCGTCGGTCTAATGATGACGACACGATTATGTATACCCATGGTGAAAAAAAAAGGCATTTGAGACTGCTGTCAGCGTTTCCGAGAATAGGAATAGAGAATTGTTTTGTTACTTATTGCGGGTATTTGTTCACTTCACCAAAGAAAGCACTCCTAAGTGCTGTTTCGATTAGGCAGTTAAAGGTTCTGTCTAATATGCTTGATTACGAAATTTAAAAGTTTAGCAATCATTTTCGATCTCTGATGTCAGTCGTCTGAAGTGCATGTTTATTATGAGATCAGAGCTTCAGCTAGATCCACCGGTTTGCATTCTTCCCCGCCTCTACTTATAGAACTACTGCTATTGATGGAAGGGACCATCCCCACGTTCTTGCTCGCTATTATGCTAGATTAGTTTTCCACATTTATCATTTTTTCGCTTGTTTTCTTCCACCTCGTCAATCTGTCAATCTGTCAATCTATCAATCTATTATTACTTTTCATTTATTCTATTTATTTAAATAAATAGACTTTTTTTCATAATTCTTTTATGACCATCTCTCGTTCAATCGAAAAGTAAATAAAACTAAGATTACAATTAAAAGAAAATAATCAGGATAATAGACGGGGAACAGAAATCAGAGATAGGTAATCATTCGACCCGTTCCTGGAGTAGGAGAAATCCATGGTAGCCCATGATGAGCCAGCCAATCGGGAATATTTTATTGTCTAAATTTGACGAGGTAAATCTAACAACATATACATAACTTTTGAGGAAAGTATTATTAAATCCTCAAATATATCTACATATCCTATTTTGGATAGCTCCGAAATCAATCATCTTTCATCTGCTTCGTCTTTATATCCTCAATTCAAGGCTATCTGTGAGCACTAGCATTTCCAAGATCAATGAGTTCCGCCGCGTTCTCAAAGTACTTTTGTTCCATCTAGATGATTATTGGCTTCGTGTTACAGGGTAACAGTCAACCTGTCCACATGAGCTTAGGCCTCATCGAAAAGCAAGGCAATTTGTATACAAATTTGTATGGTAATCGACTCATATGGTCTCCCCACCCTCAGCAAGCTCGGACATATGGTCTGATTGTAGTCACGTGATGGATTATAGGTTCTAGGGGATCTAGAGAATCGAATCCTAGATCCACTAGATCCAAATGATCCAATTGATACGAAGATCTATATAGCTAGGAAAGGATTCCTTTTGTAGAGCTTCGTGCTCAAGATCAATCATTTAGTATACTCTACTATTAGTTACGAATTGCAACCATTGATATTATTTAAAGCCCCTGCTTGACGCCTAGTTATAAACCCTTCGAGGATCCAGGCCACTTCCACGTGACCTAGATCGCATCCCTCGTAACACTTCGTTGCATAGGAATTCTACATAGGATCAAAAGTTTTATTTATCTGGTATGTTTTTGGGTCTTTGGGTGTTTGCATGGGATTCTGGCCTAGAGATGTTCGTATCATGTATTTGATTCTGTTTGTCCTAATAAACGACCAAAACGGTGAGAGTATACCAAGATGGATCATGAGTGCATGGAGAAGGACCAATTCTTTTGGAAAAGACAGGGCGCCTAAAACCAACCAACATTATTGGTATAGCCTTACGAGTATTATTCAAATCTAATCGTGTTTAGTTAATGTTGTGATATTATTATTATTATTATTATTATTATTATTATTATTATTATTATTATTATTATTATTATTATTATTATTATTATTATTATTATTATTATTATTATTATTATTATTATTATTATTATTATTATTCAAATCACTACATTACCACATGCTTGAGAAGAGTGCTTAGGGGACGCGATAGAGAGGTTCTGTAGATGTCTGCATACCAAAGTCCCCTCGAAATGTTCTTCAAAGAATGAGGTTAACTCAAAGGATGCGAGCCGCCGACTTCATGCGATTCCGTGGTGCGCGGTAAAATGGCCAGCATCTGGCCGTTACTTGATGTTTGTCATGTAAGTCTTCTTGGCAACAAAGATCCGGAGTGGTTTTGCTTCATTTTCTTTTCTCTTTGACTATGGGCTCTGGATATTTGTATGCGGCAACGCTTTCAAAAGGTTCATCGGTGGGATGTTCCAAGGTCATACGGAATTGTCGCGTCTCGATTTCCACTGTCAGAATATACCATTATCGACGGAATGGTAGTCAGCAGGTGGGAAGGCCCATCATCATCTCTTGTCACTCAAAAGGCCAAAACCCAAGTTGGATGAGGCTTTGGTCTGACCTACGACTTGGCTATAACAACTCTCCGTTCCAGTGAACATGTTGGGATTGATAAAAGCCACGCCATGCCAAGTTAGAGCAAAAATTAGCTTCCACTCGTCTCTACAAATACCACTCTTTTATCTTTCACAATTTTTCGTTCTTTTCTTTCCCTTGATTCTATAGTCCAAAGTCTGCTAGCCATGGCTTATTATGCAAATTGTCTGGAAGTTTCAGACGAATGTCCCATCTCCGCGACGGCATACGGATATGCGCCATCAATCGCCGCAAATGCTACATTGTTAGCAATTTTCTGTATCATCACGCTGGCACAATTGATACAAGGTTTCAGATACCAGACGTGGGGATTTATGGCTACATTTATACTGGGAAGTTTGTGCGAAGTGATTGGGTATGCTGGGAGGATTATCATGGCATCTAATCCATGGAGTCATGTTGGGTTAGATATCTACCATCTTGATCCGTAAGAGTGACACTAATAATCATATAGCCTCACACTTCAAAATCTCTGCCTCACAATCGGACCCCTGTTTTTTCTTAATGGGATTTTCCTCTGCTACACGAATATAATCGAAACATATAGTTACACTCTCTCCCGCATAAACCCCACCACCTACCCTCTAATCGCCACCTCAGCAACACTCCTCCCCTTCACCCTCCTCACATCCGGTTCTCTTCTCCAAAGCACATCTGCCATCGGCTTTACCCCATCTTCCTATCTGCCCACGGGCTCTCATCTCGTCATCGCAGGTTTATGTTTCCAACTCCTCTCTATGATTTCTTTCGGTGTCTTGCATGCGGATTTCAAAATCCAAGTTCGTGCTTTTCCGGAACAAATTAATGCGTATGCGGAAAAGACACGCTCTTCGCGACGATTTATGTATTTTTCCCTTGCGTTGCCACTCGCGTTTTTGGGGACAGGAGTTAGTGTTGTTTATCGGCTGGTTGTCCTTGGCCAAGGGTGGGGAATGCGATTTATGAAGAATGAGATTGGGTTTGTTTGTTTGGAGGGCATGTAAGTTTCTTCCTTCAGTCGCTTTTGTTTTATCAGGACTGTTGATGCTGATTTGGTTGTAGAACTGTGGCGGTTGCGGGATATGCTTTGTCGCTTGTGCATCCGGGATATGTGTTTAGACCGTTGGAGTATATTAGTAATAAGAGTGCAGAGATGATGGCTGATGAGAAGTTGGAAGAGGCTTGGAATTGATCGGGATGGAGTTAGAGTCGTACATTTTGTGGTGAATTGAGAGGCTCATTTACTAGGATTTTGGTAAAGTTATGTCTTTTGAAAGGATGTGACGATAATTATAGATAGAAATGGCGTTATGGAACTGCTGCTTTCGTCGCTCGTTATTAAGGCTTAAGCACATTACTTGATTAAATGGATGTAAGGCGTTAATAAACGGAAATCTGTAATTAATACTCACTAGTTTGAAGGCCACAAAACTATACCTATGTAAGTAAGGAGGTTGGTATTTCAGTAGGCTTAGGGGGGAAGGGAGTACATAAGTGAATGGTCTTCAGACGAGAACTGAATGTCCAAACACCATTGTGTTATCAGACGATATATTGATACAGATATATGGACTAATACTTATTGAAGAGGTTAAAAAGAAAATATGATGACTTCTTTTCCTTCGTGGATATAAGTTATAATTATAATTTATATATAAAAATATCTAGGTAGATTAACATCTCATTAATTATTTATAGCAGTACTAGAAATATATCAATCTTTTTTATCTAGAAGTTAAGGAGTGGAAGGTCACACGGCGTGTATTGCTTAATGGTCCAATGAAAGAGATTCATTTAGCCAACTAGCTATAATGAATAAATAATACAATAATGTTGACATGATGGTTGGGAAGAGGGGAAGGAAGATGTTGCTTGCAAGCACGGGCCACTGAATGAACCCTTTCTCCAGTCACGATCCTCATCATTATTACATACTACTATCATTTACCCCTTGTGCAGATGAAGGCAAATAAAAACATCATCCAATACTTTATTTCACATTCCACAATCCATCCAAGGTCACGACTTCGACATGTAATCTTACAACACTTTCGCACGCGATAATGGCACAACCGGGAACCTTCTCATGGATTAATGAAAGTCCTCATATACCATCGCAGATCACTTCAACACAGAAGTCTCCCTCAAGTTACCGTCCCCGGAAATCACATACCAAGTCCCGAAAGGGCTGCACAAACTGCAGAAAGCGCAGAATAAAGGTGTTTAATCATTATTACCACAACTTGATGTTTTCTGATAGAGAATTAGTGCGATGAAGCAAAGCCTAGCTGTGGTCAATGTTCAGACCGACTACTGGGTTCACTCCGGTGTGAATTTTTCGTTTCGCAAAAGCCAGCTGCGGAACGCTCATCTCATCTACTACCACACAATCCATTAGTTAACGTACCTAGCACATCAGCCAAAGACCAAATTATGTTCTATCTGGAAAATTCGGATGTTTCAAGCTGGCACGTCAAAAATCCTTACTACAAACCTGCTGATGCAATCGAATTACTGAACCACTTCCTTGGTGTAACTATCCCATGGTTCGGATCTCCGTCATTTCAGCGAATTATGCAGCATTGTGGGCTTGGGCTTTCTCTAAAAGCCCCGTACCTAATGCACACCATTCTCGCCTTTTCAGCAAGCCACCTCCATTATTTACATCCGGAAGAGAAAAAATACAGCACTGCTTCCATGTTACATTACAACCCCTCTCTAGCTTTATTCTCATCAGAACTTCTGACAACCTTGAATGCTAGTAATGCAGATGCAATTATTGCATCATCTTACTTCCACACGATGCTGGCATTTAGAAATATCCAATTGAATCCAGCCATTGAAACGGACGCCGGTGGAACACTTACTTGGCTGCATACTATGCGAGGAGTACCTATCTTATGGGACACGAACGATATGCGTTCTCATATCGAAGGCAGTGTTTTGCTGGATGTGGAACACGATTGTAAAGTCTTAGATGAGAGAATTTGCGACCATGACAAGCGGTACGACGGAAGCACCTGGGCGCGGGAAACTTCTAGAGCGCTTCACGGGTTATTTGAAGTTGACTGTGATCCATATAGATTCAGCAACACATACCAGGGGCCCTTGAGGCGCGTATGTCACCTGATGCGACTTGGAACTGGTCAAGAAGCGGTCTGCTTATTCATGTCGTTCGTGGGTGAACTTCCAGCTTCGTTTGTATTGTTATTGGAGCAGAAGGACCCTAGGGCCTTACTAATTTTATGTTATTGGAGCGCACTTTTTAGTCAAATCGACTACTGGTGGGTTGTCGATTCTGCAATTATTGTTTGTAAACGACTTTGCGCATACTTGGAGAGAACTACCAAATTCAGACTCCATGATTTACTACAGTTTCCAGCTAGCAAATGCAGTTACATAATGAGTAAAGGCCATTTGAATACTCACCAAGCGACCTCTACGACCCCCTGATGGCAATACGTTTCTATTTACAAGATAGCATGCTCAAAAGAAGCGTCAATGTTTCTAATAGTTCCGGACTGAGATGCAAAATCATGGGATTCTGATTCTTTATATCTATTTCGTGCGATCTATACAACTAGGAATTGAATCTACGCTGTTGATTTATCGAAACAAGTAACCGTGCTCACAACATCACCTTTTTCGCACGTTTAAAAATCTTATATCAGACTGCGCTTCAGGCTATTGACGCGCTAAGCGCTACCTGGATTACCCTCAAAGACCTCAAATAGTCACTGGAGCAGTTCATGAAGATTTTGGTCATTTTGGTACGGAGTTTGCTAGGCCATTGAAAATAATTATCGCTCCTAACACACCTTAGCAATCTGGCCCGAAACGAAATACAAATGGTGGCTTCCTGAGGGAAGCAAGATCTTGGCATGCCCAATCAAGCAACAAGACAAGCGGAGATGTGTAGGCACAGCATTCAATCATCGAGCCCACAGAATTTACCTTGAGATTGGGGACTTCTACAGGCGACTGTTGGGTAACTCTCATTGCCTGTCTTAGCTATTAATGTCTAGCCATTCAACGTATAAGACAAATAACGCGTTCAAAAATCTCCTAATATAGCTGCTTTATTGCTTTTGGGATCCCTTCTATTTGCATAAGAGTATTATTCCACGGCCTTGTATTTTACAGTTCCAATGGCATCGATACTCAGAGCAATCGCTGCTACAAATTTCTCAGTATCATCTGCAGCTGTTCATCGTATATGCCATGATAGGAAAAGTAACCTTTTGAGCAGTAGCTACAAACCAAAGAACAGGATACAAACAAAAAATTTAACGAGCTCGTGGTCAAGGTGATATTTCCACTTTTATAACATGAAATGTAGTTGTCGGAGTTTAATAGATGATAGTGGTAAGAGCGGAGTGATGTAATAATAAATCATGTCAATGCCACCAAGGGTGCGGAGGTCGTTGATGTAAGATCAGAACACGGCTGGAGTAATCGAATACGTTCTGCATTTGGCTTAGCGCATATCCGAAGCTGGACCTAAGCCATATACAGAACGTATTCGCTTCGTCTTGCTTAGATGGCACATGAAATTAGGAGGAAGATGCATTGTCTTGACGTACTGCATGCTTCGGTCCTCGCGTTTCGCTTTCTCTGTTGATGGATTGTGATTGTTTGGTCTGTTTGTAATTCTTGGCGTGAATATGAGTTCATTGCGGATAAGGTTAAGGTTGCTACACCTCACTAGTGAAATAGCTTATTTGGCTGGTGAAGCTTAAAAGCTTTGATTCCTCGACTACTGGCCAGAATTTATATCATCTTTCACCACTTAATTACTTCTCATATCTAATCTCTGTACGCTACGTACCAGTATTAACATTTAAAGACCTTCGTATTTCCTCAATCCGAGAACTTTTACTTTACCCAACTCACTACTTCATAATGTCCAGCCGGCAGAGCTTCGTCGCCATCGCAGGCGCAACAGGCAATCTAGGCTCCCAGATTGCCCTGGATCTACGCAAGAGAAATGTAGCAGTTAAAGCCCTTGTGCGTCCCGGTATTGCAGCATCCCGCACCCAAAATTTACAAGATGCCGGTGTCGCAATAGCAGAAGTCAACATGAACGATGTTCCAGCCATCACAGAAGCTATCACAGGTGCTACAACAGTCGTCTCGTCACTTCAAGGTCTCCGAGACGTTATACTGGATGTTCAAGGAAGACTTCTCGAAGCTTCTGTTGCTGCGAATGTACAGCGATTCATCCCATCCGATTATGCATTGGATTTCACCAAATGTGAACCAGGCACCAACCGAAATTTAGATTTGCGTCGTGAATTTCATGCTAAACTCGATGCATCGGGTATTCAATGGACGACCATACTGAATGGTGCCTTCATGGAACTTCTGACGACCGGTCAATTGCCAGTTATCAACGATAGATGGCATCGTATTATGTATTTCGGTAGCGCAGATCAGAAGCTCGATTACACAATTATTCCAGACGTGGCTGCTTACACGGCTGCTGTGGCTGCGGATCCAAATCCAACACCAAAGTTCCTACGTATCGCAGGAAGCTCCGTCAGTGCGAAGGATTTGGCCGAAATTGTAACGAAGGTACGTGGTGAGCAGTATACACCGATGTGGATAGGCAGTGTTGGACTCCTTCGGATGCTTATCTGGATATTGAAATTTGTGATTGGGGGTGTAGAGGATAAATTGTTTCCTCCCTGGCAGGGGATGCAATATTTGGAAAATATGGTCTCGGGAAAGGGCAAGCTGGATCCTCTTGATAATGATAGGTATCCTGATGTGGAGTTTACGACGGTGGAGAAAGCTCTTGTAGAAGCAGATGCTGAGAAGAAAAAGAAGAAGTAGGCTTGAACAAAGGGAATGAGATATCAAACGGGTCTCCTGTACGCATGATATGTGAGCATCAGAGTTCGGTTGGTGGCTTTTGATATCGATTTGTTGGTCTACTTGGTAACAAAATTCGAGCACATAATTAACTTTGTTTCTTCATATCAAATAACTATGTGACAGATATTTCGAGATAGCACTATTCTGTTATGATGGATATGTCATTTCCATAAGCATCAAGAATGCTCATAGAATTATCCAGCCTTCAGAACCAACTTGTGAATATTCTAAAATAATCATTCTCTTGTCATCTAGTTTCGAAGGATGTTGATATGTATTTTTCTCACATTGATCAGATTTAAGATAAGAAATTCTTCATATTTCGAAATATGCGTAGAATAACTTTAAAAGATTGTGAAACTAAGAAGTATTAGACACTGCAAGTGTTTACGCTTGCTGGGATTGGAGCTAATAAGTTGCACTGCCTACCTAGTCACACAACCCGACATCTCATGAACATTCCTATCGCAACTCTAGATCATTCTATATCATTAATTGAATACTTTTTACTTGGTCCCTATGCGCTGTCTTTATTATATCCCCTGTTAGCGTGACACAATGTCTGGTATTCAAACCCATGGCAAAAACCACAGAAAGAACTCGTGCATCGATATTTTATGGTTATCTGAAACGAGATGGATTCCCATGGCATTCCACATGGCAGAATCTAGAATAAAGAAAATTTCTAGAAGATATGAAATACCGGGTTTGCGACAGTTAAACTATATGCCCGATGATTCCTTGTCCTGCTATTCTAGCACACGATTTGCAGACATAGAATTTCCGAGAACCGTTGGAACGGAGATGAAGACTATGAGAAGAAAACTCTAGTTTCATCGATGCAGCGAGAGATATGTGTATATAATGCAAGATCCGGCAGCTTTGCAAAAGAAAAAATTGGATGAACAAGTCTTCAGAATATCTTACATATCTATCGTAACAGGCTCATATTACGCGGATCACCACAATTTTCTTACATTCAAAATGAAGACCGATATTCTCGTGAATATGGTGTCAGCAGCGCTGTTCATGGCTCATTCTACCGCTTCCAAGGCCACTTCCAAGGTCACTGCCACTACCACTACCACTGCCACTGCCTCTGCCACTGCCACTGCCAACAACGAAGCCCGAAGCAGACTACCCAGGCATGGGAAAACGCTATGTACTTATGGCGATTTTGTCAGTTCTGAAGATACAACGTTAGCCCTAGCGGGTCTTTCATCCCTCTTTGAATCAAAAGCCGGAAAGTCGTTGTCACAATTCCATGGCGGTGGACACGTCAATAGAGTGGTATACGCCCACAACACAGCTCAAGCCTATGTCTGTGGCTGGGGTATGGGAAAGTTTACTCTTATCGAGGTGGAAGATATTTTTGAAAGCGTGGACAGGATCAGAATAGAATGCGGGGGCGTTTCTTCCTCTACTGGGGAGATTTGGTTTCCAGACCTCGACTATTCTATCGGTTATGGTAGATTCGATGGAGTGACTTGTGCGCCTAAGACTTTTCGTCACATATGGGGTAGAATGCTAGGGTTGGTATGATCTACCGCGTTTACTTGGTATCCTCTGTCTCGGCTGCCATATTGATCAAAATGTGGAGGACTGTCATTTCTTCGAGTAGTGAAATTATATTTTCATTCTCGTGTGCTACTATCCCCATATGTTATCATTTTGCCGAAAATTGCAACTTTGATTTTGACCCTGATGCAATGTTCATAGTGCCTGTAGAAGAAAACTGACCTCTACTATTTTCCATGTTCATACAAGAGCATAATTACTGGAAGACTGGCCGCCGAAGGACGATCTGTGCCAGCGTACACTCTATAATTGACAATCCAGTGTGTTTCAAAAATTCCACTTCCACAGTCCTCACCCAAACATGTAATTGGCACAAAGTGAACCAGTTCAGGCAGGAAGTGATTAGGTCTTTATATCACTTTCATTCTTTCATTCAAGAAGCCCTCACGGTAGGAAGAGAAAAATTGTATGGTAGAGAAAAGTCTAACGCACATTAATATAGTTTCTTTCGTACGTTTGAATATTGATTCATCTTCATCTCATTATTCGAAAACGTTCGGTTGTATAGCGCAAAGACCTAGTGACTTATCCTTATCACCTCATTCTCCTTCCCCCTTTCATTACATCACGTCCTAGGTACTTAGAGATAGCTTTTTCGGTAGCATGTCTCAAAAGACCTAATTGTTTCTCGTCCGATTTTTATTTGATTGTTCCTCTGCAGCATACACCTCTTTCATTTCTATTTCTATGTTAGGGGCCGGAAACTTTTAGCTGTATATCTTGAGGTATAATTAGGTAATGATTTCTCATCCGAGCTACTTATTCTACTCGCATTCTTCTCATCAGTTCCTCAGTTCGCTTGTATTCTCTTGTTTGTGTAGATATCATAGACACCTAAAGACTTTTAGTCTGAATACAAGAGTTAGATGGATGATACCTTGACTAACACGTCCAGGAAAGACCAATATACTTAGTAGTAGAGAGAAAATATAGTACTACAGTAAAGAAGAGCTTTACAGTTACAAGCTTTACAGTTACTTCCCACTCACCACTCACTATTCTCTAAAGGTAGAAACTAATCTTCATTCGCACTTCCTCCATCCCTTATTCATTCATTCATATATATATCCAGCCATGTACTTTCAACCATATAGATTTCTGCTCTACAATAACATTCATTGCATCACAACATACATATTGATCTATCATTACAATCATTCCCATGAACCTGGGTTCGCAGATGCTCCAGAAACAACAAGATTAATTCTTCATTACATTTTCGTGGTTATCATACAATTTTAATTTTTTGCCAATGTATGTATGGGTTCACCAGTTTCTCTTTCAAGAAAAATGAACTTGTAAATCTTACCTCAATTACCTATTATTCATATAATTAACCGAATATTCAAAAACAGCTTAGCTTGGTTATGTAATTACAGAATTATTTGGGAAATTATTATTAAAGAAAAATATTTAGTTTTCGATCTAGGGATATAATACTATCTTCTAAATTATAATTTGTTCGCCGCTTTTTTCGGAATGTATTCGTGGCTATGGAATCTTATTCAGGTGCTTTTTATTATATGTATATATATATATATGTCCATAAATTAATTCTTCTAGAAATAATGATTTATATAAAACTATATTTTGCTTATATACTATACGATAGCTGCTCTCTTCACTCCCCGGTTTTTTATCCTGTAATTATCCTTTATCCTTTGTCCTCTTTTGATTTATTCTTAGACCCAAGCACTCTTATCACCAACCACCACTTATGATTTCATCTACTCTCTCTACCCATCCACACACCCTTCCCCTTTCACAATTAAGCCTCACTAACCTCCAACTGAGCAGCTTCCTCCGCTTGATTTTCCTCCTTCTCACATAACAACCACGCAACTCTCATCTGATTGAATTCAAATCTATTCATACATTCATCCAATCTTTTCCATAATTCTTCTCCTGCAACTTTACCTCCTTTTGAGTTGTGGAAACCATTGCGTTTCCATTTGAACTGTGAATTTTTGTTAGTTTTGGAGCGGATTCGAGGAGGGTGTGATGGTTTGGTTTTGGGGGGTCGGGAGTGAGGTTTTATATATGGTCTTGAAGAACTTGATCGAATTGATCAGACAGCAAACCTCTCTTCAAAGTTCTCATTCCAACCTCCAAGTAGAAAAAAAGGAAAATAAACCTACAATATGCTCAGTAATCCCATACCACAAATTCGTACTACTAGTAACAGCCACCACCAACCCCCCCAAAGCAATCTCTCCACTAACATCCTCAAAACCCGAAACCCTCATCTTACATTTCCTCTCCACAAACTCCAACGCCTCACACGCAGCAGCCAACTCTGCAATCTTCTGCATTTCAATCTTACTTCCTGTCTCCTTAATCTTACCCGAAGAATTATACTTAGACCCCGGACCAAAATGCAACGAATAAGCCGCTCTAAACAATTCCCCGCCATCCTCAGAACCCCGAGACCTATCATCACCATTCACGGACGTAACCGCACCCGCAACACTAAAAACCAGCGTCCTAGGATGTCCCACAAAATATCCCTCTTTCAACATTTTCAACCGGGAAATTTGCATTTCGAGCGCGGGTTCGTAGAAAAATAGGCGGGGAATCACGCGGTTTTCATGGATATATAATTCGGTGTCGTTTACGAAGTCGAATTTTCGTGGATGCAGAATCGGATTTTCGTCGGCGGATATGGGGGCAATTGAGCGATCTGTCGTGGCCGGTGTGCTCACTGTGTAGTTTGTGGATGATATGGAGGATTTGCTGGCGTGACGGTGGGCGAAGACGTTGGGGACGGTGGGTTGGTCTGCCATTGTGATGATGGATGCACGTGGTTGTGGAAGCTTGTGTTTTAAGGCTGAGGATAGGGATTGCTGGACTGGTTTTGGATTGAGAATTTGGGTTATAGTTGAATTGAGATTATGTCCGTAGGTATTGAGAGATAACAGTAGTTTGTTTAAGAAATGAATTAGATACCAAAAAAATTGAATTTAAATTAGAAAACAAGTTGCTGATAAATGAAGATTCTTATAGAATGATTGATGATTTATGCCCGCTGGCCACGTTTGGAGCTAAACTTCTTTGGTACTAGCATATGCCACATGTAAGATTTACTGTACCATGTAGCCACAATTAATTCCCCTCAACTCCCCGAAGTGAGATCAAAAGAAGAGACAGGAGAGAAGATTTAAAACGCTGAATATATCATATATCATACATCATGATTGTCAATTATATAGACTATATACAGCCAGTCTCCCAGCTAGATCAAATGCAAATTTTTAACCATATAACCCTTACCATCCTATCCATACATGCAATTATATCCCGTACCAATGCTATGCTATACCGACCGCCAATGCATATCATAAATCATTACCCCATTCAATTTCCAAGCCATTTCCATTCCCACCCCCATCTAAATCCTAAAATCTAAACAATCCTCTTCTCCAAAAGCAATCTTCCTACAGGTCCCGCCTTCCTAACAACCATTCCATTCATCTCACCCACTCCTCTCTCATAAACTTTCGTCCCTCTAACCCAAGTCTCCTTCACCCTTCCCTTCATAGTCTTCCCCGTGTATGGACTAACTTTATTTCTGAAAAGCAATTCTTCTCTGCCTACAATCCATTCATGATCATCTTCAAAAATACAAATATCCGCATCTAATCCTGGTCTTAATGCTCCTTTACGATGTTGAAGTCCAACTTGTTTAGCTGTGTTCACTGCGCAAAGTTTTACTATGTCGACGATACTGAGAGTAGAAGGAGAGGAAGCGCGAGATGGAGATGTCGCTTCAGTCCAGAGGATAGGGAGGCCGAGACCAACTGAAGAGATACCACCCCAGGAAGCGAAGAAATCACCCTTTTCTTTGGCTTCTTGATCTTTTAGTAAAGTGCCGTTCACGGCTTTAGCGTCATCACGCATGGCGCCACAGCCGTGGGATAGATGTTCGGGGAGAAGTTTAAGTTCCGGGGTGCAAGGGCTGTGATCGCTGACGATGGTTTTGATGACGGATTCAGGGTGTGATAATTCGGCCCAGAGACCATCTCGATTAGCGGATGAGCGAATAGGTGGACAACATTTGTGGCGGGTATCACCCTCGGAAACGTCTTCGGATGCGAGGGCGAGATAGTGGAAACAGGTTTCGGCGGTAATGTTTATCCCGGAGGAGCGAGCGGCGCGGAGCAGTGGGATGGCTTCGATGGCGGAAAGATGGACAATGTGAAGGTGAAGGGAGGGAGCGAGGTGAGCAAGGGAGATGATTTCATCGACAGCGTAGGTTTCAAATGAAGGAGGGCGGGATGATAGGAATGTGTCGTATGCTGTCAGGGGTCCGGATGGCTGAAGAGGTGGGAGGGATACTTGGACGTCATCACCAATGGAGGCTGTTATTGGTGGAATCATTTCTGCGTGGAACATGAGAGTTGTGGAAGTATCTTTAAGGGTCTTGAGTGCGAGGGCTACATCGGAGGAAGAGACGGCAGGGAATTCATCAACCTGTCATTATTGTTAGTCGTTGCAGCTGTGATTGGTAAAGATATACATACACCACTCTCTATAAGGAAACCCTTAAAACCTCTGACTCCTGCCTCAACAAGCGGAAGCAACTCCTCAGCATTGCCAGGTATGATCCCACCATAAAATCCAACATCAACCCAGCATTGACCTTGAGCAGCCTTAATCTTTTCTTGCAATCCATTCAACGTTGTAGTTGGTGGAATAGCATTCAATGGCATATCAATGACGGTCGTGACACCACCTGATGCGGCAGCTTTCGTTCCAGTATTGAAACCCTCCCATTCTGTTCGGCCCGGCTCATTAAGATGTACATGGGCGTCAACTAACCCCGGAAGGATCAAATGAGGGGTGTGGTCTACATAGATTGTGTTTGGTGGAAAACTGGAGGGTGGGAGAATGCTAGGTAAGATTGATATGATCTTGCCAGTGGAAGGTGAAATTGTGATTGTTGCGGGTGAGATAGTAAGATTGTCTTTCTCATCAAAGATGACTGCTCTAGAAGAAACAAGGACTGTGGTTTGTAATGGGGAATCGTGAGGTGGTGTAGCAGCAGGGGTTGGATATGGGTAGGCTGTAGTCATTTTGAAGATCTTTTGATGTGATATTGAAAAGAGGGTTGGGAAAGATCTAAAGAACGAATTGAAGTTGTTTTGAGATGTAATTCAGAAGACTACCCACTTGAATACTCTTATTGTGGGGGATAAGAGGTGGGAGAGATAAGAAAGTAAGAAAGCTTTGAGGGTAAAGTCTGAGGCCAGATAAGGAAAATGAAGGGGGAATTTCTTTGTCCAAGTGAATATTGAAAGTTGAGGAAGTATTTTTCAAATCTGGGGAAAGGGAAGATGGAGATAAAAAGGAATTTGATCAACGGAAATGAAAAGAGTCCAACCGCGATAGGCTTACCGTATTGTGGAGTGCATTTATTCATATTTACATTCACCGAATGCCACGGTGCATGGTGGCGATGTAAATATTCCCACCAAAAAAGTCGTTATCACAATCATGGACCCTTATCTTTCCTCCCAACTACCCAATCCGAGTCAATGACCAATAACAGTCACCAGCATCCAATCCCGGTCCAACACGGGAAAAGCCATTCGAGATCGATAAGTAAAAGGGTTTTCATGTGCCTGGTGTAAGGAACAAGGGGTCTTGGAACATTCTTTGGACCCTTAAAAAAGAACCTATGATGTGTTTTGATCGAGTAAACATTCCTCCTAGTGATTCCATAATTTCCTAGTAAGGAAGGCTAGAAGGGATGAGCATGGAGCATTGAGCATGGAGCCATTTGTGTTGAGTAAGTTTTGACCTTGCACATTCATGGGACAGATCGTAGAAGAGGGTCTTTTTTCTTTTTCGGGACATTTCGGTAGATTCAGAAGAAGCTGTGGAGCTTTGTCAACACGAACACCGCATTGAAAGTACATCATGATTATTATCCTCACCCAGCAATTGGAGAGATAATACCAATCATATGTGCTGTATGACAACGAGGTCGGTAAGCCACAATCAATTTGATTATTGTTGGTTGTTGTCGATGTTGTTGATATTGTTCTCCTTGAGCCTTTGATGTTACATGGTTGTCCATCTTGATGTAGTACCAGCCAAGGCGAGTCCCGATGTCGGGTCGGACTTAAGTTTAGCCTATCACCAGTTCGACTAGATTCTGGATTAGCTAATAACCTTCCGATTTTCCGTCTGAGAACAAAGCAATAATCAATTTCTTACTCGATCATTATTTGATGTAATTACTCGATAATTACTCAATCAAAACTCTTGAATGAGGAGAAGCTCAAAAGTATCCCACACATATGCATGTGTGGCTTTGAAATTCATTCCTGTCGTACGAATCATTGGTTCAACGAGCTGTTGTGGATGCCCTCAAGTATTGAGGTGCGGCAGTGATGACAAAAGTTTATGTCTTTGGCAGAATTGGTCGTCGGTTGTACCGAGAGGATGGAAAGCATCGGTCCAGAATTGAGATGCCTTTGAATCAATCATCGTGGATGGCTGCGCACAGCTTCTGAAGATCAATCATCGTGGAGTCAGAAATGATTGTCCCACGAGTATTATTCTCTTATTATACTGATTGGCATGAGGCGTTGAGGATCCTTGAGAGTACAGCATGTTTCCGCTAACTACAGCGAGCCAATGATGATGAATAACACAAAACAAACAACAGTCCAAGCAAAACATCGCAAAAGACTAACTAAGGGAAAATTGGATTGAAATGAAGGTCCAACAGTTTGTCGATGAAATAGGAAGTATTCTTGTGGGTGAGATGGAGAAGTCGCAATATTCCACATCAATCACGTATAATGGATGGGGTAACTGCGAACCCAAGTGCTCTTGCCGCATGATCTCAGCATAAACAACCAAACTATCAAAACTCGTGATACGTTACATTGTAGAAATCAAGACCTCCATCTTTCCCACTCAATTGGTCGATGCTTTCAATATGTACGATTTCAAGTCTATTGTTGACACTTTCCGATCATGTTTGGTTCCTCGTCGTCGAACAATGCTCACCCTCAAGCTCGATCAAATATCAATCACCGAAATCTTGCAAGGTTTAAAGAATGGTCATTTCTCAAGCGAAGAACTTGTTAGAGTTGGTTGATGGCCATGTGGCTTCATTTTCACTTGACTAACGACGATGAAGACTTACATTAAGCGTATCGAACAAGTGAATTTGATTGTCCATGCCGTTAGTGAGATTAATCATAACGCTATCGAAATTGCTAGGGAAAAAGATGAAGAACGATTCCGCGGCTCGGCCCGAGGAAGTCTTCATGGAGTACCGATCCTAATCAAGAATCTATTTTTCACCACTGATGGCCTCAAAACCACCTGTAAGCTTTTTTTCTTCTCCTTGTTTTTTCTTGATCCGGCTCATTCTCATTATATCTCATGAAGTTGGCTGCACGGGATTTCTTGAAGCCATTCCAAATATCGAAGCAACGACAGTCATCAAGCTCCGTGAGGAAGGCGCAATTATCCTTGGAATAGCAAATGGTTCTCAATGGGCAAATAACCGATGCACTCCTGGTTGGTCTGCCGTCGGAGGTCAATGTTTGGGTATCTATTTTAAAGATCAACATCCTAAAGGTTCATCATCCGGCAGTGCTGTTGGAGCTGCTTTAGGACTTTGTGCTGCTGCTTTGGGCTCTGAGGTTCGTCATTTCTCAATGTCTTTGGATTACGTGGACTAAGGTTTGTCTGTACAGACTTCTGGTAGTGTAACATTACCCGCCCAGAGATCTGCCATAGTGGGAATCAAACCTACAGTAGGGATGACTTCGAGATATGGAATGTATCTTGCGAGTAATAGTCAGGATACTGTAGGGGTATTGGCAAGAAGTGTTAAAGATGCCGCGCTTATTTTGACTGTGATTGCAGGTAAGTCTTTTGAATACATTCAAAATACTGCAACTAAGATCCGAAAGGCGAGGATCAAAAGGATCCCATCACAATTTCGGATCCTAGAGATTCAATATCCTGCAGGAAACCATTTGGAACTCCAGATTTTACAAAGGCATGCAACTCTAGGAGGCTAGATGGCATGCGAATAGCAGTAAGAAGTTTCAAAAATATCAGACAATTATGATGTTAACCCTACAACTAGATACCTCGTCATATGCTCAAAAACGTTGATCCCACCACTCTTCACCTCTTCACAAACGCAATCAACACAATCAAAACCCTAGGAGCAATCATAGTAGATCCAGCTTCATACCCCAAATTTAATCCCGATAGATCTTCGTGTACTGGTGACCAATATGATCTCGCTTTGCAAGTTGATATATATCACAGTATATCTCCATTCCCTATATCCTCAATACCTATCAACTAACCATCCTCACAGACATGCAAAAATCCCTCTCCTATTTCTCCACCAACCCACACTCTCTCTACACCCTCTCCGACATAATCTCCTACACAATCACCACACCCGCCGAAGAAGCCTCTACGAGGGGTTACACATTCTTAGAATCTTGTCTTAAAGCAGGAAATACATATTCCCCCATAAGCGAAGAATACATAAATTCCAAAACAGAAAGAGAATACATGGGTAAACAAATCCTAAAATTACTAGATAAATTCGAATGTGATATGATTCTCCTCCCTACCTGCGTAGCTGTCGAACCGGCTGATGTGGGTGGCAATCCTGTGGTAAGCGTACCGATGGGATATTATCCTGCGGGAACGGAAATTATGAGACGGAATGGGATGGTGGATGCTGGGGCGGGGATTCCGTGAGTTTTTTCGTTTTTTTTCTTGTTTCTTTGGGTTTTGGTGATGTGATGAAAAAATACTGAGGGGACTAATTATTGAATGACAGGATTGCAGTATCGTTTATAGGAAGAAGATGGGATGATGAAATATTAATCGCAGCGGCGAATGCGTATGAGAAAGCTACGATGTGGAGGAAGAACGGGAAGATACTTGTGCAATGTGATGTTGAGTTGTCTATCTCTATCACTATCCCTATCTAGGGATTTATAACATCTACTCCGTACGGAAGTGAGAGAATAATTAATTCGGTACTCGAGTAGGTGGGTCTAATTTACTTCTCTGAGTTCTATTGAACTAGGTATGATTCCAATACGCATCTATGTAGCTTTTAGTTGAATATCCCTATAATTGTAAACTTCCTAGGTACCCGTAGATTAGGTTAAATTAACCCTATAACACGAAAACAAGAAATCCACTATAAAAAAAATATTTATCCTTCTTGCGGCTTTTTTGACCGAAACTTGGTGTTTCTGTGGTACTACTCGGTTGTTCAGATCATAGTTATATTATCAATCTAGGTATTCAAAGTTAGCTGTATAGACTACCTACCTCTATTTATTAGCTCAGCTCAGCGGTACGAGGAAGAGAATATCATCACAGATTTGCAGTTAGAAGAGCTTGACAAGCTGTGATAATTTAGATCATTTTCTTTTTGTTTGTTGAGGGAGTGGAGGTGTACTATCATGTGCATTGTGTTCTGCATCCTGTGTCTTGCGTCCTGTTTTGGGATATGTAAGATTAGAATCGTCACCCGCGTTTGCTGAAGTTCTGATTCCGATTACTCTCGAGCTTAATTCCAGCACGAAAGAACTTCAGATAACAGTTTCTTGTACCATTAGATGGTCATTTGCAGAATATCTACTTCGCATCTTACTGTAGTCTGCAGTCCTCTGTTTGCTTTTTTGTCGCTAGGAAAAGGGGAACTTGGATAGGTAGTTTTCTCGGTTCGGAGTTTTGGGTCTGGGACCTGAATTATCTACAGTTGTTATTTCAGATGATGCTTATCTCCCCACAGAATGGGAAGACTAAGTTGGTGAAAATTTACCTCATACGAAATGACAATCCATCATTTGGCTTTTTTGCATGGCATTCCCGATGTGACATACTTGGTTAATGAACAATTGAGAAGTGAAGTGAATCATATCACATTGGTATATACACACCACCTGTGCGTACGTCTCCGGTATGGTTTTAAGAAGTGAATAAGCTCCAGCTATCAAAGTATAGGACACAGCAACAGCTGAAGGAGAAATTGCTGATAGTAATGACTACATCGATGTATTTATACCGAGAGGTATACAGCTAGATAAATATTGACGAAGAATTTGTTCAGTTAAGAGGTACAATTGTGTGGCAGATCCGGGTCGGAAACTGAAGCTTGAGGCAGCATAGGAATTTGAGATATCACAAACAGAGCCATCTAGTACCGCCAAGTGAAGGATGAATTTACTCTATCTATGTTATATGAGTACTTTAAATCCTAAATTACCAAGGAAAATAGCGCTATCAAGCTTGAGACTCGAAATCAGTGTATCTTTAGGTCATTGTTGCCAGGTCACGCACGCCTCATCATTCTCAACGGCAATTCCACGGAAAGACATCTTGACTCCATGATGTAAGATAGAACGGCTACTATTTAAAGATTGAGTTCATATACAGTTTTACACGTAGCCCAATGTCCAAGTATTAGCTTTTCGAAGCCTCCTTCATTTTCCACCAATTTTGGACGACATCTTTTCACAGTACTGAACTCCCAGTCCACATATTCTCGAGCGGTTCTAAAAGTCTGTAATAGCCTCAATAGTCATTGCACTAACCTCAACATCATATAATCCATTGGCAAATGTGGCTCGCATGCACTTCAAATAATTTATCTGATTCTACAGTGGGAGGGTCATCTCATCACTGTTAGCAATGTTTAAATCACAGCTTTTTGGCTTACCCTTCTAGACGTTTTTGGACTCAAAAGAGACGGCAGCCGTCACTTCTTTGTCTATAAAATAAGCACCCCAAGTTTTGACTTGAAGGAAGTAGTATCATTTTTTGTTTAGGCGTTTAAATGTACTTTTGACAATCAACCTAGCTGCAATAAGTTCATAGAAAGCAAAGACTTATATATTGACTTTCGACACTACAGGTAACACGGAATATAGATTATATGGTAGTAGAGAAATGAGAGGCATTGAAGGAGAGAAGATTCCCAAATCTACCAAGTAGGCATGGCACAGCAGAAGACACACGGGACCATCTAATCTATTCCATTTAGATTAATTAACATCTATAGAGTTTCAATATTAGCTTCACGGTGGATGATACAAATGATGAACTTAGACTCATCATTAGATGGTGGGTGTTGGCGATTTTCAGGTACTCTTACAATCTGCCAATAGACCTATAAAAGAGCTGCCAGCGAAGGTTCTTGTGTCGAACTAATATATCATACTTTCACATCACGAAAGAAATATTAGGAGAGATAATTTTCATTAAAACTATCTAGTTAAGCAAAAGATTCGTCCGCCAAGCTTGTTGCCAATGTATTCTTCGCACCAAATTAATGCGATGTATTCTATCTGGTACCTCATTTCTCAAGACACTGAGGACTCAAAGACGACAGTGGAATCGTAAAAAATGAGTGGTTACTTGATTGCGCAAGTCCAAAGTCCGCCCTAAAGTGGTAGATATATACCAGTCCAACAAATACAGATGGCTGGTATCATATGCTGCCCCGGGAGGTGGCTAGTGCCTGAATCGGGATCTAAACATCTAATTTATGTAAAGCCTCAGAATCTATAGGATGAACTTAAAAGAATTCCTAAAGCTAAAGGCTGGGATACAGTAAACAGCACCGTATTCACAGTAAACAGCACCGTATTCACAGTAAAAAGCACCGTATTCAAAAAATATATATATACCGCGTGGATAACGACACAATCTGATGTTTTGGTACAGTCCCCAAACCGCACGTAAGTAAGCGAGAACGCCGTGCAGACTTCAAGTCAATACTTAAGTACTTGGACTATCCACGAGAAATCGTCCTCTTCCCTCTTCCATGCACAGAGCTTTCTAATAGTCGCAACCAATCTTCTACAGAAAGTGTCACAGTCTATTTAGATTATTCTATACTTTGTAGAATTATCTGCTTTTTTTTGCACAAGCAAATCCAACTTCACACATCTTGTTTACTCTATCCATATTCTTCTAAGTCAAAATGTCTCCTCCTCACGCTTCCAAGTCTCAGGAAGACAAGAATAAAGACAAGGCACCCAAAGGCAGCAGCGGCGGCATTGGAGGCAAGCTTGCTAGCAAGGTGAGCAAGATCTTCAAAGGGAAGACAACGACACCAGAGCCAAAGGTATGAATTACCAACATTGCATGAAAGGTCTAACGCACTAAGACTAACCACCACTTGTAGGTACCCGCGAAAGGCAAAAAGGCATCCTCCTTCAGTAAAATTCTAGTACCATCTCCTCTAATTCCAAGAGAAATTTCCTCGAAGATCTCCAAATATCAGATAATCGGTAGAGAATCTGGTCAGAGGAAAACCCGAGGACAAATTACATCAACTACTAAGGCAACTGTTGGAAATTCTCAAGCAACACCAATCTTGGCTACTGAGCCTAACGTCTTGAAGGGACAAGCACCTTCAAATTCGGCCAAGGCTATACAACACAGCAACAATGGCCAAAAAATTGTGAGTCTTGTCTTTCTTTACAACAAATAATTAATGAAAACCAAATACTGATAAAGCATCTCTAGCTACCACCTTCAGCACCAAAATCACGCATTGGTAATGCCCTTAGTCCAAAGAAATGGGACTACAACAACTCACACCAACCAGGAAAAAGCCCTGGTGTCTTGCCAAAGGCTACTGAAGTATTTAGTAGAATGGAACCTACGTTGTGGGACAAAGCAAGGGATCTACAGGCAACAGATGAGGGTCATCAAGCAGGCTTTGCGAATGCCACTTCAACCGGAAAAGATTCGCACATTTCAAGACGCGAGCGTGCTAGTAGTCCTCGCCCGCTCACCGCTGCAGATTTGGCATCATTGGCTGCTGATAAAGCCAAGTTCAAGGATGAGGAGTTAGCAGCAAAGCGGCAATATGTCAATGAACGCCCGGGAGGTGGTTGGGACCATCAAGATTATGAGGAGGTCTATCCTGAGCGTAAAGTAGTAGCTGCTCATACTGCGGTCAATGATAGACCGGAAGATCCTGAGACTGAAGAAGTATCCGAATCTCACGATGCTTCAATCGATGAGGAGATCCCAGCCGTGGTTCCTGCTGCTCAGCCGGCCAGGGCTTCACGTCCAAGTTTGGTTGCGAAGGGCAAGAAGCTTGATAAGGGAAAAGGAAAAGTGGGTCTATAGTCTTCCAATATAGTTATTATTAATAGACCAAATACTAATTAATATTCTCTACCAGGCCATTGACGAAGATGAAAAAGATCAGAGTAGCAGTAGTGACGTCGACTTCAACCATCAGGTGCTAGCTGCAGATGATGGAGCGGGATATCCTGTTATAGCTTCAGGAAGTAATGCCAGAAGCGTAAGTCCTCCCTTTTACTTGTTTGGTTTCAGTTGAATGACCTTCTGAAATTTTTGATTATCATACTAACTTATCCCAAGGAGCTTTTATTTGGCCCACCGGGTCCTATTGAGAAAGAGGTTAAGAAAATGCCCTCTGGTCACAAGGCTGTTTTTGGAGGAACACACCACCGCGATAACGTCCCAGTTGGGACTCCGCAGCCCAGTGCTTTAAATATTGTGATTCGCAGTGAGAAGCGAAATCCAAACGACCCAAATGTGGTAATTGCCCGGGCCAAGATTATCCATCAATTTACCGACAAGGTAGATTGGAACGATAAAGAATCCGTCAGGAAGCTCAACAAGTGGCGTGGACAAATCTTTGAACGAGCTTTCGGATCAAAGCTCCCAAGGAGATGGAAGTACACTGTTGGTGAGATGAACGCCCTATGCGACATTCTCGAAGCACACCTTGTTACATCAGAAGTGGGCGGTCTGATGACAAATGTTGATTGGAAGTTGGTAACAACTCAATACAACGATCGCTTTGAAGATGTCAAACAGAGCGCTGGAGAGTTCTATGCCAGTACTAGTTGTGGTGATAATGGAGAGAAAAGATCTGTCCCTGACGATAAGTTGAAGGAGAGCCGCCAAGCCCCTGTTAGATCTTTGGTAGGATTGAGAAATCAATTATATCACTTTAAAGACCAGCGAGTAATCGACCTCGTAAAACGCGCGAAGGGTATTAAACAAGAGGTCGAGCCGGGGGCTGATGTCGAAAACAAGCAGACAGCTACCCCCAGCAAGGGGTCGTCTTCTGATTCTGGAAGAAAGATCAAGAAGCTCATCCTCAAGATTGGGGACCGCCGCGTAATTCTCGGTGGTAATAGAGCCAGCGGTGAGAACTATGCAGATAATGAGGATAGTCCGCCCACTGAACAGGCAAAGTCGGATAATCCCCCCCGCCTTCGTGGTGGCAATGGTGGCCTTTTGGACGGCCATGATACAAATAACACAGATGAATCTGTGACTGGAACTGATCGTCAAGGTAGTGAGTTCGAATTCCCTGCTAGCTCACCACTCCGCCAAGTTCCCGATAATGCAAGTTCGACTACTCACGCCGCTCAAGCTATAGTGAACACCAAACAGCTTTACGATCATAATGAAACAGCAAATAATGCCAGTCCTCCTTCGATTGTAGATCAGCTTGTTTCTACCTCGAAGAACAAGAAGAGATCGAGGGAGGTTGATAGGAACAATGGAAGTGACGGCGATGACGAAGGGAGCTCATCGCAAAAGAAGGCCAGGATTGATAGAAGCCTTCCTCGGGATCCTCGACTTCCACCTGTCAACGCACAGGGTCGTCACCCCCTTCCCAATTCACCAATCCCCGGTTTATATCCAGAACCTTTGAAATCAAACCACAAGAAGAGATCGAGGGACGACGACCAAGTTGATGGTGGCAACAGCCAGCGGGACGAATCAGCAAAGAAGCTCAAAGTACAGAATGCACAAGGCGCCAGCCTATTTCCGGAATCTCCAAATCAACCAGCTTGGGACGTGGTAAACTCATTACCTCGTCCTCGCACTGCAGCAAGAAATCGAGCAAAAACCACCAAGGGTGTTCGAACCACTGCTCGACTTCCAGCCCTAGACGACAATTTCCAGGATTAGTAGTTAGCTCTGGCGTAGTTTGTTTATAAAATGGTTTCCCTTACAACGCAGTCAGCGGAGACGCGTTGACAGAAATAAGCTTTTCATTTGGTTCGGTTTGTTGTTAAAGTGAGACGCGTGACAAGCTAATGGTGGAACATTGATATGGTGTTCTCTTTAGTACAATTGTTAATATATATTTAGTGTTCAATATTAATACAAAAAATTCAAAATTCAAATTATAAATCATGACTCAAAATCCTTTATTTTATAGTTATAATTTTAGAATTTGTTTTTAATTTTTATTTGAGAATAATTTTTGAAATTATTTACAAGTTTAGAATTCTAAGAATTATAATCTATTTAGATTTTCAAAGTTATTTAAATTTTTGACAACGTTTTTAAATACTTTAGATATAAAATTTAGAACATAATTTCGTTTTTTAATAGCTTTTATACTGACGTTTCAAAAGGGGATTCGGAGATTTAAAGGCATTGGTTTAGTTGGCCGAGATGCATTGCGTTGATGTCACGGTTAGGATAGTGAATAATTAGCGATAATTACAATGGAGAAGGAGAGCAAGTCATGATTTCCGCAGCTGATTTAGTGATTATGTTTTGAATCTACAAACTGCATTGAAAAATTTGGTAAAATTAAATTATATAATCGCGGGAAGTGAAGTGGAAGGCATTCGTTGAGATGTTCGAACCTTGTGTCTGTTAGTGGGATACACATCATAGAATGCGGTGTGATGAAAAGGTCCCCCCTTTTAAGGAAATCCAGATTTAGATTCTACCAAATCGCAGCGTCTTTTGATTGAACAAATATCTTTCCCCGCTACTATAGAAGGTGCTGCAGTTCCACACCAATATGACTAGAGCACCACGCCGATGAGGTCCACAAGCGATATTTGACGAGGTTTAAAAGACTCCTTCAACCATTCGCACAGCCCATACTGACAATAAAAATGATATTGAAAAGCCATTAGAGCCACGAACTACTGTTATTCACTAAGTTCTGGACATATAGCCAGGATATCAGGTCATTCACCATCGCTTTCGTTCCGGTCAACAACGAAACCACATGTCTTGAGGATCTCTACTATCTCTATCTAATAAAACTCTACAATAGGAGTCCCATCCATTTCAAATTCTTCCCTCCATATAAACTATGAAAAGCAAGAACTTCAACCTTGGAAAGTTAACTGCAACACAATACCTAGATTGAAGTAATGATCTCATATGCTCGTCGAGATGGATTAGATAAGATTACTATTTTTGTGTTTCTGATGATTATATTGGATGAGTTCTAGAAAAGCCGATTTTAGAAATGATGATTTCCATGCTGTATTATTCCCTCACTAAAAGCTCAATGAGATGGAAGGAATGTAACTCATTCACTGAAATGAATTTTTACTTGAAGTTTATGCAATGAACGTGTCATGAGGAGACCTGGTATTTCACGAAGACTGTGGTGTATGTGACACGCATTTGGGCATTAAGAAGTTTGAGTGCAAAGTACGGAAACATGCATTGTACGATATTGCGGGAGAGAAGGCATAAAGTGCTTTTAAGCTTGGTTCTCGTTTAAGTATATATCTTTAGCTTACATGTTCTTCCACTGTCTTTCATATTGCACCTCGAGCTGGCACAAGCAGGAGTTTAGAGCCTCTATTGTAGCGATGGTACTCTAGTATATTGAGAGACTTATGACTAGAGTCCATAAGTTTCTAAGTCGCAAGTATATTGGGCATGCCTCCCATATCTTGAAACCCAAAAGTTCTTTCGAAGTCTTAGACCGACTATTCCTTTTCTGCTGAATATATAATTTATTTCAGCGACCCAGTGGTCCCATAACACTTGCCACCATTACTGCAACTTCTCTTTCCCAACTACCATCTGCTCTTTTCTCGCCTTTGATAGCACTTATTCCAGCTGGCGCTCTGCTACCCTTCACAACGCATTCACGGATCGCATCTCTGACACTATTACGATTACTCCTTAGCGTCCTAGCGCTAACACCACCCTTATTGATAATTTCTTGTACTTTTGTAGTCAACCCCCCTGCTAAAGTCCTCCAGAAATAACTTGGTAATGAACCTGTTTCTAAGGACGTAAGAAGAGGTTGAAGGAAATTGACAGGCGCCATATCCTCAGATGGTAGATTTGGATGTTGCGGAGGTTGCATAGATGAAAGTAGTGATTCTAAAGCCAAAACATTTTGACATCGAGCAGACACTTCGAGAAGAGTTCGATCGAGTGTGGGAAGTGTAGCCAGGGCGCGGGAAAGAGATGCCAATGAGCTAGTAAGAGCAGTGCGTAAGTAATCCTGGAGCGACTGAACGAGGAGATCAGGTTCCCATTTTATTTTCTTTGCACCCCCACTACCAAGCCCAGTTGTAGAGGATAGAAGATATAAAGTTTTCAGAGCCGAATCTGTGCGCTCTTTCATATCCCTTGTCTGCGCATATGTTGACGTATTGCTGTTTGATGACAAATTGCTCATCGAGAATTCGCGAATGAGTTGCTGTGATCTGGAAAGCACGACCCGCTCTGCAGGATTAATTATAGATGTTTGAAGTGTCCGCACAACCTCTATTCTCTCTAATCCATGGCCCTCTTCCCCTGGGCCACTTTTCTGAAAAAGCTCTCGTATATTCAATAATGTATTCGAACATCGTACCAATGCTTTATGATCCTCCTTCGCTCCTGGAACTTTAACAGGCGCACCCGTATTTCCAATTTCAGAGAGTTGAATCTCAAGTTGTCTTCCCAATTGTAAACATCGTGCTACCACTCGCCCCAGTCTCACGGTCTCCCATAGCCTGCTAGCAACAGTTTGGACCTCCTCCGCAGTTTCATATCGTACTAGAACTTCCTTTTCGAGCCGTTTGTATCCATCATTGAGACTTGCGACCTGCGAATCTATTTCTTGTACTATCCTTTGGCTCGATTCAGTCTGATCTTGGGTATGTGATAGGAGAGGTAGAGCGTTTTTGGTTGTAAGACTATCTATGTGTGTGTTTATTTCTTGCGCATCGAATAAAACGCGCGAGAGGGGTGTCGAGAGGTCGAGGGGGGTATCAGTAGGGTTATTTGTCCCCAGAACAAGGGAATTTGCGAATGATGAAGGAGAGAATGTCGGAGAGAGAAAAGTTTCGTAATCGATGTAGGAATTTTCTTCATCTGCTGATGTCATCTTGAATCTCTGGCTGAATTCGTTTGTTTGTACATCTGTCTGTAAATTCAATGGTTCCGCGACGATGAACTTGAATGATATACTATTAGCTACCTACCCTACCTACCTAGGTACGTAGGTAGTTTTGTTTAGCTGTGATGGAGCCCTTTTAGTGACATTGTGGGGAAATCAATGCACGGACCAATGGGGAGGTCTATGGCAAAAGCTCGAGCTTTATCATTTCTAGATTTCTTTCAAATCCCTTCGCTCCATTCCAGACTTCACTCCACTCCAGACTTCACACTCCACTCCAGACTTCACTCCAAACTTCAATAAACTATCGAGACTCAGCTCTTCTCTATCCTTAGTGAAACTATAGAGATCAATTGTTATCGACCTACCCATCATTTGATATCAAGAAGCTGTGAGTGTTAAAATCATCAGCGGAATGTCCGGACTTCCATCGAGGATTGTCAGCTTAGCAATTTATCAACAATCCATAACTCTTATCTTAAAACCAGTACAACTTCCAACTTGCAACTCCCCGACTCCAAGAATTGTCTATTAATATGATGTGCTATTATTGATCTTCCTGCCTCGTCAATCAAAGGAACTACTGGGCCTGTGAATACTTATTCTTATTCGAAACAAACTGTCGAGGGTTGAATGTTCTTTCATCATGGTTTCCTTGGACAGTCGGGACCTTGTTCCATTTCCACCTGGTAGCAATGCCAGCGACACTTTGATCGAAGGAGTGCATTATAATCTCACAACACTGAAACATTGGAATTATACTTATTATTCCAATGGCACATTTTCTAATGGGTCCTTATGCTTCATCCTCTTCAAACCCTATACCCCTCATTTACTCCAGAACGGTACCTTTCTCAACAGCACATCATGTTATTCTCCGATCAAGTCTATGGCAGCGCGGTCTATAATCGGTCTTGTGGTGGGAATCTTATTCTTGATCAGTATCATGTTCACATTGATTAATCTACGAAAACATGGCCGAACAATCATATCTCCCCGTAAACGGTTCCGTGCGGTGAGTAGAAGATGGCAGTGGTATTGGATGCTTATAATTGGAACCTGTGGAGGCATAAGCGGCATAAGTGCCGTGGATGTCGACAGATATTTTTTACCAGAGTTGCCTTTTGCTTTAACAAACTTCTTCTGGTTCTTGATGCTACCGGCGACAATGGCAGCTGTGTGGGAGAGTGTGAGGCATTGGGGCAGTTGGCAAGAGAGACAAATGCTCGATATCCCTGAAAACAGACGTGCACTGAGGGAGGATGATAGGAGGACGAAGATGGAACTAGTGATGCCATTGGTCTTTTATTTCTTCTTTTGGTTGAATTTCTTACTGGTCATACCAAGATCTTGGGGTTCATTCGAAAAACAACGAGATTTGGATCAAAGTAATCTCATTGCTGCACCAGCTGCTACTGACATTCGATTCAAACTCGCAGCTTTCTTTCTTTTGGGGGGATGGTTAACAACAATTTACTCTTTACAACATTCGATATATCACTATAGGTCTCACGAACAGGGGTTTTTGAACCGCTTCATTGCGCTTTTCAAACACACTCCTGCCAAATTTTTCCTCACCCTCTTCCTTTCTCTAGTAATGATTGGATACATAGCAGCGATTTCATTTTATTTTCCAATATCCCCTCTCAACATCCGTGCGAAAGTGGAATACATATATCCTTTAGGTTGGGGACCAATAGCACTGATACTGCTCGTCTACGAAGTCGCCGGCTACTTGAATCCAAATGAAGATCGTGATCTACTCCGTCAGCGACGTACTCGCGATTTGGCAGCAGACGAAGAAATGGGATACACGAGAAAACCACGATGGTGGAGTCGACTACATGGTGATAACAAATTTGGTAGTGTGCAAGAGAGGATAACTGCCAATGTCGCTCAAGTCGGTGGTGGAGTCCCAACAACAAAGGGATTGGAGAGAGTAATGGAAATGCAAGATCTTCCATCGCCTACCAGAGATGAAAGAGACACTCAGCATCCAACAAGGGGCATTGGGTCATTGGGGATGGCCGCTGGTGTGTCATATCCTCCACGTCTGGATACTGAAGAAAGATTTAGGGATAACCCACCAAGGACCAGAGATTCAGAAGCGAGTTCAGTGACACAAGTGGAGTCTGAACAAGGTGCAAGCACTAATAGTACTGTTTCCGTATCGGCACCTCCACAGCAGATTAGGAGTATGCTTGATGTCTAGTAATGATTTGATGTATGCTATAAGCATTTTGAGGGCTTCAAGAAGAAGAATATTAGTGGTGTAGTACATCCTAAAAAGGTTTATGATAATAAAAGACGGGTATCGGGCATACGATAAGATGTGCTTGAATAGCAAGAATAACAGCGAATAATTGGTTTGACCTATTCTAAAAGAGCATGGAAAACCTATATTAATGAATTATTCTACAAACTGTTGATTTCAGGCGCCGGCTGTAGTGGTTATTTGAGTCTCCTCAAGTCCAGGAATCGGCATCTACTTTATGGGTTTTTGCACAAAACATATTTTATAATCACTTAAAACATAAGTCTAGTACTTATTGTGTACCTTGCTTTCAGTAAACCGGGACCCTGGCGTTAAACATCATTGTCCTTTTCCAACTAATTCCAAAAGAAACTCAATCATTTGATAGTCGAAATTTTTGATCTTACATGGCGATCCCGTGCGAGCAGCTCCGTACCAATATAATCATACTGGCAAACAAAGTGAAGAAACGGCAGATACAATTGTAGTAAAAGCATTCACAGAAAAGAGTACATGAGCAAAAAAGATGAACATGCAATTCCCCCCAAAGTATTCTATGTCATAGTTCGTATTCACTGTCAATTTAGTAGTTGACATTTGGCATTCGACACAGTATCATTCTATCGCCAATTTTCTATTTGCTCTGTAACTCAACCTTTAACCCAAACTCTATGACTACATCAAGGTGTTGATGATCAAACTCCACATCATGAAAATCTAAGATCCGCAATCTTTGTTGCGAGGCTTTCTGCACAGGGAATTTCGGAGCATAACCCATACCCAGTGTCTGTCACTTTTACCTGCACAACTTTTTACCGGCAGAAAAAATTAAGTTGTCTCAACCATCGTCCGGAATATCCACTGGCCCTTTTGTCCCATAATTCTTTAGTACCAGATTCTGGTGCGTATTCCATTACAACATTGCTATCCCAATCTAGTGTTTGCTCATTCTGCATCGTAACGTACCCTGGAGTATCTCGTGCTCTTTGATATTCTTATCAACCACCTGCTTTCCCTGGTTATCGCAGTTGAATTTATCAAACCCGCTATACTTCTTCTGTCCGGACTGACTGGCGGGTTGAACGACCTCTGGTTTGCTTAACAGTATCTTCAGACTCCTTCCCTCCAGATGAATTATAAGCTGTCAGTTCCTTGATTAACCGACTCGAAGATTTTGGCTTGATACTATCACCGGAATCGTTTGTTGTAGCATTCGAATTAAACGAAAGATCACTTTCATTTGATCCAATCCCGGTTTTATCAACTGTCTGCTCTTTCCGATTAGTGTTGAGGATTTGGTCGATGGTATTAGATTGCCGCTGGACTTGACGTTTATTTCTTGTCCTAGTGATCGCCTTTAAATCTTCGGTCCCAAGTCCATCTGCGTTTTTTAGTTTCTTTAACGTGGTAGGGAATGCAGGATAACTAGATATTTTTGGCACTATAGGTGGATGAGTGAGAGAGATTCCGTTGGAATCGGGAACCAATTCGTGCTTACGATGGATATTTTCTTTACCATCACCCGTCTTAGCAGGAACCAAGCCATCGACAGGTGTGTCCATTTTGTCCTCTTCCCGGTTGGAAACATTTTGTTTTTTCGCTGGAACATTCTTTGAGATTTCTTGACTACTAGCACTTCGTTTCCTAGGCATGGTAGTAGTGTCTTTCATTATCTGAGGCTCATCGGCATCCACTAATTCGAGATCTTGAATGTGTTCGCTGTAGCCCTGAGCCCTCAGAGAGTCGATATATTTACGCGTAGCCTTTGCAGCTTTTACGATAATATAATGCGGAATTATATCACAGTCCTGGATTAAGCGATTGATATGTTTCCGATATTCTTTTCCGAGCATCCATAACTGCTCAATATCTTGCACTGCTCTTCTTTCAACCGATGTGAGCGGGCCAGTTGGATTATCAAGGCGAGGTCGAGGATATCCTGAGAACTCTCCTATTGCTGGGAGTTTAGCTGATCGGACTACACGCCGAATTTCTTCGGCGTCTTCAATGTCGATTCCCTGTAGGAACCGCATTTTACTTCTAGACGTCTTTTGACCACTTATTATCGCTGGGTCTTCTATGGAGTAGATGTAAGGTTTTGTGTGGGGTATTGGAATTCCTGATTTATGCAAGATACCTTTGTATTGATGGAATATTTTGGACTGTATCTACAGCTATGTATGTTGTAGTGGTAATTTCGCTTGGAGAGAATCCGTAATGAAAGAAAGGAAGATTGCCAAATAGGTTTTTGGTTGCAGGAGGATGAATGTAAGTAATTGGAAGTTGAATGCTCTGTAGATATTTTGAGGCTATATATATGTGTATTTATGTTTGTGTGGGTGCGGAGAAGTGCCAATCGACTAAGATACAAGTACGGCTATTACTTACTCTCGGTTACATCTATCAAAAAAAGCTGCTGGATATCTCTCACCGTACCGAATCTTGCATCCGTACCAGTCTGTCGAATTTGTTTTTCCTCGACAAGTATACCGTATGATCCGATAATTGTTCGCTTTGAGAATATTCGTAAGGCTACTGGATGCATATGCATATCCTTGAATAAAAACGTGGAATAAACACTATCTCTTGCTGTTGGGATGATTTTTAGATATAATGGAAGTTTGAAGGTCAATATCAGATATCATGACTGGAGTTTATGGATGGGATAAGGTTTAACCTACTTTCAAAAGTAGTAGCGAGAATAGAGAAATGGAAAGTGCATAGATGGTGAGTGGGCCTTTACTTCCCCATTTATCACTTGATAACTTCGATGTTGGATTCGTTCTCGATACGTCCATTTTGAACATGGAACGAATGAATGAATATACATATACTTTGGCGCTGGAAAAAGTTCGTCTGGATTTTGGGTTTCTTGTTTGGGGTTTGGATTTTTGGAAACTTGGTTTGTTTATATGAGTGAGATGGAAATGGAAATGGAAATGGTACGGTTGTGGTTGTATTTTGATGGAACGGGGGGTGTATATAAAGGAGCATGAGAGCTGGTTTCTCCATTAACACCAGATGTCATAAGTGAGTGGCTGTAGTTAGACATCGGGAAATGTCGTTATGGACCTATGTTCAAATTTTCAGATAGGGAACCGTCGATTTCTCAAAATGGCTTAATTATGGGTATTTGGTATACGGATTTTAGATGATTCGGTATGGATATTGAAAATTCGTTCCGATGGAAGAGGAAGAAAATTATTTGATGGTGGTAATATTACCACCGGGACTCATTGGGATCAATTAAGACATTCTACCTTTATGGTATTAATACCTGAACTGAAGTCATTCGCACTTTATACTGAGTAATTAGACTCTGCTCTTACTTAAAATTTACGTCTTGCTAGATCGGAATCACGTAGATTAGTAATGTTTTAAATAGTGCTATTACTTCCATCGATCTATTTTTTGGACGTCAATACTAATGCGCTGAAAGTAGCTTTTGGCAACGCACTGATGACAAGGTGGAACTGCTGCATCGGGTTGTATATCGTATGTGGCATTTCTCCTGCTCTTAGAAAATGAATAGTTTTAAACGAATACTTAAAGAGTCCTTGTCCGATGAGCTTTACAAGCAATATGTCAAATAAATTTTCGATGATGTAAAACTTTCCTCCTTAAGTTAGTTTGGGTCGTCTATGGCAGTCTTTGTGAGTTTGATGATATTATGTTTGATGGTATTGAGCAATGGAGTTTATTGGGTACGTGCTCATCTATTCTATTACTAAATTGCAGGATCTGGAAGCTCCATCACATGCTGTGTTTTTTTCGTTATCCATTACCTATGGCTTTTAGTCCTGATCCCTGCCCTGTATTGTGTAGAAAAAAACATTGCAAAGTTTGGGAGAGTTAACTGGTCAAGGACAAACCAATTTCAGAAATCTAATTGCATCAGAAGCAGAATTTAGACGGAAATTGGAGAACATGAAGACTTTCACTTATTGGAAATGGAGTATGTTAACTTACCATCCTTATTTGAAAAATTCCTCCATTTCGAGTTGCTAATGCTTCAATCAATCGTTCATGCTAGTGCATTGGTTGAGAGTAGAGCTTTGAGAGGCTAAAGAAAAATTTTGACGTATTGAAATACGTCTGCATACCTTACTGCATGTCGTATTTTGGACAATAAGAGTCATTTACTGCAATACATTTGATTAAATCTGCTTAGTTGGCAAGCAGGTACTGTGGGTTAAACCCGTTATCGAGAGTGCTACGACAAAAATACTCTTTGTGGTTACGGCGGTTCCTGGTGGGGCTCTTACATATGCCATTGTGTTCAACATAGATACCATAGTAGTGAAGCTCATCAGTGGACGCAAAGTCCGGAATGAATGGTTGACTTCAATATATCGGGTTGGCATATCTGCCTTCAAGGTTTATTTGGCACGAATGTATGGCAAAGAGGCGTCGGAGGTGCGAAGACTGTAGGCTAACTAGAAGCATAGGTGGACTTAGACTTCTAAATGTCGAGGAACTTACCACTAAGAGCGAAACATGTATTGAGCATATAGATGAAAATTCTGATCTGACATCTACCCGTAGCTTCGTCAAAATGAGCCGGGCGGAAATTACGATTGACCCTTTGGTAGTATCGGCAGACATGTCTCTTTTTAGCCTTAGAAAACACACTCGACCTATTCCACTAAGCTCGCATTTATGCAAAGATGTCTCCTTACTAGTCCTACAAAATTTGAAAGAATGAAAAAAGGAAACAAAAAGAAAAATGTCCCCTATTTACAGACTTCAGTTTGCCGAGATGTGTTATTTCGGCAAAGCACAATCCAATGTTCTAGTCGAAGGGTGATGTCATGATTTTAGGAAACTTTTGATGATAGTTGAAATCGCCTACATATTAAATTTCTTATAATTTTAGGCCAATCTACATGTGCCTAGATACAGATAGGGCAACACTCCTCAGCTAGACACTGGGACCTCAAAATTTTGCGGATCAAGCCAACTTGGGCTGTTGCACCTGAGCTAGTTTACTAGCACTTCCTAGTTTGAGCATCTGCATGTGAATAGTCTTCCTTTCAACACGTGGCACGATATGCCGGACTAATAACACATTGACAAGCCATCAATCAATGATACCTGCAAATTCGCGCTTCCGGATCATCATCACCAGAGAGCGGATGGATGAAAGAACTAGTTACATTCCTCCTGAAACCAAAAAGAGACAAGAGCGCTAACTGCTTGTGATATGAATATGTAATAATCATGAAATGTTGCAACGGGGGAAATATCTAAACAAAAAGTTCCATGATATATCACCAATGTGAAACTATATTCCTACTTTAGCCTTAAAGACTTTCTCTCTAACAGATTGAAGGATTCAGGGGCAGGTTTTCACCTTGGATTCCAGTGAGAAACCCCCTTTCATTGTTAATGCATTGCTTTAGCCGGGTAACAATCTCACAATTCATTGTTTTCAGCGGACACACAAAGATCCAAGGGAAGCTCGGCAGACAGCAGAGATGAAACCATTCATTCGTAAAGCCCTCGGACTGTTGATAATCCCGCCTCCGCAATCAGTATGTAACTAGATGACTAGACAGTTCATCTCATCTTTACCTGAAGCCATCCATCTGCACGATCCATCTCATTGCATACGGTATAAAACTTCTGTATACCTAAATAGATACAATAATTGTACCGTACTATATTTGTAAATTTATCTGAATATTAATCAATAATTATAATTCAATTAGCCTTTTCCAGTTCTTGTCTGCTGCTTGCGGACAATTCAACATCAATTAATTGTGCACGGACCATTAAAACGATAAGAACCTCTAATCAACAACACACGACCGAGAAGTCCGATGGAAGAGTAATACAACCTCCACGAGAACCTCAATATAGAATGGAAAGACGACTTGTATGACCTGAAAGCTCCACTTCAGTGTGATACTGAATGTCTCATAGTAGACCACAACAAAATGTCTGCCAAACTTCAATCATCTAATCCTTTCAGGAGGAAAGCTGCCTTCCCGTCTTCGACCATCTCTCCTTCTTCGATACCCGCTGTCAACCACTTCGCGGGCTCAGAACGACCTGCGAATCCAAATACCGAAAATGCATATTCAGAAAGTCAAGATGGGGAAAAGAAGAGACCCAAAAAGGTTCGACTTCAGTCTCCACCGCCATCATCTCCCTCAATCCCGGATTCTACATCAACTATAGGGGAGGATTCGGGACCTTTCGAAAACCCTATGCGAGTACCTCGAGAGTATGAGCAAGATCCTTTTGACAGTATTACATCTGACATATCTGAAGATGAGGTGGAGGTGGAGGTTAAACCTCCAAGGGCTCGGATTCTGAATCCATTTTCCAAGACATTGGAGACAATCGAAAATCCAAAGAGAGATGCATTAGCTACAACACCTGCAAATGTTACCACTCCTGGGAGAGCGTCTATGGATGTGGATGCATTCAAAAGGTTATTGATGACCGGGAATGCGGGGTTGGGACCTTCTACCCCACTGCAATCCCCTCCTGTTCATGCATTAAGGGATGAAGGCAGCAGTAGTACGGATACATCTTCACTATCACGACAATCTATATTTGAACCAATACAAGAGCCACATCCGGAATCACCAAGATCATCACATGAGATATCAGAACCTGGAGAATTACGAAGGACAATTTCTGACTCTTCATCATTACATGTGAAAAAGAAGCCACCCCCACCGAGTTCGAGGCATCATGGTAAATTGATTAAAATGGAATTGAGGGATGAGCCTATGGCCGAGTCTCCGTTATCTCCTCCACAGGAAATATCGGCGACAACTCAATATTTTCCTATTATGACTTCGACCCCAAATCGCTCCTTAACAGATTTGAACAAGCCTTTACCTCCTGCACCACCTCGTGAAAGTGGTGAATCCGAACGAGAATCACCATTCGATAGAGAATCCGCAGGAAAAGCCCCCGAACCACCATCTCCATCCTCATCAATAAGGCGAAAAGCAGCTCCTCCACCACCTGTCACGCGAAGGCACAGTCAACTTGTTGGTGACTCGAAATTGAGTCGAAGTAATTCCGGACGACTTTCACCAAGGCTTGAAGAAGATAATGTATCCGTATACTCAATAGAACCTGGGCGACCTCGATCTGACAGTGGAAAAGCACCACCTCCACCTCCAACACGAAAACATGGTCTTTCTCGAACCCAATCCCATCACGTATCTTCTTCACCATCTGCAACATCATTGCCTATTCCACCGCCAAAAAGGGGATCATCAAAACAGGGTCGACCACCATCAGTACACAGTATCGAAGCTCCCAGTCCTCATATCTCCAAACGCGCCTCTATGCAAGGGCCGCCACCGCCCCCTCGTGCTCGTCAAACACGGAATAGTCTTGATGTATCTCTAATCACATCTTCCTCTTCAAATGGAGCAAGTGGCGAATATCGACGAAGTTCTGATGGCTCCTCCATGTCACAAACTTCACGATACGAAGAAAGCAGTGCGGCCACTCCTACGGGTGTTAATACCAACATTCTAGCAGATCTCAGTGCCTTGCAACAAGAAATTGATGCACTAAGAAACCAATCACAACAACGGCAGCGGAGTGTCACATGAATATAGCATTGTGGAAAAATTAGTTATTCACTCTGGTGCTCACTGAGCAACCTCGGAGTCAAGAACAAATGTTATGGAACGTCGTAATGGTGAAACTCTATAGTTTACACCACTATGTAAAAAGAATAGGAAAGTCATGTACTTTCGAAAGCGGTCGCAGCGTCTTCCTGCGAATATTTGGAATTGGTGGATTTATGTGGAATACTTGGAACCCGGCTCAAAAAGTTGGAGCTTCTTGGACATTAAGCTTTGGTGCTTAGTTTGGGAACTGTATGGGAGATTTGGAATTGTGCATGATGGACGAATACCGTCCACTCGAGCCTGTTCTATTTGAGGTGGGCTTATTGAGTTTGGACTTCCAGATTCTTGGATATGACATTGCTCCATTCCTGAAGCTATTAGAAACAATGAAGTAATTGGATACGATACGAAGAGGGTGACTAGGATCTAGCTTGTGGACGCTGCTGATTCCGGTAGAAAACAGGGCAAAGCACGGCGAATTAATGATAATTGCGGAATATGTATTGGTGAGGCTGAGGCATGGATGGTCCTTGTTCCATTTATTCTTATACAGAGCAATTTAGAAATTCAAGAGGTCAGCAGGAAGCGAGAAAAAGCACGGAACCACGAAGAGCCCTGAAGAAGAATGCTGATCGATCGGATCGACAGTGCGATGAGCGGGAGTTTATTGTTTCGTGCAGGCGGTGGAGATGGGTGGAGGCGTTTAAAGTGGGTTTGGATCGTGCGAAATGTGCATTGATCAAGATTTGCAAGTTTGGAGCTAGGAAGGGAGCTAATGGAAGGCGCGGCGAGTGATCGGGGTGCGGGATTATTGCGGATACAAAGTGATAGACTAGGACTTGGTGGTGTGGGAGAAGTGCACTACAAAGGTACACATGCAAGATCACTAATCACTTATGCGCAATGGTGATCTTGTTGGGACTCTAATGGGGCAGGCAAGATGCATTTGTTGGAGGGATCATGCCCGAGCAAACTGCACCTTGAGATGGGGCAAGAAAGTTTTTACACTCCACTATGCACATATGGCTGGATGAATTGGGAAATATTGTATACTGTAAAGCGCTAGGGATACTATGGACTAATATGACATCGAAGATATTACATTATTATCAGTACGGATCTCTATAATTGGTTGGAGGGTAAATCCTGACGACTTTGGGTAACTGATCTCGGAAGGAACCTGGATCTGATCATTATCTGGTTTGATGCATGGAGGGATCAGGGATCAGTGGATTTGCGAGGGAGATGATCTGTTCAATTGGTTGGATAGAGGGGTTGAAGTGAGGACATTGCATCATGACTATCACTAGCTACAATTATATGTGTACACTGACCACTCAGCCTCATCTTGTTACGAATACGTAGTACGTATCACATACAATGAATGACTATAGTAAGTCTTTCGTGCATGTATATATGCTTTTAATATCATCTTATACTTTTACTGTTAGTCTGTTACTCTTAATGTTACACGTCGCCATTGTGTCTCAGTTTTGGAGCAACCAAATCCAAATGCACATGCAGAGAAATTTTCGGAATCTTCGGTAAATGTAGTGGGTTACGGGGCTGGTAGGGAGGAAACTGGTCATGTGCACACGTATAATTAAGTTAGGGTTTGAAAAGAAAGCTTAGAGGCTTTAGCGTGGCATGGGACTTTGGAGCGCAGAGCTTGGATTGGTATTGGGAGTGCGAGGTGCTGGTAAAGCAAGCTTACATGTACATGGCAGTTCGATGCGAAAAAGTTTAATTTGGTGCTAAGGATGCGGCTAGTGGTTGTGGACTAGTGGTTCTTTATCCTTCGCTTATTTTTTGTTTTCTTGTTGGTACGTACTGTAGAATAGGTACTCGAGTAGGTTGATGCGAATTGCTATTAATCATTAACTATTTGGGATCCCCGAGATAGGAATTGAGTTTTCGATCTTCTAGTACAGTTGCCTAGAGGGTATGCAACTCCGAAACTCCATTCGAGTGGTCAATTAGATTTTGGGATTACCCTTTTCCCTTAGCGCTAGTGTGGTATGTTTAGTTTATGGTTTGCATGTGTGTATGTCTTATGCATGATGGCTTTGGCGAGGTGTGGACGGACGGCAGCTGATTTCATTGATATCCCATGGTTAGGGTTGGGCATTTAGCATTATATAATTCATAATGTAAAGCAAAATTTTAGCGTTATATAATAATCTAAGTCGCATTATATAACGCTAATATGGTGGGGTAAATTTGAGGTTATATTGAATCAATTGATCTCATCGTCGCCTATATGAACACCCTCAATTTCAACCATTTCGTCCTCAAAATTCAACAACCACTCTTCTAATTGACCTTCAAATTCTTTACCCCATTGTATATCACCTTTTGCGTATCTTAAAAGCCTAATATTTATATATATAAAGCATAGCATATCCATTATCTCTATCATCAAACGATTACAAAGCTTTATCGCCCAACCCTACCCATGGTTGCCTGGGTGGATTGATTTGGATATGTGAGTTTTGTTTATAGAGTAGGGTCTTGTCTTGGTCCAAATACTGCTTTATTTTAGAATATGAATTGGGACAGAGTTTGCCTTGGGATGCTGCCCGCTGTGATGCCGCCAGACACCAACCGGGGAGACCTAGATGAAGCTTTTGATTTGATACTATGCGTGCTTTGGGTGAAGGGGATTATTAGGATAGGGAAATTAGACGGCTATTTATTTTCTCATCTCTCCTAAATGTTATGGAAATAGCGGATTTTCGGTGGAAGATTGGAAGTGTGAGGTTAGCATTTACGTGTTTACTAGGTAGGTAGTTGACGATTGGTTATTGATGTGGGAGTCTGAGGGTAGGGGTGCGGGAACGGGAACGGGTGTCTGAGCGTATGGTATGATTTAGTTTGGTGTGGTTTAGTTCGGAATAGTTTCGTGGATATTTTGTACTCTTGTGCATGTTCTGTGCGCGCGGGATGGCGGCATGATATTTGTTTATGTGTATTTATATATATTATATATCTATATTTCTTGGATTTATAGAGTTTGGGGAAAGAACCATAATGTTTAGTGTATTTTTGATATTTAATACTTAATACTTGATATTTTATCCGAATTAGATTAATTTCACTTGGCTCTTTTTAGGATGTTTATTCTTATTGTATTATAAGCTGAGGACCAAGTTCTGAGGATTGAGGACGGGATTTTTTTGGATTATAGGGATGGAAGGAAAGGGATCAAGATAGAATAGAGCCATTTGGTCATATAGTGAGTTTGTTTATGGTATGTATGGATAGGGGAGGTAATCTGAGGTAGGTTGAGGGAGGTGGATGGGGTTGGGTAGGGTTGATAGATAGAGCTTTATTGGCTTATTTCTGCTTGCAAGATCTTATGTTTTGTTGAAAGTTTGATTTGGTTGCAGGGGATTGGAGGTGTGAGTATAAGGTGCAAGTTGCAAGTTGCAAGGTGTAAAGTGTAAGGTGTAGAGTGAGACACGAGGGGAGGGGATGTAATGGATGGGTGGATATATTTTTTGGTGTCTAGTTGGTGGATGCTGGACGGTAGATGATGGTATGATGTAATAGAGAAATTAAATAAACGACTAGTAACCAATATATATATTTAAATATTTAAATATTAAACCAATAAATTAATTATCAACTCACTGTCTCCTTTCTCAGCAGTATCTAAACCAAGAGTATAGTCCTCGAAACCTAAAGGAAAAAGAAAAAAGGAGAAAAGTTATTTATACTATATAAGATATTATACCTGAAAAAAGTTTTAGAAGAATAATATATGAAGATTTTTAGATCTAACATGGGAAATAATTAGGGGGTGTTGTACTAGATTGATAGATAGATGGGTAGATAGATACCGGGCTAATAATTTATAGGTTGGATACCAATATAATCTTGGCTATATAATTAGATGCATTAGATATTCTCAGAGAATTCTCTTTAGATGGGATGGAATGAAATGGAATGAATAGATAGATAGTGAAGGAGCTAAGAGATATTAGCTGAAATCTCGTGTGTGTTGGGTGTCTAGTATCGGGGTAGCTATATCTTATGTTTGAAAGCTGTGATGTGAGAAAGTTGGTTGGTTGGATGAGATTTCTTTGGTGTATGCATGGTGTGGTGTGGTGTAGTGTGGTGGATTGAGATTTTAAGAGTAAGAGTAAGAGTAAGTAAGCTGAGCCGCAGTGGTGGGATGAAGTACAATATAGCGATAGGAGAGAGATGTGGTGGCTTGTGGTACTGTGGTAAGCGACTGGGTATGTACTATGATGTGTGTGTGACTTTGGATACCTAGTTGGTTGATGCATTTTATATTTTGAATAGATGGAATAGATGGGATGCCAAGGGGTAGAAGACAAGAGTTAGAGGGGTTAATGTAGTATTGTTAGGCGTATACAGCATGTGAGTAATTTATGCTTCCGATCGCTACGCTTACAGATGCCGAGTCTGAAGCGAATATTGAGGTCGGGGGAGGAGGAAGAACTGCAGGAAGTTTGCATACTTCCTGCAGAATGGTTGATTGTATGGTAAGCTTATGATGGGTATATACATGAAAAGGAAGAAATGTTTGCAGGAAATGCCGAGATGAGATGTAGTGATTAGGAGAGAAGTTTATCCACATACTTGGAATTGCTTGGGGATATGATGTTTTCGTATTTGGATATTGCATGAATGCATGTGAACACTGAATAGCAAGGAGATTTTGTCTCCGTCCCCGTCGCCGTGTCTTCCCACGTGTAAGCATGATTACGAGGCTTTTCTTTTGATATTGTTTTACTTTCCCACTGTGGTCTGGACGAAAACTAGTGAGACTCCGGCTTCTTTCTATCGGAATGAAAGGTGCTTTGGGTGTATGCTGATCATCGCATATGATATAGTATAATTCCCGATCCATTCGTTCATGCAATGCAGACAGACGCATATCCACAATAGCATGGCATGAATTATCGATTCTTAATAACCATATAGTTAAACGAGAGGTGCAACAATATATGAAATCTTCACTAAAAAGATGATCCAAAATCCGGATCCCGCAAAACGCCCCTCCACAGATCCACACGGCAAGTAAAATTGCTCAACCTCACGTATTCCCCAAACAACCGAAAGCCATAGAAGAATCCAGTAACCCCAGCTCCCCCGTTTCACCAAAACGGTCTTGGTGCATACTCCAAGAAATCACCTTGTGCTACATCGGGAAGCAGTACAAAGTCTGGGGTGCTTGTTTGGGGGCCGTATTCGTTGGAGATACGAGATATCAGCCACACTCTTCCTCACCATACATAACCTATCTTGGGATGGTAAGACATGGTCGGTGATCTAACGCTTGTTATTAATCACCACTTTCTCTGAAAAACTAGGGTTGTAGATCCAAATCAAACACTAAATATATCGTCAAAAAAAGAAAAAGAAAAAATCCTCCGTAATGTACCGGTGAGAAACTGATACATCACATATCAAACTCCACCGATTATATCGTAAAATCGGGGATGCTAAACTGGCTTTCATACAGATGAAGGATATGCAAAGAAAAACTTAGTTGGAAATCCAAATGGGTATGTTTCAGTAGTTTCATCTGGAACATTTCGTCAATTGACGGGTTGATGACTGCCATGCTAGTGACTCGTGGATAAGATGCATACGGAATGTAATAGATCCCGTGGCCATGTGCTACTTGTGTTTGGGATGCAGTCTTAGTAATATTTCGATATGGTATTGCCAAGTGATTCTAAGATATTTCGGGATGGAGAAATGTTGGATGGTCGGATTGAAAAGATATTCTGATGATTTAATGATTGACATTTTTATTTTTATTTTCCATCCGAATTCGCTTGAAATCTTTAGGGATGGATGGTCATGACTCGTTTGCAGCTTAGATTTCACATGCATTTATTGCATTGATTTTCAATCACTAGTGCTAGATTGAAGATTTCCAAACAAAGCTAGATGATTCTCCATGTGCGTGAACACATTTCGTCACATACTCTTTGCCCTGGCAGCAATTTCTTGGTATTTTGATCTGTTTGGCGAGGATAACATGGTATATTTCGTCTGATTGATTCAACCTCTCCTGAAATGTGTACAATGCGGGGTTGTGGCGTGGACACGGGTAGACACATTTACATTTTCTTCCCAACCCTCCACTTTTACTCTGATGCCCAGCTTTCTCGTATTGTTGTACACAAACCAAAAGAAGTATTATATCTCGAAAATTTTCACTATTGCAAAATAGTGACAAGTGCCCAGCTACTAGCATCAATCCGTAGCTTCTAATATCCCACTCTCCACCCTTCATCAAACATCACATCGTCCGAAGTCAACATCGGAACTCATGACCGAATTAGCGAAAGCGATCCCCCCCATTTCTTCTCGAATCTTTGCTTGGATCACTGGTTTAGTAATCCCCCATACTACGTACATTTCAATCATTCCATGTACTGAAACCATGTACTGGTACAAACACAGTAAGCATCTACAAACGAGCGAAACAAGGCTAAGGATTGCTGGGTAGGATTCATGTAAGGATTTATCAGGTAGGGAATA